GACCACTAGCGACGGGCGATTGCAGTGGTAAGCTGTCAGTGGAGTAAGGCTAGACGGAAGTGTGCCTCATCGCCAGTAGCAGTAGCAGTAAGAACGACACACAAGACGCAACCTATCCAGCCTCTGCAGGGCTGCCCCTGGCATTGTACTTAGTGGGCAAATGGCCCTCCGCCAGCCTCATGACAGCCAAAAAGTCCGCTTGTAATGGGCAACGCGTGAGGGCGTGACACTTTGTTGATCAAGCAAAGCCAAGCCAAGCCAGCAGGAAGACCGGCAGCATGCTATTTCCGTGTACTCCACGACAAGACTCACAACCAGCAGTAGCATGCCCAACCGAGATTGTGGGCGTTTGACGGAAAGGGGCAAGCTGGGTGTGTATCGGCCGGGAGAAAAGAATCGACACACCGTGGGATGGAAGGTGGAAGTAAAGACTCGTTCCATTGCGGGGGTTGTAAACTGCTACGTACAGGGAATGACCCTCTCTTCAGCGCCCCTCTTTCCGCCAGTCCCCCAGCGTCCGTGTGCTAACCGTCGACCCACTTTATACCAATCAGACACGCTCAACCCAACGCTACCAGCACGCTAACCTTTGAGTATTTCTAGCGCATCTTGTTGGTTCACGGATGTTGGTGACAGCCCGGTGTAGTTCGCTGGCACTGGCAGGGGTACTCCTGCCAAGGTTGGATTAAACAATGGGTCCGCCATCCCGCCAATCTAGCTCTGACATGACGCTCGGTCCATTATTAACAACTGGGCTGGCACGCTGGCCATGGGATGGGCCTTCCTGAATTCGGATTGAGTAAATGGTAGCATGAACAACCGCACATAGTTGCACCTCTTCTTGGTTCCATGGAAAGCCCACGCGCTGAACGGGGTCGCAGAAAAGTCACTCGGCCGAAGCTAATCAATCTGTTGTTTCTTTCAGACACGTCTCGCTTGCCCTATGGCGCTACTAGTACCCCCGGTTGGCATCGACCCACGAGCCTACGGCCGATATCCTGGGGCACTGTCTTGGAAACTCAACTTGCTTTTCACAGCGTCCTCTCAAGCTCTAAGGACTCTTCCTTACCACGCGGCGGGATCTGGTGGCCTGCCATCTAGGGAAACCTTCTCTGTTTCTCTTCTCTCCCCCCCGCAATGCTCGGCATATGCGTTGCGATCCCGCGAAGGGTACCCGCGCCAATGAGAGCCACGACATGGCTCACCGAGCGTCAAGACAACACGGCACTGGAGCAGCCACGTCTTTCTGCGCCTCTTTGGCGGCATGGCCGTGCGCTAGCCGACCGTCGCTGAACAAGAAAGGTAGCAAAGAGAGGCACTGATGCGAGATGAGCCTCCCAGTATGCGGCAGTTGATGCTCGATTTGAACTCCCATATTCAACAGCCAAGCACTTTAGAGTCATCTTTGCGAACCTTGATGCAAACCTTGAGCCTGCAAACTACTGTTTTCAACATTGGTAGGATTTGAAAGTGCGCGGAGCACCATCTTTGAGCGGCTCGCTCTATCTGGCAATGAACTCTCAAGTTCAGTTCGACCTCCGGTAAAGCCTTGCTAAAGCCCAAGTTCCCACTGGCAAGACAGTCGCCGTGTAATAACACAGCTCGTTGCAGCCCTGCCGCATGTACTCCGTAAGGTCATTGCGATTCAACCTGATTCCGGAACGCCACCGAGAATGCCATGGCTCGCTATGTCTGGGTGCCCTACGGCAATTGTAGCTTAGCAATACCGGTGGTGCGTGGCACAGCACGATCAAATGCGTATTCTAAGCCCATGTACCGCAATTTCCAGTGTCCGTATTGCGGTCCCCGACCCAACACTGGTAAAGTCGTCTCCGCTTCAAGCCCTGAGCGAACCCCTACTACTATGGACATTGTAGATGAGGTTGACGAAACAAGGCAAATGCATCTGCAAACTTAGGGCTTCATATCCGCTCATCACACGAACCCGCACCAGTTTTTAATTCAATCAGCCTGGCAGAGCTAGATGGGAGCAACTTGACTTGACTGTGTGGAGGTGCACAACTGTTAGCAGCCTCGACTTGCAGCTACTCTCCTACTGAACGTTAATGATGGCTAGCTGTGATACTACTTTGCTCCTGTCACAGTGCATCTGCGGTGTCAAGGGGGCTGCTGCTGAGCGCCACGCACCACGCAACAAATCCTTAAAAGGCCAACCAGGTTGGAACCAGTTACCTGGAAGTTTGGCGCACATTGTATTCCGCCCCTGTCGGCTGGACCAGAACAGGTTCGTTTCAATCTCCCACTCTCACACGTCTTTTCTGTTCCGGACGAATCAGTGCGACTACCAGTTTTTGGCCTGAAGCTGCGCCTGGCTCTCGATCTCGGTCAAACTACCGCAAATGATGTAGATCTTCAGCCATCGACTTTGCAGGCTACTTTCAAGGTAACGCTGCATACGAACTAATCCGTTTAGTGGGCTGCCAGTCAGTAGCCTCAAATATCCACCAAATTGACAGTTTAGCGGTCGAAATAAAAGCAGGCATTTATTTGACCACGCAAGAACATGCCTGGCGTTTCCACATTCGAATTAATTCTTTGTCTGCAGGCACCGTTTACCAGACTTCTCGCGCCAAGAAGATCACTCGTTGGTATTGAACCCTGGCTCGGTTCTGCGACGCAACCCAATCTCGCCGCTTTTACCTGGAAGCGACTCTGGCCTTGCGATTTAAGCATATGAACTGTGTGCAAAAGTCCCTGGCCACTGCGACGCCTTTGTTTGAGTCGTATGCCATCACCCCGCATTTAACATAAGATTTCCTTTCCTGCTAACGTCAAAGGGGTGAAGTCACTCGAGGCAGCGGCTAATTGCAGCTGCCTATATCAATTTTCATGACGAGTTTCATGTCGGCTGTTAAGTATACACACAATGTGTGAGAGCGAATTATTCTGGAAGTCCATCTGTATATGGGTTACATCGAGCAATGCGCGACCATCCACATCGGATCAACAGGCGGCCGCGGTATCCGCCGGTGCTCCCAAGCTCTCAAAGGCCGGAATTGGGGCCAAAACAATCTAGTTTGAGCGGGATTAATTTCGGTGAGAGTACTTTTGCTTGGAGTACTTGTTAAGTATCATCTTCCCCTTCTGAATAAGCGTTTTGTTTCTACACCTTGTCTAGCCTCTTACATCAAGCTCGAGAGAGTGTATGGTTCTTGTTCCCCGAGAGCATCCCGCCCTGGAAGCACCTAGCCCGGCTAATATGCCGGGCTCACGTAAACACTCCTCCCTCATTGATTAGATGTGTTTAATTTATAGAGAGCATTGGACTAGATCCGGCCTCATATCGGAGGTTTATGTATCACACCGAAGAGGCTCTTACTTCACTTGGTTCGGGGAAATGAAGGCGACGAGCCTGTGACCTGGGAGTGAAAGGTGGTTGTCTTACCAGAACCAGGAAATTCAAGTGAAGTTAGATTAAACGCGCCTAGTATGCCGAGAATAGACCAGCGAGGGGTGTGCTTACCTCAACTTCTCACCAGTCCAGACCTTCCGGTGTTTAGGTCAGTATTTCACTAAAACTCCCAACCTGGTCAGGGAGTCACATGTACTGCGACGTCCTGCTTCAGACCCTTGAGTGTTTGCGGGGGGCGAGACAAGTGATGAGAAGTCGGTGCCATGGTTCGCGGAGATGCACCCGGGAGGAGGCGTTCGGCACTCGGAGGGAGCAGCCTTGTATGGACGGGATAAGGCCTTCATTTGATAAGATCATCCGGCTCATAGCTACCCTCCCCTCACCACCTAGTCGACCTTTTGTTTTGATCCAGATTATGGAGATGATGGTGCTTATTTCCCCATGGCCGGACTGGATTATCTGCTTCGCTCGGTGGCGTGTTTTTGGTCCCGAATCGTTGACGCGCCTCGTTTGATTGGCGACGGTGGCCATGCGACCTTTTTTTTTTGGGCTGGCTGGCTGGCTGGCTGGCTGGCTGGGCCACCATCTACCTACCTACCACCGCCACCCGCACGCTGTCTTCGTTTTGAGGGGGGGGGGGGGGCAGCGCATGATGTCAATCGCTTCCTGATGCGGCGCAAAGAAGTCGTGGGCCATATGGGCTCCAGGCTGTTCAGCTGCCGCTGGTGAGAAATTGCATCTCCGAAATTCCTTCTGGGAAGGTGGCTTTTTCCATGGTCGTACCTATCCCAGGAACTTTGTTCGTGGCTTGGGTTTTTCGTGTTAGTTCGCCTCGGTTATATATGCATTTTAGGGCGGGTTTGTGTATCATACAGCAGCGTTTGATTGTCTGTGCTATGGTTCGAGGTTGGGATGACTTTTGAGCTTCGTTGAATTTCTATATGGTTGTTACTATTAAGGGACAATGTATAGTTTTGGGTTGTTCATATACTGGACTGACGCGGTTTAGGGTCAGTCGTGTGCGTCCAGGTTTGTACAAAGTTTACACTGGATACGTGAACCGTGTTAGTCCCCTCGTAATGGTAGTGGTTATGTGCGGCGTTCCTTGCCAGCCTAGGTTTGCATTTTCCAATTCAATTTGCGTAGGCTACTGTTCAACCTGAGAGAAAGCCAGCTCGGCATTCTTAGTACTCCCTTTCGTAGAATTACCTGTAGCCTTTATATCTTAGTGAAGGTAAGAATGGGCATGCTGAAATGCAACATCTCGGTGCGAATCTCACAACAACGGAGGCATTATCACAGGAGGCACTCGGGGAGTAAAATAATTTGCGATCAAATCAACTTGGTCCGTCAAGGTTCCTATCAACCGCCCAATTCTGATTCTCCGAGTATGTAGATGCAGACTTGATTGTGATGTAGAAAAATATAATCACATCTACCTTTGCAAGCCCCCTATGACCATGGCCGTGATGAACCTTGAATCGGCGGGTCCCTACCGCAAAATCACATCAGGACGAGAAGACTTTTCCCACTTCCTGTGCCTTGATAAAAGGTTGTTCAACCTGTGCGTTGTTCCGACAGACTGGAAGTCAACGCACGCCAACAGAAGCATTCCAGGCGCGCGACAATGGCAGAGCCATCGCGACAACCGCAGAAGCGAAAGCCGAAGATGGCTCTGACGCCGCTTGCGAAGCTCTTGCGACGGAACCCGTTGGGCCTCTGGCTCGGCCGTCGGCGCGCAGCAAAAGAAGCTAGAGAGTACATGCTGTCGAACCGTCATGCTCATATCCAGATTCTCGAAGACAGTATTGCGGCCGAGGTGATTTCAACGATGAAGGATTCGCTCTGGTACAGACACCAGATGAAGTGCGGCTGCTGGGACGAGTCGGTCATGTCCTTTGTCGATCGTATGAAGAGCCACGTCCGCTTACACCTCCACTTCAAGCACGGCATCAGGCAAGAGTTCGCCCGCCCGCCTGTGTCGATCGCTCATTTTGTCTCCATCGTCGGCCTTGCGCTGAACCCCGCCGCTACTGCGCGCATCGCATCGAGTATCGTGGGGTTTGATGCCGTAGCCGGTGTTTCCTGCGCTAAAGGGTTCCTGGGGCAGCGTACGGTTGGGGATTGGCTGAATGTTATCATCGGTCGACTGTTCTGGGCGAATCCGCTGGTTTCGCCCAAGGTAAATCTACCCAAATTTGTCTTGTACTGACCTGGTTCACATTGCTGACGTTCCATGCCTTGAACAGCCAAGTTCCAAACGTCAAATTCCTGACGAGGATGAGTTTGGAGACAGAACAATAGAAAAGGTCCACCTGAGAGGTAGCACGATCATAGAAGCCTGGGCGAACGATCCTCGAATGCGCAATCTGAGCGGCTGGCACGGCCTGAAGGCCATGGACGAGCTGGTGGGCGCCCGCGATCCTGCTTTGCCGCCGACCTGGACGCCAGCAACGCCAGGCCTGCAATGCGTGTACCATGGTACCGCGCACCACTACAACTATAAGGAAGATAGTTGGCCGGACTCCTTCATAAATGCCAACTTTACCGCTCTCTCTGCCCGGCAACTAGGGAGGGCAAACCAACTGGCGCCGATACAGGTTCCCCAGGTGTCCACCGTGTTTAGTCCCCTGAGGGCGTTCCTTTGGGCTGCCTTTGAGGATCAAATTTGTCTTTTGACTTCCTCAGATAAGCTTGCGTCTCCGCGACGAGGATGGAGATGCGGTGGGGACGAGTACTCGGGTATCGTTCTATTCAGATTCAGTAACGTGGAGCCGGTCCCGGCGGATCTGCGCAGTTACATCATCCCCGACGGCCAAGAAAATGCATGGGGAGAGCGATCATATTCGCTTGCCCCCGTCAACATTGACGAGAAACTAGCCTGGTACCATTACCGCGATCTGCACGAGCAGCTGAGCGAAGGAGGAGAGTGGCCGGATGTTGTCCACGGACTGGAGTATGGTCAATCGACTGTTGGGGTTTCTTCTTGCCAAATTAATACGTGGCGAACCTGTTGGAGAGGCGGAAAGGCGGAGGAGTACCTCAATGCGCGACACATTTCCACCTTCGCCATCACGTTGGATCTCATAGGGGCTAAGCATATTGATGATTCAGTTTCCTCGACTGATGATGATACAATCGGTCAACCAGGGAATGCGTAAATTAGATTTTGTGAAGTCGGAAGGTAAAGTTGGTTAAGCGAGTTTGTCGAGTTGAAAACAAATGGGGGTTGTGTCCTGTTTTAGTTGGCATTCAGGGAAAGTCGCTTCTCGGTTTCTGATCTGGCCAGACTTGAGTAGCCTTTCATTGAGTTTCGCCAATCCCTGAGAAGAGATTATCAAAGAACGCTAGATCTACGCCTTGCAAGGCCCAGTCATCGTCTGAAGTTAGCCACTGCGTGCTCGCCACGTCTTCACCAATAAAATCAAAGGCACTATTGTAGCCTCCTGGCGACAAAGCACCTCGCTCGTTGGCTGTAGTTGGCATTGTCTCTCCCGACTCTGCGGGTGCATGTGATTCGGCTTTGGAGATACCATGCCGTTCGATCTTTATGGTTCCAAAGTGTGGGATGTAGATCTGTAGCACGGAACCGCCATCGCTGACCTCACCGCAGCATTCGAGCTCTTCACCTCCAACCATGTCAAATGATTCTGTCTTGTAGCTTCCCCCATTGGCGACGTCCGCTTCAATGGCCAACAGAGGCCGTAGAATGTTGGAAATATTGTTGGCTATAAAATCAGTAGGGTTGGTTTTTTCCAACTCCTCCAATCTCTCGAGTACGCGCTCCATCATCCCTCGATCGGCAGGGCGTTGGAGGGCAAGGCTTAGTGCGGCCGTGTCGTCGCAGCTACCGTCACTGCGGGGGCCCCGTTGGGGGAGCTGAGCGTAAATATGACCGATACACAGAGTTGTGCTAGCAGTGAATGCGAGGAAATCGATACCGCGGCAGAAAAAGGCTGCGCCAGGCTGAGAGGTACGGAATGAAATGAAACGTGAAAGCACTTCACGACTTGCCGTCATGGCTGTGATTCTGCTGTAAGTATAGGACTGGCCGGCGGCTGGGTGTAAAACATAGGGTAAATGTAGTCGCTGCAAAAGGTGATAATGCGCGAACTGGTTCATTAGGCGCGTGGTCTCGCGAAGGACCGCCTCATCATCACCCGCCTTGGGGATGTCCGGGGCCAGCCACCATTGAGGGGGCATCGAGTTGGTGCCTTGCAGGAGGAGGCTTTCAATTTCTTGTGTCTCCTTGCGTTCATATAAGCCTAATCGGTTGCGGCGTACGATGCGCCCGCCTGCGAGAGTTAGAATACGCTCGAGGCGCTCGAGGGGTTGGCATCCGTCCAAGGTTTCCGGCGCAGCGAATCTGTCGTCAGTTGAGCCTTGTGGAAGACCGAGCATAAGCGAGAGGTAACCGTCTGTCTGCAATATGCGGAACCACATGTGTTCTGGGCTGATGCGCCTCTTTGTTTCTTGGTCAAGGAATTTCAGCAGCGGGCAGTTGGTGCCTCGATCGAGACCGATCATCTGGGCAATCGTAAGCGCACGGCGAATGGTTAAGTATGCTCGGCGGAGGTTGCCGCCATTGTTGTGGTACAAGCTCTCCATCACAAGACACTCGATGCCTTCTACGGAGCCTAAAAGTTCGTCATTGCTAGTTACCAGTCGGATAGACGCCTCGATCGCACGAGACTGGATGCCTTCTGAACTCGTGCTGAGGCCGACGAGCTTTTGTGAGGCGACCGGCGGAAGGTTTTGCAAAAACGCGCTGAGGATAAGAAGTTTTCGTGCAATCAGCACAGGATGTGATCCTGGCGGTGGCAGTTGAAGAAGCTTTTGTGGCGATGGTAGATGCTCCATGTATTGCGAATAGGATTCAAAAACCACACCGTGAGAAAGCCCCGAGATTCCGACTGACGCACTCAGAATGATATCGAGGTCTTGCTGACTAGGCCATGCCGCCAAAAGACTACTAAATAGCTCGATAGACCTAGGGCCACGAAAATTCTGAGCTGAAGAGGAATCAAGGGGAGGTTTCGGAAGCAACAAGCGCGGACGTTCCTGTTGCCGGAACGGGTTACTATGAGCGTTGGCGGTCACGATGGGAATACGATGGGAATACAAACCTCATTCTCGTAGCCATGCACGCCAAGGGTCTTTTGGCCGTTTACCCGAGATTCCACAATTAAATGTCTGGCCTGAGGATTGCTGTTGTCTTTGTTCGTGTTCCTTGGTAGTTGAACGAACGGATCCTCAACTTGGTCGATCCTCGTACCCGGCTGTGGTTTCCGATTCGTATAGTCTTCAGGAAACTCCTGACTGACGCAACGAGTTCCGCGGTCTTTGCACCCAACGCAAAATGGGCTGTTGGAAGATTCAAAGACGCACTTAATCTTCCGCCGCTTGCACTCCCAGCAGCTCAGTGTGCCCTTTCGGAGCTTCCTTCTCTTCGGCTCTCTTCCGCCGTTGATCAGGGGGGTTTCAAGGGTTTCAGGCATTGATGGGGTTATGGCCTGTCAACCAATCAGAAATTGAAAGCCTGTTTCCGAATCTGTTGAACTAATTGCGAAAAGTAGAAGTTTGCCGTCAAGAGATTGCCGAGATGGTGCAGGATGAATTGTTGCGGCGAGTAGACGTTGAAAGTAGACACGGAGCTAGACGATGATTCGTTGCTTGGACGCCACTCGGCGGACGAAAAGCGGAGCTCGACGCTGATTCGTCAACATCTCCGCCGTGTGTGGTAGTCGAACCTCCGCCAGATTGACAGCGTCTGGGTATATAACACTACAAGTGGAGACAATGTTGAATTACTTCTAAGTATTGTGACAGAGATTACTCGTTTTCTTTCCACCCTAGCATACTTTCACACTAGAGAATCGCCTCCTTGTCTCTGCTGCGTTACATTCCCCGAGCAGCTCCGATTGAGTGGCCCCACGAAGTTCGGACAATACAAACAGCTTTCTATCACCCTACCGTGAGAATATTGAAAGTTTGGAAAATGGTGAAGATTGCAATTTCTGGTGCCTCTGGCAGTATGATAACAACTTCAGCTATATTCTGTTATTAAGCTCACAGTGCACCAGATGTTGCCCGGGAGCTCCTGGACGTTCTCATCGCTACCCAGAAGCACGAGATCATTCTCTTATCCACAAAGGTTTGATGGTTAACTCTTGTCAATAACCCAATCACTAATGTTAGCAAAGGATGTCCCAGCAGACGCGAATGTGGCGAGGACCACTTGGATCAAAGTGAATTACGAAAACGCAACTCAGTTAGCCCAGGCTCTGCAAGGCGTTCACACTTTGCTCTGCTTTATTACTACGCAGTCAGACCCCGGAAATGCTGCGCAGAAAAACCTCATTGACGCCGCAGTTAAAGCTGGCGTGAAGCGATACGCCCCGAGCGAATGGGCCACGTGAGTTGACCAGCTTCCAAGTTGACCACATAGACTAAGTCGGCTGCATGTAGGTCGAGCTTCGATTACATGCCTTGGTACAGCGGAAAAGCTGAAATTCGCCAGTACCTTGAGCAATTAAACAAAGACGGAAAGGTGAGCTAAACTATAGATGTCATAAGAACTTACTGACTCGCCGATAGGTTCTCGAATACTGCCTTTTCCAGGTTGGAATTTTCGTGAATTATTTTGCGAGCCCGAATAAAACATCAAAACACATCCATACTCCTCAGACTCAATTCGACTTTCACAAGCGTCGCGCTATTCTACTCGAAGGCGCAGATGACGCCCGCATCAGTCTCATCACTACCCAGGACTTCTGCGCCGTCGTGGCGAGTGCCGTCGAGTACGAAGGCGAGTGGCCTGTTGTCGGTGGCATTCAAGGAGACGAGCTTACTGTCGCACAACTGATTGCCATAGGAGAAAGAATTCGTAAGTTTTCTCTTAAAGATATGGCCACGTTTACGGAGATGCTGACAATCGCCCTTAGGTGGACCTTTCGCTATTGAAAAAGTCCAAGCCGAGGATCTCAAGGCGGGAGTAGTCAGATCCTCATGGCTACCCAATTTTGACCACCCTGCCATCCCTGCTGACCAAGTTGAGAAGCTGGCGTCAGGTATGGTGGCCGGCATACTGCTGGGAATTTCTGCCGGGGCTATGAGCGTATCTCAAGAATGGAACAAGCTGCTACCGGACTATAAGTTTACGCGGGCTGAAGATTTCTTGAGCGAAATTTGGAACGGCTTAAATGTTTGAAACTGGCTTGGACGGTTGTTACGGATTCGTCTGCGGGTTGTATCGCCACTACAGATTTTGAAAACCGCTACTACTAGAGCAACATAAGTTTAAGATTAGGGCGTGGGAACGCATTTTATCACTCTGTAGCAGGGGGGATAATATAAAATAGGGCAACAGACAATTGTGTTACTGGGCATTGTGTTTGAGCTACAGCAGGGAAATATAGTTGATGTTAAGGCTGCAATGCATGTTGCTTCATATTCCATCGATTGCGTAGTACTATTGCAAGTTTCTAGCTCTAGCCATATAGTTAAAAATAGATCTAACTTCTTACTTCCTAAATCCTATCACGACAGACAACTTTGGCTGGTGCGGTGAAAGATCCTATATCGACGGCACAATCAGAAAGAAAGAACATTCTTATTCTTCCTAGTAAACCAGTCAATGAAGAACATGAAAAGGTAAGTCATCCCAGCCTGAAGACAGTGTAGTCCCGGGCGGAAGGGCAAAAGAAAATCCAGAAATTGTGGCCTTGTTACCTTCGAATACTGAAGGGTAAATGAAGGACCGCCAGGCCAGTTGTGCTGCCCTTCTTGATCAACTTTCACGCGATCTACCTCGCTCGTGAACACAAGGTGAGAAGAAATTGAACGATAAAAGAATAAATATGGAAGATTTTGAGGGGTGGTAAGGGATTGTCTATACGTTGTATATGGTGGTTGGGTCCTGGGATAAAAGTGACGATCCAACGTAGCTAAACTAAATAAGAAAGTGTTGGGTTCAATGGAACCTAATTCAAAGTATTGAAAGTCCAAACATCACGTGCTAGTAGCTTTCTACCTAGTCAAACTCTCCTTCACAGCACAGCACGTACGTCACAGTCCTGAAGCAAGAGGTGAGACCTCTGTGAGTTCACCAATACCTCTAAACGTATTGCGAGTTGACGAGGCTTACTCTGGTCAGTCAAATGATTGATTATCCTAAACTAAACGATGATAGAGAAACCGCCCGTCTGAATCAAGAATTGCCTATTCGCGCCCAGATTACCAGTTGTATTTCCTGCCCACAGTCTTCGGGAATGGGAAGGGAGTTCTGGAATTGTTGACGCGCGACTCAGATGCCTCACCGTCGGCGGCAAGGAGAGAGAAAGACTGCGTCGTTGGCATACGCGGTGTATGACCTGAGGCAGCGGTTACTTTGTCTGGGTCGTAGCAGGAGATGCGCTTCGCCGGTTCACCAGGAATGACGACAGCAGACACGCCCATGTTGATATTGTCAGCAAACTGGGCAGCATACTTGATGTGGCGCCCGGTTGTCTTGTCGTAGATGTTCGAAACAGTCAGGTCCTGGCCGAACTTGCCCTTTGTGCCTGATGGAATGCGGATCATCAGGCGTAGGCCCTGGTGGATGTCGATATTGCCGCGCTGCCAGACGAAGATTTCCTTCGGATTCTTGATTGGGCGCAGATCTGTGTCTCCGTCGTCATCTGTTGTGGCGTAGTCAAGCTGGTATCTGCTCGTGTCGAACTTATGCATGTAAATCGCGACCGGATCAGCAATCGAAACAATGTTGCCCTGTGAAGCCAAAGAGTTGATAGTGCCACCAATCTGCGATGGTGTTTATGGCGATTAGCTTGTCATGATCGTTATAAGCATGGAATGCGGTGGGTGAACTCACGACGGGGTCCGAGTTTCTGCCTGGGTTTCCGTAGGCAGAGCATTTAATCAATCTATCTGGATCGGTTACAGGGCCGTCACTGTTCTCGCGAAGCACTGTGCCTTGAGCAGCAATGTCGATTTCAGCGGACAGCGTGTTGTTTGGCTGCAGAAGATGCAAAATAGACCCTGTATCAGTGCGAATGTTCCAGTAATTAGCCGGGTTGTACACCTTGTAGGGCTTGGCGCTCTCCTTGGGGTCTACTAGGAAGAAGTCCTCGTCGCTCATGCTCTTGCTGACCGCTGGGTTGATGTCACGAACTAGTTTGAGGAAGTCTTGCTCTTGGTAGCTGGCAAACACTTGCCAGTACTGCATATCAGTGGCTTTAGCAGGAGGTCGACACTGAGGGGGTATTCTGTGTTCTGCGTGATCTTACCTCCGGGCCTTCGCACGTGAATGTAACAGTTTCAATATCGTTGGTCTTCTTGTTTCTAAGGAGGGACCATTCAAGATACTCATCCTGAGCCATACGACTCGCATCGGCTATAGCCCATCGCATGTCGTCATCCCCATAAGCCTTTTTTATCTACAACAAAGTCAGTGAGTCTATCTTGTACATGAAGTGCCATCACCTAACTTACCAGATTAGGAAATCCAATCCAAGTCACGGGTTGAGGTTCTTGAGACTGGTCGTATGCCGTGACTGTCCCATTGAAGAATTGTAAAAGCTCCGTGCGCCCTGGAGAAACCACGCTCTTTTCAGCCGCGATTTCACCGTCCATCCAATGCGAAATATATTTCCGCGACCATATGTCCCTGACCTCCGGCGACATATCGGGCAGGTTGCCGGGGGGGTTATGACCTGGAAGAACGGTATCCTGGCGGAGACTCATTGTGGGTGCGTTGAATGGATGCGATTAAGAAGTGAGGCGAGACTCCGAGAGTATGGGGAAATCTGGACATGGTCGATGGGAATAGATTGTGATCTATATATTTGAGCAAACGATGCATCAATGAAGATTGATGTCTACTTGTCGCGGCGCTAAGGATAAGAGCCGTGTAAAATTGTACAATAGTTAGAGGTTGTGGCCAGCTGAACCCCTAGACGATGCAACCGTAAATAACCGCATTCTGTAAGATAGATGCTCGGCGGACCAATCTTGTTCGCTGTCCATACGATAGCGGCCGATTGAGCTCGTCGCCTTCCTGAAGAGGAAAGCCCACTTATGTAAGACTACCAGCCAGCCAGCCACTACGACGATCTCACGAACAGCATCACCGATATGGACGTGCTTATACGCCTGGGGATATATTCTCCAAGCCGACCTAGCAACCGAGTTTTCAGCTGTCGATGGAAAACATCGATGATCGCTGGATATCAGCCAGCCACAGATAACTACAATGGTAGAATGCGGTCGGGACGAGGCCCCCATGATAAGTCCTTTTCAGCTGTCCACTGCAGCCTAGTACCCAACACACCACCTGTTCAGGTCGGAACTAGTCCTATCGCGCTACATACGTAGCTGGTATCCTGTTCTTACTATAGAGAGACCTACCAAATCTCATCTCTGCTTAAGTTGTTTGGCCTTTTCCGTCACGGACAAGGCAGCTCGCATTCAAGCTTAAATACGCGCCCATGCTCGCCCATTTTGTCGTCTCGACTCAGAGAAGTACACCGGAAATTGTCCAATTAACATGGCCACTTCCAAGGTGTACAGAAGAGTCTTCAACAGGACAGCTGCCAACGATACAGACGTCCTAGTCACGGACGACTTCATCCGCGACAACTTTACCGATGTCTTCGGTCAGCTACTCGCAGACGAGTCTGTGATATCACTGCTCACTTATAAAGAGCTGGCAGAGTGGTTCTGGAGTATGTCTTCCACTTGGGCTTCCAACTGACTCTTGTCTGACCAAAGGCTGCGTACCCTCCAGAAAGAACGACCAACACGTATAGTTTTACCACTTTCGCCATCGCCGACGGCGCCTTTGTACCCAGATCCGACGAAAACGAGAAATGGTTCTCCAACCACGTACGCTTCCTTACGCTGATCACGCCCAAGGAGAACCCGAATGAAAACGAGGCACCACCTAATGTCTTTGTCGTTGGGTCTCTCCCAACTGATGGGTCTGGTGGATTCCTACAGGTCGCCAGTTGGAACGGTCAAGTGATGCGCTACTATGCTGTAAGAATTCACTTAGCAGTCGAGAGACTAAAGGAGACAGCAGTCCAGTTGTAGATGCTCACCCTTCCATTCCTTAGGTTGAAAATCTGAATGGCGAAGATGAAGGTCCTCGCGTGTGGACTTATCAAGGCGATTCTTGGGGTGCTTTCGCCGACGGCCCAGGCACTGAGGAGACGGAGTACTTGGGGCCATTCAACGGGCATGTTAATGGCGCCTGTATCATGAAAGAGCTGCACAAGTAACCCCCCTCCATTGCAAGCCACACGCTCAAACCTCTACTGACCCGGTCTTCTAGGCCATGGTACCATTGGTACACGGGCTCGGATCCTACATTTGCCAACTGCCTTAAGAAGGAACAAATCAATCTTTACAAGGGCATCCGCTTCCTGACGGGAGACAATCACAGTGTGCTGACGGGTGCAAGCGTCCGCAGCGGCGAGCAGTTGGAGCCAGTGATCAAGGCCATAGTCTCCGACTGGTACACCAATCGTGTGCACAGTGACTTTTACGAGCCCGCCGCCGGCGGCGATGAGCACCGGCTACGAGCCAGCCCCGTCAACACTAGACGTTGGATGGCGCACCTGCTGCTGACGACCACGATCAACGTCGTCGCCGCGCTGTCTGACAACGAAGGCTCGTCGTCCGCCGCAGGCCAAGACGATGTTACAACATATACTGTGGACTGGAACCACTTCTTCAACAGCGAGATGCTGTCCATGCTCAGCTCAGGTCTCATTGTAAGTCCTTCCCCCTTGAGTTACTTGGCCAGTAGCCTATGGTGAGATATGTCCACTAACCGGGGACGAATCACGAACCAAAGCCAAGTCAAGCAAATGGAGGACCCCCCAAGTTTGACGTCGGCAAGGGCACCAACTATGATCTTGCCAAGGAGAAGCTTCAACTGGCGCTTGTTTGTGAAGATGTAGAGGGCAATGAACTGAGCAAGTTCGAGCTACCGAGAGGCACTCTCGGAGGCGGCAAGCAGACCAGGGCATATGACACAGTGAACTTTGTCGAGGCTTTGTCTGGGAGTGAGGGCATGCCTTTCGTCATTTTGCAACCATCGTACGAGGATTCCATCGGGGTGCTCCGTATGCAGAAAGTCAAGACGTCACCCGTCGGACTTCTCTCAGCCAAGGCATTCCGGTCCGTCGTGATGCTCGACTACTGGAACCCGGTGTTTTCCTGGCGCCGCGGCGTGCTCATGCAGTACGTCCCCCCGAGCACTTCGCTGTTGGGCACTCAGTACGATCTCGAGGACAAGTGGGTGGCTGCCATTCGGCAGTCCCGCCCCTTTACGGATGGCGATGTTGACAGTCCCGAGTACCAGTTCATTCAGTTATATGACAACGACAATGGCACCAAGAATCAGTATGAAAAGCGGCTGAACCGCTACATTAGCAAGGTGCGAGAGAAGATGAAGACGGCTGACGGCATCTACGAGTATCTGCAGCTCGCGGAGGCCCGCCGCAGGATATATCGACCGTTGCCCCTCGACGAGTTCGGCGTGCAGCTGCCGTATGCGCGCGCTATGCCTGGCGACTGGGGCTTCATTGAAATGAGGGAAGATGGGATCACTGCTGCAATCCCGCCTCGAGGGAAGCAGTTCCTGCTCAGCTGGACGTTCTCTCTTGCGGGCTATGACCCGCATCTCATTCCGGCGACGCCATCAGCGCCAACATCAGATATCGAGGCCTCGCACGTTGATAACATCCTAACAGATGTACGAATGGCAAACGGCGTGTCTCGATGTCCAGTGATAAGCGCACGCGCCGCGAAGGCAGTAACAGGCAACGAGACTACCAACGGGGCGTCTACTGCACCGCCATATCCCACCTGGAACGACGACATTCGCGCACTCTTTGTCACACCAAAGTGGGTGTCTGATCCAGGAAGTGTCGGCTTATACTGGAGGAGTATGATGCTGGAGTACAGCCCTCTTAAAGGCCAGCCCCTCCATCTTGACCTGTTCTCGAAGCAGTCGGTGGAGGAGAGTGCTGTCACTATCTATCAGCATCTCCGTTCGAAGTCAATGCCCATCACGCAAGATCCCACCGAGTATTGGCCTGACTGGGCGCTTGAGACATTCCGATTGTGGGCAAACCAAGGCTACCGTACCACAACTTCTGACCCGATTGTTCCAATAGAGGTCATCGCCTCTGACGACTCCCCGTTCACGATGCGGGTTCGCAAGGATATCCTGTCTCTCAGTGACACAGAGCTCCAGACGTACCGTGAGAAACTCGACACCGTCCTCCGTGTGGGCGAGCTGTATGAAGCGGATGGGAAGACGCCATCCAAATGGCAGGAACTGGGGCTTCTTCGTAGGTTACCGGGCAGACCCATGGTGTGTCTGAGTGCCAGATTGACCGCTGCTAACGATAGATTTTCGCTGCAGATGCCGAGTGGTGCTTGCACTACCAGGAAGCAACCTTCCTCTGGCACCGGGCCTTTCTTCGTTACGTCGAGGAGCTGATCGACTTTCCAATCCCATACTGGAACGGCTTCGCCGCCGATACCAGCGAGCGTGAGTCGCCGTACGCCGGCATCCCACAGATCTTCCTTGACGACGAGTACACCAACTCCGAGGGCGAAGTTCGCAAGAATCCGTTGCGCTGGGCACTCGCCTACAACGGCAAGAGCAAGGGCGGCGGGGCTTATGTGCAGCGGGCTCCGGAGCTCGTAGAAGGTCGCGGCACCGAGCCGTGGAAGAAGAAGGTTGACCTCTTCAAAACCTATCACCAGCAGATTGCGTTTGCGCTTTCGAAGAAGCTGTACAGCCTGCCGCAATACTGGAAGAAGAGTCCGATGCCGTGGGCAAACATCCCAGTCTTCACTGATCACATGGAAGACTGGAGATATCCTACTTTTGCCAAGGAAATGTACTTTGATGGGTTATTCGAGCAAGCTCATGATAACTACCATGGCTGGGTCGGCCCTGATATGGTGAGTTTCCGAGTCTCTCTGTTGTCTCTTCTCTGGCACTATCATCAGCAATTCTCATGCTAACCTCTCCATCACCTTTAAAAAAGGCCGACAACACCTACACCGCGTTCGACCCCATCTTCTTGAGCTACCACTGCAACATGGACCGCATCGTCGAGCGCTACCTGCGTGCGCAGGCCAGCACGCAGCCGACGCTGACGTTCAACTTCCCACTCCGTCCTTTCGTGCAAAACGCGCGAGCACTAGCGTACGCAGACCCGCGCGAGTACATCTACACCACCATTGGCGACATGCAGAAGGATGTGCGCGCCCTCAACTACCTCTTCGCTCCACCTGTCCTGCGCGACTTTGTGACGCTACCGCCAGCCGTCAGCAAACTAGAACCCAAGGGTGGTGTAGCCGTTCCAATCGTGCCATCAGAAGTAACCGCTGCAACTACCGCCAACAACGCTGGCGCCGCGGAGACCGCAGACACCGTCACAGAGGCCATAAACGATCAACAGCCCTACGTCATCTTTGCGGGCGTCACTTGCACACGCGACAGCTACGAAATCGACGTCTTTGTCCGTGGCGCGCGTGACAAGCGCCCGGACCCGATTCTCAACGCCGACTACATCGGCCGCATCACTCGCCTCGGCATGGGCAGTGGCCGCGACCCAACACGCCCAATCCGCAACGCCTCTCGGTGTGTGAAACCTGCTGTTACACGAGTCTTACGTGCTGATGGAGCGGTTTCGGGCTTGCTACGGGAGAAGGGCGTTGATCAAGTTGTAAGGGACTTGACGACGGGGTTGGAGGTTGCTGAGAGTGAGTGGAAAGAGTGGCCGGGTTTCGTTGGGCGGCTGGTCTGGGGATGAGGTCAGCGACTATTCAGTCTGTCAGACATCTGACGAAGCAGATACTCTGATGCAGAGAGATGAGCATATGGGTGGTATCAATTGAGTCTGCAGCACCGGGTTGCTGCATTTGATGCTCGACATGCATGTGCATGTGACCGAGCTATGTCAAAGGATGGTACATGCTTTGGAAGAAGAAATGTTCATGGTCGAATGAAGATGCTGACTTTCTTATAAACACTCATCAACTCATACAAAGAAAAGTGCTATGAGTCCCTAAATTAGTGCTGCAGAATACGGAGATGTAGCAAGATAGGATATAGAACATCCTTTTCTTCAATATCATAATCTTCTTTTTTTCACCACGGTCAGTGGTTCAATCTAAGGCTTAACTGATGACGAAGCTGCCATTTTAAAGAAGATTTTCCTAATGACCAAATCAGACCGGCGCCTTCGCTAGGGAAGGTGCTTGGTGGTAGCAATTCTTTGAAATACCTATCACACATATTCTAATTTCGACTCATCCAACATCAGCGTTCACAGTTTAGTACGACGCAATGCTTATGGACTTCACAGAACGCCCAAGCCCAAAAATGGGACGGTCCATAGACACGTGCCACAGCTGCAAGGCACCGATACTACAGTTTCCCCGGGCGGGGGATCGAATTGACTTTAACCCGACTTTAACCCGACGACGCGTTCGCTGACGATTCGATGGGGTATTTTTGTTTTAACGCGCAACGTCGTCATGTGCCTCGTCCACAGAAGGCCGAAGTGGGCAAACACTTGAAACGTTCTTCTGTGTTAGGCTTGGTCCAAGTGAGCCTGGGTAAAGCCTGTGAACAAGGTTCGTTGATTCGGAGCGAGCCCGAGCCACCTTCTCCTCTTCTGCAAATGTTTTTTTTTTTACCCCCCTCCCCTTCGCAGAAACCCGCAGTTGTGAAAGGCACGGTGGTTGACAGCTGTCGACGGCAACTCGAAACGGTGAAAACCTGGGGAAAAAAAACCAAAACGCAAAAAAAGAAAAGAAAGATAAGAAACAACCTCTCTTTCGGGGAGAGCGAGCTGAAATGCACTCTCAAAGTTTCATCGCCTCAGCAGGGCGCAATCAACAACGGCAGGCAATGCAAGCCAGAAGGAATCTAATCCATAGCAGCATCACCATCCCGGATCTGGCTGTTGGCCGCTGGGGAAACCCGGCAAAGGTTGGGCAACCTTCAACATCTGCTCACACAATTAAGTCTCGGTTGTGACGACATTCTCCCCATCCTTCCAATCCCCTACCTTCGTTTCCAAACGTTGCCTCTGCCAGCTGAGTCGGGGTTAACACCACCACAGAGTCTTATCTACGCCTGGTGCGTCTCATCTGAGCCTGGGAGACCTGGGTCTTCCTGGGAACAGAGAGGCAGAGAAGCAAGAAACCACGGCAGGACTAGACCCCCAGAAAAGCCCGACTGACTCTTTACTGCCTTACCCGAAGAGGGGATAACCGCGTTTGAGGGAGGGGAGGGAGGGGGGGGGGAAGCCTAAACAGTGGCGATGTTTATGTGCGGTTGAAAGGACAGCAAACACAATTTTTCATCAACTTTGCAGCAGGTAAAAGAAAATTTCATCGGCGAGGGGAGAGACAGAGAGAGAGAGAGAGAGAAAGAAGACAGAACAAAAAAGAGAGAGAAAGAAAGAAAAGAAAAGTGTTGCTGTTTATATCTTTGACAAATCGCGGTGAGACAGAGAATGGACAGCCCGCTGAGCAAAGATATGACCATCGGTAAGCCCAATATGCCGACCACGACAACGACGACGACGACGACGACGATGGGTTCGTCAGAAAAGTTCTTCGAGGTGCGCTCGCCGGCCAGCTTCGCCGCGCGAATGTGGTCTCGCACGCAGAACTGCGGCGTGCCCGTCGTACCGGACGGAGACGTGATACTCGTCGTCGGACTCGGCGAGGAGACGACGGAGCTACGCGTGGACTCGCTCATCCTCAAGCGCGCGTCGAGGGTATTTGCCGCGATGCTCGGCCCCCGCTTCAAGGAGGGCCAGAAGCTGCTCGACCGTGGCTCCTCCGAGCCCGTCAAGATCAACCTTCCCGACGAGGACCCGGAGATCATGGAGCTCATCCTCAACATCCTGCACCACCAGAACTCGCGCGTCTGCCAGATCGCCGCGGCGGATTCGATTCTCGAAGTGGCCGTCGTGGCGGACAAGTACGACCTCGTCGACGCGCTCAAGTACGCGTCGCAGATGATGCTACACTACCATGAGCCGTCGATCGAGCACCTCACCGTCGGCGACCTATGGCGGCTGGGGCTGGCGGCAGGGCTGCTCAACGAGGCCAAGGCTTTCGAGAAGGTTACGAGGACTCTGGTCTGGAATCATACTGTGCCATACATCCAGCTCGTGGATGCAGAAGACGTCGTCGACATCGAATTCGCGTTGCGCATGTGCTGTAAGTTTATACAGATGATGGCTTCTCTTTTCTTGCGACGGGAACGCAAACTCGCTGACAAACAAAACCCAGATCTTTTGGAAAAGGAGAGACAGGACTTGAAGACCTCCCTGCTGCAGCACATGCTGCCCATCATCTCCACGGGCAACCAACTCCGTCTCGTGGAGATCAAGGTGGACTCTGCGGAGCACTTTGACGCCTGGCCAGAGCTGATAAAGCTGTTCGGGGCCAGCCTCAAGGAGACGGCGCGGTTCGCCGAGGGGCTCATGCTGACCGACCGAAGTCGCCGGGCCGCGGGACCCAACTCGGACTACATGAGGCACTTCAGAAGCCGCGGCGGCATACGCCTGGCCGATGCACGAAAGGGACGAGACTGATGATGGGGATGGAAGATTAGACACCGGCGCCGACGGATCCTGCTCTTGCTTTTTCTCATTTCTTACCCATCTGCACAAACCCTCTCAAGAGGTTAAGAAAAAAAGAAAAAGGAAAAAAAAAGTAAATAGGAATCTACCGAGGGATAACAGCGAGGAGTCAATATTTCACTTCAATAAAAGCCGCTCGGACAACTGGCTCGGACATGGGCCAGTCCGTTTCTAGATTATATTGTCCTGATTGATCCTATCCTTCTCTTTAAGCTCTTTCAATCGATCGTCGTTAGTTCGGATCGAGAATGGAGAGACCCAGTAACATGGGTTCGGCGTGAGGTGACATTGGAAGCCAAGTCTAATTTTTTTTTTTTTTTAATTCTCTCCTACGACTAGGGCAAGCCACATAGCGACAGCCGAGGCATGTCAACGTGGCTTCGGAGCTTTGCAGAATTTAAACTCGGCCAAACGCCGACGGCCAGGCGTAACCCATGCCACCGGGTGGGGGGATCGCAGGCGGCTCCGTTCCGCGTAGTGCGGCCTGCAATGGCCGTATTTTAATAACCAAGCAAAAAAAAAAAAAAGTCCGGTCCGCCAAGTCTTCTAGACCCTCACTAACTTGGCGTGGTCTGGCCGAGGTAAAAACGTCAGTGAGAGGGAGCAAAAAAAAAGTTGATAAGCAAGAGTGGATTCAAGACGGGGTTCACTTCAAATGAAAAGACATCAATGGAGTTAGAGACTCGGATAGTCGAATGGGAATCCTAGCTGAACCCTCCCTTGACGGGCTCCAGAATTTATGGGCTGACCAGGTGCGGAAGTTGAGCATGGCGGCGGTGCGGTCCAGGCGAACAAGCAAGCAAAATTTTAAGAGATTTTCTCAAGAGCCGATGGCTCGGGAGCCAAGTCTGGGCCAAGTCTGGCATGACGTGCAGGGGTCCTCCTAGGTCCTAGGTCCTAGGTCTTAGGTCTTAGGTAACGGTGGCCAAGCATCGCCAGCAAGGTGATCTGCCCCAGTTGATCGTTGATGGTTATTGAGTCAAGCCCAGCAAGCCCAGCAAGCATTCGGTCCCGACGATGGACCGGCTCCGAATGATGGGGAGGGGGTGGGAGAGGGGGTGGGAGAGGGGGTGCCATTTGCTGATCGTTGGGTCGGGCGGGTGTATCGCAGATGTTTTCCATGGAAATGACGAAAACATTGAACAAGAAATGCACCACCACGCGCGGCGCTAAACCGCTAGCCCCGAGTCACAGGTGTATCGCCATGATTAATTTCGACGGGCTTGTAGTATGCTTGTAGTAGTGCAATGTGTGTGTGTGTGTGTGTGTGTGTGTGTGTGGTCAACAAGCCGCTCGGACTCGCACTGGACTCGGAGACTCAGCCGAGACGAGCCTCATTCGATGCATGCCAATCTGACGTGGTTTTCCCCAAAACAGCATGTCATTGTTGGTTCTCGACGTGCGCCTCTTATCATTTCAGATCCTACCGAGTACAGAGTAGCATCCGTCCAGATCTGGCAGCTGCGGAAATACAAAGTCCCTCCCAACGGATGATAAGGCCTCCCTAACAATCCAAGCGGTTGTCGATCTATTATTGGGCTCGTCGGTTATGCAACTTGCTAGATTGCTCATCATTAGCCTCATTTTCTCGTACGTTTGTGGGACGGTCACCAGGCCCTGGATAATGATTCAGATTCAGAAATACATATTTACCCAGTGCCGGCCCCTCGCAGGATCGGTGCGCCGGAGTGTATGCGTGTTCTCCGCGAGGGATGAACTCAGCAGGCCCGATCGGTCATCTCCACTCCTGTCTGGCTTTGTAATAAAAAACCACTTGCAAGTGAAAAAAAGGGGATGAGCGGCCGGGATGGTGGCGACCAAACCCGTTGGAGTTGGGACTGCAAAGGCGTCAATCGACCTCGGCACGGAGGGTACATCCACCGACATCCCGGTCTATGGGGCCGCTGACCCATGGAAATCGACTTTGGCATGTCGTTTTCGGTGGATGAGCCCGGTGTGCCCGTCCCTTGAGGGCCCAAGCTTAGTAGCCAACACGTCATTCTGCGGCTACATAAGCAGGTACGTATCTGATCGGGCACGGGAGGTAGGAGCTAAGAAATGGGAAGAAGGAGAGAAGAAAAAGAAGGAAGTACAGCAGGGAGACCCACAATGCACAATCAATTCCGCTCTGAGTTATGCAATCCAGTTCGTCCTGTTCCTCGGTAGACTCCTGTCATCGCAAGCTTGGGTTGAAGCCTATATTCGTACGGGGTATTTTTTTTTTTTTGTTCTGTAACTGTTGGCTTCAATCACCAACTACAACCCTCTCCATCGCCTGCTAATCTAATAGTATCCTGCCGCAATGCCGATACAACCAGTTGCCCGGAAAAGGCTGGGCGTTTCTCACTCTGCTTACTGGATGAATCACCTGCAATCATCCTGCGACGCATATACGGCACACGCTTGCACTAGCCCTGACACCATGAAGGACGCCCAACCCGGAGATAACAAGTCCATTTGTTGTCTCCGGGCAGCTACTCCGACCCTCCGTCGCACTATACTACCAAGTGTCATAGACCCTAAGAATTATGCACGCGGAAGCCACCCCGTCCGGGTGGGTCTTTGACGGGTGGGCCCCCTTTCCCACCCTTACAAGTCCGCCCCGATGGAATCCATTGTGATACGGGCACCGACAAAGGGTGAAGGGTCTGGAAAATCACATTAGAAATCTCCACCGCGACCATGGCCTGGCCTGGTGCAGTATATAGAACAAGCGCCGTTCCCAGTTCTCCGGGATTCAGATCTCGCCTCAGATCTCCTGTTCATCCCCAACTTGGAACCCCATTTCGACTCCGACCTCGACCGTCGTCTAATAAAGTCTACGCGTTATAAGCTTATAACACCATCATCCCTGGTCCACAACTATTTCGGTCCAAACAGCCCTCTACACATACTAGTTCACCAACCCAAGAGACTACTACATCACCATGGCGTCAGCGCCGCATTCTTCGTCGTCTTCGATAACGGCGACCGAGGCCGACCTCGAGGCCCAGAAGCCCGCCAACAAGGCCAACTACTTTCATCTTCTGTTCGATCAGGCCGGCGTCACCCCCGCCGTCCTCGAGCGCAAGTACCCCGGAGAGGGCACCCACGAGTCGCCCTTTGTCGTTGATTTCCTCCCCGAAGATGCCCACAACCCCCAAGCCTTCCCCATGTGGAAGAAGTGGACATACACCATCCTCCAGGCCATCGCCACTCTCGCCGTTGCCTTTGTGAGTACCGCCTACTCGGGTGGTATTGCTGAGGTCATCCGCACTTTCGGTGTGTCCACCGAGATCGGTATTCTGGGTGTTTCTCTCTTCGTCGTCGGTTTTGCCGTTGGCCCCTTGTTGTGGGCGCCTCTGTCCGAGCTGTACGGCCGTCAGTACCTGTTCATCGGCACTTACATTGCCCTCACTGCCTTCAACGCCGGTGCCGCTGGCGCTCAGAACATTGAGACGCTCATCATCCTCCGCTTCTTCGCTGGTGCCTTTGGCTCCTCGCCCCTGACCAACGCTGGCGGTGTTATTGCCGACATGTTCAGCGCTTCCGAGCGTGGTCTCGCTACTGCCATCTTCGCCGCTGCTCCCTTCCTTGGTCCCTCAATCGGTAAGCAATACTAACCCATTAGACTCTCAAGAAACTTTCTTGTACTAACAAAACTTAGGCCCCATCGTCGGTGGTTTCCTTGGTGTCGCTGAGGGCTGGCGCTGGATCGAGGGCCTCATGGCCATCTTCACCGGTGTTCTCCTCTTCGTCGTCGGTCTTACCGTTCCCGAGACCTATGCTCCCGTCCTTCTCCGCCGCCGCGCCGAGAAGCTCGAGAAGATCACTGGCAAGGTCTACATGTCCAAGTACGAGGCTCACCAGCCCCGCAAGACCATCGGCCAGCAGTTCAAGATCGCCTTGTCTCGCCCCTGGATCCTCCTCTTCAAGGAGCCCATCGTCCTTCTCACTGCCATCTACATGGCCATCGTCTACGGAACCCTGTACATGCTCTTCGCCGCCTTCCCCATCGTCTTCCAGCGCCACCGCGGCTGGTCCCCTGGTGTCGGCGGTCTGGCCTTCCTCGGTGTCGCTGTCGGCATGATCGCTGCTGTCATCTACACCGGCTTTGACAGTCGTCGCTACACCAAGGTTGCCGCTTCCTACGGTGGTTTCGCCCCGCCCGAGGCCCGTCTCCCCCCCTCCATGGTCGGCGCCTGTCTGCTGCCCATCGGTCTCTTCTGGTTCGCCTGGACCAATGGACCCGAGATCCACTGGGTCGTCTCCATCATCGCCTCTGGCTTCTTCGCTGCGGGCTTGGTCCTCGTCTTCCTGAGTCTTCTCAACTACCTCATCGACTCGTACGTCATCTTTGCTGCATCCGTCCTGGCCGCAAACTCTGTCATGCGATCTCTCTTCGGTGCCGCCTTCCCTCTTTTCACCACTCAGATGTACGAGAACCTCGGTATCCACTGGGCCTCGTCCATTCCCGCCTTCCTCTCCCTCGCTTGCCTTCCCTTCCCCTTCCTCTTCTACAAGTACGGCTCCGTCATCCGCGCCAGATGCGCCTATGCCTCCGAGGCTGCTGCCGTTATGGAGCGCATGCGCAAGTCCACCGAGCAGGTCACCGAGGACGATGCGATGGCCGAGGAGGAGAAGAAGGAGCACGAGCGTTCCAACACTGCCGGCTCCGGCGGTGTTCTCTCCGACGACGAGCGCACTGTCCAGGGCGAGACCCGCGCCGAGGACGACGAGGCCGCCCGCAAGACGCAGGCTTAAATGATCCTCAAAAAAGAAACACGTCATTTTTTCTATAATTACGGTTACCAAAAAAGTGTATAGATTGGCGGGATAGATGATGATACCCGGGGTGGCACATGTGCCCGTCATTTGCGAGGAGTTATTTGGCACTGTTTTTTTCTGGTTTACGGAGCATTCATCACGGCGGCTATAGGAGGCCACATGCAACTCAACATATACCATATAGACACCTCGTATATATATAATCATAGTAATAGAGTCTTGGACTACTCAACTTTTTGTTTATCATTCTTTTCTTGTTCCCCATGTGATAGAAAACCCAACAATCCAACCCACTCACAGCTCATCTCTCTCCCTCCCCGCAATTTTAATCTTGAGCCCCGGGATGTTCTTGATTCTCACATTATGCGACGTGACTACTCTCACGTTGCCGCCGCCTTCATCTTCCCCGGGCGCCTCCTGTCCAGGCGGCGCCCACGGCTTCACTCGCCCTTGCCACACATCCAGTCCCCAACCCTGCAGCTCGCGGGGCGTGAACCCTCTGCCCTTGGGGTACGGGTATATCCTCCCGTTGGAGAGCTGGTGGGCCGCGCCTGCTGGGTATCCGTCTTCTGCGGGGCTGAGCCCGAGTTTCCCGGGCAGGGAAGGGAAGTAGGCCGGGTCGACCGTTGCGGCGGTCAGGGAGGAGTAGTGGCTCTTTGCGAAGGCGTGGAGCTGCGCGCGGATGTCGGCGCGGGAGGTGGGCGTCGGGGAGAAAATGTAGATCATTGGCCAGCCGCGCTTCTGTCTGTTAGTATGTGCTCACGTACACACAGTAAAAAGAAAGAGACATAGAGAGAGATAGAGATAGATTGCTTACGTTCAGGAGACGTTGGTGATTTGCGGGCGTGAGTTCCGCGATGACGGGACGAGAAGCTTCGATGAGCCAGGTTTCTAGCCCGTCTGGTTCTGTGAAGGAGCGTGCGTGTGTGCTGTCATCGTCTTGTTTGTGACACACCACTTTTGGTTCTTGTTCCGCGGTTTCGATAACGCCGAATGTAAATTCGGCCCAGTACTTTTTTGAAAGAGCCTCGAATGCCTTTCTAACGACCGTCTCGGAGGGTTCTAGGTTAGCGATGCAGACGAAGTCATCTGCGTTTTTGAAAGCCTCGAATTCCTCTGCCGTGAGCTTTTTTGGTTTCTGAGACGACTGCTTGGCTCTGTTGATGAACTTTACGATCCTGGTCATGTTAGTATGTTGGCAAACGAGGAGGATAGGGACGTACTCGTCGCTGGTGCGCGGGCCGGGGTAATCCACCATCTGCTCCTTGCCGCGAAAGAGCCTGATGACGGGGTATGCTTCAGGCGCGAGGTCAGGGCATCGCTGGTCTTGAGGGCAGTCGTCGATTATTTCCATACGGAAATCGGACTTGGAGCGCGCCGTGTCCCATTCCACCGCCAGTGAGCGGGACTTTTGGTCCGATGGCTGCAGGTTGAGGTTTGAATCAGCCACGTGTGTGCCGCGGCTCAGTCGAGCAACTTACAGTTATGTCTGGACGAAGAGTTAGTGTTGTCGTCATCAAATTTTGAATCAACTCACATGCGACCAGCTTCATCTCATGACCGTCAACACCGTCTGTCTCGGTGCTTAGCCTGGCCTGTTGCTGCTCTTGACCATGGGTCCCAGAAACCAACAGCGCCAAAATCCCAAACCGCAATGTCCGCATCGTAAGCATAGCAACGCAATTTCCGTTTTGTATGAAGACAAGAAAACCAGGATGAAGGTCCATTTATCGAGATGACGGTGGGATGTCGTTGCGGATCCCTGTCGCTGCTCAGACAGGGGCAACCTCCTGGACCAGGGGCCATGATCCAAGGTTACATCCTATGGCACGCTAATGGCCAAGCTCGGTATTCAGTCTTTCTATTCCAGAGACGGAGCAAAAAATGGTTGACATTTGTTATCGTCCTCCAGGTTCTCACTCACACCATATTCATCGTTAGAAGCCTCAATAGTGAAGTGCTTGCTTGAAATTGTAATCGATGCGAAGCAGCTTATATAGTGATGACACGATAAGCTCAAACCTACATATTTGGCTGAGAAATATAGTTGATGGATCTATGCGGAAAAATCGCGATTATTTCTATTATCTCCTTCCCCAGCCATCACTCATTTTATTGAGATGCTCGTCTTGCTGGGCGCTATCAGCCCCATCAACGGATTTACCAACGAGTATTGCCTGCGCAGGAATCCCATTTACTGTAGTTGCCTTCGTTGAGGCCTATTTTACATATCTCAATCAAATCCTCCCCATTCCTCTTCGTCTTCGCTGCCACTCTCACCGCTCCCCGAACTCTCACTCTCATCCTCACCCGAATCATCTTCTTCCTCTTCCTCTTCCGCAGCCGAACCGCCCTCGGCATTACCAAAAGAAACAGGCTCTCCCGTGCTCTTCAACACCGGCATCCCCGTCACATCCCTAATAATCTTCCCCTCCTCATCACGAACATACGGCCCATCTTCGTCAGCCGCCTCGTCCTTGTCCCCGTCCCTCACAAACGCAGCGACAAAGAATCCCATCACGCCGCGCCCGTCGCCCTTGTACGTACGAATACACGCTTCCGCCACCGTTTTGTCGCCGCCGCACGCCTCGGGCAGCCCACGAACAGGCCAGTCCCTCATGCCGGAGACCTGCTTCTCCCTGACGAGAACCCTCCACCCGCGCTCCTTGCCGACCTTGGACTCGAGCGCCTTCATCACGACGCCCTCGTTTTCTTCCGCGTGGATCGAGCAGGTCGAGTACGTGATCTTCCTGGCGGCGGAAAACTTCATCGCGTGCTGCAACAGCGTGAGCTGGAACGACGCCAGCGAGTTGAGCCGCTTCTGGAGTTCCTGCTCGGACTGAATCTCGACCGCGTTCCCGTCGTCGTCGACCATCATCTGCTTCGAATCGTCCTTGTCGTCCCTTTTCCGCTTTCGGTTATCCGTCTTCGCTGCCGGCTTCGCGCCTTTCCCCTTTGCCGCCCCCTTGCCGCCGCTGGAGCCAGAGACCTCGGGCAAGTGCAATTCCGGCAAGGAGTCGCGCCCCACGATTCCGCTTCCCGAACAGCTCGGATCGAGCAGCAGCGCTCCGACATCCTTGTATGCCTCCCCCTTCGGATCGACCTCCAGAAAGTCCTGACCGAGCCCGATCTTGGTCGTCCCCCTGCTGCCCGCAATCTTGACCATCTTCTCCAGCGTCAACGCTCTCTTGGGGTCCCTCTCGAACGCGAAAATGGTCTGCTTCCGCGCGCCCTGTTCCGGCTCATGCTGCTTCAGGACTGCCGCCAAGTGCGTCGTCTTGTTTCCCGGTGCCGCGCAGGAGTCGATGACGTCGCCATCCTCGGAGCGCGGATCGAGAAGGTAGGCAGGGAAACACGAGGCCTTGTCTTGGATGATGATCTCGCCGTCGAGGTACGCCTGGGTCTTGGTGACGTCTGTTCCGGGAGAAAGAGCCAGGAGATGCGGGATGTGCGCGTCGATGAACAACGTCTTCGCCGCCGAGTTCGTCACCGCCTCGATGGAGTACACCCTCTCGAACCCCTTGAACGTCGTCTCGAGCTGCGTCTCAAGGTCGCTCTTGAGAAAGTTGACACGAACCCACCGCGGATGCCTGCCTTCCGGGTCCGCGTTGGCGTTGACGTCGGCCCTGAGGGCCTCTAGCGAGGGCATCTTCCGCCTCAGTCGCGCGCGTGTGAGCTCCGACGTGAGACGCGCCTTGTGCCGCTCAATAGTCTGTCTCAAACCATGAGACTGCGGCAGCGCGATGCCGCCTTTTGACAGCAGAAAGTCATGGGCCAAAAGTAGAGCCAAGATTGGCGTGAGCTGCGAAGGGTGATTAGTAAGTGAAGGCTGTGTAGGGGGTGGCCTCGCATTTAGCCTGGCTCGCGATTCGACTCTAACTCACCTTGCGCTCGTGACGCAGCAAATCCGTCGCCTCGACGACTTCCTTCAGCACGCCGCTCCACTTGCACGTCTCGAAAGCCAGGGCGTATACCTGAGCGGGCGGCGATTTGAGACCCTTTTTGCGAAACACGCGGCTCTTGAGGCTGCCGCCATGGTCCGGGCTGGCCGAGAGAATCTCGGCCGTCTCATGGTACAGCGACATGCTTTTTTTGCCGCTTTCCTAGCGCTTAATCTCAAGCCTGGGGAAAATCTATTGGGTGAAGACGCGGCGAACCAATACTACCGATCCCCGCGCGCGCACGACGGGTTGCATTCAAGGTCTCGGTGAGCGTTGTGGAGATTGTTTGGTTCGTCCGGCGGTCGTTGAAGAGAATTCGCGGTTCGGAGAATTTTTACGGGGGGGGGGGGGGGGGGGGGGAAGGGGCCCGGGCGGGTGGAGTCGACGGGGGAGGGATTGGGCGGTGATGTTTCTAGTCCCGGCGCTTATCACTCGACCTTTGGGGGGGGAGGGGGGTTTATTTTGGTCGGCATTCCCTGACTAGATATGGAATTCTTCTGTTCTGTCCTATTTGGAAATTCTAATTTTACTTCGTCCCCTGTACGAGGTCATTCAAACATGTGGAGTGTTGGCTTGAAGTGCACAAAGGAAATGAGGTGAAATTCTTCATAACCTTATTTCGACCACTGTAGTGGATCGCTCATGCGCCCACATCACGAGTGTTGATGAGGAAGACTGAACCCAAGGATTCACAGCAAAAGATGCCAATTGATGAAGATTGTGTCTGGTTGAATTTTCTATCTGATCCACCAAGACTACGATGGGGGTGATTCCCAATCCATGTATCTTCAGAAACCCTTCCCAAAGGTGAACCCTACGTCGAGAGTTTGAAGAATCGAAAGTATGTGTTCAAGGTACAGACGAAAACCAAATCAGTTGAAGTTTGCCCCCGATGCGGCTAGGCTTCATGCCCAAGCCACGTACCTCCGAGTGAGGTATATGTAAAAAATGTTTCATCAACTTCGTCACAAGCGAACAAAAACCGAAAATCCCTCCAAAAGAGGCTCTTTTCCAAGCCCGACCCGACCGATTTCCATATATCCCGTGTTTGTTTCTAACCCAACCCCTGGTATAAGTTCTGAAACTCCCATTTCCAGCACAGGCCCTAGAATGTCTAACGAAGAGAAGTTTGGTACAGGCGCAAAAAGGTTGAGTGCGCAAAGAAAAACTCCATCCACGTGGTAGACCCTCTACTTCTTGTGGTGGCTGTGACGACGACGCATATGGTCGTGGACGTGACGACGGGCCTTGCGGTAACCATCGTCATGGGCCGGGGTGGCGGCGGCCGAAGCATCATCTGTGGCGGTGACAGTGACCGTCTTCCAGACAGTCTGGGTCTTGCGAAGGCAAGATGTCGTCCTGCCCTTACCGCCTTTGGTCCTGTTCTTGCCCTTGTTGCCGCCCACGGTGTCTGTGGGGTTAGCAGGAGGGGAGGTCTCCTTCGCCACCTCGGTAGGGCCGGCGGGGTTGGCAGCAGGGGATGATTCCTGGGCTTCTTTGGTAGGACCAGCAGGCTGAGAAGAAGCCTTCTCGGGCGCCTGTTGGATAGGAAGCTGTGATGCGGCGGTAGACGAGGCTGTGGGGACGTCCTCCTGCTTGACGACGGCGCTGGAAGCAGCAGCCTTGGCGGAAGTGGGCTGGGCGGCGTCGCTGGAAGGGGGCTTAACAACCGCACCACCACTGCCACCTCCAACAACGCTTCCGAAAGTCCAGCCACCGAGGGGGTTGCTGCCTGGAAGCTGATCCAGGATGCCGTCTGTCTTCTCATCAAGGGGCGAAGGGATGGTGCATTCCTTGTTGGTGTTGAGACCCTTCAGCAGACCAGGGCATTTGTCCATACCAGAAGAACCAGCGTCGCAGTTGTCAATGATTTGCTGGAGAACATCGGTGTCCCAAGCGGCGATGAAATCGGCGTGGGAGCTGTAGCCGGAAACGTCACCGTTGGAGAGGACAAAGGGCTGCTTACCCTGGCCGGGGGTCCAGCGGTCAGCGAACTTGGGGGTGTTCCAGTAAACCTCGAAGAACATGTGAGGGACATGGATGTAGCCAGCAGGGCAGTTCTTCCGGCGCTTGTCCTTGGCATCCTTGTTGGACGGCCAGGTCATGCTGTTCTTGTAGTCATCGAGGGCCTTGTCAGGGTTGTAGCAGGAAGGCATGTGAATGTCTGCACGCAGAGGAGAGGCGTAACCATCACAGTTCTGGTCGGGGAATCCAACGCCAGAGCCCTGGTTGTTGGGGTCAACGATGCCGGCAGTAGATCCATCAGAACCCTTGGGGTAGGAGGCCGGGCTGTAGTTGGACCTAGGGCAAGTCCACTGGACCGGCTGCACGGGGCCATCGGCCGGCTCAAGGTTCTGTTCACCTCCAGTGGAGGGAACAACTCTGCTGGAAGCATTGCCGCTGACAATCTGAAGTCCTTGGGGGAAGGCCTTGATCTCGTCATCGGTACCATCGAAGCTGCGAAGAGGGTCAGTTGAGCTCTGAAAGGTCAAGGATGGTGCTTACAAGTAGTAAATGTTGACATAAAAGATCTCGACGGGCTCAAACTTCTGGGTCTTGGGGTCCTGGAAGTAGAGCCAAGGGAACCAGTAGGCACTGTTGTCGCCATTGATCATAGCATTGGTGCACTTGGACTTGGAGAGGGTTTCGCCATTGGCTGAGAGGCCAAAGTTGCTTCCTCCCATGACACCGTGAACATGCGAGGCGGGCTGTCCAGGAGAGACAATAGGATCGACACGAGTGCGAACAAGCTCCTTTCCATTGAAGCGAAGGACGGCAAAGGTCCTTTCGCTAGACTTGGAGCCGGCAGAGGCGGCGCCAATAAGAGTGGTGAGAGCGGCGGCAGCAGTAGAGAACTTCATGGTTGCGGTTGATAGTACGGTGAGAATGGATCAAAGATGAAGTCAAAGAAGAAGGTTAAAGAAGATGTCGTCGCTGCGACTTTGGGCTTTGAGTAGAGACTGTGGGTGCTGATACCGGAGCACCTTTCAAAAAAAGAATGACTTGTCGCCCAGGCGAGATTGTGACCTGGTCGAGTGACGAAAAGTGTGTCAGACACAGCAGATGAGATAGTGAATGAATCAGACAGATCAAAGACGATGTCTGTATGTTTTGTAATGAGAGGACGTGCTCAGCAAGCTCAGCTTTTTTTGTTTGAAAAGGAATGATGGAAAGAGAGAAGAAATGCCCAGCAAAGATTCGACAAGGGGAAGGTGGAGGAATGGAGAAGTGAGGTCGGGAGTGTAGATCAGGGTGGATGAAGGAAGGAGCGGGAAATATTATAATCGGACGGCATCTGGCAGTTGGCAGGCCACGGGCTAGGTTCCTCGACCTCACCCCCCGGCTCACTTCACATGGGCGGAGGAGGCCCGGGGGATAGGAGGGCGCTAGCCAAAGGCCAGGCGCGCTCAGCCGTGACGCCATGGAATATTCACGGTAGTGCGACCTTGGAAACCAGCGATGGATTCCTACTCGACCGCAGGGTGAAGGCGAGGGCACGGGGACCGAAGTGGTGTGGGCGTGGGTGTAAGTCTACCGGGGCCCGGTGGGAACGTGTCTTGGCGGAAGACCAGCAACTTGGGAAGAACTTTGGGTTAGGCCGGACTGAGTACCGTGTGTGTGGAGAGTTTGTACTAGGAAGATGGGATGAACAACAGGGACGAACCCTCAACATGCTTTCTTGGCCCAGGTATCTGCTCCTCTCGAACGCTATTTTCAAGTACAAGTCGAACCAGCTTACCATTATCCACAGCCGAGAAGCCGTGTCTGCATTAGCGCTCCAGCACTAAGAAGAAGAAGAAAAAAAAAAAAGAACAGGGAAGCAGAGTCTGGACGATCCTGTTTTGGTGGGCAGAAGACCAGACAGAAGAAACGAAACGCAGCCATAGAGGGTTGAGATGTTGAACCCCTGGATGCCAGAACCCCGCTCCTAAGCTGGGCTCTCTGCAAAGGCATCACATTTAGACTGCATATGCTTACAAACAGAAACGCCTAAGCAGTGAAAAGGAGGCGGCAGGAATGCACAAAAAGCGGTTTGGTGTGCTGGAAGAATTGTGAACAAGGCTCCCCATTGGCTGGGCTCACAACGGACTGCCATTTTTGTACAGGTCCCTGGGCGGATGGCCTTTTCCAGTGTTACGCCGGCCCAGCTTTAGCAGCATGACTCGCCCCTGAGTCTGAGTTCTTTTTTTGCTAGCCCTGTGCCGCGCCAAGTGGCGACCAGTCAAGTTCAGCCAAGTTGGATCAGCACCTTGCTCAGTGACCATCAGCCAAGCGGCTGCAAGCTCACAGTTTGGCAGCAGACGCCCGTTAGTGGCGTCGAGGGTTTAGATTGAAGAGGAGAAGTCCCATCCGTTTGGAAACACTAGCAAAAAAATCTGGCCCAGGACTACAGCAACGGATGCAATTTGATCCATGAGGCTGGCTGATTGTCCATGACGACCAAACCCGGCGGCATTTTCAGGGGTAAAAAAAACCGGATGAGCATCAACGATGACGTTCTGGTAGGTTGTCATGGTGTCTCCTCTCATCTGCCATGTCTTCGCCGTTGCGGAAAGGCTGCCGAGACTGATGATGTGGACATTACAGACGTGTGGTCGCTGAGAATGACGAGGGCCATGCCACTGTGTACAAGGTGATTCGTATCGGATGGCTGGCAGTAAAAATAGGGTGGCCGAAGGACGGTTGCCGATATCTTCAGCCAACTGAGACGGAACAAGTTGAAGACGCAGCTCAACGTCAAAAGAGGCAGTGACAGCACACTGAGAATGTAAGGAGGGGAGCAAGCAAGCGCAGATCACGGTAAGCGAACAAACGGGAAGGAGAGGAGGATTGGGCGCCCCCGCTAACCTTATCTGGTCAAGTGGTTCCTGGGCGAGCGGGTCCACTTGCGCAGGGGTTTCCCCATGCAAGATTGCAGGGTTTTTTTTCTCGGGAGGGGAGAAGCAACGGTCGGGAACATAGAGAGAAAGTGGAAAGAACAATCGAGGCAGCAGCCAAAGGCACCTGCTGATAGCTGATAACACTGTCTCTCTCACCTCGGTCACCTGCAAGACAACTGCCTTTTTCAGGGTCATTCTTTCTCGGTACGCCCACTCAGCTAGCCAGGCCCAAACAATCCCTTTCTTGCCTCTGTGAGGAATTTTCCTGTCTCTCTTCATCTTGGCCTGAGAAAAGTTTTTTCCTAGCTGCATAACTTGTCACGCTTGGTGTACTTTGATGCCACACCACCACAGCTGCTTCTGCTCCAGTCTCCGCTTCTGGGCCTCTGGAACTTCCATTTCGGTCTCACAACGCTTGGTCGGGATGTCGCTTCCAAAAGCACAGACGGCCAGGCAGTAACACTCATTTTTACCAGTGGATGGCGACGAAGAAGGTCGCTTTGCCATACCACTCTCATTGGCTCCTTACGAGACTCAATCACCCTAAAGGAGCACCGGTGATTCTGCTACAGTGGATTTCAACACCAGTCCAGACCGGGCTTCTGATCTGTTCTCGCTGCTAAGGATTTGTCTTGAACCCTGCCATGTCAGATTGCACAGGCCCTGCTCAACTGTCCAATCGTCCAAGGATCTGGAGGAGTCGTATGGGTCAGCCGCCAGTGGGGTTTCAGAACGTCTTATCCTGGCGCTCATCCCATGTCTTCCCACGTTGCAAACAAACACTCCAGAAGATCAACGAATCACAAGTCTCCAAGCTGGCCTGTCGGTCAAGTCCAGCACCGGAGGTCAACTTATGTTTCCGAATGCGACTTCGAACCATGCCCCCTGACATTTGCCTCGAGGCTCTTCTCTCGTTCAGTGCCTTATCAATTTACACGCCAATTCGGCGTGACGGGTAAATTGACAGAATTTGAAACGCGCCACACATCATACATATCTCGTAGAGGCGTGGCGGCGACGGCAGCCTGCCCGGTGATCACCATTCTGCCATCTGATAAATGGCTTGCTTACCTCTTCCCAGTCTGGACCTCGTTAAGCCAAAGCCAACGACACACTAACGTCATCCCTATCGGCTGCCAGCCACGGCCGGCGTAGGCCTCGACTTCTGGAAAATTGAGAGGTTTTTGGTGGCTACAGAAGCACCATGCCCGGACACCCTTCGGCCGTCTTCGTTTGCTTCCTTCGATGGCGTGGTTTTCAGGCGTAACCTGGCCAAACAGTGTTACCCAGGCTTCGAGAAAAATGTCGTGGAAGCTCTCTAGACGTGCTGCTTCGGCATCCCGAAGCCATTGTGGCAACGGGTTGATAGTATGGCCAGTGGACGAGTACCGCAAAGAAACACTTGGTTGATTTGATTAGTCATAATGTCGCATACCGGTGGCCTCCCAGCATTTCTCTCCCCTTCACTGGCACGCTGGCTCCCTTTGTTCTGATCCGTCATGTTTTACAATGGCTCATTTCAACGCTCGTTAATCTTCGCTGTTCCAATTCCAGGGAAGATTCCTTTTTCTCCTTTTGTCTTTCAGGGCCCAGATCGGAGTGGTTCTCAGATCTCTGCCGCAACTTACTGTCACAAAACAATCCCAATTTACCGCTGTCGCTGTCGTCTACACCATCACGCTTCCAGCAGTATCGCTCTTTTTGTTTAAACCAAGACTCATGAAGCCTGGCCTGCTTGCATGCGGCCAAGGTCAACGCGGAACAGACGACAACTGAATCCAATGAATCTCATTCAAAACCCTCACATGGAAGCACAAACTGCTAACTAGGCTAAAGCGGCCCTGGCTGTCGTGATCCTTCTCTCCTTGAGGGGGTGTACCCCTGATCCGCCCTCTAGACGGAAAACCGGCTGGCGCGCGCTTCAGAAACGCCCAGTGCGTAGCGGTCCGTTCAATCTAACAATTGACGAATGCCAGACGACATTGAGAACACTGGTGCCAATGGTAAAACACATTGTTCTGGCGAGGCCGAATTAGTGAATTATTTCAACTAAACATTCATCGCTGGCAATTCTGCCTTTAACCCCCCAAGTTGGTGGTTAACCGTCATCCTTGCTTACCTCACCGTGCGTTGCGTTTTCGGCGAGCGGCAGTTGTGTGTAATTTTCCGAACTTTCTTATTTCTGTCAGAGATTACGACAACCCCTCTGATGAGCTGGCAGCAGATTGTTCTCATTTTCAATGCTGTGCGCCTTTCCCCTCCCCGAAAGTCAGATCGACAGCGGCGTGCACGATACCGAGCCCAGTCAAGCCAAAGACGCCATCCAATCTCAAGCCATGTGTCGCTTCCATGGCTCAGATTCTTTGGTCTGAGCAAATCAACCAAGCACGTTAACAAGGTCTCTTAGTCTATGGTATGACGAAGCGCGGCGGGTGCTTATCGCGGGACCGGCGCATCTTCCGTGCTGCTTCTCATCAGTGGTTAATGACCCCCATCCCATCCCATCAACTTCACAATCTTAACCGCTGCCTCAGCTGTCTAGTGCGGGCAGTCTCACTTCTGGTGTTTCCTCCCATCAGACGAGTCAATGTCCCTGCATAAGCGTCTCTCCGCTAACTCTTCACCAGTGCTGTCCTTTCTCTCCTGATTGCCCTTACATTATTGAGACGAGACAACACGGTAAATGCAAACCTGTTTGTGCGCTTGCCGTGTATCCGGTAGGTTCAGGTCTTGGAGCTAGGGCTGACAGCCCCGTGCGGGTGCTAATTTGATGACGGCAGCATACGTCTCGTCCCAGGCCCGCCGGGCAGCCGTGTTCACACAAGTGTCTAAGCCAACGAAAGAAGCAGTAGTAGTCTCATGTTACTTTCCACGGGAGCGTACACTGCTCCATCAATATTTCTTGATGGCTTATGTTCTCCCCCATGTCTTGGATCCGAAGGCCAATAGCTTGTCGGAAAAGGTAAATATAAACCTCTGACGTGTAACACTCAATATCGGTACTGAGAGACCAAACCAGCCAAGGGGCCATCTCATTTGAGAAAAACCACCAGTGATTAATCTCAAAGGTAGCCGCAAGGTATGCGACGTGTAGCAACGGTGACCAGTAGAAGCAGTTGCCTCGGGACATTTGGAGTTGTTCAGTTTGCCCCCCTTCTGTAAAAGCCCTGGTTCCCCAATGCCCTTGAGTCGCCAAACGGCTTTTGTGAATAAACCATCGAATTTCCGTGGCCTGTGAGAAATTTGAAGGAAGCCGGTTTTCGAATACGTATTGGCTTATAAGTAAGCCGCAGGCCGTAAGAGTGACGACGAAAGACCCGCGCAGCTTGACCAAGCGCCCCCGATGATTCCATCGGAATCTATCCACAGCCACTCGCAGCATTCACAAGCACAAATCATTGTCACGCTTTGGCAGAGGTTCACATCTTGGCTTCGTAAAAAGACAATGATATTCATAGCGGATGGTATTATCAATGTTGATTTTATCTGCTTTTGTGACCCTAAACGTGGGCTCCCATGCTTTAGTGATCATAGACACAACCCGGAAAACAATACTTCAAATAAAACAAATGTCGTTTACTGCGTATCATGCTCCTGCGGCCAGCAGGCAGCCACCTCAATCTCGCCATTCTTGCCCTGCTCGAAGCTGAGAGCCACGGTGCCGCCGAACTGAAGAGGACTGCCCTCCCAAATAACAATGTCTTTGGTTCTTTCAAGACCGAGGATATCCTCGACGTTGCTCGAGACGAGACGGACCGTCTCCTTGTCGCCGAGGTTGGCGTATTTGGCCGCCCAGGCGGCTTCGAGAGCGAGGTCGTGGATGCGGTAGTCGACGGGCATTACTGTTGAGCGTCAGCGCTGCGTGCTTTATATAATAGTCAAATTCAGAACACAAAAGAAAAGCAGCGTACTTTCAGATACGACGGCGATGGCAAAGTAGACGCCGGCTTCGCTTAGGAGACGGGCGACGCTGGGCGTCAGCGGCGGGCCCACGACGGCGTCTCGGTGTCGGAACTCGGCGGGTGCTGGGCGGGTTTCGGTCAGGATGAGGGGGATCTGGGATTTGGCGAGCTCCAGTGCAACCTGTACCAAGGTTAGTTGGGTTAGCTTTGAGGTCTTTTATGTTCCAGTCTTCTTACCAATGGCGCCTCCGAACCGCCCTGGATGACGATGTTCACGTCGGGGAAGTCCTTCTTGATGCTGATGACTTGCTGAATGTCCCACTGCTTTACGTTAGCTTTATATTGTTGGCAGATGTGTCAGGGGGCGGATTACGTGGTTGTTCGCCTTGATGATGAGCGGCAGCTTGCCCCGCGCAACTTCTCCAAAAGTTGTCTCGTTGTGCTTGCCCTTGCCATCCGCAAGGATCTTCCGCAGTTTCTTGACGGCATTGCTGATGGTTCCAACGCTTGCCTTTGCGCCGTCATCGAGGGTAACGTGAAGCGCGACTTCGGGCTTGAAAATGCCGCCGTCGAGAAGGGTGCGGTCGCGACGGGTGAGGATACCGACGCTAACGCCGTTGACAAAGCCGGCCTCGCTAACGGGTGGTGAGATGGCGCGGGTGATGCCGCCGAGACGGGCACGCGCGAATGCCTTACCCTCGAGCTGGACGCCGTACTTGGCGAAGTCAAGGTTCTCAGGATCGTTGCCATCGCGCTTGAAGTCGCCGTAACCGTCTCCTGAGTTAGGCTCCGTAGCAACCTCGACCATGCCGAGGGCGGTTGTGAGGGCGGTCAGGCCCGGTAGTACGTGGCCATTGGAAAGATCGAGCGTCGTGACGTCGCCCTCCGCAGAGGCTTGGGTAACCGCAGAGGCGCAGTTCTTGGAGGTGTTCAAGCAGGTGATGCCCCCCTTGTTGATCACGAGGGTCAGGTTCTCACCAGCGACGTCTCGGAAGGTTGAGGGCACCTGAGGATGGTTCTCGAGGAAGGTTGTGGTGATACCGTTGATGACAAAGGTGGCTTTCTTCTTGGTCTTGGCGCAGAACGCCTCCTTCTTCTCGGGCTCAAGCTCCGTTCTTGTTTTGGGAGTCACTGGTAGGGTATCCTTGGCCGCAGCCTCAGTGAAGGTCGTGCCCATACTCTCCTGGACAATTTGATTCTTCAGTTGAGGTTTGCCGTCGATGTAGACCTGGAGGGGCGTTGCGCCGAGGGACAAGGGGTGGGCGTCCCAGACGACCAAATCAGCGTCATAGCCCGGGCGCGCGTAGCCTACGCGGTAGTCCAAGTCGATAGCCTTTGCCGGGATAGAGGTGACGGATTGCAGGGCCTTCTCCTCTGGTAAATGGAAAGAGTGACCGACGCCCGCCTGGTACATGATGTATTTGGCGTTGGTCTCGGGCGCAGTGTGGTCTGACTTGTAGGCGACGGACACGCCGTGCTCGTTCAGGATCTTGCCAGCCGACAGGTTCGGGGAGTACGCTTCCCACTTGTACAAGCTGAACTCGGCAAAGGTAGCGATTGTGACATTTCTGCAACATGTTAGAACACTATACTCGGAGAGTCTCATGTCTTGTCGAACTCACTCTCCATAGGTCTTGAGCATCTCAGGAACCTGCCAGGCCTCAATGGCATGGTGGAAGGCCCGGATCCTGACGCCAAATTCACCAGTGACGCGCAGCATGGTTTCCATGTCCTCGGGAAGATAGCAATGGTTCTGCATAGCCACTCGGCCGCGTAGCATACCGGCTGTGGACTCGAGCTTCAGCTCGCTGGGGAAGTTGCCCAGCTGCTCGATAAAGCGGCGCTTCTCGTCGGCCGAAGCAGTCGACACAACCGCAGCAGCCTCGCAGTATTCGTCCTGCTTCTGCAACAGTTCTTTGGCCTTGGCGAATTGCTCGCGGAGAATCCAAGCATCAGCCATACGCGTGTGATCGTACACCCGCTTCGGGTTCTCACCGCAGGCCAGCTTCATGTACCTGTGCCGTTCCTCGATAGGGATGCCGTGTTCAAGCAGAAGCTCCTCAACGATGTACTCGCCCAGTTCTCCAGAGTTAAGAACGTTCTTGATCACGGTTCCCTCTCCACCCATGACGTTGGCCGAGCCTGGCAGGATAAGCGACGAGGTGATACCGCCAGACATGATGATACGAGTGCCCTCATCATAGGCCTTCATGGAGTCGATGGCACGCAAGAAGGGAGTAAGGGGCCCGTACGCCTTGTTCACTTCGTTCGTGTCATCATTGGCAGACAGGGCTGGCCAGAGGCTAATAGAGTGGTGCGAGTGCATATCGACCAAGCCTGGCGTCACGAAGCGACCGTGCAGGTCGTGCTCATCAGCTCCCTCTGAGCTGATTGCCTTGGAAGCAGTGGTCGCAACGTCGACGAAAAGACCCTTCTCAAACCTGATATCCATTGGCTCAGAAGCAATCTTCTCGCCATCAAAGAAGGTCGCGTTGCGAAGCACAACAGGCTTCTCTTGCCCACGGACGGGGTTCCATCGCGGGTTCGATTTGCGGGACTTGGGCTCGGGGCTCTGAGGGAATGTCTTGAGGGATGCGCAATGCTGGAGTGACTCCTCGAAACGGGTCAGACGAGCAGATGAAGACGCATTCTGGGCGACGTGGTCGAGCTTAGTCTCGCGCGCGAGAAGAAGACAAAGCCAGGTGATTGCGCCGGCAAGGAAGGTGGCGAGGAGCCCACGGACGGAAACGAGGCGTCGGACAAGAGGGCGACGGGCCCGGACGCGGGGGTAGGCGGCAGCTTCGTACGGAGGTGGGGTCTGGAGGGAGTAGAGTTCGGCCTCTTTCGAGGATCTATCTAGCTGTTGAGCCGGAGAAGGCATCGTGCAACGATGCTCAGAGTCTCAAGCTCTCTACAGCAGTTTGAAGATTAAAGAAAAGTTACGGTAGTTGTAGGTAGTGGAAGAGGGGAATCACATCATTTTAATCAATTGAAACATCCAGAATTGCGACAGAGCAAAATACGCGTCGTAGGATTAGCAAAAGGTCCCCGAGACCCGAAGCAGACCAGGGTAGCTCTTCTCAATCAGGCCGACACGAGTCCGAACCACGATTTCTTCGCAACCATGACCCAAGACTTGGACAGGTTGGGAAGGTCAATTGGGATGGCACTGGAGCTACGTGAAAGCTTGGGGTCTAGAGCGGGGAACAGCACAAGTAGCACTGACGATAAAGGTTAAGCAATGTTAGTGTTACTTATGAACCGTTTCTATTAATCGCTATCAGTTCATGGCCAATGCCCCCACAAGATACCCCAGGCCCCACTAGAGCTTTTATCATCAAGGAGTTTCGCGGCAGGGAGCGCCAGGGGACTCTCGTGTCTCGGGGGTATGCATCGTGCAAGGTAGAGACAACATCGTAAGCGCCTGAAGGGCCTCATGAGCGTTATCGGCATGTCGACATACAGCTTCGTCATCGCCTACGTAGATTGGTGAAAAAAGATTGACCTTGCCCGTTTACTTAAATAAATGCACGGGGCAACTTTTCAAGCTCGAAAGTTTGATCATGATGGGCGGGAATCATATTATGTATACCAAGAGCGAGTCAGACCATCATCTCGAATTGATTCAAAAAGTAACCACTGCCGCACCCACAAGGATTTCTCATTTCAGCCATTTCAGCTTTCATTTTGCATCTTCAGCAGGCCAACCACTAAATATCGACCTTTGGATGAGTGACCAGCCCACAATAAGAACAGACGGAAACCCTGGACTCGCCACCACAAATGAGCTTATACTCCTGTAACTCTACCACACGAGTTGCCCGCTGTGCCGCTGTCGTCGTCGTCTCGTCTTCCCCTGGCTGGCTTTGGCCGCCTCCGTCCAGTGGGCCCCTCCCCCAAAACGGTATCTGCCACAGTGGGCCCGTTTTGGCTCTGTTTGGGATTGTTTGACCCTTGGGGAATCCTAGCTCTCTAGCTAAGCTCCAACTGTTCTCTCTGCTGGATATCGTATTCTTCAAGTCTCCAAATTCCTTATTTCTTCATCATTACACCTTTGTCGCACCCAACTTGAATTGTTTCCTCGGTCGATATCCAATCATTCATTTGCTTGTTTAGTCCACCAGAGACAATCTCTGGATTTTACGTTCATTCGCTGGTTTCGATCCCTTCGTCTTATCTCTAATATCACAAGTCTTGGCCTTCGGCGTGCCTAGTCTCGAGCCTCCCCGCACCATCTCACCCAAATCACCAACGACACCGCAGATTAAAAAAAAATAAAAAATAAAAAAAAACCACAGTTCACGATGCCGGCCCCAAAGTTGGAAGAAGCGGTCCGACCGCGCCGTCCGCAGTCTATCGCGAGCCTGATTGAAAGAGTGTGCCAGCTCATCCTCGTCTACGTTATCGCCTTCGCTGCCATGTTCTTGCTGGTTACCAAGATTTCGCCCGGCAAGTGGCCTCTGCGAGAGCCATCGATGAGCAAGCCGGCGCTTCAAATATCGTACAAAAGGGAGTTTACCATTGGCATATTTTCCGATTTGCATTTCGGAGAGCAGGAGTTCGGCTGGGGCATCGATCAGGACATCAACTCTACCCGCGTAATGCGAAATGTCATGAAAAGTGAACATCCGGATCTCGTCGTGCTTAACGGAGACCTTATCACTGGAGAGGACACTCACAAGGAGAATTCGACGGCGTACATCGATCAGATTGTGAGGCCCATGATCGAGGCCGGTCAAAAATGGGCGTCAGTTTACGGAAACCACGACTCCAAGCACACCTTGGACCGCGAGCAGCTCTTCCGCGCCGAGAAGGGCTACGATCTCTGCTACACTACGTCAATGGGCGAGAAGCTTCCCGGTATCACTAATTACTATGTGCCCATCTTCAAGGACGACGACCACTCGGACCTCGTTGCTCTTTTGTGGTTCTTTGACAGCCGAGGCGGTACCAGCTACCAGACGGACTCCGACAACATGGACGATATTCCCAATTGGGTTGCACCTGAGACCGCTGAGTGGTTCACAAAGACGTACGAGGAGCTGAAGGAGGAACACGGTCGCGTCATCCCGAGCGTCGCTTTCGTGCATATCCCTCCTCATGTCTTCCTAGAAGCCCAGCAATCCAATCTGGACCCCACAAAGTTTCCGGGACTAAATGCCGATGCTCCGTTGGCCATCCAGGGCCAGGGCGAAGAAGACTCGCCGTTTATCGAAGCGTTGCTGGAGGCCGAGGGACTCCACAGCGTTTACGTCGGCCATGACCACGGCGACTCGTGGTGTTCCACTTGGCCCGGCCACGATGCCGGACTTGGCGCCGAAGCCCCATTCCTCTGCTTCGCGAAGCATACGGGCTACGGCGGCTACGGCATATGGAATCGTGGTGCTCGCATGCTGAAGCTGTCCTTTTCCGAGGGCGATGACCCTAAAATGTCAGTTGACACTTGGGTACGCATGGAGAACGACGACATCATCACCCGCGTATCCCTTAATGAAACATATGGCTTGGATTCGTATCCCTCCAACAACGGGGAATGAGGGGAGCCATATATTCCACAACCGCGCGTCGTGCCGCGGCGGCCAAGGGCTTGTCTGAATAAATTTCGTGACAGCCATGCAAGATGAATTATTGGCGCCTAGCAATTCGACCAAGCCGTACGACTACTTTCTTCTGCCTTTTTTGGTCGCATTGCTTGGTCTCAAGGCAAGACATTCGTGCTACATTTTCCGATCCCTAAGAATGCTGCGCCCCTTCTCCGCCCTTCTAGGCACCCCCCCGGAAATTGCACTGACTTCGCCCTGCGGTCAGCTGTTGTCAGCAGCTCACTTGGCGTCTGCGCTGGCGCCTCATGGCGAAACTAAGGGTCGCCAAACAGCACTAATGACAACAATCAGTGCGGTGCAGCCATATTACCATTCTTTCCTCCCTTCGCTCATCAGTTCCTGGCATCAACTATTCTCTTTTTTTCGCTCGAATCGCTTTGCATGATCATCACGGTCAACCGACATGGACCGGAATCCGACCTCGAGTGAACAGCCGCCGCCGAGGTATTCGGCTTCTAAGCCGGCTGACCTGTCGCGGCAACCGCTGCGGTATTCCCCACGCCCAGTCTATATTCTAGCCATCTACCTCATCCTGTTACTCGTTCCGTGGATATGTGTCGTCGTCGTCAATCAGCGAACTACATCCGACCCTTGGGGTATCCTAATGCAAGATGACATGGACAGGTATCGACGATGGTTGAGAGTGGCATCGTTTCTGAGTGCCGTGACGGCTGTTGCCGCTCTGCCATGTGTTGCGGCGCTCTTGGCTCATGGTGCCGTTGTGTATTCGCAAAGACGATTCCACGAACAGTCACTTAGCCTCCGACAATTGCTGGCTCTCTCTGACGGAAGGTGGACAGCTGCCGTCTCCATCAGAGAGACGTCTTCTTACCTGCTATTAGCCGCTGGGCTGTTACTCCTTGGTGAGTATTGTCTCACCGATAGTCTCATGTCCCACACCTAACCAATCTCAAGCTGGTGTTCAATATCCCCTTCAGTCAGTCCTAATGCCGATGTCCTCTCGTGTGGTGTATCCATGTGAGAGCTCCAGACACTTGACAAAGTGGGATCGTACCTGCGATGGGGCTGGGTACCGGGCAGAGAGGCTAGGGAAGGAGCCGGAGCCGACTTTACTGAGAGAGCCCAACGACGTTCCTCATGTCATCGATGTCGTAAGATCCAGGATGACCAATATCACGTCAGCAGACATCCAAGACAACCTCTGGCGAGGCAACAACACACACCGGAGCTTTTTAGTGGGCGTCGACCAGAAGTACGACGACTCTTTCTGGGTGTCGGCATTGTCTGCAGGCATCACAACAGGGCCCCTAAGACAACACTCCATGAGGCTCAACTCAACTGCTGACTGTCAGGTAACAAATCGAGATGAGTTCCCCTCACACTGCGATGGTTATGCGACTTCCATCGAAGGTTTTGGAGTCATGATCAGAACCTGCCTACCAGACAAATTCAACAATGTCGCCATTGAGCGATCACCACTGCCTGCGCGTCGACGCCAGGATATCGAGGAAGTCCTTTTCATCGATGCACAGATCAGCCCCGAGGCAGCTCAGGCCCCTGATTTTCTTCTGGATGCAGCCGAGAACGTCACCATTCAGTGTGTTTCCAAGACGACTCGCGCATTTTTTGAACTTGGTAACTTCCACAACGAGCTGCATCCCTCTGAGATTGTCGAAGAGTGGCCCTCGGATGATGAAATGAGGGCCCGGTTCCATGACTACGACTGGTCGGGGAATCTCATCACCAGGAAGTATGTTAATTCCTGCGAGCCTATGAGCCTAGCTAATCCTGATGCAGCTGGGAAGAAGGGTGGGATCGTGACCGGTACGCGGGATGGACTTCATTACGAGGCCCATTGAGAACAACCACCGAGGCTCTTTTCGGCGCCGGGTCGTACCCGCAAGCTGTACTTGACTTCTTGAGCCAAACCTTCCCCGACAATCAGATCCCCGACAACACTTCCGACACTGCTATCCATGAGGCGCAACGTCGGGTGTGTGCGCTAAGCTCGCCGCTACATGATTGGCAATTGCCGCACAATTCACACAACGACGAATTTGACTCCTGGTACCCTTCCATCTACAACGGATGCACGCTGAAGAAGCTCCCCAAGTCGCTCTTCAGAATGGCTCAGGGCCTTCGTCACCTGACCGTGGCGCAGAGCACCCTCGGCGTTGGCATGTACCTATCAAACGCGGCTGTATTGCAGGACGCCGCTACGAACGACGCAGCTAGGACAATCTATAATCTGACCGGCACCGACTTTGTTGCGCCACAGCACAGCCTTGGGGCGACCATCACCCTCAGCACTCTCATCAGTATCCAGGTTGTGTGTCTCATACTGCTTGTCGGTTACATTTACAGCGTGCCGACATGGACCAACACATTGGATGCATTTGCCATGATGAGGATCGGGGCACAGTTAAGGAGTACAGTGAACCTGCTGCCTCTGCGTCGCGCCACGCAAGACGATATGGACAGGTTCAGCGAGATGGAAGGTTTGATAGGTGTCGTTCCTGGGCCCGGTACCACGGTAGATGATGACCTCGAACTGGCCACGATAACTTCCACCCGCTCTTTCCGAAACATGCCGTCTTCACATCATTACGAGTTAGTCAGGCCTGCGTCACCTGCAAACTCAATCTTGTCGCTGGACATGCCGGCGGCACCCCCACAGACACGGCAACCTTCACAGGCCACCACCGCCGGAATGACTCCGGACGACTTGAGTTCCTATCTCCAAGGAGGAGGTCTGGCGTCGCCATCGGTATTATCTGTGGCGTCTTCCGTGAGGAGCGCATCTCCTCCGCCGCCTTACCTGCCGGCGAGCTCGTCGACCAGAGAACAACGACCTCGTTTACCGTATGAGCTGGGATTGGGGGCGCCGGGGCTGGTCTCGAAAGCACTATGGAAGAAGCACCAACCGAAGTGATTGATTTTTGTCTTTCGTTAATTGCATAATGCCGTGTAGCCACGAGCTAGCGGATCGGAGTTTTTTTATTTGAATTTGTAGGGATTGCATTGATACCCAAAGAGAACATGGTTAAAAGGGCTTTGACGGTCAATTTGTTTCCTCCAGTGGTTTTTGTTCCCACAAGTGCCTTGATCTTGAGTGTGTGATGGCGATTATGCGGTTTGCCATGCTAATTTTAGGCCTCCGACTTGCGTGACGGAGGTCGGGACCCCTCTTGCCTTTAACTCTGCCTCGATCAAACCCTCCATGGTCTCCAACCTCTCTGATGCCCACCACGACCCCTCGGTCCCCAGGAGCAGCCGCGACGTCCGATAAAAATGATACAGCACGAGAAAGGCTCTGGAGTCGCCGCTGGTGATCAAATCCAGGAAAATGCCGAAGCAGAAAAGAGGAAACGAGAAGATGTAGCGCTCGAGGTCAGACCTCTGCGGCGGCGAATTGTTTGAGTCTTTATGCTTCAGGAGCGCAAGGATGACGGATAGACGTGTGACGATCCCGCGGTAGGCGTCGCGCTCCAGGTCGATTCTGTCCGGTGAACCGCTCTGGTTCGTAGTATTTGGGTCGGAAGCAGCCGAGGTGCTAGGGAGTATATGATAGTCTCTCGCCGCTATCTCGTCGTACAGCTGCATGAATTCCTCGATTATGCTGTCGCAGTCCATTCCCTGAGTCTCAACAATGGTATCGAGCGCACTACATTGGGAGATTGAGGACATGTTGGCAAAGATGCTCTCCGAGCCGTGCGCCCTCGTACCTGATAAGAACACCCTTACGCCGGAACTGAGGAGGAAGAGTTGGTCACCTTTGAGGTCTAGCCTTGAGTCGCCAACTGGTGCCCGCTGGTCCTCTAGAAACTCCAGATTGCACCATGTGAGATAGTGTATGAGCATGGCCGTGAAGAACAATGTGTTGTGTTTCTCGCCGCCGTCTTCGCGGTCCAGGGCAGCACTGAAGACAGCACAGCTCCTTGAAAGGAGCACCATTGCCGCTTGTGCATAGGCCGGCTCTTTAGGTCGTAGAATACTGAGATGACGCGCTGAAATGGCTAGCATAGCGGTCATGAGGTATTCCTCCTACATTTTGTGAGAATTCAAATATCTATGTACTTTTTTTTTACAGGTTCGTACCTTGAATGCAAGACATATAGCTGGGCCCCATACTTCATCGAAGCAGAGCGTGGGAACCGTTGTGTGCTGGAAGTGGTGAAAAAGCTCCATGTGAAGGAGGTTCACGGGGCCTGTAAGATCCAACGGCCGTTCATGGACAGGCGAAGTCTCTTTTTCGGAAGATGAAGGCTTTTGGGATGGCTGACAAGTCTCGTTCCGCCTGAGGCAGTTCGCACAGGGGAGTCTTTCATCGCACTTCTCGAGTTGGCCCATGCAAATGTATTGAGGGGCAACGAGGTTTTCTCACCTTTACTTTCCTCTTCTTACATGCTACGCATCCGCCTCTGCTCTTCTTGTGGGTCTTCTTCTTTTTTGGTTCTGAATGTGCCGAATCGACAAATCTAAGAGCAAGGCTGGGATTTTTCCCGGGAGAAGTAGGGGAGCAGGACTCCGGCATTGTCAAGTGTGGCAAGACGTAAGCACAAGGTGGGTGTCAGCAAGACCGAAAGTTCTACTGATACATGGACGAAGTCTTACGAGTGGGTTGAGATCATCCAGGTTAGAAAGTTCGCAGTGGTAATGCGTCTTTTGGATCTTCTTAACGGATGGTTGATTTCCCCTTGGGAATGGTGACATCCAGCATTGTCTTTGGAGGTCTTTCAAATGTAGGATACGGGTCAAAAGCTCTGTTAGCGAAGTCCGTTTCCCGATGAGGAGTGCGAGAGCGGGGCTCGATTCCATAAGAGGCATAGCGTGACAACAGGGACTTGGGGCGGAGGATGAGGTATAAGTCAACATTTGGCGCCAGGGGGCAACTGAACTTGGGAGAGTTGAATGTGCTGCTATTTGTTTTCTAGTTTATAGAGCACTTAGAACACTAGAAAGTTAGGTAAACCGCGGTGTTGCTTGAGTAGTGCTATGGTACTATGACGTCACTCCTACGGTTGTTTCCTGCCGTAATAGGAAAGTCGGCATTAAGTGTACGTATTATGGCAGAGGTACTCTACCTTTTTCTTGTGTCAGCTTAGAATTGCTCCAGATCTAAGGACAATAGTTTATCTTCACAGCAAAAACACTTTTCCATGTCTTCTGAGAAGAGAACTCAATTAAGGCAAAAAACATTTGAACGGTGCCAGTACGGGATATTGTTGATGCAGGTCTTATGGAGGTTTGTGGCATTGTCAACGGGGGTGTTGTATAGATAGAAGGGATACCGGTAACCAACAGGTAACCCTGTATTCTCAAGAATGATGGCGGATGTAGAGAAGAGGCTTTCTTGGTCCATCGTGCACAATTAGACAGTCTATGGTTCCACCACTTTGTCAAGGGTTCCATTAATTGTGTGTATATGGCTCGTTGATTCCTGTCTATTGACATCATGGCGGACATAACATACCCTTAAATACGGCTTTGAAATACCGTAGTATGTATTTATGTGGCTGCTTGTGTACAACAGCCACTCTTTTCGCGGTGTAATAGCAAATAGCAACATTAATTTCCATGTCCAATTGACTATTAAGTTAGTTCAATCCACGTAATTTAATCGTTTTCTAGTTAATCCACCAATGACATATAGAATATAGGAGGCAATTCCAATGTTCTGGCTTTCTTTGAGTGTAGTTGGAGTCTTGCTTGAGCTAACTTCACAACTTGGTCTATGATCTGCCAAGGTAGGCTACAGTTCCAGTACATACAAGTCCTTACAACCAATTGTCCTAAAACAAGCAGAATCTGGGTATTCTTACATACACCATGACTTCTAAAACTCAATTCTAGTCCCCTATGGAGGGCACTTCTTGAACAGGCCAATGGTCAGTGCAAGAGCCCGGGCAGTTTAGCTGCTGGGAAGCAACTGTTCCTTGTTTCTAGTCAGAAGACAACATCTGTAAAGTAGCATATGTCTGATGATAGCAACAGACTGATCCATCCAGTAGCATATACAGTCACCACATAGTATGCTCACGAAAGGCTACCGGGGACGCTACCCGGGGGGTTCGCAAAAGCACTCCCGGTGTACATGACGCCACCGTTGTGATTTGGGGTCCCGCTGGCAGTTGATACCCACGATAATGGACAACTCTAAACCGAGTCTCAACATGGTAAGCAGGGCAACATTGGTACCGGAGATAGGTAACCCAATTATCGTATTTGTCCTCTCCCGGCCAGTCTTCCCGGGTCGAACACTCGTCTCCATTAGCTTCTTTCTGTCAGCATATGCCGCAGTCGTTTCTTGCCAGCGAGAATCCAAACACATCATCACTGTCTGTTGTTCTCTTTCTACCCTGAGCCTCGCATCGTTACAGTTTGAAAAGAAAGAAAAGTAAAAATACATCATGGACGCTGTCCACGCACTATTCACCCTCCAGGGTTACAGCCATACCGAGTATCACTATCGAGTCGACTCAAACAAACAAAGTCTGCCAGTCGCTTCATCAAGTGCGGTGGGATCAAACACCTATACGCAGTCCACCATGGGCGAAAGCCATCTCATGGCGGTACCACGGCTGAAGGCTGCTGCCGGTAGCCTCTTCAACACATCAGTTGACGTCTCAGCCCCCTTCCGATTCCAAGGCGACCTCCTCATCTTCCCCAGGAATGAAGCATGGAAGCTCCCATGGATCGTCTCATGCGAACCTCCAAGCAAACACAACCTCAACTTCTTCACGGACGCCTCTTACCCAAGCGACAACTCATGGGGACAAGGCCAAGCCAAGAACATTTCAACACCAGAAAACCCGGCCGGCGTTGCCGTCGTATGGAAGCCCTGGCCCGGCCTGGAATACAACCACTGGCATCAGCGGACTTATCAGATCCTCAATTGCCCAGGCTTCAGGTCCGCGGAGCTCAACGCAGTCGTCCTTGGTCTCGAAACGGCCACCATACTCTCACGCCTTCTTCCCGAGCTGAAGAACGTGACCCTATTCACAGACTGCAAATATGCAATTCGAAAACTCATGGAGGCAGAGCACAGCTGCAACGAACCCCTCATCAAACGCGCCGTCGCCGCATCCGCTGAACTGGATGCACGAGGCGTCCGTGTCCAGGTGCGTTGGTGCCCTGGCCACATCGGCATATGCGGCAACGAGAAAGCCGACGCGCTGGCAAACAGCGTTCGCAAATGCCAGCCCCCAAAGACGGTGCCAAAAGAGATGCCGGAAAGGATGAAAGAGTACGAGATTCCCGAGCATTGCCTGTGGCTTCGCCGAGGATATCTCGAAGACATGGCAGCGATCAACTTGAGAAAGCAAGCGACGATTACTCCACCACCACCTGTCTTAAGCAAGCCTTGCACAATCAGCAACGCAGCGCAAGAGGTCTTATTCCCTGCTCAAACAAACAACGTAATCACAAACTGGGCTGCTTATTTCTACTACAATTGTGCCGAAGAATCAAACAAGTGGACGCGTAACTCGATTGCCCCAGTTAAGCTGAGCATACCGATTACGGCTTGAAGGAGGATTGGTTAAATGAATGAGTTCATGGGTATCAAGAGGAGTCTGAAGGGCTACAGAGAAGGATTATTATATGGGAAGACGATGGGGGTGAAAGCTCTGATGGAGAAGAGCGGGCGCAGGACCAGCACAGTCATACATTTGGATCAACACCGGAGTTATTGGAGTTACGGGTACACACTCTAGAGGCATTGCAGGACAATGCCGGAGCAAACAATACAAGCTTTTTTTCTTTTTCTCTTTGGACACCAAAATCATGAACCTCCTTTCTCTTCAGTGCCAGCGTCTTGCCCGTGATTAACATTGACGAGGCGCTCTGTTGCCGTGAGAGTCTTGTGGAACCTCCACGGCTTGATCCCACGCTCGAACAGTTCATCCAACTCGGCGGCAGAGCGTCTGTTGCGATAACGTTAGTTTCAAACTGTAATCGGTCACTGTCGATAAAACATACCCTTTGGTCTCGGGAATCAAGAACCACATGGCCACCACGAAGGGTAGGCCGACCCCAGTGTAGAACCAGGCCGTCTTGAGCTCCCAGTTCCAGCGGTTCCCATCAACCATGTACGGAGTCAACACATTCATGACGACACCGGCAACGCAAGTTGAGGCGGCGCCGAAACCAGCCGTGTAAGGCCGCAGTCTCTGGGATGAAATCTCACCAATGAAGCCCCATCCAGTGGCCCCGTTGGCGGTCATGCCGATATCTGTTTTGCAAAATGTCAGCATCCAAAAAAGACTGGTATAAGTTAAAAAGTTATTAGGAGCCCTACTCCATAGACAAGCAAAGAAGACGAGCAGGACAAATGTCGGTCCTCTTCTCGGCACAACACCGAGTATTCCAATGGCTAGACAAGCAACCCACGACAGCGTGGAGCCGCTGCACGAAATCCACCGACGACCAACCTTGTCCGCAAGCAAGATGAACGTCAGGCCTGACGCAATATTGATCCCGGAGGTAATGCAGGTGGCCTGGAAAGGGTCTTGAATGCCAGCTTGCTTGAAGAAGTAGCTCGCAAACGTCGAAAACAGCGTCAAGCCCACGAATTGCTGCGTCATGAGCGTCCACAACGCCGTGACGGTCCGCTTGCCGTCGACACCCTTGAATATGGCATACCACTTGACGTTCGACTGCGACTGCGCGACCTCCATTTCATGGTCGACGGCGATGACAAGCAGCTGGAGCTGCTGTTCCACATCGTAGCCCTCAACGCCCCTGTACAGCCAGCGAAGATTCTTCCTGGCCAAGTCAAGCTTTCCCCGCGTGACGCACCATGCTGGCGACTCCGGTATGAATACATAAATGATGATCATCAAACCAATCTGGCTCCATTGCGTGTAAATCGGCGTCTTCCAGTCCTCTTTGGCATACTGAGACATGACCTGCAACGCAACGGGCGCGAAGAACTGCCCGAGTGCAAACCAGAAGCTGTACGCCAGCAGGAGACCACCTCTGATTCTCGTAGGCGCTACTTCGGCGATGTACGTCGGAACGGTGGACTGGAGACAGCCAACGCCGATACCTGCGAGCAGCTTGGCGACCAGCCAAACGGGCCATGTCCGGGCGACAGACTCGCAGAGGATACTCATGGACAGGACGAACCAGAACCAGTACATGGCGCCCTTGCGTCCGAAGCGGTCCGACAGAAAGGGGATGGTGGTCATGCCGATGATCTGTCCAACGGACATGATGGAGCTCCAGGCGCTGAGGATGGGAGCAGCGAGGTTGGGTTCGCCGCGGGAGGTCGTTTCTGTGGCGAACTGATTGATGAAGCCCGGGTTGGCAATTATATTGCCGTTGATACTTGGTGTGTTGGTGTTAGTTCACTTGTAAACGGTCTAATTGCTTCTGCTCTTGTAGTCTTCTTTTCAAATTTTGTACTGGCCGACCCCCCATCTCTTATGAAGCAAGCGATATCACATTGAAGCACTCACCCAATTTGGTAGCCATCAGTCGCCGCGCTAAAGGCAACGATAAAGCAGGTGGCAGAACAGACTTTGAAGGCCTTGACCGTCTGCCACAACGTCAAGGTTTCATAGCCCGATACACCTTGACCTTTGGCAGCGGCATCGAGGGTCACGTCTTTGGGGTTTGCATCTTGGTTCTCAAGCTCGACGTCGTCGGCATGCTCGAGGGCAATTTCCGGGTTTCCGTCTTTCGTCTTGTTCATTTTCGACTTCTCATTAACCTCGCTTACTCAGGTCAGTTTCAAAAGGCCTACGACATTCGAAGTAATATATACTAGGCAATGTAGAACTGTGACGGAGACGGTAAAGCGGTTAAACTACAAGTCAGCAGCTTGCATGGGAAATCCAAGGCCATTACTTCTTCCAAGGCTGCGCCAAGCACTTTTCCATCCGAATCCTGTCCTGTCAAAAGGCAATGATGCCCCGAGAGCAAGGGAGGAAGGCCCAGCAATTTTGGAGAGATACCTGGGGAAGCGAAGTCATATCAGAGTTCAACAGGTTGAAGACGCCCGTTCGGTTTGTATTACCCCGGATCTGCCCCCGGACTCGCCTGCCAGACTGTGACCGGGACTGTGATCGGTAGTTCGAGCCAAGCTGGAAATGAGGGGAAGTGCGCATCAATAACATCACTACCCCAACCCGGAAGTTAAAAGCATTGGACAAACCCACCCCGCCTGCATCGCTAGAAGGGAAGATCCTACGCCCAAGGTTTGGCCATATTGTTCGCCAACCTGGCTTGGCATAATCAGTTGATTTGGAAGGTCCAACACAGGTTCCGTTGGGGACAAGGGTGGCCGTGGGCCCGACCTCGGTAGACGGGAAAGGTGCTGAAGCAAGAAACACCCTTCATTTCCAATGGATTCGACAATGACTTAAAATAATTCAAGTAGACGTGGTTACTTCGTTTGTTATTCTATGAAGGGGAGGCGTGGCCGGCATAGGACTGTTTACTCATGATGTTTGATTTACAGCAATGCCAACGCATTCGGAGTTTACAGTCGGCAATTTGGCCAAATGTGATATATCAAGGCGAAGACTAATTGAGGAGACAAACTTGATCAGATAGCAATGTTATGGTAAAAATCTTGAGTTACACAAGAGTCGATGGAACTCTTATACGACACTGGTTCCAATGAGCTCATCTCATGGTAGGGGACAGCTGATCAGGAAACATGTCTTCTTCATAATGCACATGCTTCATCTTTAACAAGTTAGAGATTTACTCGGAAAAACAATATACTGAACTTTGAACGATTTTCCATTTGTCTCGCAACCACACCTAGACCCGCAGCCTATATCTATCTTCTCTTGACGCCGCATCCTCCACTCTCGCGCGTCTTCATCGTAACTAATCCCGCTTACAGCTGCGGAGTCAACAACAAGCCTCTTACACTATACGGGGGCCAAATGACAGCTCCTTGCAGCAACATAACCTCAACGGTTAGATTAACCCCGGTGACGCAATCAACATAAGATTTATACAAGGTAGCATCCCCGCGTCGTCTTCAATCATTGGATGTTCTTCAACCATTTACTCTTACAAGTACTTCTTGGGCATGGCGTTCTTCTTCCTCTTGTACACCACGTAGCCAATGGCCAGAACGATTTGTGAGCCGACAATCACAAGGATAAGCTTGCCGTGGCCGGGAGCGGCGTTGACAATGTTGGACGACAGAGTGGCGTGATGGTCACTCATGTAACCCTTGAGAGAGTGCTCCGTGTTCTTCATCTGCAGGTTAAGGTCGGTGCGCATGGCGCGGATCTCGCGCTCGAGACCGTTGATGCGGCCCTCAAGATCGTTGATCTTCTCAAGGCGGCGCAGCTCCTGGCGGAGCGAGTCAAGAATCTTTGAAGTCTCAGCGTGGCGGTTCTCGGCGTGCTGGCCGTACTGGTTGACGGAGCTGTAGATGGTGCCGATTTGATGGTTAATTGACTGCAGGCGGTTATGCAAGTCGGCGAACTGCGCCTTAGACGACGTGATGGTGTCGGCGTTGGTGTCGGGCAGGATCTCGAGCTTGGCGGGGTCAACGGGGCCGCGCGGGTTCTTGACACTGGGCTGGCCCTGGTTGGACTTCTGCTCATGGGCTTGGTGCTGCTGCTCTTGCTGATGTTGCTGGCTCTTGCTGTGGTCTTGGTGCGCGTTGTCAGTTTGCAGCGACTCGGCCATCACAACCATCTTGAAGATCTCAAAGGAATCGGGGTTGTCGGCGCTGGCGGCGGTGATACCAAAGCTGTAGCCGGTAGGGATCTTGACCTTGTCGGTCTCGAAGCAAAGGCGGCCGTCGATCTCGACCTTGAAAACACTAGAAGTCTGGCGCAGCTTGATCTGGCTGGGACGACCAAGGTTGCGGTACTGGTACTGGCAGTGACCAAAGGCAAGACTGCTGATATCGCTCCGTGCCTTGTAGTCGGTCGAGCGGTCGTTCAGAAAGCCGCGCACCATGCCGCCGGTGCCGCCATGACCGTCAATGACAAGGACAAGACCGTCGAAGCGTCCGACAGTGTAGGCCGAGCTCATGCCGACGTCGTTGGCGCCGCCGTGGGTTAGCCAAATGTTGAGGTTTCCGCCGGCGCGCTCGGGGCCGTTGGCTCGGAAGTCGATATCGGCGATCCAGTTGTTGTGCGTCACCTGTTGAGTGCTCCAGATGGAGCCGCGCTGGTTCCCAGGTGCAACGGGGGTAAGAATGATCTTGTTGGAGAGGATTTCGGGCTGGTTCGGCTGTCCCTGGAGGACAAAGTTGGGAACGTGGCCATCGTTGTTGGGTGATATGCTGTGCGAGGGCACAAGTTAGCTGCGACGTCCATGTGGCGCGGCCGAAGATGTGCGGCAAGGGAGCTTCTCACCTGCCCGAGTAACCGAAACTGAGCTCATTGATGAGGTACTGAGCTTGTGTCAAGCTCGCACCGAGCAGGAAGGCGAGCGTCGAGCTCAGGGGAGCTTGCGACACACGCATCGTGACTGAGATCGAGGTAGCCCGTGGGAGCTATCTGTTGGATATGGGGTAGACAGGGAGGATGGAGAACGGGTATCAAGTTTACTGTAAAGAATCCGGCCGTATACCCCAAGGGTCGATCAATTGCTAGAAAAAAAGAAAAAAACAGAAGCAAGCTTCTGCAACGAGGGGCAGAATAGAAAAAAAAATAAATCAATTGCAAAGACGCAGGATTCAAAAATGCGTGAGAGATGGTCCAAAACCCGCCAAGTCAAGAAACTCCAAGCAGGGGTTGTTGGTGGTGGTGCGGTGTCTGTGGGTTGAGGACAGGTTGGCACAAAAAGGGTCAAAGGCTGTTGCTGTGAAGCTCCTTGCTGCATAGATGGGCCACACTGCCCCTTCTGGAAGGATTTGTCGGCGTTGGTTTCCGAAGACAATTTGAGGCAAGGTTCATGTAAAATGGACAGCACAGAGAAAATGCAAGAGCTCTCGCTGTCTCCGACCGCACCAGGCCAGTTAAGAAATCTTTAGTCAATCTTCAGGAGGCTGTGGGGTCTCGTGATGATGGACTCCCAGCGCGTTGAAGCTTGGATTCTGTTTCGCTGTCTTAGACGGAGACCTCACGAAATAAAAGGGACCCTGGTCCACTTCAGCAATGAGTGGCATGGCCCCCAGCTGGTATGGAAATCCGGAGACACACCGCCCGCAGTGGTTGGTGCTGTTTGGTCGGTCACTTACCGTCCCTTGAGAGGAACGCGGTTTCATAATTAAGGTACACATTAACAAGAGAGACGTGGCGGGAGCTCCTAGTATGTGTGTGGCTTGAGTTGTAGAACAACAGGCGCCACACCAAGCCACAACCAGACCTTTGGAGGGGTCTAGCCCATAAACGTACCCTACCACGCCTACACTACTTAGCGAAAAAAAAAATAACGTACCTCTAAACTGGTTATCGGCTGTCGGCCTGGGTTTCACCGCGATTCTGCACGGACCCTACGTCAAATCCCTGTCGCTTCTCCAAAACTATAGTTGCAGCTTTGAGAGCAGGACCCCTGACCAAGGTGAAGGTGGCCTGTGACTTTTCCTCTCGTCCACCAAGCAGCTTCGATTTCCGTCACCACACAAAGGCTGAGGCTATCACGGCACCGCCCAGTTCAATGCGGATACTTTACTGAGAAGATCTGGAACGTGCCAAAATGGCCGAATCATACCCAACCCTCTCCCAATGCGCGCTCGTCGCCGGCGCATTGAAGGTTCTCCTCTTCCCAGCCTAGTAAGTGGACCGCTGATAGACATACCTCCGTCAAGGCCGCCACGGCTAACCTGTCACAAAGCAAATCCACCGATTTCGAAGTCCACCGAAACTGGCTTGCCATCACAAACAGCCTGCCGTTGTCTCAATGGTATTACGAGAAGACGTCAGAATGGACCCTTGACTACCCTCCTTTCTTTGCCTACTTTGAGTGGGCCATGTCGCAGGTCGCAAAGCTGGTTGACCCCTTCATGCTCAAGGTCTATAACTTGGAATACGATAGCTGGCAAACGGTGTATTTCCAGAGATGGACGGTTATCATCTCTGAGCTGGTACTGGTCTACGCACTGCAGCGGTGAGTGCAGTTGAGCGCTTTCGAGATGAGCGGGGAAGCTTATAAAGTACCAGATTCATCGACACCGCGACAGGCACCACAAGGCGCGCTGCTCAGACCGCTGCCATCTCAATCCTGCTCTCGCCCGGCCTTTTGATCATTGATCATATCCATTTCCAGTACAATGGAGCCATGTACGGTGTGCTCATTCTGTCGCTTGTTCTCGCCAGGTCGAAGTCGGGCTTGCTGAGCAGCGGATTGGTATTTGCGGCATTGCTGTGCATGAAGCACATTTACTTGTACCTCGCCCCGGCTTACTTTGTCTTCCTTCTACGCGCATATTGCCTGTCGCCCAAGTCCATCTTCAGAATCCAATTCTTGAACTGCATCAAGCTCGGTGGAGGCATTGCTGCCATATTCGGCGCCGCGTTTGGGCCTTTCGCTGCCCTGAACCAGATTCCCCAGATGGTCAGCCGTCTGTTCCCGTTCTCCCGCGGTCTTTGCCACGCATATTGGGCACCCAACGTTTGGGCGTTGTACTCCTTTGCGGACCGCGTCCTCATCTACGGTGAGTTCTTAGGTTTAGATGCCCTGGATACTTGAGTTGAACTAACATGTTGCCAGTCGCGCCAAGGCTTAATCTCCCCGTCAAGGCTGAGGCCATCAACAGCGTTACCAGGGGTCTGGTAGGGGATACAGCCTTCGCAGTCCTGCCGGAAATCAGCCCGCGGACTTGCTTCGCCTTGACGCTCTTCTTCCAGGTCTTACCGCTGATTAAGCTGTTTTTCCAAGCACCGCCGACCTGGGATACCTTCATTGGAGCGGTGACCCTATGCGGATATGCGTCTTTCCTGTTTGGTTGGCATGTGCATGAAAAGGCCATCCTGCTTGTCATTATTCCGTTCAGCCTCATCGCGCTCAAGGATCGGCGTTACCTCAGCGCTTTCCGGCCGCTGGCTGTTGCTGGGCATGTTTCTCTTTTCCCTCTCCTTTTCACACCGGCGGAATTCCCGATCAAGACGGTCTACACCATCTTCTGGCTGATCCTATTCCTCTTGACATTTGATCGGTTGGCTCCAGCCTCCAGAAAGGCAAGGTTCTTCCTGCTCGACCGATTCAGTACACTGTACATTGCAGTCAGCATTCCGCTGATTCTGTATTGCTCCCTTCTTCACCAGATTGTGTTTGGGAAGCGGTACGAATTCCTGCCATTGATGTTCACCAGCGCCTACTGCGCAGTGGGAGTTGTTGGTTCCTGGTTGGGATTCAATGTAGTCTACTTCACGTCATAGAATGAAGATAAAATATGCCCGGGTGGACAGTAATTATATCCAGCATTAGATAAATTCAAGAATAATTGAGACAAAGTCCGTGTTCTGGTGCGAAACTTCTGCGTGCCAGTGAAGACGGCCACTTGCCGGAAGTCTAAAGGAGACGCTTCGTCCCGTGGGGGCCTAGCAGACGGGAACCAATCAAATTGCAAGGATGCACGTGTCTGGAGGCTGACAGCAGCACCTAACTCCACTAGCAGCCATGTCCCAGGTAAGAAACAACATTTTGGAGCTAACGGCAGAGCAGGGGGACCGGGGGTCGTGGGCCCCTTGGACACAACCCATTGTCTGCCATCAGCAAACGGAAGAACAGAACAAACACATGTCGAACAGATATCAGGTGATTCAGTATCAAAATATGCCTCATTGACTACTATAGAATGCACTCGCGAGGAAATGACTTACACGGAGCTCGGGGGCCTCGGAGCGGCCTGTCGGAGGGCCCCGGTATTGATATCGCGACTTTTCTCACGTTTCTTTTGTCGGAGGCATCCAAAAAAGTGCAGAATTAAAAATTACATGGCATATATACCATAATTACATTTTGAAGCGATTTTTAGACTATTGTGGTGGTGAAACTATGCTACTCCGGTCGTGGTCCCGAGGAGGTGAATGACGAAAAAGAGCCTACCCGTTCAGGCCAGACGGTGCAACAGACGTATTCGGGGATTAATCAACCAAATCGACGTCTTTCTGGTTGCTTGAGTGCTCATTCGATTGCCCTGGCAGCGGCGAGCTCAACGAGTACAAATTCGTGGGTATCCGACGCGGTTGCGGTTTTCCCGAGGTGGACGGAGTCGTGGCGGGTGGAGGAGGGTAAGGAGGCCTGGTGCGCAGCGCTGGGAGATGGGATGCGGAGGCACCGTGGGCCGAACGGGCCAAGCGGGCGTGGGCCAGGACCGCTTTTACTGGCGCTCTTCGTCTTTTTCCCTTTCTCTTCCCTCCCCAAGCTCACCACTTCCTTTCCCACCTTTTGTTTTTTTCCCTCGAAGTTTTACCCCCGACTTGCAGCTTTCGCGCTTCCTCCATCCGCCTGCGACCACAACCACGACCGTCACAATCGCCATTTACCTCTCCATCAAGGATCCCGACACGTCTTCTGTGAGCCGCACCGCGTCCGCGATCTCGCGTGTAAGTGCACCGGTGAACCCGTCCTTCCCTGCCCGACACCACCACCGCGCCTCCGCTGCTCCCGACCGCGACCACAACAACCCGCCACGACCAGCATAACACGCTCGTATCGACCGGCAAATGTTTCCCGCGAGTTTCTAGTGCTATCATCCCGGTTGAAGAGAAGGAAGGCTGGATTTCAGCCTTATTGCGCAATCGGACCTCGACTTTTGGACCATGCCATTGTAGCCCACCACCACCATGGTACGGGCCCTTTACGCGTCGTGTGCGATCGCCCACCGCTGACTTGCTGTCCAGGTTCTTTTTAAGCGCAAACCGGTGCAGTTCTTGCCGCCCAAGGACATCAAGGACGAAAATGCAGAGGTTCGGGAACTGCGTTTCACGGAATGTGCGACGAGTACTGATTTACGCCCCCAGGTCTGGCATATTCCACAGACCGGCGAGGTCTTTGCCCACTATGAGGATTATCTGAACAGGTGAGTTAACCTTTTTTTCGCGTCTTTGGAGGTGTTCTGAGCTAACACGGTGAAGAATGGATTTCTACAAACAGGTGCGTTTCTAGTACAGGTGGGGCTATGGGCCAAGACTTGCTGACACTGCGCAGCGGCGATTCATTTGCCAGATCACCGGACATTCGGGTCTAACATTCTTCGAGGCCCTCAAGAGCGAGGTCGGTCTATCCTAGTACTTCCCAACCTCAGATAACTGACACTGCAGCAGCTTGCCGGTGCCGAGGAGGTCGAGCAGGCCTTCCCCGAGGCCCTCAAGGGCCCGGTCCTGCGGCGCGTCCAGTTTCAAACGGTCTCGCGAATCGATACGCTCGTCGATATGGTTTACGAAGAGTTCAGAGCCGACTATTATCCTGGCGAAGCTGTCACAGTTAGCACAACCGACGGAGAGAGGCTGCAGGGTGTTGTTAGAGAGAAGACCCGGTTCGGCGGCAAGGTCCTACCTGATGGCACCCTTACTCCCCCCTACACGCGGTATACGGTTAGCCTCGAAGAGAGGCCAGGTGCCGAGGCGGTTGTCGACGACGATCACATCTTCCGCGATCGGAAGATTTTCACCAAGTCGGTACTGCGGTCTTTCATTAAGAAGACAGTGACTCGCGAAGCTTGGAACGGCGCGCCGTGGCTCGTCCGGCACGACTATGCGGCGCAATACCACATCGACTCCCGGGTCCCCGCCCACCTTCGCTACGATACCAAGTTGATGGAACGGAAACAACTCCAAGCACAGAAGCGAGCGAACCAACCGCATGGCCAAGAGGCAAATGGGGCGAACGGTGTAAATGGTGCCATGCAAAACGGTCCAGCTAGGTTACCTGAACTGAAACCTGCGCCAAAGAATCAGAAGGGGAAGCTGCAGCACCAATCCCCCGACTTCTCGCAGGATCACAAGGGTTCTCCAGGCATGCTTGCAGGTCCTGATTCGGGCATATTTCAAGCGCCCCCGCATAAGAACCCTTTCCAACTCCCTCTCAACTTCAGGAATCAACAACTGCCGCATTCGATGTCCGCTCCCGAGCTCCCACCCCCTCCGCCACCTCCGAAGTATCCTATCGAGGACTTGCAGGTACCTCTGAGAGAGGGCATCGTCAGACCGCCATTGTCGTTCCTTTGCAAGGATCCCCCAACTGACCCTGATGTGTCTGTAAACGGCGGCAGCACCACCCGCATACAGGAAAAGCTCTCAATGAAGTCCGTCGGCCTCTTCCTGGAGACCTGGGACACGCTCAACGTCTATTGCGAAATCTTCAAGCTCGACTCATTCACCTTTGACGATTTTGTCGAGGCCATGTGCGTTGCTTCCGGAGACATCACGGTTCAGCTGTTTGAAGAGATACATTGCGCAGTCTTGAAACAAATTGTCAGTGCCGAGGCAGACGGTGGCAAGGTCAATGTGCAGTTGCCCGAGTTGGACGACGAAGAGGAGGACTCAGACGAGGAAGAAGAGGAAGAAGCCAAGGAGCCGACGCCCGAGCCCGATCGACCTCCTGCAAGGGCCACGCGAAGCAGTCTTGCAAAGGCCGAAGCCGAGAGACTGGCAGCCGAGGCGAGGGCTGCTGAGAAGGAAAGCCAAAATGTGGAGCCCGAGATTACCCATCGCGCCGAGGACGTCCTTGAAGACTATGACTGGATTGAGGAACTTCGAAAGCGGAATTTCCAGAACGGTGGCTGGGAGAGAATCATGGTTGGCCTACTGCACCAGCTGTCGAAGAACGAGCGGCTCGAGGAACAATGTGAAGAGCTCCTTACGCAGCTCGTTCCTCCGGATGAGGAACCTACGCAAGACACGGTCAGAGAACACTACGCAACCCTGGACGTTAACTACCGGGTACAAGCACTGCAGATTATCTGCCTGCTCACGACGCAGACAAAGGCCATGCGCACGTACATGGAAGAGTGCAGTGAGCAAATGACTGCATTCCGAAAGGAGAAGATTGACTGGCAGCGACAGCGGAAGCAGGCGTAAGTGCCACTCGTTATTGCTTCAACCATGGCATTGCTAACAAAGTTTTAGATTGGAGGAACTTCGCGTTCTGAATGATCAGCGCAAGATTCTGCTTCCCGAAAACATGCCACCGTCGCCGCCTCCTGAGACAAAGCAGGAAGAAGACGTCAAGATGACAGACGTAGACGAGTCAGCGGTAGATGCAGAGGATGAGGTTGCCGATTCGGATGATGAGAACGCGCCGCGCAGGAACATTCGACGCGCCAACGACCGCGCTGCAGAGAGGCAGCGGAAGCGCAAGGAGGAGAAGGAGCGTAAAGAAAAGGCAGCTGAAGCAGCCAAGGTACCCAAGCAGTCGAAGCAGTTCATCAAGCTCCTGAAGGACATCACAAAAAAGGAGGAGTTCATCAAGAAGTGCGAAGAAGAAATCGCCGTCATTGACAACGACCTCCGGGAGGCGGACTGCGGCCGAACAAGGGTTCTTGGCAAGGATCGATTCTGGAACCGGTACTACTGGTTCGAGCGGAATGGAATGCCTTATGGAGGCCTTCCGGACAGCTCGACCGCCGCAGCCGAATATGCCAACGGTTGCATATGGGTCCAAGGCCCCGACGAACTGGAACGCCAGGGCTACATCGACACGGATCCCGAGTTCCAGGCCGAGTACAAGAACAAGTTCGATATGACGGTTCCTGAACGCAAGAAGCTGGAAGAGGGCACGACGAGCATTTACAATGCACGCCAGTGGGGATACTACTGCGAGCCGGAACAAGTTGACGAGCTCCTCAAGTGGCTTGACCCTCGCGGCTATAACGAACTGCGGCTCAGAAAGGAGATTGTGGCCTTCAAAGACAAGATTGTGCTGCATATGGAGAATCGGAAGCAGTACCTGGCCAGCGCAGAACCCGAGGAGAAGGAGGAGAAGAAGGAGAAGAGAAGAGACTCGAAGCGCATGAGCACGCGAGGTCGGCAACAGGAGCCGACGCCCGAGCCGACGAACTATCGCTGCCTTGCCTGGGAGAACACCACGGCGATGGAGGAGCTGGGTCATTTACACTCGGAGCCGCCGCCGCCCCCGAGACCGAGGAAGCAAACGGCAAAGAAGAGACAGGCCGTTGAGCCGTCTCCCGAGCCCGCTCCGGCGCCGAAGACGAGACGCCGCAAGTAGAAACGAGCACAAAACATTTCACAAACCCAACGGTTGTCTGACACGACAGCCTGGCGTTCACTGTAATTACTTAGACATTTAAGCCACCGATTACGACACAGGAACAGGGCGCAACGGGCCGCAGTATGTAACGGTTCCCCCTCGGCTAGAAACGACGGGTTGGAGTTTGTTTTTTGAGCTCAAAAGCTTTGTTTCACGAACTGGCAAGCAGAGAGAAAAATTGGGGGTGTTCCTTGCAATTCGAAAAAGAAGAAGAAGAAAAACCGACGGATTTCCTTCGTAAGGGGGACAAGGTCGAATTTGTTTGTGGCGTGGCTGGCGGGTGACGGAACTCTTAGCATTGGGCCGGCGGTCTGGAAGGCGTGTGGTTTGCATTAGCCAGAGGCTTTGGATTATAGACTCTCCAAAATAGCGGAACTATTTGGTTAACGTGAAGCTGGCCGAAGGTCAGGTGTAATCCTTTGTGATGTTGTCCGTGTGAGTGTGTGTTCCGTTAGATGCGATTCGAGTTGTGTCCGAAGTCGGTTGATTGGAGACTCCTCGCAATGTTATCGTCGCTGTGACCTTGAAGAAGCAATGAGAAAGGAGAATGGTCCTTGTTAGATACATTTTGCGTCTGACCACTGACTAAATCGAGTCGATGGTCTGTCTGCTTAGAATATCTGCTGATCTGGCTGTACCTGCGAGCGTGGGTTGGCCGAAGAGCCGTGTCTTCACTCGCCATCAATCATCTGACCAGATGCAACTACGTACTCCGTTTACGTCTGTCTATTATGGGATTCCAGTTCCAACAGCTTTACATATAGACTGGAAGTACGACCTGTACGTTGTGTAGTTGAATCACGTAGAGCTGCACTCTGAGGATATCTTGCGCCTTTATCAAACTCCACTCGACAACGAGCTCAAACAGTTTCTGGTTCACACAATGCAATGCCCGCCTGGAACGGTGACAGGCGCTTGCGTATCCAGAGAAGGGACCAGGTTGCCGTTGATCAGGGCTGTGGTAAATATTCAACAACAAGCCATGCAATAGAAAGCGAAGCAGGACTCCAGCTCTTCACTCAAGCTTGCCCTCAAAAATATTCACAATATGATCCTGTAGGGACGATGCTGAGGTATACCAGGCTTATACATCAAATGAGAGACTGAAACTAGCGGAAAGAGAGATTATGTCAGGTATAAATAAGCCTACCGGTACAGCACATGCAGTAGTGACCGATACTGCGCGAGGCCCATCACCAGAAACGTAGATATACCAGTGATTCGTAGAAATGGCGGGGGGGAAGCAGACGCCGTATCTGATTATCAATTTGGCGACGGTGATCTGCCGCGCGGGGGAATCGCCCGTAACATCCAAAAATAAAAGCAGTGACCACAAGACTATTGTTGACGCCGGGGCTTTTGCCTCTGTACAAAATTGTCGACTCGACATCACGTACCCAACCAACCAACCAACCAGCAAAACCCCACAAAGTAGGCGTCAGAAAAGAACAAAGTCCAATAAAGAATGCAACACCAGCAAACAACACGCTACCTGCGACTCAAGAAAGCTGTACCAATAAGTTCTAACCAGGTCCCCCACCAGAAAACCCCACAACGCATGCCACACCAGAAGAAGAACAACAACAGCTTCGCCATCCGTCACTCGTAGAAAGTCAAGACAATTTACTCAAGACCCTAAGCCTTGCCGTTGATGACCCGTAACAACTCCTCGCCCTTGGGCGCCCCGGTCGACAGGTTCTCGTACCCGTCGTCAGTAATCAGGATGTCGTCCTCGATACGCACGCCTCCGACGCGGTAGTACTTTTCCAGCACCGCCTTGTCAATGAACCGAGCGTGCTTGGGGTTGCTGAGGAAGTATCCCTCAATGTACTCCCTGCAAAAGTAACTGTTTTTTTCCCACTCGCCATTAGTTCTGAAAATTTCATCATAGCGGAAGTTGGGTAAAAAGGTTGGGAAAAACTCACATGCCCGGCTCGACAGTCACAATCATGTTCTTCCTCAGATACTGCCTTCCCTTGTACGGGGGCGGCGCCGACGCACCCGCGGCCGTGGCGCGCGCCATGGCCCCCATCATCTCGGGTGTGATGACCTCCCTCTTCCCGACGCGGCCGCTGCCCATGACGTTGTTGAGGAGCAACAGCCTCTCCCTGCCCGTCACGTCGTGCACCTCCAGCCCGACGTGGTGCCCCAGGCCATGCGGGAAGAAGGCGGCCACGGTGCCGGCGTCCCAGACCTCGGCGGCGTCCCCCTTGAGAACGCCGAGCTTCAGCAGCCCTTGCTGAGCGACCTTGCTCGCGTGGATGTGCAGGTCGAAGAAGAGCGTTCCGGGGCGGATGAGCCCGATGCACTCATCCTGCATCCTCTCCACAATGGCGTACACCGCTGCGGCCTCCGTCGAGAACCGTCCAGGGATCGGGAGCGTGCGCGTGATGTCGCTGGCGTAGCAGTGGAACTCGCAGCCGGCGTCGAAGACGACGACGTCGCGGCCCTCGAGCGGCTCGTTGTTGGCGTCGTAGTGCAATGTCCCCGCGTTCTTGCCGCTGCCCGCGATGATGGCGTACGACTGGTCGCGGGCGCCGGCCGAGGTGCACCAGGCCTGGAAGATGGCCTCAATCTCGGACTCGTTGTCGAGCTTCAGCAGCCGTTCGGCGACGCGGCGGTGAGCAGCGGCCGAGATGGCGTTCGCCTTGCGGATCATGGCGACTTCGTACTCCGTCTTGACGACTCTTGCCTGGTCGACGGCCGGCTGGAGCGAGGTGAGGTCGACGCGCACGTCCGCCATCTCCCGCAGGAACTCGCCCGAGAGCGGTACCTGGTCGGGGTGGAGGACGTACAGGGTCGAGCCGGGCGTCAGGTTCCGGTACAGGAACTTGTTGAGCTGGGTGTTGTACCGCACATCGTCGACGTCGAACTGCTTCAAACACTCGGTGATGCCCGGGGTGCGGCCGAACCAGAGGACCTGGCGCGGCTCGACGTAGGGAATCCAGAGGATCAGGCGGTCCGAGGCGAGCTCGTAAGTCACTGCGCAGTCGGCGAAGTTGGCACCGCTCAGGTAGTAGAAGCTGTCTCCCGTGTCAATACCATGCTTTGATACTAGTTCTGGGCCAGAGGAGCGGTCACGTACTATCGCCGTTGTCTAAAGGTCGGCCCCATGTCCGAGTCTTCATAGCTCCGGCTCGGCTCGCCGGGGAGGAATACGAGGCCATCGGAGACGTTGAGCTCGGCGGCGACCTTGCGGGCGTGGAGCTTGGCTTTCCGTCCGTCAGCATTTCCGGGATCATCATGAACAAGACATCAGACATTATGGCATTGTTATGTCATGACACAGGGCCTCGAGAGGCTCAAGTAACCACATTCACACAACAACATTCAGCACCAGCACTAAAACAAGAACACGGCATACCGGGATACTTGGCCGGGATCGGCGCGACCGAGTTGACAGACTCAACCGTCGGCGAAGTCTTCACCTCAATAGCCCTTTACAGTAAACACGCCAGATCAGCCAACAACATCCCAGAATCAGTTTGATAAGACAATACGGGAGGAAGAGGGAAGAGGATGAGATGAGCACGTGGAGGGGACGGTTCACGAGATGGAGCAGCAAAACAGGTCTGACGTCGGAAACGCCGCCCCGTCTCGATCGCTTCCATCGCCAAGCCCGAACCGTCGGAATGAAATGGAAGTGAACGCGCAATGCATCTCCACACTTACAGAGCATCAAACTCGTCCACCACGACCACATCGTGATCAACGACACAGTCCATCGTCATGACTGTGACCTTTCGGCTGGGGGTGAGTTTTACTGGGCTGACAGAAAGGAATTCCCCGTCGTCTGCTGCAAGGGTGTGACGGTGATGGTGGTTCGGTAAGGGCGGTCTGACGACGACGGTCTCGTTCGCTCCAAACAGCCTCTCGCGATGGATGGGTCAAGGCGGGTGGGAAAGCGTAAAGTAAAGCCAAAAAAAAAGAGGCCCAGCCCGCTAGGTACAAGGTGGTGCTTGCGATGTCACCTGGCGGCTCTGGGTCAGCCCAATAGCAATGCGGCTTGTGGTTCAATAGGGCGTGGCGTTTACGTGGCGTTGGGGGGGACTTTCCGACTTGGCCAAGACCTTCGCGCAGTTTGTCTTCGGACAACAGCCGCAGGGCAAAACCTGGGGGATTGGTCGGGATGGATGGATCTGGGCTCGTTTGTTCGGTGGAGGGCGAATTGGAGCGGCGCGGTGCGGTAGCAGAGTGACAACGCGTGTGAGGGGCGATGGAGGAGACGAGGGGAGGGGCCTGATGACGCTCAGAGTGCGTCGGTACAGATAGATCTTCCAGCGCGTGCGGTCGCTTGTTCGAAGGTTCCTGTCTGTGTTTCCCGCAACGTATCCTTACGTGCAGCACGCAGGGCAGGTTTCCGTGTCGACTAGGTGGCCGGGGCCCCGTCCTACTGCGTTGGCGCAAGGTTCCGCTCTTCGGTGCCTCCGAGAGCTTACGGGGGACATCGGTTGAAGTCACGGGGATGCGGGTTTACGGAGCTAATAGTCAGTGATTCTGAGTGACTGGACTGGATTGAGGGAAGAAAACGAAAAAAAAGTGGTTCTTGTTGTATGACAAACCGTTATCTCATGATAGGGCGGCCGCGGTTGGGTATGTGCGTTTTTTTTTTTTTTTTTTTTTTGGGAGCATCCACGTATTTGGTAGCGTGCTAAGTACCATGTAGCGTGGTCTTCCCGGGGCGCGAGATTCCCATCGTCCGCTATGGTTACCAGTTTCCAACGCAGGTAAGGTTGGTGCTAAACCCCATCAAAAAGAACATGCAACAGAAGGCACTTGGATTCTTCGACAGCAGAATGGGCCCGGTTTTCGGTGCCGAAACGGCCTCTCTTTCGCCGCCCCGCCAGAAATGGGGATTTTCTGATAAGGATTTCTAAGCCCTGTCGCGCTACTGGTATACCTACCTACCTTGTTAGTTTGGAATCATTGTATATACCATAGTATACGGAGTACACTCCCAGCTACTTACCAGCTTATCCAACGTCGTCTTTGGGGTGAGCTCTCACTGCCTTCCCCCTGTAACGATTGAGGAAAAAAAAGATCCATAGACAGAATAAAACGCCGCGCTCCAATCACCTTTCGCAACGGGTGTCTCGTACAGTATGGCACACACACACGCCCCCCCGTTCCCCACCCTCACGTCCCTGGCCCCGCCAACAGGGGAAAGGCATGTTCTCCACCGCTCGCCAAGAGAGAGATGGCAGTACTGTTCCCCTACGTAGTAGTAGTAAGTATACCTTGTATGCGGCGAAAGGTACGTTCCTGTCACCGTGTCTTTCGGGAACACACTGTAGGCCCCTGTCCTCGTGAAGTCACCGCGGTACGGTGCGAAGTGTTCACTAGTGATCGCTAGTCGACTCGGCCAGGCTACCTTACCCAGGAAGGTGGCAGACATCCAAAAACTAATATTTTGGGTGTGTTATTACTTTGTAGAATGCATACTCTACTACCGCGACCATCACCGCTTCTACTATCCGTACCACAATCACCACTGGCTGCTACCACCACTACTGTTCCCACTGCTACTACTCCGTACAGAGCTGCAAGTCATAACATAGAGAAAAGTCAGTCCATCACCCGTCGATACAGGGCCACTCGTCAATATACTGGCCGACGGGCTCCGCCTCTCGCGCCAGCCCCGTCGTTCGTTCCCTGAATCCCGCATGACTCCTCTCATCCTTCTAAAGCCCGCGTTCCATCCCATCTCGCCCCCAATTTGCATGGAGACCACCTGTGTCTCTCACACGCCCCCCCTACCCTCGCAACCGTCAATCGCGCCATGCCCTACCGATACCAGCTCTATCCACTTCACTTTAGCCCATAGTGTGTGTACACTACCTCGGCCTGCACCTCCCGCTGCCATGCACTGCGCTGCAATGCACTGCGACATGCACTCCATTAGATGTCTGCTGCACCCTCGGGGCCGTTTGTGTTGCAAGTGGGCGACTAGGACCGTGGTCCCTGAGCACTTTTGTTCTGCCTTCATCTAGCACTCTTCACTAGCAACTATACCAAACTCCACCAGCCAGTGTACCTGTCACCCACCTACCCACACACACCTTTCTCCATCTCGGTTGGTTTTGCTCAGGTTGGACAGGTTTTAATTGTGCTGGTAATCATGTTGTTGGTACAAATGTCTATATCCAAATATATGCTAGCTGCAATCTCAACTGCACACAGGCACATATTCGTGAGTGCCTCAGGGCGCAAAGAGAGCAGCAGCAGTAGCAGCAGTAGCAGCAGCCCTACGCCTCCCCAGTCAAAATAGTCGGCCGTAAATCAGCGGCTCATCCAGTGATGTTGTTGATCCCCAGAAGGCCCTGTGTAATCGAGAAACTTTCCGCCTCCTGCCAAACCCTCTATCAAGTGAACCTGAACGCCTGGCAATCGATATTCCCGTCTCTTCATCATCTCAGAAACCCTCAACCCCCCAAAAAATAATCGCACCCTGAGCTTGCAGGGCTCCAAAATAATGATGGGTATCACTTGAAGCGAAGTGTGCCTATAGGCCCTGATATCCGTTCCTGGCGAGCAACCCTGCCGCCCAGTTGTTTTGGTATCCAGACTCTGCGAACATCCTGTCCAGTTCTCCAGGCCTTTGTTGCATTTGCGCTCTCCTAGCCTGCTCCATCCTTGCTGCATCAGACATGCCCGGGTATCCCGAGTGCTGGTACATGCTGGAGAGGTCGAAGCCCGGTTGGTGGTGGTGTTGCTGTTGCGGCGCTTGCTGCTGGCCCTGTCCCTGGTGCAAAAAGTACGCTGGTGACTGGCCGAGCAGCTGGGTGTCGATTTCGTCGAATGCACCAGGCATCATGAAGGACGCATCCTGCGGGCCGCTGACGTTGTTCGGCCCGGGTCCTTTTTGGTATCCCAGCTCCATCATCGGTTGGTTAGGGTAAGCAAACGGGTCCTCCGATGGGAACATCAGCGAGTCGAGCTTGCTGATGTGGTTCATGTTGTTGACATGTGGCGGGGGAAATCCCTGCGGCCGCTGGTTGGAACTCGCCGCTGTGCTCACAGAGTCGGGAGTTGCCCGAGACGGCATCTCCATGGCTAGCAAGTCCTGCATCGCGAGATTGGGGTCCTGGTACGCCGCCTCGGAAATGGGAACGCCATCGTACGAGCCGCGAACCGGCCCTTGCGACATCCGCCCGTTGGCAAGCGATACACTCGGCGACCGGCTCAGTTCTTCGGATCGGCGTTGGCCAACACCCGGGATCAGGCCCGGGTGACCGTGAATGGGCATCGAGCTTGCCTTTGGCCCGGGTGCTGGTCTCTTCTTCGTGGGGATTGGCTGAGCCTTGGCTTGACGAAGCCTCTCGGGTAATTGTTCAAACAAGACCTGCTTACATTAGCTCATGTCGCCAAGACCACATTGGGGTAAAGACTTACATTGAGTGCGTCCGTGACCCTGTCGGCGGCTTGGCTCTTGTTCTGCAGCTTTGCGACCATGTCTCTCCCAGCTATGGCATCCTCTAATACTTCCGCGGAGCCAAGCTTCTCAGGGTTTTCGATGGCGTAGAAGACGAGAGAAAGGATGGCGAAAAATTCGGTGAATAGCATGAACCAGTAAGGCCCGGCAAGCACGTTTTGCTTGCGGATTTCGATGCCAATGTGCACGATGTTGCGCGAGACGCTGATGCCGGCTGCGGCGCAAGCGTACGAAAGCTCGTCGACGTTCTTGTCCAAGCTCAATCGAGGCGAAACGTAATGAAGGAAGGGGCGGTACAGGACAAGTTGAACATGGGCATATGCAAATCTCAACAGATGGCGCACGCTGTTGTCGCGGTTAGCTGCGCTGAACATGCTTCACGCCAGGCCACTTCATCCAAGGACAAACTTACCGAATCACCTCTACTGTGCCATCGGGGCTTGGCCGCCACTGGGAAGGCAACATCTCGTACCACTCTTGCAACTCGGTCTCGATTTGCTTGATGCTAGCGTAACTGATGAGGTACGTCGTGCCTGGTTTGTCTCCCTTCATGACGCTCTGGCCGAGGCCCTTCAAGGGATAAACATGCTTGAGGATCTTGGCCAGAATCTCCATCAACCGGGTGTGGGCATTGAAAGCTTCAAAGAATGAGAACATTCCCGGTGGCGGTGTAAGAATACCCTCGTTTGTGATATATTCGTCGTCGATCTCGGTAGGATACGGCTGGTCAATGTCGTCGGCGTTGAGCAATAATGGAAACCCAAGCATGGCCGAAACGTAGATATCCATCTGTCGAATAACCCAAAACACGCGCTTCCTCACTTCCTGCTCAATGATGGAAATCTGCTCGTGCTTCAAGAACCTATGGAGACCCATGCGCAGAGCTGACCGAAGTGCAATGCCCACAAACGCATAGCATCCGCTTAGGTTCGAGGTTGCTTGCAGGAACAGAATCATAAAGAGCAGTGCTTGTAGCGATGTGAGATCGCGACATTCAGTGATGTCTTGCAGGATGCGCCTGGCGGTATTGTAATACTTCATTCTGTACCCGGTGTCAGTACTAATCCAGTGTGGGCGTTCTTTTCTTTAATGCATATGTAACCTACCCTTCTTGAACTGACTCCTTGTAGGCCACAGGAGGGGCAGTCTCGTCCAAGTTCGCGTACATGCAACCTACTGCCATGACGGCAAACAGCAGGCCAACAAACTTGTGCTCTTCCGTGGTGTAGTCGTCATATGACTTTTCGTAAACGTGATCAAGTAATTCGTAAAACGTGGGAACATGAACCACACGGATCAAACAAGTGGCGCAGTTGAGAGAGTAGTAGCACAGCTTCCTCGCAACTTCTTTGGGAGGGAGCTCAGGGGCGGTATTCATTGTCGAGTCATAGGGGGAGTTGGCAACTGGTGCCGGAGAGTCCAAGTTCATCAAGCCGGCAGGCCGTTCTGAACGTGGGAGGAATGGCACTTTGGTCGGCGGTCCCATCATGCCCCGGAAGTGCTCCTTCATACGCCGCAAGAACACAGCACCAGACGACACTCCGTGGAAGTCCCAACCGCCTTTGTCATCCAAGTCCAGCTGGCCTATGGACTCGATCATTGACAAAAGCTGAGCGTCCTCCTTTTCGGGAGCAGCAAAAGGATCGTGCCTCAGCTTGGCCGCCTGGGTTCGTGCGTGCTCTCGGTTGCGGAACTCTTGCTGGACCGCAGGGTCTAAAGTGGGATCGGCCAAGTCAACCTCTGGCATAAACTTGCGCAGAAGAGTCTCGGCACGCTGCAGGCGACTTTCCAGTGCCTCAATGTACTGGGGAGCAGGGTTTCTCCGCCGGTTAGAAGGTTTATCGTACGTGCATTCTAAGGAAAGCGGTCAGCGCAAACAGAGGGTGAGTGAGGGGATTCATGACAGCTACTAACCATAGCTGTAAACTGAGCAATGGGTGCAGGGCTGCTTGCCATCGCACTTAATCTTTTTACGTCTGCACTCGTCGCAGGCACGGGTCACTCGTCGACGCTTCTGTACCGGGACGTTGGGGGCATCGCCCTGCTGGCTGGGCTTCTCGTCCACGTCGGAGCCAGAATGGCTACCGCTGGGAGAGGGAGGTTCCTTGACGGGCCAGTCGTTGGCGGAAGGCGCCGCAGATTCGTTGTCAGACATGTTGGGAGAGACGCCAGAAGCTTGCGAGTCCGGAGGAGAGTTGTTGTCGGTCTTGACAGGCCGCGGTGGAGGACTCATTGCTGGTCTTAGAAGATGACCAACAACGGGGGCCAAGAAGTCAGGAATTGAAGGTAAGAAATGAGATTGAGATGTTGGTTCTGGATAGTGGTAACAGCTCAGTCGAGCTCACGAAATTTGGTGTAAGTGCAGTTATGGTGGATGAGCTCTTTGCATATTTGTGTGTACAAGGGTCGTTGTCCGACAGGCCGACCCAATTGCTAGGAGCGGCTTTCGGACTGGTCAGTCTTGAACATTTGAAGAAGAACGAAACGTATGCCAAGACTTCGCGGGGGATAGGAGGAAGATAAGTTTAAACAAAACGGGAGACCAGAGAGAGGAGCCGGGGGACCTTTTGCCTCTTTGCTGGCTCGTCTGGGCAGCTGGGGGGGTGAAAGGCCCTTGTTTAAGGCCGAGCAGGGTGCGGGTGCGGTGCGGGTGCAGCGAGGAACTGCCAGATGGGCGTGAGGTGTGTGTAAGTCGCTCGGAAGCTGAGCGCGAGATGGATTACGTAGCGGAAGGTAGCGTCTCGGCCGGGGTTGGTTGAGACAAGAGAGTACATGAGTCGAGGGTATGGTCAATCTGGGCCCGCACGGTGCAGTCACCGCGCTACTGGGACTGACTGTAACACACAGGACACGATCTGGCGGCAGCGGGAATGGGGGGGTGTAGGCCAGGCAGTGGGTAATGGAGGTACAAAACTACGGTACAGTCGCGAGGCACGCTGCAGTACCCTGGGCATCAAGCGGATAAGGGGGGCGTGTATCTTGTTGGGTCACCAGCGGTAGAGTAGCGGATAGGGACAAGAGAGAACGGAGACAATACGAAACCGTCCGCAAAGGGGGATGGGGAGGCTAGGACCAAAGGACGATAGGGACCAGTACGAGGGTGTGGTAGGTTAGTAGAGGTGGAGGGGGGGGGAGGGGAGGAGCAGAAGGAGGAGGGGGCTTCAAGTCGTCTACAGACAGTGTGTCGACGCGAGAGAAAGAGAAATAGAAAGAGAGAGATGGGGTGGGGGTGGGCAGACAATGTACAGAAGCAGGGGAGGCGTAAGGCAGACTAAGCAGGCGAATAAGCCAAGATGAATTAAGGTAAGGCGAGCAGAGCAGCGAGACGACATAATGGCGCTCGTGCTTGAGAACATTGGCGGAAGTGCAAGAGAGACAAGACTTCCTTTTTTTTTTTTTTATGACTAGGTTCCTGTGGTATGAGAGAGAAGGAGGTACAGAGCACAACATAATGACATGTACCGCACCTCCCCTAGCAAGCAACACGACAAGAAAAGGGCCCGCTGAAAGGGGGACCGGGAAGGGGGGCGTATTTACAGGGAAGATGGAGGTAGGGTGTTGGAAGCTCGGTCGAGGCGACCGCGGCGAGAAAATGCGCAATAGTCATTGGTCTGTGGTGGATGGCGGCATTAGAGATGGGCGAAAAGGCTAAGTCCGCGGTATGTGAGTAATTGATGACTAGCTGCGGCGAGGTCTCCGTAACAGTTGGCCAGTGATGCGTCAGTGTTGTATAGCTATGTGAATAATGTGTCTATGTGCACAGGTCGTATGTAGGTGAAGTCAGGGAGTATGCAGTGTATAGAAGAAGTCTGTCTGTAATGCCCGTATGCCATATGTCTCCATGTACCTCTCCGCTGGGAGGAATGGGAGGAACTGGGATCTTGTGTCAATTGACCGGAAAGCCAAGACAAAACAAAACGGACGAAGAAGAAGCTCACAACTGAACGGGTGCTTCTGGGCCTGACACCTGCCGGTGCTGGGGTGGTTCTCTAACTCTGCACAAAGGGGGATCCCGACAGTAGTCACAGCACAGGCATTAAAAGGACGGGGGAAAAAAAAGGACAAAAGAACAGTGCTGGGATAAGCCAGCTTTGGGCTCAGGTCAGGGCGGCAATGGAAAGACTCAACGCCGGCTCGGTGGTCGGTGGTGAAATTGGCTCCGGAGTCGAGGGGGAATGCTTGTTCCCGTGTTAAAAGCGCCCATGCAAAGTGGAGGTCGCCAGAACAATGACGAGATTGGCGTAGTTGGAGCTTCTATCTTGAGAACTCGAGCTAGGCAATCTTGAGTTAAAGTAGGCGCGAAATTGCCGTATAGTGTGGGTACCCAGAAATCTAAAAGAGCGAACAGAAGGATTCCTTTGCGAATGCGCCAGAAAGTGAAAAGAGCGAAGAGAGAAAATAGATGGGTTGGTTGGCCTGTAGAGTTACTCCCTTGAGGTAAAAGCAATCTCGTAGCGATGGATCTACCTAGTCGTAGTCGTCGGACCATGGGCGTGTCAAGGATATGCTTTATGTAGTGGCTACCAGTCTCAGCGCGGATACAATGTACGGCCTCTCGTCCCCTACACTAGCTGGTGAATATGGTTTGATTGCCTCTGGAGAATGTCCGCGTATAGAGACTGCCCACTTTGGAGACCCTTTCCCTCTCACGCGCAAATATTAACCCCTTTGGTATTGGATGAATAATAGCGAGAAAGAGAGAGACTAAAAAAAAGGTGAGCGAGTCGAGCACCCAGAAACCGGCCGGACATCTTTGCGGCTTCCGGCTGGTTTGACTCGAAGAAGAAGCAACAGAGGGAGAAAAAAAAAAGCGGAGTTTTTTCGGAAATGGATGCAGCCCATTTTTTTGCTTGATGGGGAGAGATCCATCCAATATGACATTACTCCGTAGCCCGCGGAGCGTTGAACGGTCGCGTAGAGGTGCACAAATGGGCCTACAAAGTCAGCCATGTCATTTCCATTTTTTTCTTAGTCTTGCGCAAGTGACGAGGTCTCTTGTAACTTCAGCGCCTTGTGGGTTAGAAATCAAGCGGCGCCCACAATCTTCGTGCATACATATGGATGCATGGTGGAGCCGGGGGTACGTATGCCTTTTTACCCTTTTCTGATGTTTGTCTCTTGTGGAATCTTGCTTGAAGCCAACGGTAGCCCTGAATTCCACGCCATTCGGTACCACGCCGCATGGCACCGCGGTGTAAGGCACCTCAATCTGGATACACTCAGATGCATGTACGGTAGTAGACCGCCACCGAATCGTGATCCCGCCCGGCCTCGTCCGGTAAGCTCAATCCAACCTCCAGTTGTTATCTGGCCATGGCCTGGTCTGACTGCCCGCCAACGCTAGACGACAATACCCAAGGATTCCCAAGGTGCTGAGTGTTCATGGGTAGGGCCATGGCGCTTTGTCTTGCCCTACCTGTGACTTACGTAGTGCATCTTCCAAGTCTCAGTTCTAGGCGAGGTCAGCAGGACTGGTCGGGAGGCAGCGAAGACAGACCAAAGTCAGGACCAAAGCCAGCCCAAAGCTGACTTACTCTACCTACCCTGCTTATGCATCAGGACCCTCTACGTAGTCCCCAATGGGACCCAATTGAATCGGAGTTATCTCCCAGGGCCCCTCCCTCCTCGTTTAGCTTTGAACAAGGGTCCCTTGGTAATGCAAGGCAGTTCCAGTTGCAATCAGTTGAGCACAAAGGCAAAAAGACAAAACAAAAACTTACCACATGGCACGGGTGGTGGAAAAATTACAAGAACAAAAAGGCTGGTAGGCATGGTTACTACATTACAGTAAAAAGAAGAAGATAATGCAATCCCTACCCCCTCCCCGAGGGTTAGGTCGGTTCCAAGGTAGGCAGGGTAGTCGTGGCCAAAATCACTTTTAGTCGGTCTCCGAGTTGAGTTGGCGGAGCTAAGGTATTTTTCCCTAAGCAAGGCGCGCGGTGCCATGGAAGGCAAGTATGGTTTCTAATGCTGTAAGGACGGTGCCTGCTGGCTCAAACAGTCTGTGATGCTGCTGGTGAGTCTAGGCTCACGTCCGCACCAACGCCCATGGTGGCAGTAGCCCTTCCTCCAGTGATCCATTACAAGTATCGCATGATAATTGCTCTCAGTCACCGATCGTTCCTATTCAGGGTCGTGTCAATTAGCGCATTATCTACGATTGCCTTTTTCCACCTGCGACTCCTTCCCCTCTCGGACCCCACCCACATGCTGTGGTTGACGGGTGCAGGAATCACCCCGAAGTTGGGATTACGGGTCCAGCGCTCGTGTATCTGTTGTATCGCCAGGTGGAGGGAGGCATAAGGTGCATCTCAGACAAGACGCGACTGTGCGAAGAAGCAAAGGCATTTTGGCTAAGCTGGGACGCCGGAAGACGAACTAAGCGGCCGGAAGGGTGCCACTGGCCAAGGGTCAGATGCAGGACAAGGCAAAACTATGGCGGCGGCGACTATGACAGCGAAGCGCGCCCGCCCCCTTTATGGCCTCGCGTTCATGAAGCAAGCTCATCGAGTTTCTAGGTTGTGTGTGTAAGTGTGTGAGTTGTGTGTGTATGTTATGATTTGTGTGTGCGGGCGAGTGGCTCCCTCCAACCCCTGTGACGGTTTATCACAGGCATTTTGGGGGGTGGCCCCTCTCCAGAAAAGCCTTGGGCTCTTGGCCGGCGGCGGATGCAGCATCTGGCATGGCATCGTGAGATTTTCCCCTCCACAGACAAGTCTGGTGGGAATAACAGACGCATGGAACATTCGAAAATGCTTCGTTTGGTGGATTACCGTCGCATGGTTGACGGGACGTTGTCAAAATGGTCTGCCCTACAGAAGAACAGGGCCCAGGGCTGAAGGAAGTGAGGTTCTGAAGTCTTGGCGTTCGTCATTGGGGTCGACTCAATTGCGAGTTCTGGCCGCCAATTTTCTCTTTTCGCGGGAGAGGAGCCATCAGATTGGCGTAATAGAGTGGTGCAATACCTGAGCCCTGGGGGAGGAAAGAGGGGGGTGCTTGAGACTTGGGGTGCCTTTTGGACGGGGGGGTGTGAGGTACAGGGTGCGACGTACCGTTTAGGGTGAGAAGGACCTGTACCTCACCGCACCTCAGCGCTTACCCTGCGCTGGCTGCTGGCATGTGCCCTCTCACTTAACAGTGGCCAGTGACGGCACGGCAAGTGCAGGTGGACGGGCCACACAGAGCAAAAGCCAACGGCAACGCCAATGCCGCGACGTCCCTTCCCAGTGGGAAGAAAGTTGGGAGCTGTGGGCACTCACACTCCCACCACCGCGTCAGCCCAAGGCGGGGGGGGCCAGAAAACGCAAGAGCTTCCTGGTCCTAAGTCTTGGCATTCTCGATTTCCCTCTTTGCCAAGACTTCCACCCCGCCCCTTCGCGCCTGCGCTTGTCTTGACAACATCCATAGATTTCTCAAGAGCCTCAGTCGAATTATCAGAGGAAATATAGATGGTGCGAATTCGGCGTTTTTTCTCGTTGTTTTTGGTTCGCAAAACTGCCCCAATCCGCCTCGGTCGCCTGCGGACCACTCAACCCCCTTTGGAGTGTGTGCCCGGATGTCAAGGAATTAAAAATAAAGGAAAAATCAAGGAACCGGCCACGTTACCTTCGCCCTCGCCTTCGTCCTCGCCCTCACACGCCTACCCTCGTTATTTCCGCAAGATTCATTACAAGAGCAGGAGAGCGAATGATTTAATGCATGTGTCAGCCACTAGTAGGGCCGTGACTGTTGCACTGTCCTTGGGGTACAGACGTGTACAGTGTGAGATGGATGGATGGGGCAGCTGAACGACGCTAAGTTCTCGGTACGTACCCCGTTAATTCTCATCTGCCATCCCCAACTATGACTTGGATGGGAGGGGTGGACGAGGACCAGGGGATTGAGGGGACGAGGGTACGGGGGGGACGATGGAGAGGGCAAGGTACCTTACAGATGTACTCGGGCCACCTACGGTTGGGACTCGACAGAATTAAACGGGATCAGGTGCCTGGTGAATGATGTGTCGGGGGCGCTCTTTGCAGTTCTTTGATGGAAGGGGCATGGGCAATAGCCCAAGCCTATTCAAGGACAGGGCAGGGGCCACCCAACTTGACCACTACGCAGAACCACCACTCTTACCTGCGACTGCCTCCACTGAGCAAAGGTGGCACGATAGGGAACCAACGGGTGCAACGATAGCGCTCATTTCTCGCGCGCGCCGCCGCCCACAACAGTACCTCAGGCACGGGATTCCCACTTCCATTGACAGAAAGTATCTCACTCAAAAACGGCACGGCTATTTTGCGTCTTTTACTCCTTCTATTACGACCATCAGCTGCACTCTGATTCATTGAGGAGGGGGAAGGCCCTTGCCCCTGCTTCGGGCCTGTTGGACCCAGCATGATACCAGCCTGACTTTGACCTGGCCCTGGGCTACTCTTCACTCTGGGTAACAGTTGCACTGGTCTGTCCTGGTAAAAGACCGAGTCTCTCGGCAACACCTTTTAGACCGCAGCAAATGGGGAGCGTCGTCAACAAAAAAGTCATAGACTAGAAACTCGAGCTGAATCTGAGACTGCCCAGCAGGGATCTTTTGCTTTCCCCAGTCCCATTCATCGGCGCCAGTCGAATCTTGCGCGCATTGTCACAGGGCGCTCACATTAGATCAAATCTCGCCCGATGTTGGACGGGCAGAACGGCAGACCACCGAAGTAAGCCTGCTGCCATGGAATTGACCGCGTAATATGTGCAAGCCAAGGGCGCCTTAGCTACTATAGTATTTTGCTTGGTGACATGCAGCATGTCGCCCAGAATGACACACACATACACATACATACACCTGCACTTGACAACTCGACCCCGTCTGATTAGCTTTGGGCACACTGGACTGAACAAACACCTCGGCCAACTGCCGTCCTGTCGTCTGTTTTTGTCTGTGATCAACCTTAGAATTAGAATAGGGCGCCCACGGCACAACAGGTACGTACCGGAGCTTGCTTTACCAAAAGACACCACTGAAGCACTGCTAGCTTCCCCTGCTGGTTACCCAAGTGAGCTTGCTTGCATACCACTGTTCCTTTGCCCTTTGAATCCGAGTGCTAGGCGCAGCCCCGATCCCAGTTCTGGTGGTACTAATTCCGATGCTGGTCCCAGCCCTGGTCGAATCCTCTTCATCCAACTGATCTAGTCAGATCCGAAGCCCAATGCTGCCTCGTAGGTCCATCGCGGCCTTGCCTGTGTGCCTGTCCCTCCCTCAACCCTCCGATCGCTTGGTCATCATACAAAGCAGTGCGTGCACAAGCCAAAAATTACAGACGAAGAATATGGCGCGGCACTTGCTTCCGCGGGCTGGGTTGGGATCACACACAGGGTGAGCCCAGCAAAGTTGGAGGTTTCTTATTAATGTAGGTGTAGCAACTGGCCTACCTGTGTGTTTCGAACCGGTTCGATTAAGTCGAGCTTGGGTTCCTTAAAGGTACCGCTCAGGAGGCGTCAGGGGAAAGAAAAGTGGCTTGCCCACTGGATTTTCTGCTTGCATTAACTGCATACTCCAGACGAGATAACTGATTGGATTGCGATCATAATGCACAAGTTTGCATTCCCTGGTTGCCGTGCTGCCGGGCCTATGTACGTAGTACAACAAGCCAATCCCAGAAGGCATAGGGTAACTAGAAGGTCAAGAAAGGCAGGCAAAATAGTGGAAAACGTTCAGTGTTTTCCCTACATACGGAGTATTACAATCAAATATCCACCTCATCGCCAAGACTGCGGATGTACTCTATTCCTTGTGATCGACCGGCTGGCGCATCTGGTCGCCAATCATTGGGATAGCGACGCAACCCTAGATGCCCATTTGCGATTGTCTTTGGGGCAATTATTTCTAATGGGTGCATACTCTTATCACATTTTGCCTGTTAGCTTTGTAGTTGCAGCACAACCTTAGTTTGGAACAAGACGTCTGATGAGAGTTACAACACAGCACAGGATGTGCAGATGTGAGATGTACTTCTCAGCTGTAGGGATGTTCACTGCCTCATTCAGGCCCCTTCTTATTCAATTACCCCGCAAAAAAAAAGTCCAGCCTACCACTCGCGACCAGGCTCGTTCCCATTCGTCACCTCCCACTTGCTGCAGGTGCCACCAACCTGCCACCTGGTTGCCTATCTGCCTACATTCCGTCAGAGCCCATCATCACCCCTCCCTCTTCCTATCGTGCCATCGCAACATTCTCATCCATCCAACTGTCTTTGCCCAGTCCCGTTCAACAGTGCAACACAGGCAGGCAGGGACTTTGTCCCTTTTTTTTTTTAGTCCTTTCTTTTTCTCGTGCCGTTCTTGCAGCTGTCCGGGTAGCAACCACAAACGCATACGAGACGACGCTCTAGCGGCAAATCTCACCTAACCACCGAAGAGGTATGTCGAACTTTTACCTTCTACGGGCTTCCTTCCACCCTGTACCTGGTCATCATCAAGCCTCGCCTCGCCTGCCTTGTCGTGCCTTTTCGGCCGCCTGGCCCCTCTCCCTAATTCTCACCTGTCCCTGTCCTAACGGCCAGACCACCGACTCCAATTTCATCTCCCCAACTCAACCCTGACAGAGAGGGTGCCCCTCATTCCAATCTTTCCACGTATTCCACTTCCCATCCACTCCTCCCACCACCCCTTTGTATTCTCCCAGGCCAACTTTAAACCGCTATCGGTGCTATCGGCCACCGCACTTCCTCCTACAACGGCGCTACCTACCCAATACGACACGCCCCCCATAGCACGCAGCACCCAATTCACCGCACCATAACGTGCCATCCCTTCATCAGCGTTACCGATACACACCTCGTGCTATCGGCCTGCTATCGTCTGGCCCCCTGCTGACCATCATTTGAGCAAGATTTCGGCAGACTCCGCTTGGGTCCAACGTTCGACTTAAGCGTGCTGGCACCATACCACACACTATCCATTATGGCTACCGCTAATTCCAACTCCAACGCCCTCTTGACCTTCTTCTCCCAGATGGACGACCAGGGCGGTGTCATTGTCAGAGGTGCGTCGTCTAAGCCTTGCTTGGGTCCGAGCTGAGCCTCAGCTCTCCGTGCCCTCTTCTTCACCGAGCCGGGCCTGGTCGGGCTGTCTCGAATAGGAAATCAGTGCCAAGACGCGTGGCCTGCTAACCTGTCTGTCACTCTCTAGATGTCCCCAAGCTCGATCTAGATCTGTACATCCAGAACTACACAGGTACGCTTCCACCCTCCTAGCTCGTCTCAACCTTGTTTCTCTTAAGCTGCGCCTCACTGCCGCTCTCAGAGGCTCAGCCTCCCTCCGCCTCCGCCCTCTACTCCCCCGCCTGCCAAGGCTCCGCCGCACTCGGGGGACTTCTACTCACTTTTCCCCCAGGTCGTACCCGCTTTGAACGACTGTTCCTCATCGGCCGGACTTGTGTACCGCTCTGCGTTGATGCCCTGAAAGCTGCAGTAGCCGAGGCCAAGCAGGGTCAGGACGTTCAGAGATATCGTGATGTCTGGGAGTGCATTCGCATCGCTGCTCCCTCTGAACCAGAGGCCACCTTCGACCAAGAATGGGTCGACAACACTGAGAGGGCCAACAAGGCCAAAACTCACAATCTTGAAAGCGAGGTGAAGGGTTATAAGATGAACCTCATCAAGGAGAGCATTCGGGTCTGTTACAGCGGTTTATAGGAGCTCATGATCTTCAAACTAACACATGGCAACAGATGGGAAATGAGGATTTAGGCCGTCATTTTGAGAGCATTGGTGACCTCAACAATGCCGGCGAGGCCTACAGCCGCATGCGGCCCGATGTAAGCACGTCAAAACACATTATCGACGTTGGCAAGCACCTCGTCAATGTGACACTTCAGCGGCGCGAGTGGCCCATGGTCATTGCCAACTTGAGCAAAATCACAGGAGTTCAAAACGGCGACGAAGAAAAAGGGCTTCAACCCTACGTTAAAATAGTGCAGGGAATCGCCCTTATGGGCCTCGAAAAGTTCGAGGACGCTGCCAAAAGCTTCCTATTGACGGATGCCGGCAAGGAAGGGGTGGATTACAGCAACATCGCGAGCCCCAATGATGTGGCAGTGTACGGTGGCCTCCTGGCTCTTGCGACCATGGATCGTAAAGATCTCCAGGCTCGCGTCCTTGACAATCAGAACTTCAGGACGTTCTTGGAACTGGAGCCTCATATCCGCAAGGCCATTTCGCTCTTCGTCAACGGCAGGTATTCGGCATGTCTCGCGATTCTCGAGGCTTACCGGGCCGATTATCTCCTCGATATTTACCTTCAGAAGCATGTCCCTGCGATCTACTCCCAAATCCGGAGCAAGTGCATTGTGCAATATTTCATCCCATTTTCCTGTGTCACTCTCAGCAGCTTGGAGGAAGCGTTTGCAGTGCCTGGCCATTCGCTCATCGATGAACTCTTCACTATGATTAAGGGGGGGGTTTTGCAGGCCAGAATTAACACTATTGACAAGGTGAGTGAGCCCGCGGCTTCCGGGTTGCCCCCTAAGTGGACTTGCACGATGCTGACGCACAGACCATTTGTAAGACACTAGTCGCCGTGTCTCCGAACCCCCGAGCCAACCTGCAGAGATTGGTTCTTGACACGATTGATGCCTACGAGCAAGACGCTCTCGAGCGGATCAGACGTATGAGTATCATCGCCGCAGATATGGACGTCAAAAACCCCCGAAAGGGACCTGCTCATGGTGGTGTGGCCGGCATCGAAGAGCTCTGGTATGAGCAGGCCAACCGTCCAATGGCGGCCGGCGGCGAGCTGAGCTAAAGATGACCCGTTACTTCAGGGGAGAGGCTTACCGGCCGAGTGATGCAATCGTTCTCCGTGAAATCGGAGGCGAGTCGGCAGGTTAGGAATGCTGCTAACAAACGGGGCACTTTTGATAGTCCACTTGGGCACCCTAGTCGGAAACCCTAAAAAATTGGCTGCTTTTCTGGCAATGCAGAATGGGGTGGCCGGCGTTAGATCATTGGTTCCCCTGAAAGAAGCATACGTACGCTCGCCAGCACCTAAGCAATTCTGTGGGATCATATAGACGTCATGGCACTTTTGCGCCAAACAAGCCCAATCAGCCATTTGCATCGCAGTTCAAAAGGGCGTGGACCTCGCGCAGCTGAACGGTGGAGCGGCTAAAAGAATAGTTGGTGGCGTTGATCGCGGGATCTCCGGGGTCTATAGATTGAGGCTTACGCAGCAGGCATAGGCGTGTGTCAAGGGAACAAAAGGTTTGGTGGCCGCTGTGGGAGTAGCCGGGAATAACTTGCTGGCCGTATTCAATGCGATGCAGGCTATTGTATACTGTTTGCCCGAACCGTGTCTATTGTTGAATCTAGCAGTACAGTCTCTCTCATACCTGATGCGAGTTAAACGCCCCACCCCATCTACAATATTATAATTAATAGGCTGCCCTTGGCCGTCTACTTATCGCGGTCTCGTAACTGCATTGGGTGCCACCCATCGACATGGCTGCATTGCACAGTGTTCTCAAGTCCCTCGCTTAATGAGGCCGATCGCAGCCTTCAGCCAGGGATGGTTTAGGGAGGGGAGAGGGGAAAAGACAGAAAGAAAGAGCGAGAGCATGTCGGGGCTTAATGATCACCGCTCCATCCTCCCAAGTGGGTGCAACGCTCCGTTGACATTTTGGGGTGCGATAAAACCACGCCGAGGCTGCATACCATCCCCCCCCCCCCCCTCGTCGTGCGCACTCCTGTTACATCTACCGCAATAGAAAGATAAAATAGAAGAGGCCGGTGAGTCTACAAAATGGGGCATCACTCTGGGGCTGTCACTGTAACCAATGCCAAGGGTCAAGGGCTGGGTGTCAAGGGTGCAGGGAGAAGAAGTCAGTAGTGTGCATGTCTCCAACCGAACCTTGGCAGAGAGGGGCCGGGGAGCGGTTTAGTTTCCTAGCCTGCATCAGGAAATCCGAAGTTCTGGGGGGGCAGAAAAAAAAAACCCCCCATCGAACTCCATATCCATCGTAACTTTTGTTTCGCCTTCCATTTCCGATTTCTAATAGAATGCCCGTCTGACCTGCTGGGACCAGAATGCATCCGCTAAAAAAAGAAGAATAAAAATATAATGAGCAAGATATTACAAACAAAAAGGGAACATGACTGTTGACCCAGAGGAGGGGAAAGAATAAGTGAAGTCCGCAGCAGAAGTAAGGGGGGCGTGAGGAGGGGGAAGGGGGCCGGTCCTCTTGCAGCTCTTGCAGGCGGCCCACAAGAGACATATCCACCTCGCCCGGACTCGATATCCGGTTAACCCTGGAAGAGGTGAGGCAGTCGTAAACCTTGGCTCACCCATGAGTCGTCGCATCGTCTCATTAACCCATCAATTGCCGCACGTCGGTGGGCGGCCAGCGGACCTGCGCAAATGTGAGGAGGCGTTTAATGCTCTGCAGGTACTTGCGCGTGACTTCGTCGCCCATGACGTGACCACGCTCACCGTCATGCAGCTTCTCGCGCGCACTGCGCTCGTGGATGCCCACCATGGTGACTCCGATGGGCCAGGCGGCCTTGCCGATGGAAAGGCGGAGATAGCCATCGTTGGCGTCGACGTAGCGGCGCTCTTGCGCGGCCTTGACGATCTCGACGATGGGCGTGAGGAGGTCGTCGTCCAGGTCGTATTTTTCGAACTTGCGGAAGAGCTGTTGAGGGCCGTTAGTGTTTCTGTCTCGTAAAAAAATTGCAAGCGGTGTGGTAGAGTGAGCATGAGCTTACCGGCTTCAGGTTCTCGCGACTCTGCACCATGGCGCTGTACGCTGTCTTGCTGGCCGTGGTGTCGCGTCGCTCCTGCTCCATTGCCTTCTCGTACTCCGTCAGGACCATTGTAAAGTACGATGCCAATTGCCTGAACAACCAACGTCGGCCCTCCTTGTCCTTGGGTACCGTATCGGCGACCTTCATGTCCTTCTCCTCGACAAGCTGCAGCGTCGTTGGGATCGGGCCCTTTGTCACTACCGTCGTGAGACGTCTGTATCTCCGTAGTCTGGCTGCGTGGCTCTCTCCAAAGAGCGTTGCCGGCTCGCCCAGATCGCGCAGTTTTGTAAACAGTTCCTCGTCGGGCACATCTTCCATGCCTTCTTCCAACTCTGTGACATCTTCGCTGGAGGCCTTGACGAGGTCGGGGAGGCCCAGCCTGCGTCGCCGCGCTTTTTCTTCCTCGGCCTCTTGCTCTTCCCTTCGTTTCCGTGACTCCTCTGCTAGCCTTTGGCGCTTCTCTTCCCGGATCTTGTGCTCTTCCGCAGCCTCTTCTTCCCGCTTGCGTTTCGCGGCAGCCTTCTTCTCGCGTTCCTCCTCAAGACGAGCTTGCTCTGCCAGGTACTCCTCTTTTCGCTTCGCTTCGACATCGGCACGCTTGACGTACTTTGAGGAGGACGACGATGAGCTAGACCCTTTCGACTTGTCCAGCTCCTTGGACATCAGCGCGGCGAAATCCATGGTTGCGGTCAGGGGCAGCCAGCCAGCCGGTCAATGAGGGCAGTCGTCAGCCTGTTTGGCAGATGGTTTCGGGTGTCACGGGTGGGTTCGGGTCGGCCAGAGAGGGTGTTTTGTCGCCAAAGTTGCGTCGCGATGGCCGTCGTCGTCGCCTGGAATCGATGAGATGTCGTTGACGATGGGAAAAGCTAGGCACGGAATAAAAAATCGGATAAAACGTTCCGCAAAAGCTTACTTTACTTTTTTTTACGTTTCCCCCACACTTTGGGGGAGGCAGTGCAAAAGTCGTGTGGTGGACGATCCATGCATGGAAGCTTTGGAAGATCGCGCTTAACTTGCACAGCCTCACTCGCCTACGACCTTGACTCCAGTCGGGGAACGCACACACACAAACTAGTTCCCGTCCCTCTGTGCCTTGGGGGATCCCCCCGAAAACGTGTCTTTGTACCGGTTCGTCGCATGGGGAGCTTGTCAAGCTTTGTTTTACTCCACCGATTTCATATACGTACTTCTTTTTGACGTCTTCCTATCCGGCTTCTCTGTTGGTTTCGTGATACTCGTCGACCACAGGAAGCGTTCAGTGATAAGCAAGGCGTGATGGCTTCAGCCGATCGGGAGGCGACTACCCCATTCTTGCTTCGCCTGTTTTACAAGAATGGGTCATTTCACAGGTAAAGTGGGACCTACGATTCTCGTCGTTCTACTGCATCGTGATGCTGAAGGAAACAAACTGACAATTGGATGCTTTCCAGGCCTGACGAGTTCGCCGCCCGAAACCTACCGCCGTCGTTGTCCTTGTACACCTGGCCAACCTGTACTCTTACCGAACTAGCCCAACAAATCGCCGCCGAAGACCCTTCACTATTGCCCAGCCCGTCCTTGGGCACGAGGCTGGCCTTCCGATTAGTCTACCCCGATACCCGAAACGTAACAGCAGCGGCCGCCGCTCATCATGCGTCCGCACAACCGCGCTTCATGGTAAAGGACCTTGGTAGTGTGGTGTTGGGCGGGGATGAGGTAACAGCTGCGGCTCTCTCTGCGGCCAACGGTGCGGAGGGTGGCGACGAGGATGTCGACATGACGGGAACGCTGGCGCTGCCACCTACGGATACGGCTGATAAAACGCTGGGAGAGGCAAAGTTCGTCGTCGGAGACTACGTCTCGTGCGCCATCTTGCCGCCACTGCCCGACGGCTCGGTAGCGCCAGCCATGACGGCACGGAATGACAGAACGGCTGGACCGAGGGGACCAGCTGTGGGACAGCCTTCACATAACACGCGTCGAGACGCTGGCTTCGCAGGTCGCCAGGGTCGGGATAGAGAACGACGCCGCCCTGGGTTCGGAGAAGGCAGGTTTCCGGAGGGAGAGTGGAGGAGGGGTGAAAGGCTTCCCGACGACCCTCCAGACCGCTCTTGGGGCAGAGGTAGGAGGGGAGGAAGTAGATGGTGATTTACTTCGGCCCTGGGCGTCTTGAGAGTGTGTTAGGGTGTGGTGCAAAGAATGTCCTCTTAGCTGATGGTGGGATTGAGTTTGCATTGTCAACAGGATCCTCCTGGTATGGATTGGTGTCTTGATCCTACAGTGACATCACAGGAACAGAGGCCTGGAAAGTCCTCGTCAGGTTTCTCGACTGGTCGGGGCACAGACGATGACCGCCTACAAAGAATGCAAATCGGCCAAGGACCTTGGCCAGGTCAGAAACAGGGCTTTCTGACCGATTCATCATTTAGACTCAGGGCCATGGGTGCGATATATGTCATTCGGGCTCAGTGTTTGACTTGAGACACAGCTGGGAATATTGACTACTACGAAGTCTTGAGTAGAGACTCTAAATGGCGGCCATGTCGGCGCTCTCAGATGGTCTGAGTAAAGGAGCGGAAGACGCCATAGGCTCCAGCATTTGATTGGACTGTGAGCAAGGGTAAAATGTAATGGCCCGGGGTCTCAAAGCGAGATTGTTTAAAGAAGAGACAACACCTATTGTGCCGGTCGAAGTACTATTCGGTTTTAAGGGTTGCTGTGTTTGCATGGTGTTCAGGTTGGTATTTTTAGGGGAAACCGTATACCATTATAGTCAGTGGGCGGTTGCCAGCTTCCGTCATAGCTGGGTTTGGCATATCAAATCCATTTTCTCAGTCTTTCTTGCACAAATGAGAACTTCTGCTTGATCCTTCATTTCTTCTATTCCAGCCTTTGTTCCTAAGCTTATTTACAATGCCGCCTTCTCAGTATCGTACGTAACCCATCTACCGCTCGTAGATCAGGTCGCCCTTGCGCTTCGCGCGGAGATCGAAGAGACCCTATAGACATCATTAGCATCTAATATCCCCAAATATGCCTGTCCACGCTTGTTATTCCGTAGCATGGAAGAGATATACTCACGTCGCTCTTGTAGCCAATGTAGCCGATGATAGCGGGCACGACAGCAATGTAGATGAAACTGATGCGGGCAGTTCTCGGTGTCCAGCGGAAGAAGATGTGTCTGTTGCTCTGCATGTCTGTTCGGCGATTGCGGGTCAGCACTCCGATGTTCTCTCTCCACAACCCTCAAGCCTCAATAGACCATCAAATAATCGTAACTATTCGTGATTCGCGGGGTTATGGTGTGACGTACGTCCCAGCTTGACCAAGGCCGGGTCAAGGGCCAGCTCTGTCAAAAGGAATTAGCATTTCTTCGGGGTTTTCTTGGTGGGATTAAGTTGCTCACTGTGATGCTCAACGCCACCTGCCATCTTGACTGATGTTAGAGCGATGCTCAATATGTATCCGGTGAGTTAATTGGGTCGGTCGGACGACGAGAGTTGCCTATTCCGCGGATCAATCGGCGATTCTCATCAAGATTCACGGCGTGAAGCTCCGTGATGGCACAATGCTCCACGAGTCTTGGAGTTGCATGCTTAGGTAATAACTCTTGTGCCTCGTTGATAAGGCATCAGCCAATCAAAAAACTTGCATTAGCCAGATGAACTGAGGCTCTGGCACTGTACACCCCACAGCGGTTCTATCTGGAATTACATATTAATTCGCTACAGGACAGTGTGGACTATGGCAGAACACATGCTGAGGAAACCAAATTTCGCCCTACGTACGGATAGGTTTTGTACACATTGTGCTGGATATGTTTACATAAGCACACCAAGTCAACGTGCCAGAGTGGTTAATGGGCTGCCCTGCTATTGAGTTCCAGCTTCAGTTGGAACACGAAGTACAGGCAGTGGCTTCGGTCGCGCAAGTTCGAATCTTGTCGTTGACGTGTTTACTTTTTTGATACTATGCACGACCTTAATCTTTATATGATGGAATGCTCAAGTTCATTTTTGACGATGCCTGCTTGCTAAGTGACTTTTAGTCCATTTTTATCACGGCTATAATGGTTTTAGGTAGCGATTGCGCTTTTACAATTGGCGGTTTCTTGTAATGGAACGACGACCATTGCACTTGCTCTTATCGGGAAATCATGAGGTCATTGGCTCGCGAACATCGCATTCGGATTCAAGAGTTCCTCCGATCTGATGGTCACACCAGCGCTCATGATTTGGATTTGTATACTGAGTCATAGGTGCCGAGGTAAGCCTAAATTGCGGGGCGTCGTCCGGTTTCTTTGTGAGGGTGCTGTTGCAACAATGGTCTAAGTGTATTTCATTTGGGCACATGAAGGCTAGTTTGGTGGAGCCCGGACTCTTTACCTTCCGATGGGCTAGCGACTTAAATGAGTGACATGACCTCAGTGAAAATCATACTTCACAAGGAGATAGATGCATTATAGCTGCCGTAGGGAAGCGAATTGATTGTCAATATAAACCGAATTGCCTGAATTCATCAATAAGTAAGAAATCATGAGCGATCCTGTCGACACAATGGCAGCCGATGAGCAACAGCCCAAAGTCAAACTCTACTGGTAAGTTCTGAAACTGCCACTCTAGATGGATAAGGACTCACAAGAACATAGGCTGGAGCAGTCGAGAGCCCAGAATATCCTCTGGCTCCTCGAAGAACTTAATATCAAGTATGAAGTCGAGGTCTTTCACCGAAACAAACAGACCATGCTGGCGCCTCCTGAGCTGGCAAAGGTCCACCCCCTCGGCAAGTCACCCGTCATTGAAATCTTTCCAACAGGCTCTGGAGAATCTATCAAGCTGGCCGAGAGCGGCTACATGACGCAGTACTTGTGTGACCACTTTGGCAAGGATACCAATCTCATCCCCAAGAAATGGAAGGACGGCCAGGAGGGCAAAATCGGAGGCGAGACCGAGGAATGGACAAGATGCCAGTACCTCCTGCACTACGTGGAAGGAAGTCTGCTGCCTGTCCTTACCATGTCTCTTGTCATTGGAGGTAAGTCACAATTCAAATCTCCTGCCTTGATACACACTGACGATAAGTTTCTAGCACTGAAGTCAAACAATGTGCCTTTCATCGTCCGTCCCATCACCTCAGCGGTCGCGAACAAGATTTTCGGCATGGTGGTCTTCCCCAACGCTAAGAAGCACCTTGCCATGATCGAACAGATGCTCGAGACTGCCCCAGGAGGCGGAAACAAGTACATCTGCGGCGCTAACCTCTCGGCTGCCGACATCCTTCTCAGCTTTGCACTCATCGCAGCCGAGGACGGGTTCGACTCTCTTGGAAGCTGGCCCGGTGGTTCGGCCAAGAAGGCCCATCCAAAGGTCTTTGAGTACATTGATCGACTCAAGAAGGAGCCCGGATATGAGCGATCTACGCAAAAGATTCGCGAAATTGACGGCAAGTTTGAAGCGACAATGTCTAAGATGTAAAATTGTAATCACACCAGCTCATGGCATTGGTACTAGTACATTGACGGGGAGGGGCATATACCACTTGTGTTAATATCTGTATAGTAATTAGAAGCTTATGTCTAATTCCTGTTTCTTGATTGGTTTTTTTTTTTTTTACTTGTTTCGTAAGGTGCAATCGTCCTGGGCAAATTGACAAGGCCTGAAGAGCTGTCTGCCCACAAGGCCTACCTCATCGCGGAACAATTGGAAAGTCTCGCCAGAGTTGATCTACGTAGTAAGCTTGCCAGAGAAATGGTGTGGATGGCCCGAGCTTTCTTCCAGCTCCAGTGCTCTTCGAACGCTGCTGCAGGGGCCGGGTGACAGGGGCATTAGGCCGCCAAATCGGCGTGCAACTTCCCGCGCGCCGACAACTTTTCTGATTGACACTCCGATTGGGGTTTTTTTCCTTGAAACAACAGCTTCTCAGCGCAAACCTCAGAACCGCCCAATTTCGTCCGCTCGCCAGACGCCATGTTGGCCTCAAGGACGGTATGCGCCCAATGCCGTTCCAGGCTTCTGGCCAGCGCAGCCACTATCGGTACCGTCCGGCCGAACTCGACAGCAAGTTTCCCTTCCGTTGCCGCCGAAAACGCCCCCAAAGCGACACGACCGCCACAACGGGCTGAATCTTTGAGCGGTCCCTCAAGAATACCAGCGCACAAGCCGAGGACCAACGGTAACCAGAGTGCAAGAAAACGAGCACTGGATCTGTTTGAGAGTACCATCAACAACTCGGAGACCCAACCTGTGCTGGAGACGACTCAGGATGTCAATCAACTATATCGGCTTGTCGACCAGCTCGATAAGATCATGCAGAATAAGGAGAACCTATCGGAGGTGGACGTTGCAGCGAAAAGCTATGCGCTCATTGCCACCAAGCTTATACCAGCTTCGCGAAAGATGGGTGGCCGGTTGCCCCATGTCCTCCAAACGAAAGCCTCGCAAGCGCTACGAAAGATTGCCGACACGAAACTCGCCACAGTCGATGCGACGGCGCTTCCGAGTATATCAGACATTTGCAAGCTGCATGCCGACCTGGGCCAGTTGAAAGCCTTGAGGCGCCTGCAGCTCGTCAACGGCCTGCTCAATGCTATCGTGTCCTCCCGACCGGACGAATCGAACTGCTCCGAGCTAGAGAGCAAACTTGTTGATGAGATGTTGTTGGGTGATCTTGTCGAGTTCTGGAAACACTTCTCCGGCTTGAAGCGCGCTGACAGTGGGCTGGAATCTAAAACAAAATTCTGGCTCACTACCAGACTAGACATGAGGGGGATTGAGGAGCCTGCTAAACTCTTCAGAGCGCTCTTCCCGCTCATCGCAATCAATGAAATGCGTGGTCTGGCCCCTGCCCTAGTAGCTACCTATGTGCTGCTGTCCGAATCTTCTTACGAACACACAGAGGCAAGGAAAGAGGCAGAGCCTCTACTGGAGGCTTTGGAAACCATCGTTAAGCGATTTGACCGTCAGAGGCTTCAGCAACTTTTTGAAGGGTACCCTGAGTTGTGGGAATATGTCGAACCAAGGGCAGATTGGCGAGTCATTCAGATGGCCCCTGAAGCGTGGAAAGAGTCATCCATCCCTCAGGCCGACAGCTCAAGCCCAAGTCAGGCAGCGGGGCGGTTCTCCTACGCACTTTGGCACAAGAGGTTCAGCATCGCATACCGTGGGAACGACCACGCAGCCGTTCAACAGGCTTGGAGGGACCTCGTTGACCCAGCCAATGACAAGGACCGCGCTGACAGACTCCGCGGTTGTCCCGAGCTGTTCGACTACATTTTGCACATCTCGTGCCACAAATCTCGTTACGATAGGGCTCTATATACGAAGATGACTTCAGAGGTCCTGGAATACATGAAGAGTCTTGGACTGGAGCCCACTGTTAGAACGTACACTTCCATGATGGAAGGTTGGAAGCTTGCCAAACGGCTTGAGCCGATTGAGCACCTTTGGAAGTCCCTTACAGAAGCCGGCGTGATATTGGACAGGCAGATATGGTCGAGCAGGATATCTGCACTCGGCAGTCTAGGTAGCCCCTGGGATGGCATCAAGGCTCTCACTCACATGGACAGGGTCTGGAACCAGGCAGTGGAGGAAGGCAATCAACAAACGGCCGTTCAACCTGGAATTGCGAACGTAAATGCAGCGATTTCAGGACTGTTGAGACGCGATCGCATGGATGGTGTCCGGAAGGTGCTGGTCTGGGCAAACGAGAAGGGCCTAGAGCCCGATATTTATACATACAACATGCTTCTCTCGCGGATGCTGAAGCAAGGTTCATCTGAAGAGGCAGACAAGATTCTGAACAGCATGAAGGTGGCAGGAGTAACGCCAGACGGCGCGACCTTCACCATCATTCTCGAGGCCGCGTTTGACGACTTGGCTGGAGGAACCCCTCAGGAGCAGAGAGCCGCCATCGACAATGTTTTTAAAGAGATGGCAGCTTGCGGCATTGAACCAAACCAGGAGACGTATGGCAAGATGCTTCACACCCTCATCCGCGCGGGTGACGTTGCCCAAGCTTCCGTGGCCGCCGTGCTCGCCCACCTGCGCGGAAGCGGCCTGCAACTGTCGACAGAAATCTGTACCATCCTCGTCGAATACTACGTCAACCGTACCCAACCCGACCTTGATTCCATCCGCGCCCTCGTCGCCGACCGTCGCTCCCGAACACGCGCGCTGACCGACCGCGTATTCTGGGAAACCGTTATTAAGCACTACCACCGCGCAGGCGACCTCGACGGTGCCCTCGAGATCTTTTATGACCTCGATGATTGGGGTATCTGGCCTGGTCTGCCACTCTTAGAACCCCTTCTCCGGTCTCTAGTTCACAGACGGGACTGGGATGGTGCCAAGAAGCTCGTCACTACCGTCCGGAGGCAGGCTCGTCCACAGGCGGCGGATCGCGATAGTCGGTACTGGAAACATGCTTTCTGGGCTGCCGCCAGGGACTATGACTTGTTGGAGGCGATTTAAAGATCTTCAGGCTCTAAGAGAGGACTTCGCCAATCATCATGACTGTCTCAAGTTGCCTAAGACACAAGACTTCCAGATGACGGTCATATCATGCGAAATATCGCCTCTTTACCTTGTATATTGTAAAATTCATAGATGTACTTTAACATTATCAATCACCCAATCCAGGCCTCTATATCTGCGTCAGCAGCCGGATTCATCTCGGATTCTGTGTTCACTTTTTGACCTGCGCGTGCTGTGGCGTAGGCAGCAAAGTATCCGTTGTCGTGCCCACCACCAAATCCTATGGGTGTGACCAGCAATGCCTACAATACTGTAACCTTCTTCTGCAGTAGCATTATGACGAATACCTGACCTAGGTACTTGCTTTCAATGCTCTGGGTCCCGACAAGCGTTGTGATACTTGATGCAATCATGAAACCATGTGCTGATAATAGCCCCATGTGCAGGTCACCCTCAGTCAGTGAACCTAGGTTAAAGTTGAGATTATGATCAAATTGGGAGCCTCTACGTACATGTCAGGGATCAAGCGATTTGTTACGATGATTTGGAGGTATTTGCGCACAGCCGGTACAAGATCGAACCATCTCACCAGAGTCCCAATGTCAATACCTTTAGGGCAGCTGGGGTTCTCGATTTCACATTGATGCCGAATAAGAACCTCTATTCATGGGGCCTGACGTCCGAGATTCTTTTGGACATTACCAGAAGCCGACTACAGGTCCCGCATAACTCTATTCACTGGGCGAAGTAATAATTCGACCTCGTTATGGTGGCCATACGCTTACCACCTCATATGCATCCTGTGACCTTCTTGCATCTTCCATGAGAAAGGCTGAGGGTTAAAGTTGGGTTCTTAATAGTCTTAACGAAGTTGGTCTTCTTATATACCGGACATTGAGGGTCTATTCATTATGTGGTCTGGGCTGTATTTAGTAGTAGGTAGCTTTCAGCGTTAATAGGTCATTTCTGAACACCAGACCCCCCTTTGACACCTATATCATGTAATTTCAATGCAGAGATGCGGATATTTCGATGTCTTGGGCGATCTCACTTGCAGTCATGTTACTCAAAACCCAGTAGAAAAGATTTGTAGGTGTGGGAGGTTACGTCTCAGTGCTGGCCCCTTATTTTTGGTCTACCACAGCCCTCTACTCCAACAAAGTTCTAAAACGGTCGGTGTTTGTAGTAATTTAGCAACCGGTAGTCCGTTACTACGACCATTATGCAAAATGTCAAGTGTGCAATGCTTCTTGATGCCAGATTCGTCCCTTATCATATGTACAATTGCCTTAAGCCTATAGACGGCAGACACCCTTGACGTGCATATGTCAATATGACAGATGACATCATACAGAGTTTAGGAATGTAGAGCCTTTCCTAGCCTTCAGCGTGTATTAAAAACTACAAGCTTAATCCACCTTGAAGGCACCACCTAACCGACCACACCGAGCACATACTTGATGCCTTCCCAGTGCTCCTTGACAGTCGGCCAGATGAACTGGGGCGGCAGCACGAAACCTGAAGAATCGCCGCTTTTCGGCCTTAACTCGACACTCCATGAATAAGTCGCATTCAGTGCGCCGTGGTGAAAGTCCCGCGCTGAGCCAGTCGAATAGTACAGAATCTCGCAAGAAGGACCGACGAGGTACTCCTCGCCACTTGTCGCCGCAATGGTAGCCGCGTAGCCGGCACCAACATCGCGCTGCGCCTGTAGATTCTTGGGAAGGACATCGGGCTCACACGAGAATCCCCAGGGCAGTAAAATGAGCTGAGAATAGCTATGCCAATCAATGAAGAGGCGGATACCTCCTGGTGTTGCGGCCAATTTACGCGACAGGGCTGAGAGCACAATGTTTTCAGGTGTGTCACCGGGGCATCGACCACGGAACGTCTGGCCACAAGGGTTCGCAGACACGCTGCCGTCTTCAAGAGGATAGTTCCACTGGAAGCCCCAGTTACGGTTACCGTCCGTGCCGATACAGGTAGTGTTAGAACGCGGTTGGCGGTTCTTGCGCCAGAGGCGGTCTGTAGTTTGAGAATAGACAAAGCCTGGATTTTATGCTGTTAGTGAAGTGACTAACCCCGGCAGGGCTCACTTGTAAGACTAACCGTCGGGGTTGTGGAAGGGAACAATGTAAAACTCGTAGGCGTCGAAGAACGCCGTTACATTCTTGTCCCCGGACTTGTAGCCTTCAATGAGCTGGTAAGTCAAGTACTCAACAGTCTTGACGAATGGTGTCAGTTTCTTCATCTTGACTTGGTGCAGGAAATCCACTGACCAATGTTGTGATCCATTCTCTTGCATGAACAGTGCCGTGCCAGAGGATAATTGGCTTATTTCCTGTGTCCTTGCCACCCCAAAGCCTCAAACCAAAGATGTTGCGACCCTCATATGACGAGCCAATGTCCAGCCATTCTGAGTTGTCTGGGAATGCGGCATGTAGGTCCTTCCAGTACTGAACGTGGTCGTCGTAGGGGTGATAAGAGTCAAACCAGCTGAGGCTTGGTAGCTCGCCTCGCTTGGTTAAAGGAGAAGGCTGTTCTGCCAGAGATTCCTCTCGAATTTCCTTGCCTAGATCACTGCTTAAAAGCTGCGCCTCAAGGCCTAGCGTTTCGAAACTGCTGATATCACTCGGCGGAATTGCAACTTCTACAAAGCCGTTCAAGTCAATGGAGTGGTAAGCAATCAGCCGAGACTCAAAATCGCTTGGAGCATTTGCCGTGGACACCCGATACACATGGTAGCCATCGTAGTTGACCTTGGCATCCTGGGAAGCATGTTGGGTGGTAGATCGGATGGCCGAGGCCGCAGCCAAAGACGAGAAGGTAAGTGCACTGATGAACTTCATCGCAGCCTGTGTTCATGTAGGTCCGTAACTCTTCCACTAAAGTCAAAGATTGCAATGCGACGTTGGCGTCTTTATATCTACTTATTCTGTCACGCATTCCTTGTTTGTCTCGTTACGTTTTCCCATTGAAGCGGGCTAGGCAATTCTAGCCTTCATTCTGACTGGTAACCTTAACAGGATACAAGTGAGGGGTTGTTGATAAACATGCAAGCCAAGGCCGCAATGTTTCGATGACGTTCCTGACTTTTGCAGATGAAGGTAGCAATGAGGTTGGGGGTGTTTAAACACAGCGTAGCGAGGAAAGTCGCGACGTCGTATAGAGATGCAGAGCTACTCCCAGAATAGTAGGTGCGAAGCCATTTGGGCAGTTGGTTGACTCCTACCCTAAGCGACGCTGAGGCTTGGCAGCGAGGATAACCGATCGTAATTTGGAAGGACCCGAACGACCCGAAAATTCCTGCTCTAACATTGAGCGTCGGTCACACCAGAGTACTCAAGCAGGAAAGATGGGGTCTTGATTTCAGTTGCTGGAAATCAACTGTACAGCAAAGAGTCTAGAGTTTATGGCGCGAATCAATACACAACACAATGTGCTACACTAATACAACACGTGCTCAAAGTCTACAACAACTTGAAGACTATCAGAAATGTTTCACACACATCAACTGACACACACCAATGAAAACACTGCGAATATATTACTACTCAAAGTTTTATGTATGCCTCAAGCGATCTCCATGGATAAGCCCCTGCAATCCATATCCGACAATCTCAGACAATCGTGCACAAGATCGAATAGTACGTAAATGGCCTCTCACTGATGACTTACGACACGTAAACATCTCGTTCTCACCGATCGAAGCACGGCGCATCGAATCCTACGGTTATCCTTCCCTCATAACACACATTTTAGAACGCATCTCATGGCTCTTGGTTTGTGTGACTAACTGGCGCCGGCTGGACCGCTCAATTTCAGCGGCTATAGCCACTCGCAATGACTACCGCCGTGGCTTTAAATCATCTATTTTGTATTTTATTGTGTCATTCTCGTACATTATGATCCTGCTTGTACACGTGAGGACGGGGAGACTATTTGAGTGAGTGTGTCTAGAGTATGTATTTGTGAGCTCGCCCATATTCCGATGACCCCTTGTCACGAATCGGGCCTAGAGAGAACCCAGGCGGATGAACGGTTCCGTACCGGCCCCGGTACATCAACGGCCCCGCTTTCCGGTTCCGTTACATTTCTGACTTGAAGACTCAACGCCGCAGTTCCATTGTGTAAAGTTTGGCCAGTTTGACATTGTCTATTAAATCATTCGGAACGATAGCTCAGGTAATCTAACAGACTCCCAAAAACCTAAATTGGACGTTTATGTAATTGCATGTGAACCGCTTTGTAACGACTTGGAAGAGTTGGGAACTGGAGTACTTCAACTTTGTACCCCTACGTCTAATCAAATCGCTTAGAATCCCTCTTGTTATGCTCCCACGCCAATTCTTTCGTATTTCTCTGCCTCTTAATTTCTTATTATTAACAATTTTGAAAAAATCTTAACAAGAAAACCCTTCTAAATTCAAGTCAAGCCATCTACGCACGTCTGAAGGTAGAGTCATAAATTGAAGAAAACTCCGGCAAGCTTGCCCAAGAGCCCCACTAAGCTTATTTGGGTCAACTGGGGGCGTTGGTCTCTCCAACTGCCAGCCCAGTTCGCCTGCTAGTTTACCGGAGGGGAGTCCCTTGCTGGACAGGTGTAGTGGTCAGACGTCACAAGTGCCTGTGACGGCCGCCACCTTTCCAGAATTTTTTTTTCTTCCAACGTGGACGCGTCTTGCACTTTCATCCCAAGCTTGTCTACCCAACAAACCTTTGTCACTCACCAAACACCTAGTTCCGACGTGCAGGCGAGCTTTGCAGTCGCGAAATCTCTCTGCTGCAGAAATGGACTAAAGAAATCAATCGAACCTTGATACCGATCGACGCGATGGCTGCGACCGAGAGCTCCAAACCTTCATCGCGCGACGAGTCTTCGGACTCTGGAAGCGGCAGCGACAGCGAACATGAAAGCCCAGCAGCCGTTGAGTGGCTTGCAACAGGCCGTGCAAAGCGGTCTACCGCTGGCAACCGAATGAAATCGATGCTTGCCAACGAAGAACCTGACTCCGATCTCGAACTGCTGTTTGCCGAAGATGACAATGATGAGGGCTTCACCGATGTCGGTGATGGTGGTTCCGACGTGCAGATGGATTCATCATCTGACGATGAAGACGAGCAGAATCAGGGAGATGACATGGAAGGAGAGAAGGAGCTTGAGAAGCAAGCTAAAGAGAAGAAGGCTGCTGCACGGAAGCGCAAGGCTCAGGAGGCCATCCCCGCCAAATTCCGAAAAAAGGTACGCATCGACGCGAACCAGACTGCCGCACCGGCTCCACGACCTAAGAAGAAGTCGGAACGAACGAGCTGGCTCCCATCACCGGCCGACATGCCTGTCCGTGCCTCTCTTCGACAGACTACGGTACTCAGCAAGGAACAGCTACACTTGCAGATGAAGGAACGTGAGGCGAAACGGTTGAAGCAGCTGGCTATAATGGAGAAAAAGGCCAAAAAGCTCGAGGCGATGAAGAAGCCACCGATGACTCAAGAGGAACGACTGGCCGAGGCAGCCATCGTAGAGAAGCGGAATTCCAAGTCATTGAACAGATGGGAAGAGGCAGAGAAGGCCCGCGAAGAGGAACGGCTGGCCAAGCTGGCAGCGTTGAACAACCGTACGCTTAAAGGACCTGTCGTAACATACTGGAGCGGGCTAGGCGAATGGGAACATCACCTCAAGCATGTTGGCAGAGTGGCAGAGGAGGAGAAACCCGTCCGCAAGAAGCGGGAGAAGAAGGAAAAGGCAGAAAAGGGCAAAGGCAAGGAAAAGGATGAAAAGGAGGCTGAGAAGAAGGAGGATGGCGCACCTGCCGCTATAGCTTCCATATCTGCACCTTCGCCATCCAAAACACCAGATGGTCAGCTCGAATCGCCTGTCGAAACTCAGTCCGCGGCGCCAAAGTCGGTGAATGCCGAAGCTTCCCAGCCAAATGGTACTCCTAAAGAGCCATCACCGGCAACTGTGGCTCCGGCAAAGCCTGCAGAGGCCGCGCCGGCTGTGAAGACGGAAGATCGGCCTAGCATCATGGCACCACCTCCTATCCCTCCACCGCCGACAATCTCGCCTACACCTCCTAAACCCGAAGACAAGCCAAGGCTTATGGCACCGCCAACAATATCACCACCGCCGTCACTGAGTTCCAAGTTGATGGCGCCACCGCCTATACCGCCGCCCCCCAAGATGTCTGTTCTTGCGGCCCCTGTCCTCGCACCACCGGTGCTCGCCCCGCCTCTGGGCGGCATTCACCTTGGACAGCACACCTCACAGCCCAAGTCCAACGTTCTCGCGCCGCCCAACACGTCTCAACACAAATCTCCCCTCTCAATGCCTGCGCCGCCTCCACCCCCAACAGCGAGACCGCCGCCACCACTAGCACCACTTCAACCGATACAAGCCCCAGCTCCTCCGAAGCCAGCGCCAGTTGTCGTAGCACCCCAACCACCATCACCGCCGCCTGAACCAGCAGCACCGGAAAACCCTCCACCGACCGAGGTTGCTCGTAACGCATTCATCCTACGCAACTTTGATGAGAATCTCATTAAGGACAAGACAACTCAAACCCGAGTTCTATTTGGAAGGCGGATGGATCGTCTAGCGAAGCCAGCGCCCCGCCCAGTCTGCGTGATCACCGCCCACCCGGCCCGCTACCGCGACCCCGGCACGGGCTTACCTTATCACAACGCCCATGCTTACAAGGAAATCCAGCGTTTGCGTCGCGGGGAATATAAATGGAGTAGTCTCCTTGGCGCATGGGTCGGCAGTTGCACCTTCGCGGCCCGTGGTGTACCAGAGAGATTCCTGAAAGGGGATGGTAAACCAAAGAATAAGAATTTAGAAAAGGAGGGAGGCAACGTCACCACTGGTGATGCTACAGAGAAGCAAGAACCTAAAGAGGACAAGGCCACATCGCCTCCTCAGGAAGAGAAAAGTCAGTCGGAAACGGGGACCGATAAACAAACGGTGCCCGCACCGTCACCGTCAGTATCGCAGCCAGCGCAGCCGCAGCCGGAGACGCAGCCGCCGCAACCGCAGGCTCAAAATCAGACTCCAGAGCAGGTCCAGAACCAGGAAGACCAGGAAGTAAAATCAGCAGAGCCTGAGCTTGCGCCAGCACCCGTGGTCGACCCGGTTGCGACGCCTGTCTGAGTAAGGGCAGACTTTGATGTGTATGTGACTGAATAATGAGACGGGGGTGACTGCTCATGCTCCAGGTTCTCCCCGCATAGGCTTCTCCCGATCAGATCGGAATCCGCAACCGAAACTGGAAAGGGGCTACTTGGGAGAAGAGTGCGGAGGGGTAGCCTGTGTGCGAGGAAGGTTGTTTTGCCCGTTGGTGTAACGCTGTAACGAACCATTGGACTGTAAATCTACTATTGTTGTTGTATGTAATAATACCCCGCGGCACTCTGTGGAGTTGCTCCTGAAATCTCGAGAGAACGCTTCGAGCAATAGACGTTCTGCTTCACTTCGTCGTCAAATCCTGCCAAGCCTGCCACTGTTGAATCTGCTGTTTGACAAACACTAAACAAGAACAACAGCTTACCAGCCCACGAACAAGCCCACATGCGCACACCACCCGAGTCCCAGGATGCCGACACCACATCAGGATACTTGGTCCGGGGAGACAGCTACACGGTACTCCGGAGGGAGGGTCGGCACCGGAGAAGCAGGAAAATCAACCCAGCGTTTTCCCATGTGTGCCCATCTAGAGCGACGCACAGGTTTAAGGGGTTAGGGAACAAACCGGAAGGTGTAAGAGTCGGTCGGAAAGGGGAGGGCCAGGAAGGGGGGGGAGGGGGGCATGAAAAACGTTAAAAAACTTGATTTGTCTTGGAAAAAATGGGTGAGGGTGTGGTGGGAAAATATGCTTTTTTATCACTCTCTTTCTCAAGATCCTTCTCATGGTTGGGACGTTTTCAATCTTCAGGCCAGGCACATTTCTGCCCGCCCCCCCCAACTCTGTCCGTCCACGACTCTTTACAAACGTCCTTTGCTTTTCAGCATTACTCGTATTCTTCCACTCTATCACGGGTAAGCATAGTCAGGAACCGACAGGGGGCGCTTGTGAAAGCATGCTGCCACACCAACACACACCACATTTTCCCCCTTTCGTAATCAAACGTTACGTCCGCCTCATACTCTTGCATCTCTAAGGTGTCTAGTGGCCCATGGGCTCATGCTTAACTTAAGTTCTCATCAAAGCGCACACACGTACACATACACACACTCACTACACCTCATACGCTACAACATACCACTTCGTCTTTAATCCATTCAAACTTTCGGGTTCGATATCGGATTCCCGTCTATCCATACTGCACTAGTCGTCCACCCGCGCTCACTTCCACCAGCCATCCACTGCCAGCATCGGACGAATGATCATGTAGGGCAGGGGAAATAGAAGGGACATGTTTGAAGACCGATTTTTGCCCTTTTCCCATCTGCTCCCATACACCAATAGACTACCAGCCTGTAACCCCCCTTGACGGAACACAACAGTCCGGACGGGAGGAGAGACGACAAGGGCGAGGGGAGAGGGCTGGCCGCTGTTATGCTCGCGGGCCTCGAACAAACCATCTCGTCCATCTCGGCCGTGAATGAGGGCTCGAAACTTTCCGCTCCGTTCAGGCGGCCGACACACAAATAATCGCATACACCCATACCTATGGTGAATGTCGCGAATCAGAGGCCAATGTCGTCACAGAAGTCATACACGACCTGCGACCCAATGCAAAAAGAAAAAAGAAAATACACGAGAACGAGGCGAGCATCGAGATGCTCACCCCATCTCACGAGACCTTCACACACTATACCACCCCCCCTCTTTTTTCAAACCTCTCTTTTCCTGAGTGGGAACATGCAGTTCGGAATTGTGGTCAGGGGCAGTCGAGGAATGATGGAAATAGAAAACATTGCTCGAAAGGTGTCGCATAGTGTAAAGTTGCATTATCATCATCCCCCTCCCTCCACCCCTCTCCGTGCCTGTCGTAGGTAGGAGGAAACAACTCCTTTTCGGCAAGAAGACAATTACAGAAAGAGCGCCATTTCCGGCAACCAGACCGAGTAGGGCCACCACAAATTGCCAGCCTGCAATTTGAAGACTTAACTTTCCCATCGACTTCAATCCTCTTTCCTCTCGCCCCACCCCCTTTCCTGACCACTGGTAAATAATTAGTAGCTAAGCTTCTTTGACGGTTTGATGCGCTGCGTTACTTCCTTGCCACGCGGAATGCGCACGTAAGAGAGTGTGTTGTGACTGCCGAGCCTCACGTTCGCACGCACTGTCTCCTCTTATTCTTTCTACCGCTTTTGCTCCTTTGAAACCTGCTGTCAGCGTAGTCTTGGCCTTTCATCGCAGCAGGCTATTTTCGACAACGCCTGAAGCCAAGTCTCAGACGGGAGGCTGTGTGCCACCCTGAGATGAAAAGGGTGAGGTGAGAGCCATGTCATGGGCAGAGATCACGATCCATTGTTAGAGTGCGGATTGAGTCATGGCAGATGTTTCATTCGTTATCTAGCAAATCGTACATCGTTCCAGATGGCCCATCGCCAAGTCAATTCAGCAGGCTTGTAAGCTGCTGCAACAAGTATCGTCCAGATACTCCAAACGCCAAATGCGAAGCGCCCATTCCAACTTTTTTGAGCCAAAATCGAAGACTCAGCTTTTCATGCTGTCTCCATTCCATTTGCCCCCGGATCGCTCAAAAATGTCCACTCCATAAAGCGCCGTGGGCTTGATAGCCGTACCGTGAGTGGTTATGAGGGGAAATGAAAATGGGTATATCGTCCAGTACTCCGTCCAAAAACTCCATTCCAACCGTTTGTAATCGGTCGGTGGCTGAAGCCACCAGGCCGCGCTCGCGTACCCTTCACAAGGGGGGCTAATGCATAGTGCAAGCCTTGTGTAACCTATAATGCAGCCCTGTCTATGTGACCTTGCTGTAATTAAGTGTCCGTAGTTGCTTTTTTAAAGAGAAAAAGAAAAAAGTAAATTGATGGAAAAGCGATTATACGCCCTTTCCACGGATAATATCGACCATCCAGCCCATCTCGTTGACCAAGTCGTCAAGGCCATTGTCGACAGGTGCGGAGACGACGGTGGTAACGCCGGGATGATTCTTGATGCCGGGTGCACGGGGCAAGCTGTAGTTTTGTTCCAAAGAAGGTTTCCTCGTGCCAGGCAGCGATAAAGGTTGGACAAAGTTGGCATCACTCTCGTTTGAGTAGCGATCGTCCTCATTTGAGTCGTAGTAGGAAACTATCTCATCCTCGGGAGAGATGGGGCCGACAGAGGAGGCAACGCTCGAGTCGGATGAGAAAGAGAAGCGCGATGCGGGGGGCGCTTCCTCCAATTCGTTCAATGGTAGAGGAGGAAGGGGGGAGTACTTTTTCTCACGGGTTAGAACCCTGGCAGTGCTAACGGTGGGCATGCTGCTGTCGGAGTGGCAGCGCTTAAAGGGTGGCGGTGACAGGCTAGTAGTGTAAGGGTTGACTTCAGAGAGAGCTGATGAAGCAAAGTTTTCGTCATCCTCGTTCTCCTCAACGATGTCATCAGGGATAAGAACAGTTGGGCGACCTTCGACGCTGGCAGAGACGCTAGCGAAGAGGTTGTCGTCAGAAAGAAATCGGCGCAGACTCTCAGGTGAGAGGTCACGGGTTCGGCTGCCATCGGAGGAAGAGATGCTCTGGCTGTCGTCTGAGTAGGCATAGGAGTAAGGGGAAACCGGTCGGTCTTCTTCCTCCAGCTGGCGAGCGCGATCCGTAATACGATTCGTCGAGGGCTTTCTGGAGAAGATGCGGCGCCATGTAGGTGGTGGTGATGCAGAACCAGCTCGAGAGATTGACCTCACTGGGGGAGCTGCAGGCGCAGAGCCGAGCCGCTGACTAGGACTACCAGGGACTGGTGGTGGGGGCCGAGGAGTGATGAACTTGTCCTCCGGGTTCATGGTTTTGTACTCGCTGTGATGCAAGGACCCTAAAGACGCACTTCGCTTGCGCTCAGCCATCTCATAGGGAACATCCAACGTGTTGACTGTCTGGCCTGGTAGGTAAGGGCACTGGGTGGTAGTTGGGAGAGCAGGATTGTGTGTCTCATGAGTGCCATCAAGCTCGTACTAGACGGTGTTAGCGAATGGACCAGGGCGAAAATCAACACCAGTAGCCACTCACGTAGTAATAGTAGGTATTACCCATCTTCAAACCGCCGTTTCGCTTTTTATCCCTAACACCAAAATCATCGTCGATAACAATGTCGTTGAAGGTGTGGCATCCGCGCCATTGGCCGCGGTCTCGTCGAATGTCTCGCTCCATGATGTAAGGCTTAGAGAAATTGTCCCAAGAACCAACCAAGTGCACTGATCTTACGGTCGGATGGGTTTGACTGAAAGTCACATAGGTCAGCAAAATAAATCGCCGAGGATGTTGGGAAGTTATATATCAAGAGAGCTCGACAAGTGTCAATGATGATGTGAGGCCGTGTAAGCCGTCAGCCACTAGGCTTCCACCAAGCATCAGACCTGGGTCCCTGTCCCTGTCGCCCCCTCCAAAGTGGACGAGGTGCCGACCAAAGCCGGCGAGACTTTTTGGCTTTGGCAGACGTTTGACGGAGTTCTCGGAAGGTTGCCGTTGGGCTCATGATGGTGGATGGGAAGGAGAGGAACGGGCGCAAGCTAGGGCCGGGGACGCAGGGCATGGCATAGCCCGATATAAACTTTTCCATCCGACATTGTTCGAAACAGAAGCCCAAGCAGCTGGTAAAGCACACAGCCAAACAAACTTCGGCGCCTGTCCCCGAAGGTGTTCCCCGACCTTATGGGGAAATCCAAGAGAGTATACAAGCAAATAAAAGGCGACGAACTTTCGAAGGCCCGCTACATGCTGTTGTGGCAGGATTGGGCGAGACTTAGATGTAGACAGTGATGGGACGAGGGGTGATGCTGATCCTGACCAAACATACAATTATGCAAGTTCGAATGAAGGTACGTAGATGGCTGACTGGGTGGGAGCGAAAACGATGCCGAGGCTTCGACCAGCGAACAAAAAGAGAAACGAAAGCGAATAATATGAGTGAACAATGGCCCCGACAGAAAAAACTCACAGCATAAAAGTGAAGAGTGTTGTGGTAGGGTCCATGGTTAAGAGCGGGATGGGCAAAGCCCAAATGAAATAGGTCGTGGGAATGTGTCTCAATTAATGGGAATGCTGTCCCGCAGTAGCACAGCACACCAGACGTCTGCGGCTGGTGCAGTTGAAGGCTTGGTATTTCCTCCTCTGGTTGTTGGCCCGGTCGGTGTGGTGTAAGTCTACTTGGCCTGCGTTGGTTGGGATACCACAGGTTGATTTGATTTCAGTGAAACGCCAGGAGCAGTCCCATTCTGTCGAGATAGACGCAGAGCAGCACCAGGTTGAAAACAGGCAAGGCTGATTTGAAATTGACGGAGGGTGTTATCGACCAATGAAGGGGTCGAGATGTGTGTGTGGAAGCGCCGGGACGGCCGTTGGGATGGGCGAGGTCGATCGTTGACTGGTGAGCGCTTACAGAAACAAGCGGGCGGGCCCTGTGAATGCAGAGGAAGGATTGCAAGGTAAGTACGGTTCTGCTTTGGAACAGGCGAGGTAACGGAGGTATTGGGGGTGCCCAAAACTGTGTTAGAGGTTGAGATGGAATTCAGGTACCCGTCTAGTCCTCGGTCTGGCTTTGGATCGGGGCCTTGAGCTTGAGTCTGGAGTGCGAGTGGGTGTTGAAGGGAAGTTTCCCCAAGTCGCCCTCTAATATATATGAACCTCAGACGGAACTGGGGAACGTCTCGAGAACCTTGAACTGAATGGAACGGAGGGCTAAGGATTACCAGCAGCGCCGTAGGGTACCGTAGGATGAAGCAGTAGCGCGAGTGAGAGAATAATTAGATAGTCGCAACAGAAACGTGCCCTGGCAGCCAGTTAAGCCAGTTGGGAATGAGATCACGACCAGGGTCTCCCAGGCCTTTTGAATGAGCTTTTCGCGCACTAGCACAAGGCAAACCAGATCAAGAACAGGTGGATTAGGTGGGTTTTGTGGATTTTCGCAGCTCCTTGTTTCCAAGTCGGCGGCGGGAGAAGCGCTTTGAGCCCCCAAAAGCCCCCGAGAGCCCCTCTGGTAATTCCGCAAGACCCGTGAGACCCTGGTGAGGAGGCGTCGTTGGTGAAAGCCAAGCGCATCACCTGTGCCAAGTTGGGTAAAACGGGACGAGTTGGAGGCTTCGCCTGGGTGGGTTTGTGGCTTTGAGTGGCAGAAGCGGCCAAAAATCAGACCAGAGGTCTTTGGGAGAGTCCCTAACCTTTCCCGACGCAGCGTGGTAGAAAATAAGTGCTATCCCCAGGCAGGCAGGAGAGGCTCCTTAGCCAACTGCGTCTCTAGGGATTTGAGAAAGGGGCGTACTACGTAGTAAGGGCAGTTCATGCAATCCACTAATATGGCCAGGGCTAGTGATGCCTCGTCAGGCCATGTGGGCGTCCTTGTTCGAGGTTGAGTGCCGGGTGCACCAGCAGGGATGTGGCCTTGTGGGAAGATCGATTGGACGACGTTTTTTTGATTAAGGTCCGCCGATGTAAGGTACCGCTTAATGGGGATTGGCTGCGAGCAGTCGGAGGTGACGAGGGAGTGTTGTAATGTTGTCGTCGCTGGGTACAGTCTCGGACTTCAGTGGACGGCGACAACGGTTGGTTGTTGGACGAGTTTCCCTTGGTTGCTCTTTCTCCTCGCGGCATGGAATGAATTGAGACAAAGGATGGTTTAAGGATTCAAGACACATGAATGAAAAGGGAAGGGAAAAAGAAAAGAAAGAAAAAAAGCGGTTGAGAGCAGAAGCAACACCAAGGTCCGCATGGGCTACTCGCTGTCTGGTGGTCTGCACCTGCACCCAATGCAACGCAACGCAACTGCGTAAGTACGGGAGGCGCAACATGCGCTTTCCTTGCTATGGCGTATCCTGCCATTTTTTGGAATGCATCACCTTGCGCCTCCTCTCGGCTGAACAAACCCGCACGCTCTCTTATCGCGCGTGCAGGTAAGAACCGGAAGAAACTGCCGCTTCTGTAATTTACCTCTGCCCACGGAGTGAGGTCCAACAACCCCCTGGCGGAAACGGCAATTGGCGATCGATAAACAACAAATGTAGCCCGCCCCATGGCTTCGTTGTCCAGGACACAGCATGACAACACGGGGTTTCGAATTGTATTGGGTGTCCTGTATTCTTTCCTCTCTTCTTCAGAGCCAACATTGACCGTGGTGGCTAGGGCTAGATATCTGGCAGCCAACAAACGGAAGAGTTACATGCTGAAGCCTGCCTATTAAGCTGAGACCCGAGGCCCATTTCACACGTGTCGCAATTTGGTGAGTTAAGCCATCAATGCCGCTATCTCATCAATACCATTGTATACACACAAAGGCCATTATAATGCCATGGCAGGCATGGGTATTGGATATGCTACGGGAAGGCGGCACAGATGATCAAACGCAGCAAAAGTTATGTTGGTCAGTCACACGGCTCACTGAGGTTGACCGTGATTAGGCATAATAGGTGGAGACCTATCACGGCGGCACCTGGTGTACAGTGCCAGAGCTTCCCGTCCCCAGACGTACTCCGGACGAAAACTACTCGGCACTCTTACCATCGAAAACAAGGTACCAATGTCCATACGCCTGGCACGGATGCAAACAAACATCGTCCCCCAACCCGAACACCTCGCACTCCCTGTCCCTGAGATATCCGTGCCGAGAATCAGTATTTGGCCATTTTACACCTCACACAAAAACGAGACGCCGTAGGCTTGTTGAACTCCTTGGATGGGACATGGTGTTGTGACCCAAGCATATGAGAGCCAACCCAACTCAACCTATAATGTCTCAGTCTTGAACGATAACCATCATGCAAAGCCGCTGCGAATAGCGTACAGGCGTTATCGACCCTTTTTCGGTTCCATCAAAATTTTGGGCCATTCACGGACCTTGCTGCCAGCGGCCACGCATCTCGATGCATCGGGGACAACCAATCCAGATCGGACATGCGCCGAGCAAAAGTCCGTTGACGGGAACTCCAGCTCCAGCACACCAGCAACAGCCCACCAGAACCAACTAGCACCAACACTACATTGCGCTCCGGATCTTGACAGGCGTACAGACGACCACGCCTGTCATATATCCCAGCTATGGAGCCAGAGGTGCAGCCACATCAGTGCGCTAAGGTACCAGCTGCAGAACCCTGCATCTCTTTGTGATGTTACCCAGCCCGAGGCCAGAGTTGTGCCCGCTCATGTCCTTAGTATCTTGCTACCATGTACGCTACCTACGCCGCCTCGCATTACATGCCTTTCGGCGTTATGCTACGATAAAGCGGCAACATCTAATTGATACCGTATTGATCATATCACAAACATGGTTCCAGGAAGAGCGTTACGCTGGCTAATGACTTTCGCAACTGACGTAAGATGGCTTCAAGACCCCAGCCCCTGGCTGCGATCACGATGCAACATATCCAATGCACTCTCCGCTTGCGTCGTTTACGTCGCGACACAGACTCTGGGCGCAGAACATTGGTTGACATCGTGGCAAAGCCGGACTCGACATTCCAAAGGCCCATAATGCGGCATGCCCAGTGCGCCAGACCAAATCCGTCAACTTGAGTAAAGTCCCGTAGACCTCCTGGTTTGTGGCCTGGTCGAGACCTCGTGATCAACACTGTCCAGACCATTGCCGACTGCCGACTGCAAGGTCGGCGGCACCTCAAACAAACATGAGCTATACAGTCATGCTCGAGTCACATTCTCTGACAGCACCATCTCGAGGTTTCCCTGGTCTCAGAGCTTAACTCTAATCTCAGACAGAACAGCGCACCTTATTATCGGTGTGAGGCTGGAGCGCACTCGGCCGGGTTGACCAGGTCCGCGACCTCTCTGCAGCGCCCTTTTCAACTGTTACGGCCGACTCGACATTCGTCTCGACTTGACTCGAAAGCAGTGTTTATGTTTTTGACACGTTCTAAAACAGGCAGCTTAAGGCGACCGGTACGCACGATTTCCCCAATGCCCCTTACAATAATACCTTTGACTTGACTCGGCCCCATTCCTCTCGCGTCGCAGCAGATAGTTTGGTCAAGGCTTTCGTTCGTCCCTTCTGCCCCATCTTCAATGAAGCCGTCCCCGACCTTCCGAAGACCTCGGCTTGATTCGATCGCCAGATACACCCTGTAAAGACGACGTACAGAGGTTGAGAGAGAATTGCAGCGCATCTAGGAGCCGTAACGTGGTAGGCTCCAGATTGACTCTCATCGCTGTTTAGGGGCAAAGCATACCATGTAGGGTGCCCAGTGTCTGATTCGTTGGTATGAAAACTAATTCGCAACCAATATCTGGTTTCTCTTAACCAGCCATTTTTGAGTATGATGAGAGCATGTCTCAAGAAAAACCACAATGGAGCACGACAGTCCGCTTTCTGGTCCTCAGCGGACAAATTCCGTAGACTTCGAATCGACCCCTAACTTCCGGTGTACGATGAGCAATGAACGATGAGCGGCAAGCAGGAATATACTTATTTTTGCTATGCGTACCCTGAAAGACGGAACTTAGCGGATGAGCTGTTTCTTATTCGACAGGTTATACTCGGCCGTTTGCGTCTTGGCAACGCCACCTGCCTTCTGTCGAGATTCCATGGAATATGGAGCCTGAACTGTAAACTGGTGTAACTAATGTAGCAGACGCAAAAGACGACACTACCTCGCTGCAGGTTCACGACATCAAATGACCGCCCTCCAACTGAAAATAGATGTTCCTCGCCTCCATCGCTTATCTTCCCCGTCTCCCCGAGATTGCCAACTCGCGGCCATTATGGGCTCAAAAGTCCATATGTAGATGCTCCTGTCTGTTTTGTTTCCAGTCTTTCACAGGAGCACGGAAGCCGATGCGATCATGACGCGCTGCAAACGGGCGCAGTCCTCGCGCAGATCACTGAGTCGGGTGCTTCCTCTGCCGTTTCGTGGCACGGCCAAGGCGATCGCACAGCCCAACGGACGGTCCTATTTTATGCTACAGCGCTGCACTGCCAACATGTCTCATCCCCGCTCCTTTGTACGCGGTTTTGTGTTTGTAATGCCTCCAATGACCCAAGGACGTGGGAAAAGTTGCCAGGCTGCATCAGCAGCAGCAGGGACAAGCTGCGGGGTGAAAGTGTAACCGGTATGTTGCGACGGTGATCACTAACCAAGGGGGCTGGACGGCGTTCTGAGGCAATTGAGCTTCCAAACGCGCACATTTCCTCCTTCAATTTCCTCATCAATCGAATGTTTCAAGTGGTGATGGCAGGTCAGACAGATGTCCCAAGCGTTCGGATGGCCGAGGACCCCCTTTCGGGAGTTACGAGGCCCGGCTCCCATATGAACGATCCTACTACCTGCACTTGGGTGTTTGTACCGCGTCGCGTCCAATTCTGTTTAACTCTGGCTGCATACCTGTTTCCCGCTTACGCAGGTACACGTATTAATAGAAGCGAACGATACAGGAAGCACAGATGGCGCCGGAGGCTATGTGAATTATCCGTATTATCGTCCATTAGGTGATGTGATAAGCGGGCTAGAAGTAATGACGTCCTCAAGCCCCCCCTTTAATACTACTTTCGTGTCCACGTTCCGCCAAAGCCGGTACGTTTGTCCCCTTCCCTTGACATCTCGAAGGATGGGGTAACGTGATGGGAGCTGCATAAGAAGATGATAAAAAAAAAAACGAGAGCCTCGCTTGCTACGAGTTGCTCCCCATCAAGTGTGCCGAATACAAACAAACCCCCCTCTCTTTCCTTCTCTCATGGTCAAAATACTTGAACAAGAAATAAGGAAGAGAAAAAAAAATGAAAAAAACTACAACCGACCTTGCTCCCAACGTTGCTGTGCGTGTCACATGAAAAACGCCCTTTCCCATGCTTTCCCTAGTTGTTTGTTTGTAAAAGTAATATTTTACGCCCCGAAGTGATAGAAATCCTGTCTCCTTCGTTTGGGGGTTTTTGACCCGGTTCCCCCCCTCTTGGTTCCTGCTGATCCAAAACCAGTCTCGATCGAACTTTGCGTTTCAAGAAGAAAAATAGAAGGCGCGGTTGTACAGAAGAATCGAAGAAAATGGCGTTGAGCGATTAATTATATGTTGTATCGTCATCGTAGGACGGTAATGGTCTGTTCGAGTCTGTAGTCGGTAGGCATCTCGGAGACCTCAGCCTCGTTTTACCTTTTCTATTCCACGCTTATTTAGACTTGGCCTCTGTCGCCTTGTTCTGCTTTGCCACTGCCAGGCGGTTCCTCCTGTCGCCCTTGTACTTGGTGTCGAGAACGCGGTCCCAAAAGATGAAGAAGGGCTGAGAGAAGTTGGTCTTGATGCCCCACGTCTGGTGGTGGATATCGTGGTACGCGGCGTTGTTGCTCGAGATGTGCTGCAACGGATCCCAAGGCAGGGAGTAGCCGCAGTGGTCATCAACGGTCTTGATAGTGGAGAAGCAGAAGAACAGCAGTCCCTGCCTAGCGTTCATGCCGGTCAAGAGAAATCCCAAGCCGGCGCCGAGAGTGTCGAGAAGAAAGCCCTCGAAGGGGTGGTTGTACAGAGCCCCGTACGCGTAGGGGACGTAAAGGCGGTGGTGTCTCGAGTGGAAGGTAGCTGAGAGAACATTTGGTTAGCCGCTTGCTATTCTGCCAGTGATCCCAGAACGGGGTCAAGTTTGCGCCAAAGGTTAGATCTTGCACTTACTGTACATCCACTTGTTGACGTGCATCAGACGGTGCAGGAAGTACTGCCAGGTATCCAAGATAGAAACAGCGGCGAAGAGCTGGAGGCCAGGAATGACAAGCCAGTAGAGGGCCTTTGCGACGAAGAGCTCCCAAGCGGCGAATGCAGGGACAACTGAATGCGATCCGTCAAGCAGCTCGGTGGTAAGGAAAGGGTAATGACCCCCAGCGAGTGCGCCGGCGATGAAAGGGTGTCCCGAGGCCGACATGTTCTTCGAAAGCGAAGCGGCGTTAAGGCCGAGCAGGCCGAGAAGGGTAGGCAGGGCGCGCTGGGCGAGGCGCACGCGGGTAGCCCAAACGGCAACGTCGTAGTCCTCACGTCCGATAGTCTGCTCGTCGTCGATATATTCCAGGAAAGTGGACATGGCGACTTGAATGGCCTGTTGGATCAGGACATCGCGGGCGACCTCGTACCGCGAGACGTGATTGCGCTTAGTGATCTCCTCGGGAGTGTGCAGACGGTACTGCGGCCAGATATCGTAGACATCAATGAAGTGGAAGAACATCGACAGTATCCAGTAGACGATAATCGGAAGGAAAATGTTCAGGTAGGTGTCTGGGATGCCGGCAATGAGGTCAGGCTTGGGCCTCAGGGTGTAGGCCGGAAGCGGCGGAAGGTCGCCGGCCGCCGACGTGAAGTTGAGCGCCATCGTGGGAGGGAGTGTTTCGTTCACCATGGCCGGTGCGAGAGTTGATTTGGGATTTGTTCGGGTCGATTGGGTGTCAAAGAGAGACGGGACGGTTGTGGTTGATAGCGTGTAAAGATGTAATTCGAAAGGGAGGGCGGGGGGCGAGGCAGGTTCGCGGGTGCGGTAGTTAAAGGAGTGAATGGGTTGGATATAGGAAAGGCCAAATCCTGGGTGCAAAGCAGACAGGACAGGGCTGAGACGATAAAGTCAGAAGACTTGTGGCGAGTTGGTCGTGGTTTCACTAGGCTTGACTAGCTTGGCCCCTGTTCGAAATGCAAAAAAAAAATAAAAACATAGACTGACAACAGTACACACACACACAATACGCAGTCAGAGGAGCAGAGCGGGTATTAAAGGTACGTCTTCCCTGGTGGTGCCGCTTGATGCTTTAAAAGTTGATAGGCAACGGTCTTAGCGGCGACGGCGGGAAGGTCGGGCGGGCAATTTTTTCCCCTTCTCGGAGACCGGGCTCCTCGAGGCGTTGGGCTGCCCATGCACGCCCCAAGAATGATGCGCTTTATCAATCTCGCTTGTGGAAAGGCGCGGGCCTCTCGCCTTTCGACAGTCTCCCGGTTTTGCCACGGATCGAACCACAAATGCCGTTGCTTTAGGTTATCGAACAAATCAGCTGGAATCTTTCGAAAGAGTGCGCCCATTGACTCTGTGAGACACCAATTGAAATGTCATTTGTATTCAATAATCCAACATTTTGCGCTTCGTCCCCGATGAGCTTCGATGCCCATGACGAATGACTGCGTTACCACTGCCCACCACTTCATCCGCGTAATTGCGCCGGGCTTGTCATGTTGTCATAACTCTATTGCAATGCGCGGCTTGCCACGCTGCCGTGTCAGGCCACTGGCTGTCCCCTGTCATTGCCGTGGGTACGCGGACACGTCGGTAGCTTAGGTAAGTCCGGCGCCCGCGGTCCATAGATCCAAACGCTGTGTTAATCTTACTACCCTAGTGCACCCATTCTATGTAGTCAGCAAATCATCTCCCATAAGAGTCTAATTTGGACTGAGTGAAGTCAGCCAAAAGATGTCAGTCACCAAAGTATTCAAAAAAAAAAGCATTGCTTTGATCCGGGTAAATGCTGGATGTGATGACTTGTCTCAAAATGAGGCGTTGGTCCCATCAAGCTCCGCTCTATCCCATGTTATGAGCGCTCTCATAAGGATCAAAGCCCAAGACCAGACGATGCTCCATCCCAGAGAAACTCATGTGACACACAAGAAACTGGCAGGTCAGTTATTGAACTAGTATCCATTCACCGCTGCGACAACTCTGTAGAAACCAATTGAGGCTATCCCAGCTTCGAACGTGGAACATGTGGATATCGTCCAGGCCATCAGCGGCACCGGCGCTGTCACCCCCTTTCACGGCTTACTTAGCTAAGGTATCCAGGCTTTGACTGACCAAAAGTACCAGAGCAGCATGTGCTAGAGGCCGAGTAGCTATAACTCTCCTTCCAGTTTTGTACGCTTGTAAACAGTACAAGGTGTAACAGTTTCAAGCCTAAATCGAATGGCATGATAATGATAAATAAATTCCAAAATAAAGCAAGCCAGACAAAAATTCCGTCCACTTGATATCTCTGCGTTCCAGTGGATCAGGCTGACCCTCATGTTCTCGCCTTCGGGCTGGCCGCTGCCTTGTTAGTCGAATCCTTGAACATCTCTGCAAAATCCTTAACAAACACCCGCCTGGACATCAACGCCAGTCCCAGAAAGGTTTAGCGTTGAAAACCCCACCAAACACAGTCCTCCCACTTGCCAAATTTGCGAACACTTTTCGCCCTTCAAAAGCGACCCCCTCTTCTTCTCTTCTCCAGACTCAGACAACGAATTTCCGTCTCGCAGCCTCGTTCAACCTTTACTCCTCTCCGACCTTCTCAGACAAACCGCCAAAATGATTATCTTCAAGGTACAGCTCCCCCCGAAGCCACGGCAGTCCGCGATGCCCATGACATCTCACACGATGAATTTTACCCCTCCTTCACACCCCCGCCAACAGACGGAAAAAAACAAAAATTGTCTTAAGATAGGGAACTCTAGCTAACGAGAACCCCGCACCAAATAGGACATCATCACCGGAGACGAGATCATCTCGGACTCCTACGACCTCAAGGAGATCGATGGCACTGTCTACGAGGCTGACTGCGCCATGATCACTGAGGGCGCTGTCAACGTCGGTTCGTAACACCCTTACGCTTACCCCGCGCGCTTCCAGTTAGCGAGTGTAGCAGCAAAATCCTGACGAGACAAAACTTGCAGACACCGGTGCCAACGCTTCCGCCGAGGAGGCTGATGAGGGTGTTGAGGACGCCGAGGTCAAGGTCAACAACATCGTCCACTCTTTCCGTCTCCAGTCCACCTCTTTCGACAAGAAGAGCTACCTTACCTACCTTAAGGGTATGTGGAGCCGCCATAACCAATGTATATCCTTTTCTAGACTCAGGACTGACTTTACGCTTCCCGATAGGCTACATGAAGGCTGTTAAGACTGCTCTTCAGGAGAAGGGTGACGAGGCCAAGGTCAAGGAGTTCGAGTCCGGCGCCCAGAAGTACGTCAAGGAGAAGCTCCTGCCCAACTTCAAGGACTTCGAGTTCTACACCGGCGAGTCCATGAACCCCGACGGAATGTAAGCATGATACTATTACCCAACTCCTCGCACTGAATACTGACCATTGGCAAAGGGTCGTTCTCCTCAACTACCGTGAGGATGGTGTCACCCCCTACATCATCGTCTGGAAGCACGGTCTCTCTGAGATGAAGGTTTAAAAAATCTCGGCGGAGAAGTCCTGTTTACGAGATTTTGTGGGTGCTGGGCCAATTTTTACGTCTAGACACCTTGCTATAGCGTCCATCTGCTTTGGCATATATCCCTTCAGATCCTTAGCAAGCAAAAAAGTGAAAAAAAAGAACACTCGGTGTTGGCCGTATTTTATGACGACCCCTCGGTACCATGGTGAACTGCAAACTGTCTTGTCTATTGAATTCCGATTGTCCTCTCAAGGGGCCGTACTCCGCATAGTGGCCTAACTGTTCCTGACAAAAAACGCCACAAATGCATACCTTATGTAATGAAACCCCGCCTCTCGCGTACTCTGACTTGCTCCCACTACTGCTCAAAATGTCGGTTTGGTTGCTAAGGGGATCGGAGGAGGTTCATCATCGCCGGCCGGTCCTGACGGCGGCTGAGGTGCCCCACCAAGCTGAGGCTTCTTCTTCGGCGGCGGCGGCGGGGGTGGCTTCTTCTTCCCTAGCGCGTTGACGAGTCCGGGAGGCGGAGACAATGGGTTAGAAGAGGCATTGGTAACACCCTGCTGTTGTTGCTCGCCAGCTTGCCCGGCATACTTTCCCACCTTGTCGGCAATGCCGTATTTCTGGTTCATGTTATTAGCCGTCTTTACTCCGGCCGCAACCTGGTCTCCGTGACGTTGACGGAAATTGTTGAACGTTGATGCAGCGGATCGGGCGTCCGCCATTGACACGGACGACGGGTCCTTATGGAAGTTGGATGCCGTTCGTAGCGCTGCCTGCTTCTGCTCCATCGTAGTTCCCTCCGTCGGCGGTGGGGTAGACGACTGTCCCGAGGACTTGCCCAACTTCGCGAAGCGGTTCTGCAACTCGTTCATCTGGCCGGCGCTGGGCGGCGAGAAGGCACCCGCTCGCGACGGCGCTGCAGGGCTATTGTTGTTGGACCGAGTCGGTGGCTCAGGGGCGGACTTTCCGATTCCTAGTGAAGGGACTGACACGCCGGCCGCGCCTAGCCTGTTCATCGCGCTCTGGTTGAGGTAGCCACCGCCGCTTGATGCTGGTGGTGGTGCGGGAGAGGATGGCGAAGTGGTCGTAGATGATGCAGAGGGTGTTCTGGGTGGGAGCCGCGGGGGTAGACTCGGGGGTGGTCGAGTGGCCGCTTGACCAGGAGGCGGCGTCCTTCCATCCGCACCATCTTTGCGTCCGGGAGGTGGTGGCAGATGGGCTGTTGACAGACCCGTCGTATTGACACGGAACGGTTGCGGCGGCGGTGCCTCCTCTTCGGGCTCCTCTTGCTGGGGGTATCGATTCGAGTCATCGTAGGGCGGTGGGGGTGCTCCGGGAGAAGTTGCACTCGACCGTGATGGCGGAGGAAGGGGTTGTCCCGGAACTCGTTTCGGCGGCGGCGCGAACGATGAAGGATCTTGTAGAGATGCTAGTGGCCTGGCAACATGTCCAGACCGGTCATCTTTGTCCTTATTCCTGCCCAAAAGCCCGTTCTGTATGTCATCTATCAGTATCTCAATTGCGTGCTATCTCTCCGCCCGGTCGACAAAACGCACCACTTGACCCTTAAAGGTAGTTCCTTCCTTCTCAGGGTGCCATCCTTTTTTCATGAGATTCCCAAATCCAGACATTTCGCCAGGCTTTTCTTTCTTCGAACGCAAAAGGGTCGATAAGGGGAAGCCAAATGTAAAGATGTTTGAATTGAGCCTCGGGCGGTGTGAAAAGGGGCCAGGCCGGTCGGGTTGTGCAATTAATGAGCGGCCGGTGGAGGTTCAATGTCTCCAGCGGTGGCTCTTCGTCAGCGCTCCATCCCAGTCCTCAGCGTGACGTCGGTTTAAGTGGCAGTGAAGGGAAGGAAAGACGGGTATGCCCCGCCCAACTCACTATTGGGCCGCTAACGTTGGGGCGGTTAGGCGCTGGCAGGCCGGGAACGGGCAGATAAGCAGCGCTGGACGCCTTGCGATTCAGGCGCGAAAAGTTAGCCCCTCTGAGGGAAGTGCTGGACCAAATATTGACTTTCGTCGCGTCAGTCGCGTCTTCTGGACCGCACATCGCCGCTTACTCGACTACGATCCTCCCCCACCGATTGTCCACATCAAGACAGGCCAGGATGTCGCAACGAAACATCATCGATGCCGAGCTCTTGACAGAGCACCTTGGGTATGCGCCAATTGTATGTTGCTTCTCCAGGCTGCTAAGCGCACTCTCTTAGGCAAGAGGCTAATATGTCGGCAGTCACTCCTCGACAGCATTATCAACAATGTCAATGCCGTAGCCGACAAAACCCTCGACCGCGTCGAACAGGGTCTATCCAGAGCACCCCCCAAAGCCCTGGGATTCGAAAAGGCGTTAAAGCAAAAGAAGAAGAAGCCTTCCGCCGGTGAACCACAGGCTAACATTGAGGAGACGGCAAAGCTTGAGATTATCGACGGCGTTCACAAGCTGGAAACGCTACTATGTGCTGCCATCGACAAGAATTTTGACATGTACGAACTCTACGTGATGCAGAACATTCTAGGCATTCAACCAAGCCACCGCAACTGGATGCGTTTGGCGCACTATGATGGCCTTGACTTCACGGCAGGTGCGCATGAGGATGCGCCTACGAGAGAAAGCGTTGAAGCGCTGAGGCAGAAGCTGCAGGCTAGTCAGCGACTCAACGTTATGCTACATGCTGAACAGGCGAAGAACGCGGCGCTCTTGACGAAGCTGAAAGATCTTGTTGGCGGCAAGCCCCCTGGCACGAGAACTTCGCTGGGAGCTGCAGAGGTCAAGGTTGAAAGCGCAGACGACAGAGCACCCTTCCAATTCTTGCACAATAAGGGCGACCTTACAGAGGGAGATGCAAAGACGCCTATTACGACGACCACGGCGTTCAACTTGTCACAGCTACAGGCTCTGCGAGCTCTATCTACTTCGTTGCGAAATATTATGCCAGACCTCAAGGACCCATCTAGTATGGAAGAGGGCCCAGAGAAGAACAAAAGTTGGAGACGGGAAAGACTAGAATATGTCGAAGGCGAGACAAGGAAACACCTTGAAACTGTTAGAGGGCTGGAGTTGGGCAAAGACGGCGAGGTGCGTGATGGGGAATGGCAGGGCGAGGGAAGGAAGTTTGCCAAGGGCGAGGTGGAAGGTCTGGAAAGTGTTGTAGCGGCCCTCGGCGGAGGAGTTGGAGGATCCGGTGAACAGGCTGACCCTGACGCCATGGACGAATCGTGAATTCTCGGCTGGGAGGTTGGGCCTTAGCTGGCCCAATATTCTGACGAACACTACGACGAAGGGATCGGTTCGACCAGCATCTGCTTCCACTGTGGCAGCAGCAGTCAACCAGCCCGCACTAGGGACGGAACCCAGGAGATCGTCGACACTCTCGAGACAACCATAGGCGACCAACCCAGTATTCAGATTGGGATGCTGTTGGCGCAGCGGTAGCTTGCGCACAGCTTCGATTGGCGCCCAACGCAGTTAACCATGTCCTTCGGAAGAAGTATTTGGAGATGGCCTAGACTGTTGCGCACACACCGGAAAACTGCTCAGCACGCGACTACAGCGCTTCTTCGCTGGCGACAATATAGCCGACAACAACGTCGAAAGATTATACGGCAACCCGAGATCAGTAAATTCGAGCGCAGCTTGATTCAATAGCTCTCGTGGTTATCTACAGAGTTACAAGCGTGAAGTATGAGCAAATGTCCCGGTTGAAACTCCGCGTTTGAAACTTGAGGGACCGAACAGATGGAGGCTAAGCGTACGGCCCTAACAGAGATGGTGCCAGAGGATGGGTGAACAAGCACGAAACCATCAGGCAGACTGACATGTGAATAAGGTCCATAGATGAAAGGCAGAGAATCAGACACCTATGAGGTGAGCCTAAATGTGTCACCCTGTGAAAAAGTTCAGATAAAACACTTTCGAACACTGGAGATGTCGATTTCAAGTTGGAGTTACATCACGTTTTATGCTTTTAGGCCACCAAGTTGGCAGCCGGCGGAATAAGAAATATAATGAAGCGGGATCTGCTGTAGCCCGCCCGACAGAATGATATACATACAGCCCTTCAGTCCAAACAAGTATCGGCCAAAAGCTGGCGAGAGAAGTCTAAGAAGGATGCATTAGAGCATAATTTTACTGCGCTGACTGGACAAACACTGAGCGGCCAGATGGCGTGAATTGCAATTGGATCCAGCGTGCAGAACCATTGAAATCAAAGAGTAAAACACAGTACAGTGGTTTTCCATGCGCTCCATCCAATCCGCGCCCCCGCCATCTTAGTACCATGGTATATAAGGGACACTGATACGGTGTAATACAGCACAGAAGACATGGATATTTAATTGTGAGAAGATCAAAATATCGAATCAACTCTTTGTGGTTTGATGCATTGCCAGCGTGAGCCAGCTGCTATATGTGCCTAATTCTCATACCCAAACGCCGCCTGCTAGTTGATGATTGTCATGTACCTGTACCTGTACCCCGAACCCATTGAACACCAGTGAATGTAATACAAAGCAATCTGAAGCATTATATGTTTAAATCTCCTCAATGAGACCCTCGGATTTCTGGTCCCATTCCTTACACCATCCGAACCAGTACCTCCGGCGGCATTCAGGTTCCGATGGAGCCTTCGTTGGCGCCGTGGTTGGCGTCACTGTGGGCGCCGTAGGAGCTGCTGTAATCGGGTGAGAGGTAGTCGTAACAATCAGTGATGCCGAGGTGGGCACCGCATCCTTACATCCCCAAAACCGCCCTGGAGTTGCGCAGGTAGTCGTGGAGGATTCACTGGTTGTTGTCGTCGAAGTAGTAGTGGTAGTGGTTGTTGTTGCTGTTGTCTTGTCCTTGCACCCAAACCAGCCAGGCGTCTTGCAGGTTGACGTCGTCGATGTTGATGTTGTTGTTGTGGCTGTAGCGGTAGTCGTCGTCTCATCTAAACAACCCCACCAGCCAGGTGTCTGACAGGTCGCGGTGCGCGTACGGGTCTTTGAAGTGGTCGAGGATTTCGACGTCGTAGTCGTCTCTGTGCCGTTGCTTTCGTACATCTTCCAGTTGACGCAATCGCGGCACTCGGGCGTGGCCTTGCACACAGGAACGTTGTCATACTTCATGATGACGTCGTGGATCACGGACCGAATCTTGTGCGTTCCAATGCCGACTCTCCACCCCTTGTCTGCCACGACATCGTAGACACACTCTACTCCAGTGTGGCAGGCAGATTCCATAGCATAACCAGCGAAGGAACAAGTCGCTGTGGCACCGTTACATGTACCGATATAAATAGGATCGGCCGTATGGCCGAAGTGGAATGCACCGGTGTTTTGGCGAGCCTGGTGGACCATCTGGTCTGCTCCTGGCGGCACAGGCAAGCCGAGTCTTCCAGCAGCGAGCGCCTCCGGCACGGCTTCAAAAGTAACGACAGGAAGGCCATAGGTGAGACCTAGGAGAGAGCTGACCGCACCGCCTAGAGAGTGGCCGGACAACCAGATATTGGCGTTGGGAAAGATCTCGGTAACGTTAGAATACAGTTCCTTGGCGGCTGTGTAGTATCGATTCTCCTCCTGGAGTGCCTGAACAACGCAGGTGTTGTTGCATGAGTAAGTGGAAGTGGCACAATCACACACTTGATGCCAGGTCCATTGTCCTTGTTGGGCGCAACAGCAGCTGAAGAACAAGTTGTCGTTGACCTTGTCGTTGGTGGTAGTGCCATCCCCATCAAAAACCGCCGGGGATGTGCCCTTCAACCCAATAACGACTGTCGAGTTCGTCGCATCCGCCCAAATGTGGCCACGCAAACCATCGGTTTCCCACCCAAAGTCTGCGCTTCTGTTGTATGGACCGCCAACCTCTTCCCAGTCCGCCTGTCCCTCCTCCTCCACGTATGCGTTCGCAGCCATAAGCGCAAGACTCAGAACAGTCCCTTTGTCGGTAATGTTGGGGCCAGGAACCTCGTCGGTGGTCCAAGATGATGGAGACATGATGTTTACGTATCCGCGTTGTCGGGCTTCGGTAACCATGGGGTCCACGACAGAGGGTCGTCGATCTACCATACGCTCTATCGTCAGAGGTGAACTCCGGGCCTTCAGAGGCATGACTTTCTCCTTCTTAAACCCATCCTCCTCTGCCAGCCACACTTGACTATCGGCCTCGTTTGAGTGGCGAACATCTTTGCGCCTGTGCAACTGAGGATGCCGATATGTGCCATGATGGAAAATATGTCGCAATGTGAAGAGATGCTCATCTGGGACGGGTTGTGGAGAGCTAGGCGGTATCAGTGGTCCGGGTGGAAGGATTGCTTGTACGTTGTGAGAGGCATCCCCAACGGATGCCAAGGCAGGCGATACCGCAAGAAACGATAAGAGCAGCTGGGCTGTAACTCTGCCAGCAGAGGTGCATTCCCCTCCTGTCTCAAGTTTTAACCGCATATCTGTTTAGAGAAACTAAAGAGGAAAGAAAAAAATAGGGAATCAGTACATTCAGAGGATGTCGGTGAGGATCTGTGATGTACGTCGAAGTCGGGGGAAGGGTGAACAGGATCAATGATGCCGATGTTGAGGTGCGAAGACTCGTGTACCCAGGTTATGACAACATCAGGTGGGCGGTTGGGCGGTGTTACGTTGATTCCGAGTCGCGGAGGACCACGGACCAGGTGTGATAACCCACTCCTGTGTCCGGCCGGTCTCCGCCCCCAGATCGCTGTTAAGATCTAATGCGAACTGGCTGCAATTTCATTAACAGATCTTGGGGGGTTGGTACCCATAACCTCATGGCACTTGATAAGACGTAATCAGGGACATCCACACCAGCATGTGACCACAGCCACTCTGGACAGTGCATGACCTTATTCTTAGGCTAGTCTGGTGCCTGACATCCACTGTCAGTCATCCGCCACTCCGGTGGCATCAAGGTCGTCTTCAGCGGACGCTCGGCTGCTAGAAAACCCCGTCTCAATCCCGCATGTTAGAGTGGCTAAGGCCGATCTGCTGCTAATATGGCACCAACCTGGGCAAGAATTCATGTTCAAACAGAACGGGATTCATAGAAAGACTCAAAGATGAAGATCCTGGCCAGTCAGATGCTTGGCCAATTACCATAATCTCAACATCACATACATAGTATGCTCAATTCTAGAGGCAGGTATTTTTGTTGTCCCGCTCATCAGTTAATATAGCCAGCTGATGGTCAACCTGGCTTTTCCAGCGAGATGAGCAACTAAGGCGAGCCGTCAGCCAGCGCAAATGTAACACCATACAGCTTTCCACTCAGAGGTCTCAAAGCATCCATTTAGGTTGAACATACGCTAGTCTCCTTAGCTGTTGGCATGAACCGCGCTCAGGCTTCCACCACTGGGGGTTTGTGATTGAATGGGCAATATACAATGCTGAGGCGGCTTGGGAACGTTACCTGGAGGTGCTCAAGCTTGCTGCGCAAATATGCCTTGCATACTTTGGTGGTGACATACTTTTCGAACAGTATATCATGTACTGCCAACGGATTCTTGTGCCAACTTGTAACAAGCTATTAAGACTTCCAACATATGGATACCAGGGATTGTAAGAACTTATCTAAGCGACACACGGCGGGCGCTTCAATATCTGGTTTGCAGGACGTAGCGAGAAGCGCAACGGCCCTGGTGGTACTTCCAACTCTGGGGTGGAGAGCAATTACCGCGATTCCAGTATTGTGATTCCGGTATTTGTGTTCACGCGGGTCACAAGTGCCTTGGTACTTCAGCTAAGGTGTCACCTACTTGGTGTGAGCTCTACCGGAGCCTCTGTATCCAATGTGGTGGCCGTATAGTTGACGGCACTTTCAACAGGAAGAAAGCTAGCCCAACACAGGGCTTGGATTCCAATGTCAAGGGCTGCACTGAGAGAGATATGTGGGTTTGGAGGTACACTACGAGAGGGCTGGTCGGCACATACCAAGAGTTCCTTCAATATCCTTTAACCCACAGCGACTACAGGCGGCGGCCGTCGCTTATCTGCCGCTGTCATTGACTCTATACCTACCTAAGTACTGATCTACTGTGTTGCAACTTTTTAAAGCCCTTGCCTTAGTAAACTGATCGGATTCTTTCAATTTTCGGTTTATTACCGTTCGCTGTTTCTCCTCTGCACGCCACTGACATTCCCGAGGGAATAGGCGACGGTTGAATACGATGAATCTGGGTAACATCTTGAAAGTCTCGTCCCTAAATTGGCGGCCTGGGCAGAGGGGGACTCGCCTGACACTTGAAGCAGAGCAGCATTATGGAAAGCTGCTTAGCCACAGGCCGAGTCAGTGGCGGAAGTCCTGAAACATTTGGCTATGGGCGCTCAATTCGTGCTGATTGCATCCTAACAGGAACAGCTGACTGAACACGAAGCGACCTTAATGACCAGGAGGCTCATGCCCATGTGGAAGGTTGCCTACGAGCCACCAGTGCCTAGCTAATTGGCATCCCCTGTCATACCTGAACCCCCCAACACATGCATGCACTGAATGTCGGGTCCGTCTGCAGATGACACCTTCCATTAAGACATGAGCGGGGACAAGAGCTACCTTGCCTACTAGTACATTTCGGTTACCTGCGTTACCTCATTCCCTAAAGCTTGCGTCTTCAAAGACATCAACCTCCACCTCCGAGCTCTTTTCATCTGCTTATCAGCGCAGGCACCGGCCAGATCGTGCTACTCTCACAGAGACGCTGACATCATTTCGATAGAGATGCGAATAGAAACATAGCTGCCATCTTTGGCCAACTAACAAGCCATCATCCCTGTTCTCTTGCTCCATTTATGGCATAAATCCGCTTGCACGCGACTCAACTGTCCCAGGTGTCGCCGCCAGGGATCTCTTTCCTCTGATATCGGGTTTCAAAGCCTGGCCGATACTTAATGCCGCCCTGACGACAACAGGTATGCGTCCTCTGCTTCTATGATATCAACTTGCCTATCGCTCTTTCCCAAGCTGCAAAGCTGACTGAGATGGCTTCCAGCACTGTAGAAACCCTCATGGCGCCCCCCGGCCCCTCCAAGTCGCCGGCCGCTCGACCGAGCACGATACGAGCGCCGTCATTCACTCGCCAGAGTGAAGACAGCGACCCTCTAAGAGTACCGAAACGAGCCCAAACATTCCAGAATGGCACCACTCCCGACCCGTTGGTCACGCCGGCCGTCTCCAGCAAGTCGAAACCAGCAGATGAATCCGATGCCCCAGATGCCTTCGAGACGAGACCTTCTATGGATAACGACGACGGATTTGATGGAAGAGGATCTGTGGATCTGGGCGAACTGCCAATCGAGCTGGTGAGCTTGACCGACAGGTAGGATCCCCTGCTAACTGGCGGCCAACGAACAAGCACCTGACAGTGCCCAGCTTCGTTGAATCTCTTACCACTAAAACTCACCCTACGCCGCTTAACATCGACGACGTTTCGCAGCTATTCCAAGATTTTTACCAAGTCGCATCAACCCACATCAACACGCACATCTCTGCCCTGGTCTATCGGCATAATCGGGATGCTTCGCCTGCCCCCTCCACGTCATCCAAGGTCTCCACAGCCAGTAGGCTTCGAGCCAAGGCAGCGTCCATCGGCAGCAAAGACAAACCTAAAGTTCTTCCTAAAGCGGAGCCAGAGCAACAGATGATCACCGCAGAGGAGCTCGCGAACAAGAAGAAGGCACGGAAAGCGATCGAGGCTAAACGCGGGATTATCGAGGAAGCAGTCGAAAGAAGATTATGTGAAGGCATATATCAGAAGATATATCGTCACAAGAGTACTCAAGATGAAGCACAAGACGCTAAGCTGCGATCTAAGACGGCAGCGCTCGCGTTAGTCGGCATCGGTCCCGCCGACCTGGGGATTGACCTTGGTGAAGACAAGTCGCAATCTCCTGAGGCAGTTGCTGAAAAGGCAGAGGAGATCAAGAAATGGCTTGAGCAAGCCAGAAGAGACCTGGTTCTCATGAATGAGAAGCGGTATCCTCTCGGCAAGCTACACCACTTGAAGGCGGCTCACAAGAGTATTGTGGAAACACTGGCACATTTTCACCCTTCTGCTTCTGCAGATGAGATTATGCCAATGCTCATTTACACGCTCATTACACTTCCCCCTGAGCACTTAAACGTTATCAGCGACTTACGCTTCATCCAGTATTTTAGGTGGGAGACGAAGTTGACCGGGGAAGCCGCCTATTGCCTAACGAATCTGGAGGCGGCTATCAGCTTCCTGGAAACGGTTGATCTCTCTACGTTGAGGGCGGACGAGCTGCCCCAAGGACCTGCCAGAGGACCGAGCCAGCCAGGAACCCCCCGCGCGGACACGTTTCCTCCGGCGTTCCCGCCCGGATTGACGGTAACAGCGGACACCACGGTGGAGACCAATATTGGCAACGCAACCCCAACTAAACCACCACCGTCACCCTCGGCTTCATCCGGGCTCCGTGCTGCAGTTCAAGCTCGAAATAGGAGACTGAGTGAACTAGTCAACACGCCTGCTCAGGCCATAGGAGCCGCTAGTGATGCTGTGCTCAACACTGCCGATCAGCATCTGAAGACTATATCGACCAGTCTGGGTGACAGCTACAAATTTCTTGTCGGCAAACTGCGCGAGTCTCAAGGCTCGCCGACTGAATCCGGTGAAGGTCTCGTGGTGCCAAAAACACTAGATGATGCTAGAAAATTGGTCAGCACACCGCCCCCCGAGGAAGAGGGCTCAGTTAGCGGTGCTAGTTCCGTCCACATCGCGGAGGAGGTCGATAACACTCGTCGGGCCCTTGTGCAAGATGACAAAGTGTTGAATCTTATTGGCGGTCGCAAGCCTAGCAGAGACCGCAGCGTCGACAGTTCCCGCAGCGCGAGCAGTTCCAAGAAAGCCGTGGTTTCAAAAGAAGGAGAGGAGAAGGTTCCGCCTACGCCATCTACGGCTCCCATCTCGAACCCTCTCGACTCTGTGCGCAACTTTGGCAATTCGTTTTCCAGATTCTCTGGTATGAGTATGATTCGTGGGCTAAGCAGGACTGCATCTACTCCAGTTATTGCTAAAGATACACCTACAAAAGATGTTCCAGCCAAGGCCGCCGATGGCGGCGATCTGGCAACGGTATGTTCCCTCTGGCTAAGCATCAAAGCTGAATATTAACTCTTCCAGCAGGCTTTCCCAGACATTGCAGCAGCTCTGCCCCCTAAACAAGCGCCCAAAGTTCAGCCGCCTAATAAAAGATTTATGGAGCTGCAGAACCCGGGTGACCTTAGGTTGAACGAGGTGCTCGAGCTGTTGCGTGACTATAGAAGACTTGCCAACACATTAAAGGATATGGGGGCTTTTGAAGGAACGAAATGAGATGAAGAATAACGGTCAGAGTGGCTTCTTGCAACTGTAGAGAGGATGTGATGGGATAAGAATAGCATACTGGATACTGGCGTTTTCCATACATTCCTTTTTTTTTTTTTTAACTATCTGTGTTGCCATTCTGATCGTAGATGGCAGTCGTCTTTTTGAAGGGCGTACAGAGACAAGTGCACACAGAAGACGAGTAACTGGACACTATATAAGGAAGGTCATTTGATATTATTAGAGATAGGGTTTCTACAGAACTTGAGAGAAGAAGAGACCGTCATGTTCCAACTGCACGGTCAGAGCGGTATTGGAAGCATCCATTCCTTTGGTGGGATCGAATAAAGAAAAATGTTTTCTACTTGTTTGTGTGTGTATGTACCTCACAGAAGGAGAGAATATCCATTTCGCTCCCTGAGACAAGACTCGCTCGGCGCCCCGTAACACCCAACCATGCTTTGGAAACGATGCTTGAACGCCTGTCCCGCCCTCCCCGAACCTGTTACAAAGCCCGGGGTTGTCCGGGGACCTTCGCCCAGGGAAACTAGTGTATAGTGATGGAGGTGGTATATACCTGGGTTTTTTGTACTTGTGTTTTTGGACATAAGAAAGGACCTTGACGAGAAGAAATCTCCCTTGTGACCCCACCCGTTTCCCCGTGGTTGTCCGTAATTTTACTGTTTAATTGCCTTGTTTTTTTTCTTGTTTTTTTTCTTTTTTCTTCGTCTTTCCAGGTTGTTCAGTGGTTACCATTCAACTTGGGATCCTTGGGCGGGACTGCGTTGCCGCGGTTGGTACGCTCTTGGAGCACGCCGTTCGGCACGCTACCGGCTTCCTTCTCATCATTGATGAGCTTTTCCATAAAGGCGATGTAGTCATATTGAGGCATGCCGCGATCCTCCGCAGTGTCAGGACCATTGTGCGTAGGAATGATCTCGATGAGCTTATCAATGACCTCGTCGGGCACGAGTGAATGACGCAAGTCCATCTCGGTGACATATGGCTTGCCATCTGCGACCTCCCGGAAGGATTGGAAGACCTGCTCTGCCGTGTTCTGGTCCTCGGTGACATCAACCATGAAGCGGATGAACTGCTCAAAGGTAACATGATCGCGACCCTTTGATGTCTCCATGAAGTAGTCGTGCATCTCGTCCTCGGAGAAGACAAGACCGAGGGAGGCTAGGGCGGCGCTAAACTCAAGCTCCTGAAGGGAGTTTGTATCGTCGCGATCGAAGTGACGGAAGACGGACTCGAACTCCTCGAGCTGGATAGGCGTGAGGTTGGTCATGTTACGGGCGACCATCTGGTTGTCAAGGAAGGCGAGCTTTTTCTGCACTGACGATTTGACAAGCCCATGCTCGTAGACTAGTTCATCGTAGGTGTAGGTTGTGAAGTCGTTCTCCTCAATGTTGGCTTCCTGGCATTTGGCATCCACAGCGGCGATGGTCTCTAGATACTTGTCCAGGGGCGGGAGGTTATCACTGATCTTGCGGACGTGGTGCAACTGGTCTTCGACGTCACCGTCGAGGCCTGAGATGGCTAGCTGCATGGTGTTCAGTGCCATAGCAAAATCGTTGGCCTTGTCGGCGAAGGATTTGCGGAGCGCGTTCTTGATGCTATAAATAAGTCAGTACAAGTACCGCTAAACGAGGGTAACACGGTACTCACTCTCTGATGGTCTCGTTGATCAGTTGCGCCCGCTTCATCTCTGTCTGTGACAAACCAGTCCATTCCTTCTCCATCGTCTCAAGCGACAACTCTGGTGGGGGGTCATACGGCCGCAGTCTGTATGTGCCCAATTTCGTCTTGATGTTACCCAAGAGGGTAGCGAGTTCACTCTTTTCAGCAACCCAGTCTCTCTTCTTGCCCCTCTTGAACGCAGCAAACTCGTTAGCTTGAGCTTTAGCATCGGCATACGTCCCTTGAAACGTAGCCTGCTGCCACTTCTCAATTTGTTCCCTAATCTGCCTCAACAGCTCCCTCATCCGCCTCTCATACGCGCTCTGCATCTCCCAGGCTCCAGCCATGTTGTTGACAAATTTCTCCACACGACGGCCTGCATTCTCAACCTTTTCCATCTGGGAAAAGGCATGGAACCAGTAAGCGATGTAGGTCATAAGCGATCGTTCATCGGGCTTAGCAACGTCACACACGTCCTCAACATCTAGCAGCTTGGGGATACCAATCTCCTTGTGCGCAATATCGAAAGCCATCTGCATGTTGCCCCGGTGGTCTGACTTGTCCAGGGCATCGTAGTCAATGAGGTCTGGTCTATGAATGTCGAGCAGGGCGCAGAAGGCAAGTCCGTCATTCCAGCTGCCGCTAAAATCACGGACTTCCACCTCATCGTAGCAAGCAGTTTTTCTTTGGCACCAGAGCAGTAGACCTTCCTTGGCCGTCATGCCCTCCTCATTGATATCACTGATCGTAAACCGCAAAATGAGAGTCCAAATTAGGCCGAGAATGATCTTCTGGTTGCCGTCGACTACATCCTCGGCACCGATGTTGGTCATCTGGATACCTCTGGACTTGATAAAGTCGAGGCCAAGGTTGACATTTTCGAATCGTTGTACGCGAAGCTTCGGCTTGGAGGCGTAGCGCCCGAGCGTGTCGTTGGACAGGCATTCTAGCAAATGGATGAGGATAACCTGGGGTTGCAGAGTCTGTGAGCCAAGAGAACCCCGCAATGTGGAAAAGGGGCTTCAACTAACACCATCGCTAAGATCGAGAACGAGGTCCTTCACCTCGAGTGAACGAGCCTCCAACTTAGTATTAAGCCTGCCAAAAAACAAATGTTAGCCCACGATTATAACAGAGAAAACCAGTATCTTTCTTCTTCTTCTTCTTTTTGGTCGGGAGTGGGGTTCGTCTCGCACCATTTGGTAAAGGTCTTTTGCTGGACAGTGATCCATTTCTGCTGTTCAGCAAACGCCATCCTCGTTAAGCCCTGGTCATGAGGAGGCTCAACAGCGGCGAGGGCGTCAGCGGGCGAAGACCCTGTGGCAGAGCGGAATCGATTTTTCTTTGCGGTGCTCTCCTTTCGTGCTAACGCAAGACTACTGCTCCCAGATCTCTGCAATCGGGCAGCGTGCAACTCCTTTTTGTCTCGTCTGCTTCTGGGGCTTGGGGAGGAGCTGGCGCCACTGTTTGTGCGAACTCTCGAAACGGGGGAAGAATGTGTTGTAGATGGGTGTTCGGTGTTGGTCGGTGTGGTCGGGGTCGTGGAGGCGAACGAAGATGTAGAGGTGCGACTGCCGGCGATGGACTGGGTGCCGGCCGAGTGGTCATGTAAACAAAACTCGGGGAATTCCTCGTTGCACTGGACGTTGCCAGGCAGATTTGTACCTGACAGTGGGCGAAGCCCCTGAGGGGCTTCCGTAGTGGACGCCATTTCGGACAATTCTAGTGGCTCGCTAAGTTGATTGGCAGCGTTCGGCCGCTGCAGGCGCCGGGATTCGATAGTGAAGTGGCTTATCGATAACGGCTAAACTGCCGGTTTTCCAGGATGAAGGGGGAAACGTTTCTTTTGGATGGCTTTGTGGCGCCCGGGTACCTATTGCTAGTTCAGAGTGAGTTGAGAACAAACGAGGCCAACACAATAGCAACACAATAACAAGAACATGAGGAGGGACTGGCCACACGGAATCTGAAATAGGGGAGTCCTTCGTTGTTTATACCACCACTCCTCTAGTCAGTCCGCAGTCAGTCTCTTCCCAAGTAAAGACGAAGACGTCGCGCGGCGCAAACAGAACGAGGTCTCCCCCAGGCGCCATATCCCTTCTGAAACAACAGCCTGTCTCCCGTCTCCTCCACTCTACGATCAGGAACGCACCCTTTCTCCCAGGACCCCGATGATCCCGCCACTAAATCGGCCTCTCGACTCGTTGACAGTAACTCCTTCGCCTTCTCGACCCCGGCGCCAACAGGCCCGCCCCCTCGTCCCACTGTCGAAGCCACTCATGCATGCCATAATGCTTGAAGCTGATCAGCAGGGATCCCCAAGGATGCCATGCTGGCCGTGACTTCCAAATGTGGCCGCCGCCAAAAGTGTTAGCCGTCACGGATAAGGCAATTGCAAGAGATAAGGGGGAGGCTTGCTGGTATTGTCTTTATGCTATTCGCCGGGCTACCTTAGTTGCCCATCCTTGAACAATGGCCTCTACTGGTGGTGCTTGGATTCTTGGAACATTCTTTCCTTCAGCCACTCCCGTCTGGTGGAGAGAGCGGCAAACCAGTCAAGGATGGGATTGCCCACTGGCAGTTTCTCAATCCACAACGTCGTCTATCCCGTGCCGCCGTCTGGCGCTCTATTCCCCGAGGACCCTCCGAGTGGAGGGAACGTTGAGAACGCATGAATGCAGTACGGGAACTCTAACGAGGATCGCGTCAAAGACATCAGATGGAGATTTGCAAGGACACTTCACCAATTCCAAGTATTTCAGTTTTACAGGCCGGGCACTGGTTGATGCTGGTGCTGGCCCGAAGTCTTTTGGCCGATGCACACTAAGACTGGCGAAGGCCCTTCAGCGAGCATTCGAGCCATATTGCGACGCGTCCCGTCCCTAGCCGAGACAAACGGCATGAGACGAAGAATGTTGAGGTCAGACTTGGTCTGAAAAATTAGGAATTTTGTGCAGCCTGAGCATGTGGCCAGGTCTGTCAGTGCGGATAGGGTCAAGTGGGTGGTGATACTAAGCCACAATTCCTTCTCAACCTGGAACTTCTCGCAGATACAACTATAAGAAGACGGTTCAATATGCACAGGGAGGAAACAAACCCAGTGAATAAGACAATCTTAGAATGAAAAAGGTTTGTGTTGACACGTACTCAGTCTGGTTTTCTGTGCGACGTCTTAGGTTGAACTGCGCCTCGCTCAATTTGGTCTTCAGCAACGCTGACTAAGAAGTTGTCTACATAGTATGGGATCAGAACGAGAGTCATCGCGTGCCTAGATATCGTCATCCAAAGATCTGCGTTAAGAGGAACAACCAACGGGGACGTTAATTAGTTGCAGGCCAAGCCGGGGAACTAGGGGGTTTGGTTGGGCAAGGAATGATTGGGCGATACAGTGTCGAATAGCAGGATTTAGTGTTGCAGAAAATCTCGGCCTGAGAGATGGTTTTGCCGACGGCGAAAAACAGCAGATATGCCGAGCAGGATTATCGGGACTACTGCACCGACCTAAACTACCTATGCCATAGCGGGAGCCGCTGAATTCTACAGCTCCAACACCACGCTGCAGCGACTTCTGACGCCATCGGGTTGGCAAATCCGTTCCAGTTACTGGCAGAACTTACAGGGGTTTAGTGCTTAAAGCCGAAATCGGGACCATACCCTCTAAATCTTGAACTTCACGCAACTTTTTCAACCCTCAATTCTCTGGAGCCACCGTCTCTTCCTGCCAAAACAACACGCAAAAGGGCAATAATCCGGCTGGTTGGTGACCTATTCTGCACCCTTACCTTTTTCTTTTGTGCTTTAAGCAGTTGTGATGGCCTCTAGAGCGAGAATTCAGCCCCTCTTCCGGGCAGCTGCCCGGAGGCAGACGCTTTTGAACACCGGCAGCCGGCACGCGATGCGGCAGGTTTCGGCCCCGGTTGTCACCGCCGCCGCCCGATGCATGTCCACTACGGGCACAAGGCCCTCAAAGGAGGCTGGCTTGAAGGAGATTAAGCTCACAGCCAACGCGTACCCTGACATCAAGCGGGACTCCCGTTTCGCTGAGGTGACAGATGCGCACGTCGCCTACTTCAAGGACCTCTTAGGCTCTTCTGGTGTCATTGACGGTGTAACGACGGACGCGGCTGATGACCTTACTGCTTTCAACGAGGACTGGCTGCGCAAGTACCGTGGCCAGTCGCAGCTTGTCCTGAAGCCCGCATCAACAGATGAGGTCAGCAAGATTCTCAAATACTGCAACGAGCACAAGCTCGCCGTCGTGCCTCAGGGCGGCAACACCGGTCTTGTCGGCGGCTCTGTCCCCGTCTTTGATGAGATTGTCATCAACATGAGCCGCATGAACCAGATCCGCTCATTTGACGACGTCAGCGGTACCCTCGTCGTCGACGCTGGTGTTATCCTCGAGGTTGCTGACCAGTTCCTGGCCGAGAAGGGCTACATCTTCCCCCTCGACCTTGGCGCTAAGGGTTCCTGCCACGTCGGCGGCAATGTCGCCACCAATGCCGGCGGTCTGCGTCTGCTTCGTTACGGCAGCCTCCACGGCAACGTGCTCGGTCTCGAGGCGGTGCTTCCTGATGGCACCATTGTCGATGACCTCTGCACTTTGCGCAAGAACAACACTGGTTACGACTTGAAGCAGCTCTTCATTGGTGGTGAAGGTACTATTGGTATCATCACCAAGGTCTCCATCATCTGCCCGCAGCGCTCTCAGGCCGTCAACGTCGCCTTCTTTGGCCTCGAGTCGTACGAGAAGGCTCAGCAGGCTTTCAAGTCCGCCAAGGGTCAACTCGGAGAGATTCTCTCCGCCTTCGAGCTGATGGACGGCCGCAGCCAGGATCTTGTCCATGCTGTGCGCCAAAACAAACGCCCTCTCGAGGGAGACCACCCGTTCTACTGTCTGGTCGAGACGAGCGGTTCCAACGGTGACCACGACTACGAGAAGCTTGAGAAGTTCCTCGAGGACGTCATGTCTAACGAGATCGTCTCGGACGGTGTGCTAGCGCAGGACGAGACGCAGATCAAGGCGCTCTGGGGTTGGCGCGAGGGCATCCCCGAGTGTCTGGGTCACTGGGGCGGCACCTACAAGTACGACGTTTCGATTCCGCTCAAGGACCTCTACCAGCTCGTTGATGACACCAAGGCCAAGATGGAAGCGGCTGGTCTTGTCGGTGACACGGATGAGTTCCCCGCTGTGGGTGTCGTTGGCTACGGCCATATGGGTGACGCTAACCTCCATCTCAACGTCGCTGTCAGACGATACGACCCCCGTATCGAGAAGGTCCTCGAGCCGTTTGTCTACGAGTGGATCCAGGAGCGTAACGGCAGCATCAGCGCCGAGCACGGCTTGGGTGTGGCGAAGAAGAAGTTCGTCGGCTACAGCCGAAGCGAGAGCATGGTTGGCCTGATGAAGCAAATCAAGAATCTCTACGACCCGGTAAGCTTTACTTGTCTCCTGACACTCCGCTCATCCCTTCCTCTGTCATCTTTACATTTACGACTCCCTCATTCTTGAACTGTGATTCTTATCCCCATCTGCCCGCCCCCCACGCACGCTACCCTCAGCTCTGCATGGTGTGTGAAAGGAATGCTGACATTGGGCCAATCAGAACGGCATCATGAACCCCTACAAATACGTCTGAGAAAGCGCCAAGAAACGATACCCCCATCCTTAAACGGAAGAAAACCGCTTTAGCTTTCGGGCCTGAGTCATGGAAATGGTTTGCAGAAGCGGATTGGAGGCCACGGTGTGTGACCTGCTGTACTTCCAACCAACCACTGACCCGTCTAGCCGATGTGGCAGTGGCCTGTAAAAGAAAAGTTGCGTGTGCGTGTGTGTGTGTGTATGTGTGTGTCGTGTGCGTGACTGCACCTCACAGCCCCGTATTATAGAAGACAAATTTCCTAATCGAGGCATATTTTGAATTTTGTCTTACGGAGGGATGAGGGAGAGAGAGGGGGGGAAAAGCCTCGGCAGGCATTGATCGGTTGGATATCACACACGCACAAAATCTAGCTTAGAATATCATATCAAAAGACACAGCCATTTCTTTATCCACATGGCCGCTTCTTGCAGGCCGACATACGGGATGGACGTTGACTTGGATCGGAGTTGTCTGAGATCGGAAGTTGACGAAAGCGTGATGACATCGGCAGCACCTCAGTTTTAACCCTCCATTTCTCTCTGACCCTTGTTTCCCCCCTTCCCCAGCCTCAACCGCAGCGGGATTACCCATTTGTACCGAGGTCAAGTCTTAGGTGTCGAGTCCTTTGGGGGGCTGGTGACCTGGATGTCGCTAAGCAAACATAACAAAACATGATTGGTACACAAGGTTCGGCCATTGGCTGCGGTACGCTAGCCCCAAGCTTCCAGAAGGCGAGCGCGAAACACCAATGAAAATCACGCCCGTCGCCGACACCCGAGTCCGGCGCTGGCGTGTGTGATCGTCCCCCGTGGTTGCGTTCCCTCCCTCCCTCTTCCCCCCCACCCTTGTCTTGAGTGCCTGACCCGTCCGGGCTTTCCGCGCCGCCTGGCTGACAATGCTCTGGCGGAATCTTACTTGCTCAGCTCTTATTTGCCCCTTTACTATGCGGCACTCCGCAGCCGCCCATGTCAGCCCCCAAGCAGCCAATCTGGGACCAGGACCCGTATGTCTCGTGGGGCCTCCGAACCCGACCCCCTGTCATCGGTCTGGGACCGGCATGCAGCCCTACGGAGCAAACCTGGGACGTGCACACCGTAGTGGTCCGGGGAGAAGTACGTGAGGTCGTTTACACTTTGATTACACTCTACCTTAGTTTAATCTGTCTAGTCTCGGCCTGCACCGCAACAAGTCAATCGAGTCGCCCTTCGTCGGTGTATTTACCACTCTCGCGAGTTTCCATACCTTTGCATCCCCCTGTAGACAAGCCCTTGATGGAATTAATTTTCCTCTTTCAGTACTGATATGCCCATTGATTTGCATCCGGTCGATGAACGCCTAGATAATGGCGTCTTTGATGGCCGTTCATGCAGGGAAAAAAGCAAGAGATGATATTCCCGCGTCACGACACACCATCGTGCCTCGGCGCCATACAATCGAGAGACCCTATCTACCCGCACCCTGCCTCCGACCCTAAACCAAAGGGAGGCATATATTTGATCGTCTCGGGGCGGCCAGCCTGCATACGCAGCCGCAGCCATCTTATTCGTCCAACTTGTCCCAAGTGTTCAGTTCCCTTGCTCGTGTCTGTCCCATACGTTGTCATGATCCGCACACCGTAGGGCTGCAGCACACCATCAACCAGCTTCCCGCGAACCATTGCTGGCCTCAAACAGTCCCACTGGCATCGGCAGTCGCCCAAAGTAAGAAGTGCCCCGTCCACATCCTGATGGAGACCTCTCATGTCCCACTCCGGCTGTTGATATGATATATACCGGCGTCTACGCCTGCCTTCCGTGTTCGTCATCTTGAAGAGGCTAGGCCAGCTATGGGCATTGTGTATCTTTCAACGTCTTGTTTCGAGATTCTGATTTGTCACCATGGTTGGAGTCCGTGGTAAGTATAAGGGGTGCGAGACATGCAGGGCTCGGAGAGTTAAGGTAAGCCTCCCCCCTGAAGAGCCCCAGAAGGCGCCTCTTTGGAGAGACAACAGCTGACGCTTCGATGCCTGCCTTAGTGCGACAACGAGCGACCCTACTGTCGGAAATGTATCGACAGCGGCCGTGAGTGCGCTGGGTACGAGCGTGAAATGGTTTTCATCACTGCAACCATTGATGACGGTGGTCGCTGTTCATCTCACCCCCCGCGCCAGGTACATTCGTCCAAAAAGTCTCCGAAGTCCAAGGCTGCGGAGGAAACGGTCCCTCGTCTCGTACCAACCGAACCACTAGCACCGGCGTGGGACGACTTGATTACCTTGACCGAGAATGGCGCCGTATACGCCGTGCAGATTGCGGCTCTGCATACCAAACTCCAGAACGTCATGCGCGGATATGAAGCCCAAAGTCGCAACAAGTTCCCTATCACGTTCCCGCCTTACTTGCCGGTTGACTTGGAGACTTGGGATAACGGCAACGAGGTGGATATGGCTGCCCAGAGTATGATCAGCCTTCTGCCAGCTGGAAACGAGAGCGGGCCACCGGATGGTATTTGCACCTTCCTATTCGAGGTCTGTTACCAACTCTCCCTTTCAAACATCCAGCTAACAACTGGTAGCAAAACCCGTCTTTCTTAGTGACAAACGGTATTACACCCTGGGGTGTTCCTCAGGAAAACCAGGATGCTGTGAAGAAACTCGGTCCAGAACAGTTTTGCCAGTTCCCCGCGCATCATTTCTTTGTCAGGGTTTATAGATGTAGTGCTGTAAGAAACAAAACACGGGGTTTGAAAGCCCGCATGCTAGTCAGTAACTGACACTTGAAGAAAGATTACTCTCGCCCTCTTCTATAGGAAAGCGACGTTCCTATCATCTTTCGATTGGTGCACTATTCCCTGGGAGCGGCACCCCAAGACCTTTTTCGACAGACTTTTCGACGTCATTGTCCCTCTACCCGGAATATTCGCAAAAGTCGACCGCACCATCCCTTTGGCAGCAACTTTGCAACGCCGTTTGAAGGCCCAGGAGTTATTGAACAACTGTTTACAGGTTGAACAACAGCTTGAGGGGTGGCATGCCTATGCTCGAGCGCCGACGCCTGAGCATCCTTATACGTACTGGATTGAGGAATCAGACGATCAAGTCGCGCAACAAGTGCCTTTCGCCGACCCTTTCGCTGACAGTCTTGCCTTCAAAGACGGCGTTTCCTCCGTCATGTTCCTGCATTACTGGATGACGTTGATACTCCTCCATCGCTGTATAGAAACCCTGCACCACGCAATCTTCCAGCCTGTGATCGAGGATTTTCCGAACATGTATCCTGATCTGCCACACCACTTGCAGATCAACTTAGCAAGTTACCAGCAGCGGCGGGAATTCGCAGCTAGGATATGCCGAGCATTGGACTTCGCCCTCAGCACCACTGTCCAGCCGGACCTACTCATTGCGCCTTTTACCGTGGCGATGGAGTTTTATCGTGAACTCAATGCGTCCTCGAGGGACGGGGAGCTGGAGATTATGTGGTGCGAAAGTTTCAGACTGAGACTGATTTCAAAAGGCCAAGATATTGCCAACGTCCTCCATAGCCGGCAATGGTACGACGTTGGCAAGTTTTAAGGAGCTGGCTTCTCACTTTTATGCAGAGCATGACTAGATACGGGGTACGCAAAAACCTACCTGGAGGTAGTTGAGAAAGACGTGAGGGTTAAGGGGATATATGTTACATTTCGGCTGCATGGTTTCGGCAGAATTTTGCGAGAATACGGGCTGTTCGACGTTACTTCTAAGGATCAAAGAGATATGTGGTTGCCATGGACTGGCCACCATTTTGAGGAACTACTGCTGGCATGTAAATCTTAAGCTCCTTCATTTACCGTCGTCGATGACGGTCGTATAAGGAGAGGGAATTGTATCACCTGGATAGTGTTTGAAGAATGATAAACAATGTTTGATTGGCCATGACTCCAAACTTTGCGATAGAAGCAAAACCAAAAGTGAGAAATAAACCAACTTTGCATGTATGGATAACCAGTTATCATTGTTTGGCAGGTATTAGTTAGTTAGCAGGGCTCCCCGTCAAGGAAACTGCAAATAACTGCGCACAGACCACGCAACCAGACCAGGCTCAGAGCTTACAAGAGAAGGTCATTACCCGGACTTTCCCCGGGCTTTGCAGGAGCTCCTGGAGCTTTTCAGCCTTCCATGCCAGCAGGTACCGAAGCTTCGTCAGACCTGCAGCCTGCCTACCTCTCTATTACTCCATCTATCCTCCACCGACCGTACCCCTTCCATCACACAGCGATTGTCCCGCAATATCAAACAACTCTTCAACCCATAACACTGCACAGATTACTTTCTATACGACTATCACATAACAAAGATGGCTTCAGGATACGACAGAGCGTTGTCTGGTATGTCGCCCCTCCCGCCCGCAATTCACCGTGTTAAGCTAACCTGCCGTGATTAGTCTTCAGGTTCGTCAACGTCACCCCTCACTCATATCCGCCGTTCCCCTTCGCCATCTAACTTCTGCAGTCCCGATGGACACGTTTTCCAAGTCGAGTATGCTGGTGAAGCCGTCAAGCGAGGTAATACCGCGCCCCCGCCGCCTCGCAGGACGAACCCCAGAGCTCACTGTTGGCATAGGAACATGTGCGGTCGGCGTCAAAGGCACAGATGTTGTCGTTCTCGGATGCGAAAAGCGATCAGCTATGAAGCTGCAAGATACTCGGATTACCCCCTCAAAGATCCAGCTCCTCGACACCCATGTCTGCCTTGCCTTCGCTGGCTTGAACGCCGATGCCCGCATTCTTGTCGACAAGGCGCGGTTAGAGGCCCAGTCTCATAGACTCACGGTCGAGGATCCCGCCTCGATCGAGTACATGACCAAGTACGTCGCTGGTGTCCAGCAACGGTACACACAGAGTGGTGGTGTCAGACCTTTCGGCATCAGCACCCTCATTGTCGGCTTCGACAACGGCAGCAAGGTTCCCCGCCTTTACCAGACTGAGCCCTCTGGCATTTACTCGGCATGGTAGGAACCTGGATCCCAATGCACTAATAAAGGCCACCTAGTTAACCCTTTTCGTAGGAAAGCCAATGCTATTGGCCGTTCCAGCAAGACCGTTCGCGAGTTCCTCGAGCGGAACTACAAGGAAGACATGGACAGGGAGGCTACCATCCGCCTTGCCATCAAGTCGCTTCTCGAGGTTGTCCAGACTGGAGCCAAGAACATCGAGATCGCGTTGATGGCCCCTGGAAAAACTATTGAGATGCTCCCCGTGGAGGAGATCGAGAACTACGTCAAGAACATCGAACAGGAGAAGCAGGAGGAGGCGGCCAAGAAGAAGACTGGCCGGACGCCGGGCACTGGAAGCGCGGCCATCCTCACGAGAGGCCCCGGTGATGGTGATGAGTAAATGCATGAAAAGGCGTTGGGTTCGCGGATAGACGACACTGATGAGGGTATCTAACCAAATACCATTGTACTACCACCTCTAGACTTGGACGTCGTGGGGAATCTACTTAAATGGTGTCCATGAAATCGCTTGCTGTCACAATCTGTTGTCTTTTTACCCAGCCAATCCCCTCCTTAGCCCAACATGTCCGCATCATCGGAGGGGTCGAATATTGTCCTCCCCTCTTGTTGCCGGACACGCTCGTCCTTAATCATACGGCTGTCCTTACGGGCATCCTCACCCTCGACAGAAATGGCAGCCTTGGGCGTAACAGCGTCAATGACGAAATGATTATCGCAGTGTGGGCAGTATTCGTCGGCTTCTTCGAACTCCTGTGCGTCCTTGCGGAAGCACTTCTTACACTTCTTGCAGGCGAAGGTCATGTCGAATGTCTGGAGGAGAGGATGCTTCTCCTGCTCGGCGTGGCACTCGGCGCAGTCAAACCATTTCTTGCCTGAGGAGCGGGATCTGTTAGTTATAGTACATTGATTGTCTGCAGGCATACGTACAGCATGGCGAGCGGATGGCGACTTGCGCGTTGAGAACGTGTTTGCTGTTACTGTCTTTAGCTGGCGGTCAGGGGTTTCGCGGCACTATGCAGCTCACCACATGGTATGTCTGGATCAGAAGTTTTTGCCGGTGGCACAGTTGTATTGTGCTTCGCAGTCCAGATGTGTATCTCTAGGTAAACAATGCGACTGGGCGACTGACTCTATGTTCGTGAACTTTTGCTGGTGGTATTGAGTTGAAGAAGGTTCCACCAAAGATTTGGTGACTGCTGATAAATTTGGCGGGGTCCTAGTGTGCCACTCAGTGCCTGATTCTTCCCGATGCACACCCCGCCAAATGGGCAGGGGATCAAGCTGTGCCCACGTTCTGATGTCTACTACATAGTAGTAGTCGGCTGGTAACACGCAACAACAACGCATATAACTACGGCTTAGTTATTAAGAAAACTGGGTTTGGCTTTTTGATGTTCTCTCTTTCCCATTGATTTTTTCTTTCCTTCTTACTTTTTTTCCTTTCCTTTCCGACTCACCTCCTCTCTGGCTGTGTTCTAGCAGACCAGGGCATTCCTGAAGTATAAGCGGATACTCAGCCGTATACGCAGGTACAACAGTTGATCTTTAGTATCTCCTATTGGGCCGATAGAAAAAGTATGGAAGCTGCACAGCTCATTTAATCAACATCGATTTCAAATTCATTGGAAACCTAGAGTTCAGAGACTTGAGAGCGGGTAAAAAAGTGCCATAAGCAACTTGCCCCGAACAGGCCTGTGTACCGTTCACCTAGGACCCTGGCACAGTGGAACACGCTAGAGCTGTGTGCGAATTAACTCCGACCTGTCTCCTGCGACCTGTCTGCCTAACTACTGCTTACCTGAGCACGATTTCCAGGCTACATCATTCGCCTCTTCTTCACATCCATCTCATCAACACCATTCTCTCAACATCCACGATCCCTCTTGCCACGATGCCACCGAAGAGGAAGGCTCAAGGGGCCGTCACCGGCAGCATCAAGGTCGGAAAGGGCTCGGCAGTTTCTACGCCAGGAGCGGCCACTCCTAGGAGCGTTGCTAGCGACAATGAATCCTCAGTGGTGGATCCAGTGAGCGAATCCGAAGACGAGAACCTTGAAAAGAACGTCGACAAGTTTTCCGTCGAAGCCTACCTCGACAGACCGAAGGCGAACGGTCATGAATCCATGTCAGCGCTTTTCAAGAAGAAGCGCGACTTCTCCTATCTGCACCTCAAGCCCGACTACCAGAACCGCCCGCTATGGATCGACCCAGCAAAGGGTCGCATTTTCCTTGAGAGTTTCAACCCGCTTGCTGAGCAGGCTCAGGATTTCCTGATTACGATTGCCGAGCCCATCTCTCGACCGTCCTTCGTTCACGAGTATGCCCTCACAACGCACAGCTTGTACGCCGCTGTCTCGGTGGGTTTGTCACCCCAAGACATCATCAACACGCTCGACCGCTTCCTGAAGATGCCTTTGCCTGAGAGTATCCGCAAATTCATCGAGGGCTGCACTCAGAGTTTCGGCAAAGTGAAGCTGGTGCTGAAAAACACCAAATATTTTGTTGAAAGTACCGATCCGGTCATTTTGCAAAAGCTCCTGAAGGACCCTGTTATTGGGCCTCTCCGAGTGCACGGAAACGAGGAGATTACAACTACTGCGGCCCCCAAGCAGGGACCATTGGTCATCCCCGGCACGGCTAATGCCGCTGGTGTTCGGCAGGCTGAGGAGCAAAAGGCCAAGGGCCGTGACGGTCAAGTCAAGGAGGACGATGTCTATGCGACGCTAAACGATGACGATGACGACGACCAGGAAATCACTCACGCCTTCGAAATCTCGGATGATGCCGTAGAGACAGTCCAGAAGCGTTGTTTGGAATTGGAATACCCGGTGCTGGAGGAGTACGACTTCCGCAGAGACGAGGCCAACCCCAACTTAGAGATTGACTTGCGGCCTGGCACATTGATCCGTCCATATCAGGAGAAGAGTCTCAGTAAGATGTTTGGTAATGGCCGAGCCAAGAGCGGTCTGATTGTTCTTCCTTGCGGTGCTGGAAAAACGCTTGTCGGAATCACGGCAGCTTGCACCGTCAAGAAGGGCGTCATCGTTCTCTGCACCAGTTCCATGTCTGTCGTACAATGGCGAAACGAATTCCTCAAGTGGTCGAATATCAAGCCGGAGGATATCGAAGCCTTCACTTCTGATAACAAGGGCAGGGTTTTCCCGGGTAATACCGGTATCATCGTGACCACGTATTCCATGGTTACACAGACCAGAGAGAGATCTCATGAGGCAAAGAAGATGATGGACTTCCTCCAAACTCGTGAATGGGGTCTCATGCTCCTTGATGAGGTGCACGTCGTGCCTGCCAACATTTTCCGAAAGGTCACGTCGTCCATCAAGACGCACTCAAAGCTTGGTCTCACTGCGACGCTTCTACGTGAGGACGACAAGATCTCGGATCTGAACTTCCTCATCGGACCAAAGCTCTATGAAGCCAACTGGATGGAGCTTTCCGAACAAGGCCATATCGCAAAGGTTCAGTGTGCTGAGGTCTGGTGCCCTATGACCACAGAATTCTATGATGAGTATCTCAAGGCATCCGCTCGGAAACGGGCTTTGCTTTACATCATGAATCCCCGCAAGTTCCAGGCAGCCCAGTATCTCATTAACTACCACGAATCTCGAGGAGATAAGATCATTGTCTTCTCCGATAACGTGTACGCGCTGAAGACCTACGCCGAGAAGCTCGAAAAGGCATACATTTTTGGCGGCACGGGCCAGGCAGAACGCATGAACATTCTTCAAAACTTCCAGCACAACCCGCAGGTCAATACCCTTTTCCTGTCAAAGATTGGAGACACTTCATTGGATCTACCTGAGGCGACGTGTCTCATCCAGATCTCATCGCATTACGGTTCCCGTCGTCAGGAGGCCCAGCGTCTCGGCCGTATCCTACGAGCCAAGCGAAGAAATGACGAGGGTTTTAACGCTTTCTTCTATTCTCTCGTTTCCAAAGACACGCAGGAGATGTACTACTCCTCCAAGAGACAAGCGTTTTTGGTCGACCAGGGCTACGCATTCAAGGTTATCACGCAGCTGGCGAATATTGAAAAGACGCCCGGTCTCGCCTACGCCGCTGCCAGCGAGAGACGAGAGCTTCTACAGAAAGTACTCATTGAGAACGAGGCCGGCGGCGAGGATGAAGTGATTGACGACCTGTTTCATAGCGGCACAATGGGCCGGGCACCGGCCAGGGGCAGGAAGAAGGCCGCTGCTAGGAGGACGGCAGGATTGTTGGGCGACTTGTCCGGCGGACAGGACATGGCGTACATGGAGCAGAACAAGAGAGTGAAGCTCAAGAAGGGCAAGGCCGAGAGCAACACGTTTTTCAAGAAGATCCAGAGGGAGAAGGCGAAGCGTTAAATGTATCATGAACAAGAACAAGGTCAAGGCGTTTGAGGATGGGGTGGCATTGGACAGCAAACGGCGAATTTGCTCACTGTAAAACACAGAAGATGATATAAATATTATTTTTGAGAAATTGAAGAAGGCGTACTCGCTGTATGCAAATAGCAATTCACGGTTTCCTCCTGGAAATGCTGCATAGCTCGTGACTGGCAGCGCTTCCCTCGGCGCGTAATCACCTTGGTTACGTTCTAACTATATCGTAACGGCAGTCACGGCCTTCTTCTAAAGTTCTCCAAAGATAACTGGGTTTAGCAGTTTTATTTGGCAGACTTGCGATTTTGTTGGGAGGTATTTCCCTTGACCGATAAGAGATACTCTGTATTGTAGTTATTGAGGTAAGTGGCAAGTTCAGTTGCCACATGCAGCGACTAGATACGTTCCCTTGTTGATAGATCCACGAAGTACGGATACCTGGTAGAAATATAATTATAAAGCTTGGGCTCAGCGTCATCTTACAGTTGGACCTTTACGGTCCTTTACGGCCTACCTTGTTGTAACAGATTGGGAATAGCCTATAGCCAGGTTCTATGGCTGTTCCCTAAGACACAATCCCTTATGTACCTCTTCAGCTGCTGACATCTAATATGTGCAACCGGGGTTTTCGGACTGTCCTCTATGGCCGTGTCCGTTTTCGCAATCAGTTCCTCGGATGTTTCCACAGGAAAAGGGGACCATGGAATATGTTATCCGACCCTTGCTAGGAGGGTCCGTTACCAGCATAAACTTCAGTCAGAGGATCGACATACGCTCCATAATCGGATAACCGGGAGCTATCCGTTGCCTGCAGCAGTTGGCATTGCAAATTGATAGCTGTCACTGTTTTGTCGTGTCAAAGGGAAATATGACTATTTGGTAAAAAATGTTTGGAGATGACAAACTGCGCGCCGGTTGCGGGTGCGTGGAGCAAAACACGCTGAGGTCGCCAAGGCTGTTCGCCCCTTTCTGCTGTTTGTAGATAAAGCAGGGGCATTGCGAGGGTACTCGTCCAGGGAATGGATTACACCACGGCAAAGGAAAATCGCGCCCTGTTTTGATGTCCCTGGACAACCGGCTTATCATCCTACCAGTCGATGGACTTGCTCTTTCACGTGGGCTGTGCTGGCAAATGAGTCGAGGATATGAGGTCGTTGGTCTTGGCAGAGACAACGGGTTGAGTCGGGGTAAACTAATCTTATCCGCTCGAATGCCAATCGAACTGGGCGGTGTATCTGAATAGTATTGCGCGTTCAGGGTTACCAGGTTTTTCTTTGCAGCCAAGGTTTGGAGATGAGCGTTGGTACCGCCATCTCATAACTCGCATGCAGTGCCTCGCTAGGGTTGGAGTTAAGTAGTACTCTGTCGCATTGGTTGAGGAGTTGATAGGCTAGGCGGTGAAGAGGGATGAGTAAGGGAAAGTGCCGAGAAATAAAAAATAACAAAAAAATCAGCTGGTAGCAACGTTGTGTTGAGGTGGTGAGATTGAGAAGTGACGGGGGCTACTGTCAGCGGTTATTTGACGATGTTTCTCATTTCTCACCTCGGTGGCGGTTGGCTGTAATCGGCAGCGGTCTGGACTCAGAATGCAGCCGGCACGACGACATACGAAACGGGCGACCGGGAGTCCGGTTGGGGCAGGGTTGGGATTGGTAACCGAGCCGGCTAATGATAGCACGTCGAGGATGGGCATTGCGTTTCCGCAGGTTTCTTGCCGGTTTGCACACAATATGGGTTGCCCAGCTGCCCAGGAAGGCTTACACCAGATGGTTGTCGGGCTATGCTAATGCTATAGGTGCATGTGCTTCTGCATTGCGCTGCCAAAGGCCTCCGCTGTGAGAGATATGGTGTGACTAAAAACGATTTGATCGGCTTTAGGATTATCTGGGGAAGCCGATAGGTTTCATAGGCCGCCGTGGCTTGAAGCTGGTACTTGCTTTGGGGAAAAATAGAACAGCTTTGAGTTGTTTTTGGCCGTGGCTCAATGCTGTCTCTCAATGCATTCCCATCTGAAGCTTTGGTGGCTCCTTGGCTAGGATGACCTGTTGGAAGCAGCAGCCTTGCTGTTTCATATTATAGGGGGTCGAGAGGCATTATCTAGCGCTGGTGTGATGACCTCTGGAGAGTCATGTTGAACGCGTCTGGTTTCGCAGCTAGTGTTGTCCAAGGCCACACGTGAACAAGCCTGAGGCTTGCTTAATAGACCATCAGACTCTCGGAACAGGCGGTGCCGCAGTTGAGAGATGGACGCATCTGACTTATTGGGCGTCGATCTGCAAAAATTGCAAAGGGAAAAACCTAAGAACAGAGTTGGCATCATAGTTGCGTATTGAGGGATCGGGAGGGACATGGAGTCACAGAATAGAAAAGAAAAAGGCAGCGAACATCAGGCCGGTGATATCGGGGGTATGCATGCATTCACATGCTGTTAAGGTCATCTCAGTCAGGTACGCAGACAGTAGTATCGAAGGGTAGGTAGGGGTACCCGCACTTTCAGCTTTCCAAGAGATCCGTGGTGAAGGAGGGTGAGATGTGCTGGCACCAAAATGACGTATTGGGATAGGTGGTGTCGCCCCTGTTACCCTGTCAAGAGGCAGCTGCACTCTTGCTCTTTTCGGCGTGTGAAGCAGCTCTGCTGTGTTCTGCTTGGGCGAGAGATGCTGACCCACCCAGCAAATAAAGTTACTTGGCACTCCGCCAGTTTGGTCGGGGGACTTTGGGAAGGGGGGAGAAATCATTCTGGCGTGTCTTGGAATGGCACGCCACGAAACAGATCTCTCGCGGGCTGCATCCTGTATCGACTAGGTGCGATATAGTAGGTCGAGCTAAAAGATAGACACTACATTAGGCAGACTGCCGGCGGGCGTAGGGGCATGCTATGTTATGGCCCTGCGGGAAGGAGTCTCCATGCTGTGGCCCCTCCCCATGGCATTTTGACCGCCTAGCACCGACTACGCCCGCTTACGACGTAGCGTGTATCAACCTGAAGATGGCAGCACATGAATGATTTGCGCATATGATTGGCGATCATTCCGGCCATTTCTCAGAATACTTGATGCAGCCACACGCATACAAGCCATCAATCACAAGGAAATAGTTGGTCGGGAGGGCGAAAATGCGAGGTAAGATGCCCGCAGACGTGCAAGTGTGGTGAGGTAAGGTGATGTGGTACCCATTGCATCTGGAGTCAGGGTTGCTGAGTAGGGGTTTTTGGGGTTGATACGATGTACCACTAAGTGCGTGCCAATGATTCACCGGCAAGGCATCATTCAATCTCGATTCTCGGGGACCATGGTTCCCAACTGCCAGGCCCCACGGCCTTCCATGCTCTGGACCAGTCGGCCAAGGCCCAAAAAGGAGGCACAATTCCAGCGTCCCTGTTAGCAGGTTTGTCGGGACAGCCAGGCTCTTTCCACAAAGTGCTCTTTTTCCGTTCCATTTTTGGTGGGGCAGCAGTCACTGCCAAATAAAGCTTAGCTCAAGTCGCCCCCTTCCTTGGGCAGGTTCACAAAACACAGGACTGAAGGGTCGGTCAGCATTGCAATGTCGCCATTTTGCCATCGAACGGCCCCCCAACCCGAGTACTTACAAGCCCCAGGGGTGTTCTCATGGATGGATGGCTGAGAGGTGGATATGCCGCAGCGCAGTGTGGACGTTGTGGTCACTCCACAATACCCGTCCGAGACGCCCGCACACCGAACGGCCATGCTCCCTTCTAATTAAAAATAAAAAATAAAAAAAATAGAGACGTGGAAAAAAAAAATTGGACTCCCCGTCGCACAATATCTAAAACATATCCATCCATCCTCCTCCTCCATTTTTGTTGTTATTGTTGTTGGCGTCCCTGGTTGCTTTTGTTCATTAGTTCAGGAGGAGCCAAGAGCCCGAGGCAAAAGAGCCCGCAGAGCTCTCTCTCTGGGCATTGGCACCGGCATTCATCTGCAATCAGCACCCACAGCATCGGATGCCTCTTCTGTGTTCCACTCTCTGAACTCATCCGATCCAAACCACCTCGACTCTTCCTCCCTACTTTTTTTTCCCTCCTTATCTGCCCAAGCCCCTGCTGTACTTGCCTTGACTTTACATACACGGACGCCAGACTTGATGTCACGCTTACCACTACCGGCTACTACTGCCCCGTCCATATCCCCGCGCACCAATTGATAGTCATGAATTCCAGCTCAGCCGTCATCCAATCCTTTTCACAAGGACGGTTAGACTAAAAGCTTTCACAGCCACTGTGTGCCAAGACTTGGCCCATTCACTAGAACTGCCACCACTACAACAGCGCACCATACTCATACATATCCCCAGGCCGATGTCTCGACTGGCCTGCTTTTAAACAGGAGGGGCCTTTTCCTCCGTTTTACACAGTTCACCATCAACACCATCACCACAATCGCGACCTGAGAGAAATGCTCGACGACGCGCGTGGCTGGCTGCTCGCCCAGCTCCAGGCAGCCAAGCCTTCTTTCATCTCCAAGAAGCCGCATTTCAACTTCATCTCGGCCCACTGTAAGTCACCATCCCAACTCCTCGTCGCATTCCATCTGCGCACAGCGCTAATCTGCACTGCGCTTCGACGACTTCAGACTTCTGGATCTGTGGCCTCACTATACTGGGTTCCATCCTGATTTACGCCAGTGCCGGCGGGCAGATGGCATATATCGATGCACTCTTCTTTGCCAGCGGAGCCAACACTCAGGCCGGCCTCAACACCATTGATGTAAACCTGCTCAACACCTTCCAGCAAATATGTCTTTACTTCTTCACCATGACCTCCAATCCCATCACCATCCATTCCTCTGTCGTCTTCCTTCGATTGTACTGGTTCGAGAAGCGGTTCCAGACCGTCGTCCGCGAAGCTCGTCAGCGGAGGAACACTATATCCAAGTCTATGTCTAGGGCCCGCGGAGACGACCTAAACCAGGCTGAGAGAGGCCGCAGCTTGAGCGTGCGAAATATCAAAGTCATGCACAGGAACGGCCAGCGCACCCGGATGACCAACGACGGCATTCTACTTGACATGAAGGAGGACGAAGACGGCCGAGTATCCCCTGGCAGCAACGGCTTTGTCCCTATCCCCGGCACACCAGCCCACCATCTCTCCACAGAGCAGACGTCGGACAGAGCCCCAGAATTTCAGGATGGTTCACAAGTGACGGATGTATCACAAGGTCGCATCACTTTCGCCCGAAACGTTTTTAGAAGCGATGGTACCGAGCCGGAAGTGAAGCTCCCACCGCCGTCTTCTCCCGCGCACTTGGCTATTCTTGAGCGCCAACGCAATGGCCACGACGAGGAGACCTTACGAATTCCGAATCCTAGAGACGCCGAAAGAGGTATGAAGCCGAAGCGAGTCGAAGACGGTGATGCCCCAGAGCCCGAAGATGACAGAGATGATCCTACTCCCCACGAGCACTCATCCACAAGCAGTGAGACGATTGGTGCGCCACACGGCATGGCCAACGAGCTGGCCAATAACCCTGGCCGCCGACAGACCATCAAGATTGAGGAGCCCCAGCGACCGAGGGATCAGGAACGAACAGTAAAGGAGGAAATTGCAGAAGAGGCAGAGGTCATTGGAAGATCCATCTTCCCCTTCTCGTTCCACAGGCATCACAAGAAAGAATCGCAAAACGAGCCTGCCCCAGAAAATACTCTGACCAAGGTTCGAAGCCGCGTTGACACGTTCAGGTCTGCGCTGTCACGCGACAAAGTAGACGACATGCCATATCTCAGTTTCACACCCACCCTAGGCCGAAATTCTGCCTTTCCTGGTTTGACGCAGGATCAACGCGAGGAACTCGGAGGAATCGAGTATCGATCACTGAGAACGCTTGCTGTGATATTGCTGTGCTACTTCTGGGGATTCTCGCTTTTTGCCATCACTTGTTTCCTTCCTTGGGTCCACACCAGTTCCAACGACAAGTATGGCAATGTTATCGAATCGGCTGGTGTCAGCAAGGCATGGTGGGGTATATTCACCGCGAACTCGGCGTTCAACGACCTGGGTCTTACCCTGACCCCTGACAGCATGAACTCCTTCAACGATGTGCCCTTCATCCTCATGATCATGTCGTTCCTTATCATCATTGGCAACACTGGCTTTCCTGTCATGCTCAGGTTCATCATTTGGATTTTGTCAAAGGTTGTTCCCCGAGGTGGACTCCATCAGGAGCTGCGATTCCTGTTAGACCATCCGCGTCGTTGCTTTACCCTGCTATTCCCTGGGGGTGCAACTTGGTGGCTGTTCAGCATTCTCATCGGCCTAAACGTCCTCGATCTCCTGTTCTTCGTTTTGCTTGATGTAAGTGCTCATTCCTGCGCTGGAAGGGTTTTGCTAACTCCCGCAAAAAGCTTAACGACAATGCTGTAAGCCATCTGCCTGTACATATTCGCATTGTCGATGGTCTGTTCCAGGCCGCATCGACCAGAACGGCTGGCTTTTCGGTGGTAAACATATCGGCTCTGCACCCGGCAGTTCAGGTTTCGTACATGATCATGATGTACATTTCAGTATTCCCGATTGCTATCTCTATCCGTCGCACCAACGTCTACGAAGAGAAGTCACTTGGTGTTTATCATCACCCAGATGAGGAAGTCGAGGGCACAAACGAGAACAGCGCCATGTCCTACGTCGGAACCCATTTGCGCCGCCAGCTGTCCTTTGATTTATGGTATGTGTTCCTGGGGCTCTTTATCTTGGCCATCACCGAAGGGCATCGCATCCAGAACAAGGATTTTGATGTCTTCTCTGTTCTATTTGAGATTGTGAGCGCGTATGGTACTGTCGGACTTAGTTTGGGTTATCCAAACGTCAACGCATCGCTATGCTCACAGTTTACCACCGGAGGCAAGCTTATTATTATTGCCATGCAAATCCGTGGACGCCATCGTGGTCTTCCTTATGGTCTAGACCGCGCTGTTCTTTTACCCAGCGAGTCTCGTTTTGAAAAGGAGGCCGAGGAGGCGCCTCTGCCAGTTCTCGTACGATCTGCTACGGCCGCGTCGACTGGAACAGCGCTCAGCGCCAGTCGATCTCACCTGAGATCAAGAAGACAGAGCACCAACAGGGGAAATATCAACATCTTAACTCAATTCCTGCACCCAGGCCCTCCCATGAACGCACATGAAGAGAGTTTCTCTAGGCGCAGCAGATCATTCGAAGTTGGAGAGCATCATCTACCTATAGCAGAGGAGATGAGGAGGCGTGCCACGGAGCCGGTAGAGGACGACACCACTTCTACCGACTCCGGAATAGTGCACCCTGCTCGAAGAGTAAATACTACGCCAGCACGCTAAAAGCCGTGGCGGTAAACGACCCTAACAGGGTCGATTTTGGTGACAAAAAACGCACACACGTTGCATTGGATTTCACGAGGCTGGCTCGTCGGTTGCATGCGGAGTTCCTGGTTTGATCACAAACAGTATACTTGGTGCGGCAGTCATTCTTTTTTTTTTCAAAAAGACGGTACGGACTAGACAAGCTCAAGCTAGGGAAGGACATGTTTTAACTGGCGTTTGGTAATTCCTGTACATTGTTAGGATTTTGTACAACTATTATGACTGACGAACATATTTCTTTTTTTCTCCTTTTGACGTCTTGACGGACCATGGACCGCTTCAGTGACTGGCATTACGTGAACGGTGTAATCATCTCTAAGATTCAAGGATGCATAATAGCCATGGCATCATAGATAATGATTCAACAGCACTCCACCGGATGTTCACAACGAGCCCTGCTTCTGTGTCTGCAACCTCTCTTTTCGAGTAGCGGCTAAACCTAGCTGCGATGTTGGTTAACTTTTTCAGGCCAACAAAGGCTGAAGATCCTAGCATTGAAAGTCTCTTCGTCACAAGCAGTTGCCATCCAGTAAAAGGATCCATCGCATCCCCTGACTGAGCAACTGGATCTGTTTGGCATCTGCTTTGTTTCTACACAAAACCCAAGTATGCTTGGGTAAAGGACCATCCGCGAATGATTATGAGAGATCTTTATGTGTTCATGTACAAGACTCTATACAGGCCCGTGTTGTACAACTCCCCGTTTTTACCTCTAATCGTACATCACCTCAAGGGGAGGAGGGACAAGAAGCCCCAAAAACAACCTCACGGTACCAGCCACACACAACCCCCCCAGCACATTCCGGAACCATTCTTCAACCCGCTCATTTCTTCTCGAACCGTGTACCAACCTGTCCCTTGCCCTTTCCACCGCGCATGCCGTATCTCTCCTTCTTCCAGGCGTAGACGAGGTGGTCGACGTTGCCCATATCGTGTTTGGGCTGGCGCATGTAGGTGAGACGGGCACGGCGCGCGCGCTTGGGTCTGCGCCAGACAATATCAATACCGATGACCGTCGGCGAGTAGATCTTGTGCCACATCTCGACGCCGACCTTCATAAGCTGCGAGCGGAGAAGAATAGCGGTGTCAACGCCACGGCGGCGGATGCTCATGCACACGCCCGAGAAGGGCTCGCCGGATTTCGTCGTGACCATGAGGACATCGCCGACCTTGGCGGCATCAGGGCGGGCCGGGTCGAAGAGACGGGTTCGGGCGCCCGTAGGGTCGAGAGTCGCGCGCTGCTTGTCATCGAGGGCGATCATCGGGTTCTTGTAGGTTTGGCGGATGGAGGGAAGTTGGGGGTAGACGGCGAAAGTGGGCTTGTGACGGGGACTGACTGCGGCATTGTCAGCAAGAAACATTTTCTTCAATAATCAGAAGATGTACATACACATGGAGGGCTTGATTGAGGGCGCAGGCGCTGAGGGTGTTGATACTGGGGGTTCGGCGGCGGTGGCCATGGTACGAGCCACCAGTTTCTGGTGCCGAGTCTGGCGGAGCGCCGTCTTCAAGCAGCCGACCGGCCGCCTCAGGAGACAGTTTGCGTTCATTGTGAATGTGTGCTCGTGGACTGACAGGTAAACCCAGGAGGCGTTTGTCGTCGGACGAGGCAGATAGCAGACCAGAGCTTCGCAGGAGTCGAGAATCGAAAAGTCGAAGTTCGGAGTGCAATTGCGCGTTCTGATTGGCTCGGTGCATCAATGATGCGGAGCCGGGGCGCTGTGCTCGCGGGTGCCAAAATTTTGGGGGGACCCTGCGCATCTGTCGATACCGTAGCTCCCTCGCCGAATGTCGAGAATCGTGTAGTCTCGACTGCATTCACGCCACACAAGACGACAGTATGTCAAGGAGTTTAGTCGGAAGGGCCCTGAGGGCCAAGCCTTCGGTATGGGAGCAGCCTGCAGGCTGCATCGCGCAGCAGCAACGGAGCTTCAGCCAAACGCCCACCCATCAAAGTGAGTTTCTTGTGATGCCACTCAATGTATACTGCCAACAGCCCGAGAACTAACATGTGCTGTCTCTCCCAGATAACCAGGTCATTTTTGACAAGACCTCGACCCCGGGTCTTGCCCCCATTCTCGAAGAGATCCAGTCCAGCATCATCCTCCCCTTCTACCTTCCGATCCACCAGCGCAAGCGCGTTTTCTCCGAGAAGATGAAGAATAGCCTGCGTAGCGATCCCGTCTACATCGAGGTCGACGGCCACGAGCACAAATTCTCCTTCATCGACGAGGACTCCCTGCCTGCGTCTCGCGCCATCACGTGGAAGGCCCTGCGTGCGATGCAGACGGCCGAGGACTGGAACAACTTTGGTCGCTTGCTTTCTGGCATGCGCACTGCAGGACGCCGGTACAGTGAGATCGACTTCGTCAAGATGATTCGTCTTGCTGGCATCAAGGGCCAGATCTACACCATTATCGAGGCGGCGCGGCAGGTCCGGAAGACGGGACTGAAACTCGACACCTCGGAGAAGGTCAACGAGATCCTGCACTTTGTACAGATGCGGGCCGCGAACAGCGGCTGGGAAAAGGAAAAGACGGAGCAGGCACTGCGGTGGACTGAAATGGTGCTTGAGATGCTCGAGGACGAGAAGCACATCCCCAAGAAGAACTCTGGCGTTGAGCCAAGCCAGCAGATGCGCTGGCCGCTGCACAAGGACCCCCAGGTCCTGGGCGCCGCGCTGCACCTTTCCGCGGTGCTGGCTGTTAAGCACAACGAGGGCAAGGACGTCGACGGCAAGGTTGCGCGGTACGCGACTCAGATCGTCAACAGGTGGCCCGTCGATGCTGGCCTGCGACAGCTGCACCCCGAGGGTGCCTACGAGAACCGGACGAGCGGCGTCGCCTACCTGATCAACAGCCGGACGCAATACTTGGCCGCCGCAAGCCCAATCCTTCACGGTCTGCTACTGGCCACTCGTGTTGTGGACCAGCCTACGGCTCAGAAGTTGCAGGCCATCGCTAACAAGCTCGGTGTTGAGGTCAAGAAGGAGGTCGAGAACAACGCCTACCCTGCCGAGCGCGGCTTGGCGACCTACAGCACCCTATTCGAGTCCGGCAAGTCCAACTAAATGGCTCGGTTGATGATTTTAGCGTTGGGGTTTAAGGATAATGTCAAGAGTAAGAGAGGATTAGGGGAAGAAAGAAAGAAAGAAATCAAGCGGCTCCAGGGGGCAGATGAGGGGCTATGTACAGCTGATATGTAAAATTATCTATGTATACAATCATAAAGACACACCCAAGAGACAATCAAGCCGACTACGGCAGGACAATGTACTTCTCCAAATGCTTGGGTATCGCGCCCAGAAGCTTCTTCTCGCCCAGCCACTTGCGCGAAAACAGTCTCTCGGCGTAGCGGTACGCGCCGTCGCACAGGATGGTGACGACGGTGTGTCCCTTTCCGAGCTTCTCGGCCACCTCCTTGGCCGCCACGACGTTGAGGGCCGAGCTGGCGCCCAGGTACAAACCTTCCTCATCCAGGCAGCGGTACACCATCTCGATGCTCTTCTCGTCAGCAATGTGCAGCGAGCCGTCGACAAGCCCGATATCGGGAGCCAGGTTGTCGGTGATACGGCCCTGGCCGATGCCCTCCGTAATGCTGGATCCGGTGCGCTCCACGAGCTTGCCGCCGGAGCTCACGTACGAGTGAAGCACACTGCCCGGGGGGTCAGCGAGGAAGGACTTGACGCGGCCGTCGCTCTTCTCCTTCAAGAACCGCGTGATTCCGGCCAGAGTGCCAGCAGTGCCCGTCGCGCAGGTGAAGGCGTCGATCTTGCCCTGCGTCTGCTCCCAAATCTCGGGACCCGTGGTCTCGATGTGCGCGCGGCGGTTGGCCGTGTTGTCGAACTGGTTCGTCCAGACGGCGTTTTCGAGGGACTCGGCGTGACGGCGAGCCTGGTGGTTGTAGTTCTCCGGGTTCTCGAAAGCGACAGCTGGGACGGGGTAGACCTCGGCACCCAGCAGGCGCAGCAGGTCGATCTTGCCCTGAGACTGGGTGTTGGGCATGTAGATGACGAGCTTGTAGCCCCGCGAGCGGCAGACGTGGGCGAGGCCGATGCCGGTGTTACCGGCGGTTCCCTCGACGACAGTGCCGCCCGGCTTGAGCAGGCCACGCTCCTCAGCGTCCTTGACGACGTAGAGGGCGGCACGATCCTTGACGGAGCCACCTGGGTTCATGAACTCGGCCTTTCCGAGGACTTCGCAGCCGGTCTCGGCGGAGAGGCGGTTAAGACGAATTAAGGGGGTGTTTCCGATGGCTATTAGGGGAAGGCAGTCGTTAGCACGATGCCTGGTAGAAAGTTACAGAAAAAGATGGGGGGGCGAGGTGGTAGACATACCGCCAGTGAGGCCCTTGACAACGCCCTGCGCCCTGGAAAGGTTGAGCGAGTAGGCGCTGGGGGGGTCAATGGCGCGAGCGGCCGTCGTCGCAAAGCGACGCACGCCGAGACGGTTCATGCTGCCTGGTTACTCGGGTAAGGAGATTCGAGCTCAAAGGAAATTACTCAGCTTTGGCCGAGAGGTGTCCAATGGGTTGAGTTGCGAGGCGGTAGGAGGATGGGCAACTGTTGCGTTGAAGAACCCTCCGGCATTCGGCTTTCTAAGCTGAATGACAGGGGGTCCCTCCCGTGGTGGGGGGTGCTCAATTGGGTTCTGTGTGCCGCTAAAAAAATCACGTCAGAGATGTGGCGGCCGTGGTGGAGGTGCTAAAGAACGGAGCCGGGGGCCGGTGCGGTAGTCGGGCGAGCCGGCCGATCCTTACGTGCCGACGACGGCCAGCATCATGTAGATTCAAGGGAAGGACGTGTAGGCTTGTAATTTATGAGTACCTTCTACCCTTCTTATAACCATTGAAGAAACAGGCGATCAAAGAAGACTCCAAGTACAGTGCTGAGAAGCATGTCAAACGTCGCATTACGCCTGGTACTTTTCTCAATGGTTGTCCACGTGCCACTTAACACTTGCTGAGCGCCACGAATCAGAGAGTAACATGAACCTTTAGTTGTTCTCAAATTAACTGGACGTCATTTTGTCCATATGTGAAGAATACCATGACATCCACTCAAGATGGACTAGCTCAGTTCTTTTGGCCCTTGCCGTTTCATTCATCACGGTGATGCCTCATATTATCAAAATGTCTCATGATCAATGATCACCTCCGCCCCTCAATTCATCAATGCGTCTCACATAAGGCGATGGGAAAAGCCCCTTCGCTCCCATATAAACCCCGAAGAACCAGTCCCCGTTAACATCCTCAATTTCCCTGATCTCGGCACCCTTGGGAAACATCAGCTCATCCTCAGCTTTCGGAAACCATGGCCAAGCCGCGCTCGCTTTCATTCCTACACCACCATCCGGGGGGAAGCCCTGCGCCTGGCCGTCGCCTGTCGGCGCATCTTCTGCCACATCTTTGGTAACGAAACGTTCACGTTTCAGTGTCCCCTCTTTCCACCACCACTTCTGGTACGCCTGCTCGTCGCTTGTTGCCGGTTCCATTCGCAGTCCACGACCACCTACAAGATCGGTGAGGATGTGCCGCAGCTGCCCGCCCGGCCCATCACGGAAGCCAATGACTATCATACGATGACCGCTAAGGCAGCGACGCCAACCGGCATGGCCATTTTCTGGACTGACCTGGCCGCGAGCTTCCAGATTGGCGTAGCAGTTTGTGCAAATATCATAGTCGCCTGGATGTGTGTCTGGCTCGATGGAGCTGGTACAGGTGAAACAATGATACCGACTATGGCTTGGCGGGATGGGATCCTGGCAAACATCACAGCGGGTTGTGAACGTAAGAGGTTTGAACGGACCAATGCTGTGAATATTTGGTCCCGTCAATACCATTGCCGAATGAGGCGGTTGAGGCGATCTGGGACTCGCAGGTGGCGTATGGGCTTGGTGCGGCTGATAAGTCAGGGGCAAAAGGGGATGAGTGCAAGATCGGCCCTGATTCACACAGTTGTTGCAGAATCCCCAGTCTCCCAGATTGCACACGTCACAACGCCAGAAGCACTCATTCGCCCATGCCAAGCATTGTGCACAGAAGTTGCCGCTTTCAAGGCGCTTAACAGGGTCCTCAGTAGTGAGAGTTCGTCTGCCCTCAGCTCCGCCAGGTATGACCCTGGGCTGGAGATACCGATTTGCCGTTAGCATGTGTGGCCTTGGGATGTCCTCCTGGGCGGCTTGTCGAGCCTTCTCCCACTTTGTCCACGCGCCATAACCGAACCCGAACCAATGTAAGCAGCCCTTGCCTGACCTGTAGCAGTCAAGGCAGATGTTCCAGTTCCCACTAGCACAGACTCCACAGTTGTAGTGAAGCTCGTACTCGATGTGCGGCTTCGCGCATCGAGAGCAAGTGATTGAAGGCTCAGGGTACAACTGAGAGCGGGTACGTTGATGACCAGGCGACGAAGTTGGACTGCCAATGCCCAAGCCGACAGGACCTGATGTGGCCTGGCTGATTATGGATAGGTCTGCCGGTCGATTTGGCCGCTGGATACGGGGTGATAGTGGCTCTGTGGGAGGAGAGGCAGCAAAGTTGGCGGACACTAGCGTTGACGGGTTTGGTACACGGGTAGCGAAAGAGAGATCTCGTGGCGTCGGAGGGTCGCTTGGGGCTTGGGTTGTCGGCACGGACGGCGTACTCGAGCTTCTAGCTTCGCCAAAGGCAGCTCTCGCAGTTGACCCATCGCTGAGCAGGGGGCGAGTAAGATCCGTCTGTGAGCGTGTCGCCACTCGGGCTTCAGGCTGGGTTGCAGGGAGAGGCGTGGTAGCACTACGCCCTCCGCTGGAAGTCCGCCGCCTTCTGCGCCTTTCTTCTGGACGTATCTCCAAGTGCATCGCACTTTGTGAAAGCGGTGGGCGGCTGCGATCATCAGGAAACCCAGTGGCACTGGTTGACCTTGAATGGGGCCGTTGTCTGCTGGTCGGTCTACCATTGTCCGATGCGCTGGATCTAATATCTTGAATACGATCAGGAGAATTTCTGGATTGCCCACTAGCATTGCTCCTCCTTGCTCCATCGCCTCTCGTGCGCTCTCGCTCTCGCTCTCGCTGACGTCGCCTATAAGCTTCTGTAATCTTCCGGCTCAGTTCATCGTTACGGCTCAGGTCGATATTGTCAAGATCTAGGCCGTCCAATAAGCCTTCCTCCTGGATTTGCCTGGCGAACTCTTCAATCTCTCTCTCGATATCTCGCTCACTCAAATCCCCGGAGCTTATTAAAGACCTCAGAGATGACTGGTGCTCAATCTGCCGGCGTCGCGTATCGGCGGACGGCTCCTCCAAGTGTTGTCTGGTCTCGCTCCGCCGCCGCCTCGATTGCTCTCCCGGTCTTGCATCCGGCTGCAGTTGGTCCCCTTCGGTGCGGGGTCTACGGCTGCCCTCATGTCTGTGACTGTGGCGGCTATCACCACTGTGATCTCGGCTTCGCCGTGTCCTGCTTTCAATAGAAGTGCTATCGTCCCTGCGTCTTCGATGCCGTGGGGCTAGGGAAGATTCCACTCCGACCTCCCTTAGGCTCATCTCCCGCACATCCTCCAGTAGCCGTCTCTCCTCCGCCTCTGCACGCCTCTCCTCCGGGGTCCTCTCTGGGCTTCTTATGCGCGGGAGAACTTTGTCGCCTGGCTTGTACTTCTTGGCCATCTCCTCCATGTCCGCTTCAGACCTTTTTCTGTCGGGATTCGCAGCAACAAACATGTCGAGAAGAGTTGCGACTGTGGCATTGTGCCTTGTGTCGCGAACTGAGGCACGGCATGACGGGCAGGTGAAGATATTCTTCCCTGGGGAAGGCGGATTTGGCGAATTTTCAACCTGTTGGGACTGGAAGGAAAACCAGTCTTTCAGACATGCACCGCAGTAGGTGTGCAGGCAATCGAGGAGAGTCAACGGCTGGTAAAGGAGTTCGGTGCAGATCTGCAGGGGACGGATTCGGTCAGCACAAGACAAGACGTTAGAGTGCCCCTCCCCTTCTACCTTCTAGGGCGGCGCTACGGGGCGTTGGATCAGATGACAGCAGCAGGCGACTTACAGAGCACGTCAACTCCTTCTCCAGGTCGAGTCCGGGTTTTGAGGAATCCATGCAGCAGCAGCAGTCGCTCCACGCGATCCCAAAAATGCCGGACAGCAAGAAGACAGTGTCATGGGAAGAATTGCCCAAGATGCGCCCGAAGGGACATGGTCCGTATTAAGACTGGCTGTTGGCGAGCTGAGTGGCGGGGCTTGGAAGGCTAGGCGCGCCGTGGCCGCCGCTGCAGCAGCAGGCAAAGAAAAAAAAAATTGGTCAGAAAGGCGCCTGTGATGGATGGATGCGACGGCAGCCCCAACCCCACGTTGGTTTCCATACGCCCACTGGCCCCCTATCCCTGCTGGTAGCTCAAAACATGGCATACAACTTACACTACGGAGTCCCGCACACTGCAGTCTCCCCTCGACAACAGCCTTTTTGGACAGGTAAGCCCCCTGTAAGTTGCTGGGAATACGAACTCAATCCTCCCCCCTCCCCCCCGAGCCTAGTAAAATTCCCGATTCAATTGCTTATGGCGAAGTATTGATCCCTTCACATGTGGACTGCTTCTGAGGTGAGGACCTCCTACAGGAGTACTTCAACAGTAAGAGCAAGGCTTAGTTGGGGTGGTCTATGAGACGGCAGAGAACATTTTGAAAAGAGATGCAACTAGGTTACGAAAAACTCTCAAAATAGGTCATCCTGCGTCCTACCAGAGGGGGATGAGTCTTGCAACCCCAGCACTACGCTGACTGTGCTCTTGCATCGTCCCATTCAACAATTGGAGATCGGATTCCCCGCCCAAAACAGAATGGTCGCACTACATCGTATCTTCCTCGGGTTTAAACATTTCTCATACATTTGTTTATGTTGCGATAGTTGGAATACGGAGTCGTGTGGCACTTCCAGCCACACGCCCGCCAGGCTGAGAGGCCCAAGCCTCCCAGACCCACGTGACAGGCCAAGGGGGAATATCCCCACCTTCTAGTCAACAACACCACTTTCAACAATCATGAACCATCGATTAGAACCAATTTACTGTTATTTGTTATTGACGAACGGAATTCCGTTTCACCCCCTGTTTCACCCCCTGTGAAACCTACACTGATCAGTGGTAAACCTCACAGTTGCCATTAATTTGGTTAACTTCACAATTACCACTCTGCTACGGACAAACCGCAGATCAGCAAGGTCAACACCAGAAGAGACGACTTCTTGAACTGGATACCCAAGCCCAGGTAAAAGTAGGGATTTCGTGCTAACGAGAGAAGAAGCGAGAGTAACTGGGATCTACGGAAACCAGCAGAAGAAAGCTTCTTTTCCTCGAATCTACCAGCAATCCGATTATTCGAGTAACCTAGGGACTGCTACGCTCACCCTAGGCGGGATAAGGTTAATCGCAGCCAATTATCGCTGGCAAGAGCGTTCCATCACGCGTTTTCAATCACCAGAAGAAGAGACCTACCGAATCGACGGTCTTCCAACCTCTTCACGCCACAAGGGCGAAGATTCACGAATCCCACAAGGGACAACAACTTCCCCAACTACAACTATCCCCCACGCGCGGTGCCAATCACGAGGCGCCCGCTAGTTTCTCAATAAATCCCCAGACGAGGTGCCAACCGCGAGGCGCCTGCCACAAGAGACCTCCCTACCAGAAGAAGAACACGCCGAAAGGCGAGCGGAGACTACCGGCGGTAATCCGCCTATACAGCTATACGTATACGCCTCCGAGGCTGCGGCTTAGGAGAAACGCACGTGGTTGTGGGCGTCATAAGGCCAACTGTCCGCTAGATTCTAAACTTCCCAACAGTGAGGAGCGAAGCCCGAAGCGAGAAAGAGAGATTCACGAGAGAATCTACGGTAGAACTCTCTCCCTACCAATTCGAGACCTGTGTATACCCTCACACCCCTCGAGAACATCAGCGAGAACGGCGCCGACGGAAACAAACGACGAACCGACGAAAATCCCCGATTTCACGATTCTTTCCCCTTAGAATCGTAATATCCCGAATCGTCTTTTGACTCCCACTTCCAGGCCTGCATCTTGCACCAATCGCAGCTGACGCTGTTGAGGATTAGAATTCAAGATTCTAAACAGAAGTAATCCTTTTATACTGTCAGAATGGAGCGAAATTCACGAGAAGGATCGCCCGCGAGCGGCGTCACTGCCAAAAGCCAATCAACAGTCCCCATCCCACAGAGAATCGAAAGTATGATCGATCCAGCAGTATGGGGCAACTGGGCAATCGACCTTACAAACGCTAGCCCACAGCAACTGGGTTCCTATATGGGTTTCCTACTTGAGACCTATGAGAAGAGGAATCTCACGGGCCTCGAGCTATGGAACGAAGTTTCTCCCGATTTCGCCGACTGGTCAGAAGAAGACTTCCAGAACGTACCTCCCCCAATCCTACGATTCTTCAGAGACTATTTAATCGGTAACGGCGTCTACGTCGAAATGGATGGCAAGAAAATCTCGAAAAACGTGGCATTAGCCCTCAAAAAGGAAGAATTCCACTACTGGTCACCCCAAGAACTCGAACAAGGCGTCAAGAGATATCGCAACCTGAAGGCTCTGATAAAAGACCCCGAATTCCACGAAGAGATCACGAGACCGGCAACAGTAGCCAACAGCACAGGAGGAAGAGTCGAACCAACCCTACAGCCACCTCCTCCACAAGAACAACAACAGTGGCAACTACCGTACCGACCGCCACATCCCACGGTCTCTCCGTTAACAGACTTCCAACCATACGAGTCAACAGACCGTATCGGAAAGCAATTAACAGAATTCGCGAAACTATACCCCGACGATATGAAATACAGCGGCGATATGTACGATGTACTCGAAAAGAAGATGCCAGTATTCGTGGATCACTGTAGAATGCTGGGAATTCACACCTCCCAATACAACAGGGCACTTCCCCTAATACTGAAAGGAATAGCCAAAACCTACTTCTACGCCTCGATTAAAGTGATCAACCCACAGCCCAACTTCGAGACCATGATCAACCAATTGAAATCACACTTCGAGACTAGGGAAAGGCAACAAGCGTACGTTACGCAGTGGAATACAACTACTCTTCCCCAAATCATTCGCGATAACCCTGGAAAGACCAAATCGGAGTGTTTTGACATACTATGTGACAAATTAAGCAAGATTCAGCCCGGTTTGCCACAACAGGATCACAACGACCGATCCCTCCATACCCAACTTCTACACGCTTGTAGAGATATTCCAGAGTGTGCAATGGCGTTATTTGTACCGGCTGAGACGTACGAGGGACTTCGCAGCCAATTAATCTCGTCGATCGAGACAGCTACCCGTCTCAACCAACAACAATTCAACACAGTAGCCAACCCACCAGAGCAGTACTGGACCGACAGAACTTTCAACGGTCGAGGGCGTTATTCACGATACAGTCGTTCATCACGAAGTCGATCATCACGAGGAAGAAGCCGTGACAGACCCCTATTACCGCCAACGCCTAAGAAGTGCTACGTGTGTGGAAAACCTAACTGCTGGTCAACCAAACACACCACAGAAGAGAGACGAAAAGCGTACGAGAAGTTCAAAACCACCCAATATGCCCAGGATACGTCACTTCCAGCATATGGCCAATTTCTCGTCCAATACGAGGGTTTCGACGGGTTAGACCTACAACCTACCGCCGAAGACCCCCAGCAATACTACCACGTAACCGAACAAACCAGTGAAAGTGACGAAGAGGAAGAGACCGGCAGCGACAGTCAATTCCAGGTCACCGCCTATTTCACTACAACAGCAATTGACGGCAACAGGATCGCCACGATCCTAGCAGACCAGTCAACCCGCCATGCTATTACGAAAGAAGACCTCTTCCGCAACCAACCAGAACCGAAAGAGCTACCTTCGCAATTCACACTCGAGGGACGCTACTCTGCCCAGAACTTCCAAGGGATCATGCCCGACTCGGGCGCAGCAGGATTCTCAACCGCTGGCCACCCACAATTCGTGGCCCTACAACAAATTTACGAAGGAATTACGTTAAACACTGAGGCGGCTGGCGGCGTTACAGTGAAATTCGGCGATGGGATACCACTGGAGTCTATAGGGACTACCAAAGTGCCAACGCCGTTTGGAAGCGTCAAATTTCACGTTATTGAGACTAACACTCCCTTCCTTATGTGCCTAGGAGATATGGACCGATTGAAGGTCTACTTTAACAACGTTACGAATACCCTCATCCAAGGAAATAAGGTCGTACCTATTATTCGCAAATGGGGCCACCCATGGTTATTACTCGATAAGGAGAAACCACTCGCCTGGAACCACCTCACAGACGCTGAATTGCGACGGGTTCACCGTCGCTTCGGACACCCATCTGTTCAACGATTACACAAGGTGCTCCAGAGGGCCGGCCACCCAGTTGAAATTACGGCAATTGAGCAACTATCGAAAGTCTGCCATCGATGCCAAATGCACGCACCAGCGCCATCACGGTTCAAATTCACGTTACGAGACGATTACGAATTCAACTACGAGGTTATCGCCGACGTGATGTACCTTGAGGGTAACAGACCGGTCCTCCACGTCGTCGATACCGCCACGGCGTTCAACGCCGCCCGGTTCCTTGAGGACATTTCTGCGAAAGCCACTTGGGAAGCCCTACGCCTCTGCTGGATAGATGTGTATCAGGGACCCCCAGACTGGCTAGTTACCGACGCTGGAACAAACTTCCGCTCAACAGAATTCCGAAACGCGGCGAGAGGAATGGCAATTGAAATCAAGGAAATTCCCATAGAAGCCCACAACAGTATTGGGAAAGTTGAACGATACCATACACCTCTAAGGAGGGCGTACGAAATCATCAGAGCAGAAGACCCAACAATTACGCCAGAATCAGCACTTCAAACAGCAGTCAAAGCAGTCAACGATACTGCTGGCCCGAACGGAATAGTGCCAACACTCTTGGTATTCGGCTCGTACCCACGAATTACCGACGATTCGCCGCCATCTCCCGAAGTCACAAGGCGGGCGAAAGCGATTAAGAAGGCGACGAGCGAAGTATGCGAACTTCACGCAAGGCGACAGGTGGCAGAAGCTATCGCCACCCGCAATGGCCCTGATACAGGGCCAATTGTTAATTTACCGCTACGGTCGCAAGTACGAGTATGACGCGAAAAGAAGGGCTGGACCGGACCGTTTACTTTAGCAGCCATAAACGGCGAAACCTGTACTGTCGATACGCCACGTGGTCCGAAGACCTTCCGGTCTACCGTAGTCAAACCATACTACGAAGATCCCGATCAACCACCTAATTCCATCGCCGCGCCAGAAGAAGAAGAACCCGAAGCTGAGATACCGCAGCAGGAAGTAGTACGCGACGAAATTATCGTCGCCGGCGGAGGCAGTGAACCGGACGAACCGCAAGAGGCACCGGAGCCACCGAGAAGACGCCCGGGCAGACCCCGGAAGAGACCACTGCCAATCGCCCACTTCACAGAGGAATTCAACGATGACCCGGATTATCAACAAATATTCCTATCGATTAAGGAGCAAGCAGACGAAGAATTGGCAATCAAACTACGACGAGAAGGTGTTATTACTACACCAGGCGAACCGTTCGAACAGTCAACTAAACAAGAGATCAACAGCCTCATCGCTAGAGGAGTGTTCAAATTCACCCAGTTCAATAAGAGAAGGCACCAGAACGTACGAATCTTCCGATCTCGTATCGTCAACGAAGTCAAGGGTAAAACAACCCTGCTGATGCCCTCACGAAGAGCAAACCAAATCGAGCCCTCGAGAGATTCGTTGATAGCAACACGATAACGATACGTATGGAGGGATGGGTAACAAGACCGTAACTACGGGAGAAAGTAGGGATAGGAGGCCGAATTGACGAGGAGACGGAACTGTATAGGGACAACGTATTCCAACCGCTTCAACACCATAAAAAGAGAGTTTCCAGTGTTGCGATAGTTGGAATACGGAGTCGTGTGGCACTTCCAGCCACACGCCCGCCAGGCTGAGAGGCCCAAGCCTCCCAGACCCACGTGACAGGCCAAGGGGGAATATCCCCACCTTCTAGTCAACAACACCACTTTCAACAATCATGAACCATCGATTAGAACCAATTTACTGTTATTTGTTATTGACGAACGGAATTCCGTTTCACCCCCTGTTTCACCCCCTGTGAAACCTACAGTTTATCCTCAGCTAGCATCCTTCAGGAGTGAGTCCACTCCGCCTTCTTCTTCTCTGCAAATGCCTTCATGCCAACCTTTTGATCATTGCTTCCAAACAAGCTGTGGAACACCCTCCTCTCAAACTCAACGCCGTCCCGTAGCGGCAGGTCTTGGCTCTTGTTTACAACCTCCTTGCATGCGTTGATAGCCACACGAGAGTAGCTAGCAATCGTCTCAGCCGTCTTCAGCGTCTCCTCCATGAGTACTTCATACGAAGGGAACGCCTTTGCTGCAAGTCCCCACTGCGCGGCTTCGGTGCCGGTGAACGACTTGCCAGTCAGAATCAGTTCCATGGCCTTGGACTTTCCAATGGCACGTGTCAGTCTTTGACTACCTCCAGCACCGGGAATGGTGCCGAGCTTGATCTCAGGCTGACCAAAGTTGGCATTTTCGGTGCAATACAGAATGTCGCACATCATGGACAGCTCACAACCTCCACCGAGCGCATGGCCTGAAACAGCCGCAATGATGGGCTTCTTGACTTGTGTCGTGAGGAGTGACCAGGACTCGATGAAGGACTTGGTGTATGCCTCAGAAAAGGTTAGGGGGGCCATCTCCTTGATGTCAGCACCAGCAGCAAAGGCCTTTTGAGAGCCGGTGAGGATAATGACAGAAGTGTCATCCGACTCGTTGAACGCCCTCAGAGCGTCGTTGAGCTCATGGATGAGAGGGGTGCAGAGAGCATTCAGAGCTTTGGGCCGGTTCAGTGTCACTAAAGTGGACCTGTGTAAGCATCACCAGGAAGTCAAAGCGACAGCTGAGCGGGCAACCCACCTTGTCCAACGCCGGGTTTGGGCGTAGAAACCTGGATGTATTCGTATGAACCGCTGGCATACCCGCGAGCCATTCTGGGAAGCGTCGGGGCCTGCAGGCGCGAGGCAATTGGCCGAAGATATCTGAAGGAGTTCATTGTGACGGAGCTTCGGCTCTAGCTGTGATGAGGTATAGGCCTGCAAGACTAGATCTCAAAAAACCGACCGGCTTGGGTGTTTGTATTGATAGTGCTTTCGACGTCGAATGCACCGAAAAGAGAACCTGGTAGTAGAGGTTTTTCGAAGAGAAACAGCTCAATTGGGATGGTAGTGGATGAAAACACAGACGGGTACTCAAATGTGATGTAAGAGGTCAAACTCAAGCTCAAGCTCTCTTCAAGCTCAAGGGAGAGCTGGAAAGCATCGGCTCTCTGGGACCGAGGATACAGTCGGTCGTAGCAGGGGCACGGACTGCGCACTGTGATAGCTCCCCCGCGTCACAGGCTTATCGCCGTAATAGCAGATCCTGGTTAGAGACCCATTTCTTCAGATACCATGGTATGCCCCCACTGCGATTCCAAGCTCGTGCTAACCCGCTAGACTGCTGCGCCACAGGGGCTACTTCTGTCCCCCTTTCTGCCTCTCCCCAGCGTATCCAATCACTGAGGTGAGTTGCCAACCGTCGGGTAAGATTCGGACTAACAGCAGGCACGAATCACTCTTTGGGGGACAAGCCTTACGTGGCTGAACCTATTATCCCAGAGATCCCGCCCATCAACCCAAAAATTCGTCCGGACAGATCGCGACAGCCGCAGTTCCTCATTCCCTGACAGCACCAGACTTCTTGTCTTGCACCATCTTTGTTGTTCATCTAACATTCACGACAACACGGGTCTTTGAGTATTATTCAGTCCTGACGCTGGTTTTTCTATACCTAAGTCGCCCAAGATGGACACCATGGAGCCGGAACAGACCCCCTTCTCCTCCGTTACGACGCACACGTCCAAAATCCAAAGAGTACGCCTATCACGAGCTTCGCAATTCCCCAGCGACCCTTGGCTAATGTACCTATAGCAATACCAAGCTCTCCTTGACCAGTCAACGCCGTTTGTGCTCTACAGATGGGTCAGCACCGGCTTCTTCCTCATCATCTTCTTCGTCCGCATCTTTGTCGCGCAAGGCTGGTACATCGTCGCATACGCACTCGGCATCTACCTCCTGAACCTCTTTTTGGCGTTTCTGCAACCCAAGTTCGACCCTTCCAATGAGGCGCTTGATAATGAGATGGAAGGTGGGGGCGTAGGCATTCTCCCGACCAAGCAGGACGAGGAGTTCCGCCCCTTCATCCGCCGTCTCCCTGAGTTCAAGTTCTGGTACTGGGCCACCCGCGCTATCCTCATCTCCTTCTTCTGCAGTTGGTGGGAGATCTTCAACGTCCCTGTCTTCTGGCCCGTTCTGGTCATGTACTGGTTCATCCTCTTCTTCCTGACGAGTACGTGCCCCTCCCTGCCGTGATGATCTTGGCAAGAAGCTGACCCCCCTTCGTAGTGCGCAAGCAGATCCAGCACATGATCAAGTATCGCTACGTCCCCTTCACCTTCGGCAAGAAGAACTACGTGAAGAACAGCTCGTAAGAGCGGCAACGCGATGGCTGCTATGGTTAGGATAGATCGGTGCCTTGCGCCCGAGGCCACTGTTGGCAAGTGTAAGTCTAGGCACGTGGAATAGACAGAATGCGAAAGCGAATACGAGGACGAATGCACCCATAACGAGCTGCAATGGCGACGACGGTGACGATGGAGGAAAATGTACGTATAGAAATGGCGCTGGTATGAGAGCATGGTTGCGACGGCGAACTACTCGGAGCGCATCAGGAAGCATTCTTGCAAGGCCGGGAGTTAGTGCGCCATTGATGAATGATGGACTTGCTTTGGAATCGTTCATCTCATACTACGTATTGTAATAGAGACAGACAAAAAAAAATTGTCTATTGCCTTTCAGATTTGTTGCAGAATCGCATTTGCTTAGCTCAATGAGCTTGGGTGCCTTGATCCGATAAGTTGCTGCGATAAGGCTCGCGGCCCGGGCCCGGGCGCTGGCGCTGGTACAAACTACCCCGAATCTCAGCCTCGTGGAACTTTTCCGGGCCACTTGCACCTTCCTCGTCAACGCGACCGCGACCCCCGTCCCTCCGCCAATCAACCAAGCTCTCATCCTCCCCTCTCCCACCACTTCAATTCGGCACGACTCGGGAATCACTGAGAATCTGTTCGGGAGATCAATATGTCTTCCTCTGCGCCTCGCGGCGGCGAGCGCATGATCCATCAGGATTTCATCGCCAGAATCAGATACTCCAATGCCCTGCCACCGCCTCCTAACCCCCCAAAACTGCTTGATATCCCCAATACCGGCCTTGCCAGTGGTCAATACACGACGCCTGGCTTCGCATCGCGTCTTGCTCGAGAGCAACCGCTGAACATCGAGGTTGACGCGGAGCTAGGAATGCCCCTGGACCTTGTGGGCATGCCTGGTATTTTTGACGGAGATGAGAGTTGTAAGGACAACAAAATGACGAATGCATTCAATGCCCTGTACTGACATTCTCCAAGCAATTCAGGCCCCATCGCAACCTCCTCCCGCTCACCCTCACGACCGACCTCTTCTCAGACCGCTGTCTACGCTGGGCCGCGCAAAGAGCAGCGCTGAATCATCAGTTTCCTTCCTTCGCAGAACCGAATACATTTCGTCTGTGACACCCAGAAAGGGAGGCGCCGCCACGGGCGCTTTCATCAATCCCAAGCTCAAGCGTCCAGAGAAGCGTCGCTCCCCGGAGCCGGACAAGGATTCTCCTGCTGCCATCAAGCGCAAGATCGAGAAGAGTTTCGAGAGCGCCGAACGTTTCGTCAGCAACCCAAGTCGACACCGTCATCCCAGCAAGCCCACCGTCCATCTTGTGCAGTCATACCCACTGCTGCCCGATCACGATGCGCTCCCTGACTCCGGTGCCTATGTTACCGTCAAACTGCTCACCAACCCAGTGGCCAGCGCCAACAAGTACGACCGTCGCCTGCTTAGCGGACTTTTGCGTCCCCTTGATCGGAGCCCAGAGGAGAACGAGGCTTATCAGGCCGCCCTCGAGGCACACGAACGTGACCCTGTCCGCAACCCTAAGCCCGCCAATCTTATGGACTACAGCTTCTTCCTCCCTGCCACACAGACCACGGCTGAGAACTTCCGCGCCAAGTTCGACCCTGAAAATCCCGACCACGATGATGACTCGCTGTATACGCACAAGAGTCAGGGCACCGACGGTTGCTTCCAGTTCTCACGTCTGCGTGCGTATGAAACGACCAAGGAGACGGAGCTCGACCACAATACCAAGTATAGCGAAGAGCTGATCCTTGCATTTAATGACGAGCCATCGGGCAGCAAGCAAAAGGCCGCCTATTACTACCCCGTCATCCAGCGTACCACTATCCGACCTCAACGTGCGAAGAACATTGCACGTACGCTTAGCCAAGTGGAGGATGAGGGACAGGTCGTTAACGAGGTGGAGGTGTCCATCTGCGACCCCAAGGGCATAACCCGCGAAAACATGAAGCGGTACAGAGAGAAGCCCATTGGTTTTGTTGAGGAGGTTCAAGAAAACGCCGAGGGCAACGGCGAGGGTGCTGCGCCTGGCACACCTTCTGACCGGGATGCTGATGGCGATGAGGAAGACGATGATTGAAGGGCGCGAACGCATAAGTGACACGGCATACCATTTGGATTCTTAGAGTTCAAAATCTAGCAGACAGACCACTTACGGCTCAGGCTAAGAGCACTGTAATATCAAGTCCTTTGCGACCAATTTCGTGTAGTATGTGAACAGGAGTTAAAGGGAGGCAATTAGACAAGGAACGTACAAATCACAAAGGGAAAAAGAAATGAAAATATGCGTTTTGGGCGGCACCAACAACTAAATCATCATCAGTGTCATTTGATGATGTATGTTTCTTCATTCTCAGCAAGCGACCAGAGAATCCCCGGGTCATGCTATGATTATACATGTATAATATCTATCCAGTCCGCTTATGAGACAACGGCGGTTTACACACTCATCGCCGCCTATCATACAGTTTCTGTCAAAAAGGGGGGTGGACATACAGAAGAGATACAAACACCGCTAACAACAGCAACGTATATGCGCGCGCGCCAGCACACAATTCCCTCCCTTCTGGTGTTTTGGTATAACTAATTCAAGACAGACAATATTCGTCTGCAGCAACGACTTCATACCCAATTCGTAGATACCAGATAAACTCCGTTTGTTTTTTTCCCTTCCAAAAAATAGAAAATGCAGTCTGCAAGGTGCTCATATAATAAACAAAGGATCCAATACAGAAAACACGCTCTATGCTGGCGGTGGCGCGGCGCCCCCAACTGAGAAGCCGATGGTGTCTCTTTGGTCGTCGATGACGCGGCCATATCTGTGATGAGTAAGTTAGTATGGATGAAATATGAGACAGTATCACGATGAGTAAGGGAAGGGAACTTTACTCTAACAAGAGGCGGAAGAACCAGGCTTCCATGTCCTCCTTGCGAAGCACCTTGTTAGCCCAGTCACGGCTGCTGAGCGCCATGCGCTCGGCCTCGTTGCGACCGAGGGCACCGTCACCAAAAAATCGCACGGCTTCAAGCCAGTCGTCGCCCTGCAGGCTCATGGGCACATAGTGCACCCAGGGGCGGAGCCACTCGAAATGCCACTCGCGGAAGATGGCGAGCTTGAAGACAAGGGAGCGTGACTGCAGGAATGCGTAGAAGCGGCCAGAGAAGGCGTTGCCGTCCATGTCGAGAAGATACTTGTACTTCCAGGCATCCTGCTGCTCGGCGTGGCCCTGGATCTTGAAGAATTCCTTCTGGGCGTTGCAGTCTCCCTCGTCGCACTGTCCTACGTGCGAGAAGTAAACGTCAATGATGTCGCGGTAGTCGCCGCGGGGCACTTCTTTGACCTCCCACTTGGGATTCTGTTCGTCGCCGCGGTTTACATAAATCTTTGCGTTGTCGGCGGCGTTAATCTTTTGAACAAAGTGCTGGCGGTGTTGGCGGCGCCAACCGCCATTGCGTGAGAATCCACCTGTCGTGGAGCCGCGCCAGTAGAGGCGGTCATGCTTCTTCTCCCAAGACATGTCCTTGGACTTGTCATAGGTGACCTTCTGGTACCAGTACCAAGGAGAGGGGTAGAGGATGTCGTTGTAAGAGGAGATCTTGGACTGAGAGAAAATGGGGAAAAGGTCGTGCACGATGTTGTAAGCGTTCGGGCGATCGAAGAAACCGTAAGTCGCACTCAGAGAGGGTGAGAGGCAAACGTCAGACATGGCGGTGACATTATAGACGAAGCCGAGCTCGCTGACACCGTACTTGCTAAGGTCGTCGGAGAGCTCGTCATCCTCGAGCCCACGCGATGGGCTGTCCGGGGGGCAGGACATACGGGAGTGCGTCCAGGTCGCCTGGTGCGCAAAAACGTTGAAGCGGGTGCGCTTGTATTCTTCGATTATCTTGCCGTCGCTCAAATCGCCCGCTCGTTTTGTGAAGGCGTTCTGCGGGTTCGGAGAAGAGTTGGCCTTAGGCATGTTGACATCCTTGGCCCTCTTGACAAGACGGGCCAGGTCGTCATGAGGCACGACAACACGCGGCTCGTCGTGGATGTTGAAGGCGAGATCCATGCTCGGGAGCCACTGGATGAACTTCTCAATCATGCCTGAGGTGGCCTCGCGTTGCCAATCTTGGCCGCCCTGGATGTGGGAGACCTTGTGATCCCGAATCAACAGGCCAAGCAGTTTGTTGTCAAAGCCAAGGGCTTCTCTGGCTCGCTCCCTTATCGTCCCAGGCTTCAGACCCCAGAAGGGTGTAAGCATCTCGTGTATCATGTCGAATTCATCGATGAGCTGGACGCCGTTGGCCTTTGCGAATTCGAACCACTTGTCAAAGTTGGGCGGGGGCGGGATGCCATAACGCCTCCTGTACTCGGCGACGGCCTCCTCCAGCGTCTTGGATTGCTTATTTAGCGTAGTTTGGAAGTCCTTCTCGGCATCAGTCATGAGATGCCACATCGGGTGCGAGCCGGTGCCGGACGCAGGTTTCGGTCGTCTCTCGGGAGGAGGCCCGAGGAAGCTGGCGCCGAAGTCTTTGTCGGCAGCCGCTGGGGGCTTCTGCTCCTCTTGCGCGGGGGGTGGGGGGTTTCCAGAGAGCGATGTTTTCGGTATCGGTCGCTGGTCGGGCGGTAATCTGAATATCGTGTATGCAACGATCGTTAGGAAGGCGATGATGCCGATCAGCGTCCATTGACGACGGCGCATGGTAATGGTGTCGCCTGCCCCTCGTGGCGGGCTACGTTGGGGAGCAATTAGACTATCTCTCAGGGGTAACGGTACGGAGGAGACCTGGCGTCGTTGACGAACACAGAAAAAGAGAGAATCTTATCAATACCTCATTGCATCAAGAATGACTTTGCGCAAAAAGTGCAGCCGCGTATGCGTTGACGTTGCGATATGGAACAGTAGTGTCCTACTGCTGGGTCCTGGTAGTGGTGCCAGTGCTCAACTTTCGCTCCTGGGCCGGGCGGACGCTAGGTCTGTCATTGCATGCCCCTAAAAAATCCGTCTGGAGGAGCTAGATTGGAACGCGTCCACCCGCCCAGTGGCACCGCGCCAAGATGACAGGGGCCATGATTGGATGACGCTTTGGCTTCGGGGAGCTTGATCTGAATCATCAAAGACTCGGAATGTCTAACTGGAATGGCTTCGACTCTCTTTTTTTGAAAGCTTGATTTGATGATTGAGTTTCTTTCTGGTGTTCTTGCAGTCCTTCATGCGCTATACTAAAACCTAGCTGGTTCGTTCATTCAGCAGCAACATGACTTGATTATGGGAAGTTTACCTTGAACAACCTAAACTCGATTCAAATGTTAAAATGAACAAAAAGAAGGCTTCCTATTTGCTGACCCTAGGTTTGAGATTATTGGCTTTGTGGGAGGGAATATTTTGCTTGCTTGCCACAGCTTCCGCCATCTTGAGTGATGGAATTCTTGGCCGAAACATCATCTCACCAAAATGGCAAACTGCAGTTAGGCGTTCAGAGACATGTTTCTGTAATCTGATTTCCAACCATCCTGCAGCTCGTTTAGGTGGAGGGTGCTTCAAGACCAAGTGAGACATGCCTTGGAGAAAATACTGGACTGATGGTGAGAGAACGCTCACTTATCGCTTCAACTAACTTCGATGCGAAGAATTTTAAGCTTTCCGTCACAAATGAGCTTGAAGTAGCTTGATCCTGGGCAAGAGAAGACCGTGCATGGAAATACACGTGGAAAAGATCGAGAAGGAAGAAACCCCATAGGTCTGGACAGCTCTAATGCAGACACCAGGGAGGAAGCAAACGATCCGTTGTCTATTTGATACCCAGAATTCCTTCTGGTGCTTTCCCGAGTATTTTTATCAATACGTAACTGTATGCTTGGGAGATGAGCCCTCCCGAAATTCAAGTTATACAACCCAAGGGAGAAGCAATCCAGAGCAACTGAGATAGTGGCCAAAAAAACAATGCACGACATAGTTGCGTCGCATCAACAAGCCGTCACGTGGAGGCATCACTGGTACGGCCGAGTCCTCGAAGCGGAGCAAATTTCTCTCAAGATAGTGCAAATATGCAAAACATACTTGCATTGCATTGCTTGACCATCACGTGGAGGTCGCAGAATGGGCCTGGAGCCCATTGCCTGTTTAGGTAGCAAGGTGAGGCTTACGATGGAACCTTTCGAGACCAACTCACCGAGATCTTGACCAAATTTTGCCCGCATGGAGGGTATGTTTGAGTTACACGGGCAGTTCCAATAGGTTTAAGTACTCTGAGAGGATTTTTGAGCAGCAGCCCAGCGATCTTTCGCTAGTCCCTAGCGACTTAGGTTTTACTAATGTTCACAACAGCGAAGCAAAGAGTTTTACTAACACGCGGCGCACTTCTTTACCACTTGGATGAAAGAGGTCAGCCTCGAACTGACCATGGACTATCCAGTCGTTAATGCTTGGGGATATAGGTAGCGACGTTAATATAGTGCAAGAATCTCAGTATTTTCGCTACGCCATTAAATAAACTCAAGCTCGTGACCATCTCATTTTGCCAGGGGTTGTCAAATATTTTCGGCGGGCTTCAATGTTAAGGATAAATCCGGTATAACAGGTGAACAGAGATGAAATAGGGTGAGTATGAACAGATATCGCAGAGCGAGGAGACCTTATGGCCGGCTTCTAAACATGTATGCGTATTGCAGCATCACCTCGACATCACACTTACTTATTTAGACGACCTGGTGATGTTTTTCTTGTGCACAACATATTCCGGTTATATACAGCTCTAGTTAAGAGCGTTCTATCTTCTTCCGAGGCATTATTCACAAGCTTCCCCCCAGCATGACCACCCAACCGCATGGGTACTTACCCACTCAATAAACTACTTACTTTGAGGCAATAACAACTTCCTGGGTTTAGAAATGTTCTGCTCAGCTGAAACCAGCCGAGGCCGCTCATGGACTTGCAAACTTTGCAAGCAATATTGCTATCTGGCATGTCCACAGGGCCAATCGTCTTGTCACCGACAGTGCGATTATGTCTCCAAGTGCCTGACAACCATCCGTGACGTAGCCCGTCAGGAAACAAAACAGGGGTGAAAGTGGCTTAAATGTTTGTCACAACTTTCATTCAACAGCCACAAGGCACTCTTTGACATCGGACTAAGGACGGACCCAAGTTTTATGGATATGCTTACCCGGATAGTGGCTCTGTATGTTCTGTATGTTCTGTTGGAGAGTCTTACGGGGGAACGGCTGTAGATCCAAAAGAGGGATAGGTCTCAAATGAATTTAATGGTGCTTTCAACAAATCAACTGCGTCTCTTGCGGAAGCAGCAGCAGTGCAACATCGATCAGCAACCATATTCGAAATTTTTTAGTATTGGAGTATGAAGTGATAAGCGGCTGCATTGTTTGTACGTCCAATGACGTTGTACAGTCAAGAACTAAAGCTCCTACATCCCACCATGGCCTGGAGGTCAACCTTATTTGGGGTATGTCCAGGGCTGTGGCTTGGACACCTCCCGCTGCACGAGTCCAGTGGGGGCCAATCGGGCCTGCTGACGTAAGCAAACCCCCACCTCCGTCCGACCCCGACCCCAGATCCACATGCATGGCGCGTGGTCATCGACTTCTATCCCCATCTGAGTGGAGGACGGCGATCTGGTGAACACGGCACATGATTGTTTGTCTGCCGTCTCAAGAAACGCACGCATACCCAGCGAAACCCGCATATGATTATTTCCGACTGCGTTAGGCTCCCCAGTAATTATTGTTGTTCCGTGCTTTGGATGCTGCTAGAAGTGAGGAGTGGTGCTCCGACGACACCGAAACTTGGCCGGGAACGCGGTCCTATCTCTCTCGACAACGGAGCGATCTCTAACCCCTAGAACAACTCGAGATAGTTTAATACTGCTGCGCGCGACGACCTGCGATTACCGAGTCGAACCACTCTTTCCCGTATTGAATTTGATTGTTCACCCGTATCCGCTCTCAGCACCGAAGAAGCCGAAAGGCGCGAACAATCAAGATGGATCGCATCAGGCAGTACTGGGAGAAGTATAAAAGCAAGCCGCATCGCGAGGAGTATGAGCCACTAGCGGAGCAGGGCGGGGAGGTGGAGGAATCCGCGCTGCTGGGGGCCCAAGATGAGGTGCCTTTCTCTTGGTCGGAGTATCTTCTGTTTGCGTGGTTGGGTATGGCGATGTTATGGGCATGGTATGGCATACTCTTTGTCTTCTCCGAAGCTGGCTCTAACAAATGACTGCAGGAACATGTTTCTTGCTGCCACCCCTTACTTCCAAATACGCTTCCAAGCCGACCTCTGGATCCAGCAAAACTTCCAATCTGCCATTCTTAGCGTCTCGACCCTGACCAACCTTACGGCGATGCTCATCCTCACAAACATTCAATACTCAGCATCGTATCCCTTCCGCATCAACCTTGCACTGATCCTAAATACCGGAATCTTTTCGCTGTTGACGGCTTCTACGTCCATGTTTCTTGACGTCTCTCCAGGTGCCTACCTTGCATTCATCCTGATTATGGTAGCGTCCAGCTCCTGGGCAACAGGTCTCATTCAAAACGGCGCCTTTGCGTTCGCCGCCTCCTTCGGTCGTCCGGAGTACATGCAAGCCCTTATGGCCGGTCAGGGCGTTGCCGGCGTGCTGCCTCCGATCGCGCAGGTTATCACCGTCTTGGCGGTACCGGAAAAGGACGGGATGAGCCCCGCGGATGAGATTCAGTCTTCCAGCTCTTCTGCGTTCGTTTACTTCCTTGCCGCCGTCGCAGTCTCCGTTTCCGCATTGGTGGCGTTCATCCCCCTCGTTCGTCGTCACAACCACATTATCGAGAGCCGCATGGTCGATCGGATGGCCGAATCCATGACTTCCGTAGAAGAAGCCGAGCGTGCCGCTCGAAAGGTCGTTTCGCCACTCCAGCTCTTAAAGAAACTGCACTGGCTCTCGGGCGCCATCTTCATGTGTTTCGCCGTCGCCATGTTCTTCCCTGTCTTCACCGGCAAGATTGTGTCCGTCCGCTACCCAGGCGATGAGAAATCTCCCGCTGGCGCCCTTTTCCGTCCTGCCGCTTTTATCCCGCTGGCCTTCTTCGCCTGGAATCTGGGTGACTTGTCCGGACGCATGTCCACCATTCTCCCGTTTTCTCTACGTCACCGCCCGGCGGCCCTTTTCGGTGTCAGTCTTGCTCGCCTAGGCTTTCTGCCGATGTACCTTCTCTGCAATATTGGAGGCCGTGGTGCGGTGATTAGCAGCGATCTCTTTTACCTGTTTGTCGTCCAATTCCTGTTCGGCCTCACCACCGGCTGGCTAGGCTCAAGCTGCATGATGGCGGCTGGTGAGTGGGTCGAAGATGGTGAGCGTGAGGCGACCGGTGGCTTTATGGGATTGTGTCTGGTAGCTGGCTTGACGACGGGCAGTCTTCTTAGCTTCACGGCGGGTGGTATCTAATCTGGCATACACGGCGTAATGACACCTTTGGCATATCTCGGTTGGGAATTGGAGTTAGGGATGGAACACATGGCACGGGATTACGACTGCAGATATCATTATAGAAGTTATCGATTTTTTATCAGTATAAGGAACGGCCACGGTCTTCGGGGTTGGGTATACAAGCAGGTAGCAGAAATATCCCAAAGACAAATAAACATGTTAGAACAATCCGGCGAGGATATCATCCGCATTCAGCTCTTCTTCAACAGGCAACCGCTCTTCGTTGAACTCGCGATACCATAGCAGCAACTGGGGAATCGTATCAAACACCCACGACGAGAAGTTGTGATGGGACACGAACGTGTACCTCCACGCCCAGCCCTCCTCCTGTCCGTCATGCCTCCTCCGTCGGCAGTACACAACGCAAAACATGCCCTCTGCCCCCTCCCCGGCACTCCACCCCCCGGCAACCTCCCACCCGTGACCGAGGCCAGCGATCGACTTCAACTCCCACGGCGACTTGACCCGCGCCGCCGTCTTCCTATCGTAGTCCCTATTCCCCCAGAGCCTATCGTTTAACCCCCACCAGAACGCGATCTGGTGCATGCCCCGGTACTTTGGCAGCCCCGCGCCGTCCACGGCGTCAACGTGCTCCGCCAGCACCAGAAGCTCCTCCGGGATCGTGATGCTCTCCCTCACCTCCTCCAGACAAGTCTCTTTCAGCTCGGAGAGAATGATCCAGAAATACTCGTGCCACTGCTTCGCCCTCTCCAACTCGCGACCCGCGCGTACGCCGCGGGGCACAGTCACGCCCTCGAGACCGAGCTCCGGCGCAACGGCGTCATATCGCGCCAGCACGTCTTCCGGCGCCGATATCCCCAGCTCCCTGAACGTCTCCTCGTCGGCGGAGAGGAGTGTGAGCAGGCTTTCCATGCGGAGCCGCCCAATGTCCTCGCCGTCATCTAGCTCGTGCTCTCGGCGCGCGCGATGAACCGCACGTAGACCTCGAGGACCCGGCGGTTGCGGGCCGCCACGTGTCCGCGGTATGCGTCGAGCGCCGCCTTGATGTCTCCTGGGGCGGAGCGCATGACGTGTTAATATCGGCGGTTTTTTTTTTTTGTGGGCTATCCGCGCAGGGTGTCGGTTGGCGATGTTTACATGGCGATGGCCAATTTTTTTTTTTATTGTTGCTGCGCGATTCGTGCCGTTGGATCCGGAGGGGGCCTCGACATGTGGGCACTCTTTTGCATTTATTGTTCGAACGGAGAGCGTTCGATGATGTCGTTGAGGGGGCAGTTATTTGGGCTGAGCTTAATCTATGGGTCCTGGTTGTTGACCGAGAGATATCTCCATCTCAGGATCAAGGGCTTGCTGAGCCACTTTTCAAGGAGTGAGGGTGGTGAAACTATACTTTTCTGATGCATTCGAGTCTAATGGCCAGGATTCATACGTTACGAGCCTACCTATATAGGAGTTGTAGTGACTGTTCGTGTATCTTGGCCTGGGAATCAATACTGCTGAATTACATTACGCTGTCTACTTGCTATTTATACACTGTTTGTACACATACCGACGCTTTTGTTTCGCTCAACGGTACAGCGCGCAGTTCTTCATCTGGCCACGGCCAGTATACCACCCTTCTTCAACAAGGGCGCGCTCTTTATCCTGCCAGTCGTCGAATTTCCACGCGGCGTTCTTCCAGTCAAGATCGGCCAGCTTCGCCTCGAAGGACTCCTTGACCACTTTGCCGTCTTGCCCCTCGCAGTATCGTACGAAGAGGGAACAATCTCGCAATGTCATGGCCATACAGAAATTCGCGTCGTCAATACGTGCGCGAAGAGGCCCATATGGATCCTTGTTAAGCTGGTTTTGCTTCAACATTGAAAGGGTGGGCAGCTGTTTCAATAGGCTGTATAGGTGTGCATGATGCTCGTCGTTTTTGAAAAGTCGCTTGATTGCCTTGCGGCGGACAGCCTCCTTGCCTGATGGAGTGTCTCGTTGAGGGTCGAGCCAAAGCGGGCATGGGTAGTTGTCAGGACTGTATTTTGTTTCTTTGGGTTTGGTGTCGGCCGTCGCTTTGCTTTCGTCCTTGGCTTTGCCCTTGTCCTCAACTTTACTCTTCGCCTTAACTTTGCTGCCGTCCTCGCTCTCGAGGTTGTTGGCGTCATAATACTTCTTGGATGCAAGAGCGCAGCACCGGCATGTGTTGGCGTCACCCGGAGCCGATGGTGATTGGGCTAGCCATTTCGGCTTGAATTCGATAGTGCGTTGGCCGTCTCTCGGGCGCATGTCTTCAACGAGCATGACCAGGTTGTCGGTGCAGTATATTGTATCGCCAACAAACTTAGCAGGCCGTCTTGGGGCCATCGGCGGTGCGACATCCAGAGCCTTTAGGTGATTGCGCATGTTCGCGATAGTATCATCTGATACGCGACCCATAATGTGGTCCACGAGCAGGTCTTTTTGGTTGTCGAAGAGAGGCCGAACCATCTCGCGAAAGTAGCAAAACTGGACCCCGGCACTGAAGAACGGCTTATCAGGGTTCTTTGGCTGCTTTGGCACTCTGAGGAGGTATCCTGCGGCAAATGTTAATCATAAAATCCTGTCTAACCATGAGGTCTCGCCTTACGACTTATGACGTCCTCCTCGGTTCCGTCACGTTTGTTTGGCCTCCCGCCGGGCGAACGTAATACTGTTGTGAAAACGACATTGGCAGCCCCCTCTCCCACATATTGAACATGCGACAAAGGGCCGATGTGACGAACGTCTTCAGCGAAGACCCGATCAAGATAATGCGGAGGGCGGACGCCTATTGGACCTCGGGAGTTTGCCATGATGATGAATGATGAATAAATATCTATGGGAGCCAGTGATAGTCTGGACGAAAGTTAATTTTTCTGCTGCGGAATGAATGTTCATCCAAGTTGAGGTTGGACCAAGTAAGATGCTTATGGTCTTGGATGAAGCGAAGTGAGCAAGGCAGCCGGGATGGCTTTACAGGGCGCCCGTATTGAGGAATGCTGGTTTTCCCAAGACAGAATCAACATCCATGATGAACTGCAGAAGTTGGGATACAGCAAAGTTGGGTGGCAGAAGTGTGCTTTCCAAGCTAGTCAACTCAAATAGCGCACCAGAGGGTGGTAAGCAAGCTAAGGGCAGAGGCGGATCTGGCTCTCCGGATTGGCTGCGACACCTCAGTACCTCGATCTGAACGTCTGTTGACTGCTTTTTTGCTGTGGTCGTGAGGTAAGACAATCCAGCGCAAGGCCAGAGATAGTCAGCTAACTAATTGGCCTCGACCCGAAGTTGATGACTGCAAATGTGGCAGGCGACTGCGACTGTCCAGACGTGGCGTCCTGGGTAAACTCAGCAGACTTCGAGCAATATTGACAGGTCTCCATTTGATGTTTGTTGCTGCGTTGCAACGGGCGAGTGGACGTTACGGCTTGTTGTTGTCTTTGAGAAGTCAGCGGTATCCCAGGATGACGACAGTCTTTCCCCTTCTGGGAGTGGAGCGGAAGAGTTGGCTTTTTTTGGTGCTGGCAAGCTGAGCTCCAGTTGACACAACCGTAGCTGCCAGGCTCTTCCTTGGTTCAGTAGGCGCTGCCGGGTTAGCCAATGACTGACTGCCGTCCGCAGGGAGGCGTCAACATGGACGTTGGCGCCTTTGTCATGTTGAGTCTTGACAGGACTGTAGACGCGGTCGTGTGAGGCTGGCCTTTTTTTTTTTTTTTTTTTTTTCTTATAGTAAAATTTACCCCAGAGTCTCGTGAGAGGCTGAATCTGCTTAGTGGATTGGATAAGGAGTATTCATCCAATAATTGTTACGGCGGGCCTCCACATGCTTGACGTGAGTCTTGCAGTAGTGATAGGATGCAGCAGGTCCCTTCAAGTGCAACGCGACTGCTCGGCCGGTCTCAGCCGGAGGAACATCCATACCCGAGTGGCCTGTGCAGTGGGCAGGCTCGTGTCCAGGACATTTTCACCCCCACTGGTAGGCTCCAAACAGCCCAGAAGACATTGCGTCGTTTTTTCCTATACGGCGCCGCCCGTTGGTTCCCTCACTCCGAAAAGTGGAACACTGCGGAGAGAAGATCAAGGGACTAGAGAGCTGGGCTGGAAGGATAGTCAGCGGAGAGAGGGGAAAGGGAGACACGGCACTGGACGACTGGGCAGAGGAGCTTCTGACGGCATTAGAAAGCACCAGACTGGGTGATGAATGGGTCAGAGTGGGCTATCAGGAAGTCATGATGCTCGGGGAAGCAGATAAGAGACAGGACCCGAGAGCGAATCGTGCGCCATAATTTGATCGCCTGGCTTGGCTGCTCTTCCCAGGATTATTATTAGGAGCGACCAACCCGCAATGCGTACACTGTAGTACCCGTTTTACGTGTACATAGCATGCATACAGAGTACCGGGGGAGCTTGATGAAAGGGTGACAACGAACCATGGCGGCCGGTGGAGCGTATAAGTGCCATGTCATTTAGTTCCAGATTCAGCCTTCATGCAAAGATGCATCCGCCGAAAGGGGACGGGGGAATAGCGTTCCTTGACGTTTAGAAATTTTCGGGAATCCTGCCTTGTCACCTTATGCTTTTTCGCTACTTTGGGCGCAAAGTGCCCTGATGTCGTGCCACATCAAGCACATGTCTGTCGATGTCGTCCCATCTTTGCTGACCTTCTCCCACTCGTGATCGGCCCAAGCCTGTAAATAGCGCCGCTGAGAGCTGAGACCAACGCGATGCGATGCGATGCGATGAGATGCCATGGAAGCGGGTTTTTCTTTACTTCTCGCCAAACCATGTCAGAAGGGCTGATTGACAGATCTGGCCGGGGGAGTCTCTGCGACCCCGTTCCCCCAGATAGTTCGTGCCTTGTCGAAACGAGGCCCAACTCTAAATCACCCACCGCCTTTGCGGTTCCCGGCCGCCTGGCCAGATTCGACCGGTGCATCTCATGGCGTTATCTCCGTCGCAGTGTCGCCACCCTTGGTACGCTTTTGGAGTGGCAGATGATGGATGCTAGCTGCCTGTAGTTCTCAAAAGACACAACCTCGGGTGACTCGCATAACGTCCCACACCCACTTCTGGGCACCCCCCACATTTGGGCACCCCATTTACACCAAAAACGCCGTTTTTCGAAATTCTATATTAAACTAAATACTTTACTTATTAAAGAGAATAAATATATATTAAATAGATTAAGACTTAATTATAATACTTAAGTAGCTATATACTAGTATTATTGATAATAAGTATTATAAATTCAAGGTTTAACATTTATAATACTAATTTACCTAGCCTATATCTTAATATATAAAATAGGTAGAGATATTTAACTAATATGATTAGAATTTTTAAGTAAGATATAGTAGATTTATATATTCTTATACTTAGTAAAAAATTCTTTAAGCTTAGAATAATATTTTAAAATTTCCCTTAAGAAAAGTTTCTATTATAGAATTTTAACCCTTAATTATACTATATTTACTAAAGTAATACTTTTAAATCTCTTTTAGATATAATTATATACTTTTAATAAGTATAAATATTAATTTCCTAGATTTTTTAAATAAGTATATATAAGCGAAAATATATTTTTCTAATGTTAAGGAATACTAGTAAGTTACTAGTATCTACTAACATTTTAAAGCTTTTAGTTTTAAACTTCTATATTATAACTATTATTATATTTAAACCTTTATAAAAAATTAGATGGCTATAATTATACTTAACATAGTTTATATATATTTTCTTTTCTTAGTAAGTATAGTAGTTAGTTTAATATAGAATTTCGAAAAACGGCGTTTTTGGTGTAAATGGGGTGCCCAAATGTGGGGGGTGCCCAGAAGTGGGTGTGGGACGTTAACCGCTAATCTGCCATCATGTCTTATCGGTCCCCTTCTCACAAGCAAAAAAAAAAAAAAAAACAGCCAATATGTAGTACCAGCAATGCCCCTTCTCAGGCTCACTCAGTGTCTATGCGCCCCGTCCACACTGCCTAAGCCTGAAAACCAGGTTGTAGCCTCTGTCACCTAGTGGGGCCACCCCCTCCGATCCTTTCCTAAGGCCTTCCCCCCTTTGACTAAATCTCTCTCGACGTTACCCTGAGCCGTTGCTTGGGGGGCTTCCGTCACGCTGCAGGCCGTTTGTGCTGCTGTCCACACACCCACACCCGCTGCTCCATGACTCCACCCAGGCGCCCTCCTTGCACGCGACACTCGCAGGAGTCGCCCAGGAGTCGCCCAGTCACAGCACCCGGGAACCAAAGTATCAGAAATTTGCAGGTGGAAAAAAAAAAATTCGCGCTAAGCCAGCACCGTACCACCTACCTCCGAGTATTCCCTCTGCTTCCCGAATACTTAGTGCAGCCGACCAGCGTCATTCGGCGGAAAAAAGGCAGACACACCACACAGAGCTTGCCCTGATCTACATTCCATCCAAGACCTCCTCCAACAAAGCCAACCCTCTGTTCCTCCTCCCGCTTCTCCCCCATATTACTCCGTGACTATTCCCCGGACTTTCGTCTTCTAGTCACATTGCTCCTCAACGAGTCCCTCTGACTCTTCGACAAAGAATCCCATCGTCGCCGTTAACCCTTCATCACCCCGTCCCGATTGCATAGCGAGCCTCGTTCCCCGATCGATTCTTCCTCACCTTCGCCTGGCCGTTCGGCCTCCACCACATCACCGTTCGATGGTTGGCCGCAGTTAACGCCATTTCAACATGGCCTTTAACTTCAACTGGTCGCCGCTCACGGCCGACGCCGAGTTCTACAAGCGCGCCCGCGAGATGCTTACAACGGCTCTGAACAAATCGCCGAAGCCCCCGATCATCGTCGATGACATCCTCGTTACCGAGTTCAACCTGGGCTCCGTGCCCCCCGAACTAGAAATTCTCGAGATTGGCGACATAGCGGAGGATAGATTTCGCGGCATCTTCAAAATGTGCTATTCTGGCGACGCTTTCCTGACACTGAAGACTCGGGTTCAGGTAGGCCGATTTTTTTTTCCTGCTCTTTCCTGTATCTTCCCTGCACGCGAAAGTTTGGAGGCGAAGCTCGGTGCCGCGGCTACGGCAATGACTTCAGCATTGCCGCACTACAACGACCATGCACAATTCCAACTCCGATACATTCCCGATTCAGTGCGGGTTCATTGCACCAAGTTTTTCTTGTCGCAACGTCAACTCCATGCCAGTGCTCGGAATGGTTGGCGGCCACCAACGAGTTCGCACATCACCAGGCGATGCCTACTCCCACAACATTGCCAAATTCGATATGTCACTTCATTTCAGTACTTACCCCAAACATCCCGGTGTTTGTTTTTCCCTCATCAAACATTTCGCCATCTACCCGCGTCTTTGCATTGATCCTTAAATTACCTAGCCGGGATGCGCGTCCCTGGCCACTTTTCGGCAACCACCAGCTGGAACGTGCGTCATAGCAGTGCTAATATATCAACAAATAGGCAAATCCATTGAATACCTATCTGTATTCTAAGCCGACTTTTACATCTCCGCAACCATTGGCGGCGGCATCGGGTTTGACAATCCCGTTATCGATAACTTTGTCCGAAATCAAACTTTCAGCTTTCATTATCCTAGTCTTCTCCAGGCAAAAAGGTCTTACCCTGGTCTTCCGCAATGATCCGCTCGAGTCGCTTAAGGTCTCTTCGACCTTTGATTCGATCCAGTTTGTGCGCGATTATTTGCAACGCACAATTGAGGCCCAATTGAGAAACCTGATGATGGATGAGCTCCCTGCAATTATTCACCGCTTATCTTTGCGTTTGTGGTGCCCTGACGCAGTGCCGAAGGAAGAGGAGGCGCCGAAGGAAAACACGGACGAGACCGTGGTGGACCCCCTGGCAAGCCCGCCTTTAGACCCTGTCGATGCGAATGGCAACCTTCTCGACGCCAATGATGTTTCGTCGTTGTCCCTAGAAGGCGGGCCCGAGGTCCAGTCTCTCTTCTCGCAGAAGAATCTGCTGAGACTTGCAGCATTGAACGACTCACACCGCACATTCTCTCTTTTCACGCCGGGTATCCGCGATGTGGTGTTCCGGGCTTGGACGGGGCCTGCAGTGTCCGAACCAAGTAGCACCCCACCGACGGCAACCCCAAGCCTGTCTAAGACCAATTCATTCCATGGCACGTCAACAACTTACACCTTCTCCGACACAGGTAGCGCCGCCCACGGCCACCTACCTTCCCGGCCGTCGATGGTGAGCCTCAACTCGGCCACCACTGGACTGTCCTTGGGTGCCGGCACAAGAACAAAATCCTATGCTGGCCGCAAGAAGAAGACCAGAGTCGTCAACCTCCGCCGTTCCAAGAACGAAGTTGGGTCTACTCCCGAGGGTAGCGATACCTATTCGGATATGGCATCTGACTCCGCATCTGTGGCTGGTCCCTCAACCGAGCCTCTTATGTCCAGCTCCATTGCCGAGGATCCAGAAGAGCAGGAGGCACTGGCTGAGTTGGCCAACTCCACTCCGAGCAAAGTTCGCTTCAGCCCTGTGGAGAGGCCGCATCTACTTTCAAGACCTCCCCTGCAGCCAGATTTCCACACTACGCCCACGGAGGTTCCAAGCGTGCCTATCAAGCTGGATGGTGAGCGCGATACTGAAACCACGCCCAGGCCCCAGCCTGCGGCGGAGGCAAAAGCTTTCCCTAGTGAGAAGGGCACTGCCTCAGATACCTCGTCTGTCTACGAGCAGGCTTGGATCATGAAGATGGCTGGTGAAATCGCTCGCCGTGTCTACGATGAGAAGAACCGCCAGCAAAACATGTGGGATGAGAGGGAAGATGTTCCCCCTCCTGCCTACGAGGCGTCCACTTAAAAAAAGAAAAGAAAAAAAGGATTTACCTGCCCAAAGCAGGATGAGCATATGTACAAACTGTACTGAGCCGCTATATATCCAGTCCGCTGGACTAAATCATTTGCTTGCCTTTTGTCCCATGAACTTCTCCTCGCAAGGCGTTTCAGGGGCTCTCCTCAATTTTGATCTCCGGAAATGAGCGGGCACAACGCTCTTTCCACACCATGTTTTTAGTGTTAATGTGTATATATCGCATGGCGTTTGAAAGGAGAAGGGGGTTCATAAAAAAGAATGGGTTGTGATTTTACCCCCTGCGACGGGCGAAAGAGAATGGAGAACAAGGGCTCCCCCCTCGTCGGTGTCGTTTTTTTTTTTTCCTATTTTTGGATTCTTTATGGGTTGGGAATCGGGGGGCCACCAACCATGCTAGTCAAACTGATGAACATGACGGCAGTCTCTTAGACAGACACACACACACACACAAAATATGCGACTGCTACTACATCATCATCAGTTTTTCAACGACGTCTCCGAGGTGAGCGTCGACACATAACACTTTTCACTCTCCTTTGTCTTCTACTTTTCGTGCGGCTAAAGTCATGTCCTGAAGAGGACTGACGGGATTAGATACGGTGTACAACAAATAGGTGGTTGGAAGGTATTACATTGATATCACTTAAAGAGGCGGTGAATGGCGGGGAGGCAGACGGCATATCTGTGGATAGCACTAGTACCTTTTTTTTTTGCGCAATGCCTGGCTCGATTAAGAGATCCACGGCCGACGACATGTCGCTTAGGCATGTCCGAAGAATAAACTCCCATCTTCTATGCAATATACCCTGTTCTGATTTTGTTTTGTGATGCTATCTGTCTGTCTGTCCATGCCATGCTAAATCAACCCTGGTCTCTCAATGGCGGTGGAAGTGTCGGTCGCGCTGCAAGGCTGGTTTGTGGAGCCTCAATTCCACGCCACCACCCCGCAACTCAGCGTCTGTCGGTTTTTTTTTATATCCTTGCTCAGCGATTAGAGCTAGCTGACGGAATCCAACACTGCCAAAGGGGCGCACACGCAATTGGTGCGCGGGACATCCGTGTGAGAGCTGCACTAAGTAATGGGGTTTTTTGCCTCAACTCAAACAAGTAGGACTGTCCGATGTGCAGCAGTTCGAAACTCTAGGCCCACGGACAAGCATGGTATCTGTTAACGTGCATTGCCACGTCAGATAGGCCAAGTCTGTGGTTCGAACCATGTCCGATGGGGCTATGAACCCGCTAAAGAGATGTTTTGCCACGAGAGCCCGCCTCAAAGCAGACTGATCAGGCTCTCTTTTACCTTGTACTGCGACTCTAAGCGCCCTCTGAGTAACGAAGGGTTGAACCCTGCCTTGGTGGCTTTCCACCCCTGAGTTGAGGGCGCGCTCAGGGCTCGGCGTCCCAGAGTCCACCGGCAGGTACAGACCCTGTTTAGGAATTAACAATGTTCTGCAGCCTTTCCATTACGTCGTGTCTCTTCTCCAATATCTTGTTCTTGACATTGGAGGCGGCCACTGCGGCCTTTCGACTCGGTCTCTGAAGCCTTGCGCCAGGCGGTCTCTAGCCACCCGCCGCAGCGGCAGCATTTTCGGCCTTCAGTGCAGCAAGCATTTCCTCCTTTTCCTTAAGGGTTTCCAGCTGCTTCTTGGCCATCTCTTTGACCTTGGTTTCGGCTTCCTTGAGCTTCTTGACCTCGATCTGCTCCGTCTCCAGACTAAACGGCTGGCCCGGCTTGTTAACTGCAGGCAGAAGCGCGCTCCGCTCCCAAGAGACCTGGACATTAGACGTCTTCTCCGGCAGGGGCGGGATCGGCTTGTTCTTGCCCTTGCCACCCTTTCCAGCAGGGTGGCCCTTGGGGTGTGCGCCAGAGGTAAGGATTTCGTAGAAGGCTTCGTATGGTTCGTTGAAGAGTTGGTCGTCAAAGGCCCAGGCACGAATCTCTCCGTCGTTCTGTCGCAACATTTGCTCCTTCTCGGCATCGGTCCTACCGTATGGGTGAAGCCGCAGGTTGTGGTAAAGCGTCTGGGGCTTCTCTCCGGACTCAGTGATGTAATACATCTTAATGGTGATCTCGAATTCGCCCCATCCAGTTTCGTGGATGATAAAGGGCTTTCCCGGTTCGCCGTCAATCACTATGTTGTATTAGCAATGCAGCGCATAGCGGAAACGGTGCGATGGCAACATACTGCGCACATGGTTGGGAATAGACTCGTGCAGCTTGAACTGAACTCTTCGCAGCCAGTATGTAATGTCGGTGTCATCGATGCCCTTGACGAATACTTCCCATGAGTGTGTGTGATCCTCGGGAACGCCCTCCGGTTTTGGGTTATGCTCAGGGTCGAAGGGGCGGGCGGTAGTGCCGTAGACAAAAGGGCGTCTGATTTGGGTGCCCTTGACGCGCTTGCCCAGGCTGCTAGGCGGAGCCATCCTGATAGTATCGGTGAAGAGGTCTGATTATTCGGTGTATGGTGTTCGGTACAGCAAGTCGAAGGTAAACGGAGTCGATATTGATGAACTGAGTAGGTAGTGGGGGAGAAAATGAATGTCGCGTGAAGATGGTTCCTGCAGCCGACTACAGATAGCCTTATTGAAGCGCGCCAACTTTAAAGTGGAGAATGTAACCAAGGCCGACCAATGATGGGAAAGGTCAACATACCCGTTTCTGTGGTGTGGCCACCACCAACCTAGTGCCCGTCTTCAAATTTGGTACTAGGATTCGGATACTGGCACCTGGAAAGAAAATAATACATGGCTGCTCTTCGTTATTGATGTTATCGCCGATGCAGGAATGAAGAGCCGAACAACGAATCGAAGGAGATGGCGGAGATCAGGAGAAGTGGTCAGAACGAAGGAACAAGGTCAAATCAGCACCGCCAAACCAAATCTAATACGTTACGAAGTGCAACACTCTCTCATGGATGTCTTCAGCTTACAGCATCGACGAGGTCATAAGTGCTTCTCCACTATACTACTAATTCAAATAATCGACTTGTTCATGCGCTACAAGTCCCGCGATATTGCCCAAAAACCGAAGGTCTTTTGGAGTAAAACAATTACTTTTGCATCGTCATGGCTCTCTGACTATTGTTCTAAAAGTTCCAAAAATCCATTGCAGTGAGCTAGCCGGTGTTCCATGGAAGTTCATGGAGGTGCAGCCAACGGGAGTCAATCTGACCAATGATAAGCTTTGATTCGTCTGTCCCCCCTGCAATCGCACCCAGCTCTGCGTCAAGACCCTGGAAGATTTCACCGGGAGCTGGGGAGCTTGGGTGGATGATGATTTCATGACTTTGCACCGCGTCCGGAACGACATCGAACCATTCTCGGAAGAAATTGGCATGTGGTAGTTATCGCCGAACTCGGGGTTCACTTTTGATAACGTCAATTAGATTCTCTTCATCTTCTTCATTGCTTTTCAATTATTATTATTTTCCAACTCGTGCTCAATTGGTCGTCAGGCCATTGAACTCATCTGGTCGATTCACCATCACCATGTCTACGGTCGCAGCTACTAAGAAGCTGGTTGTTTGCGGAGGAAATGGCTTCCTCGGCTCTAGAATCTGCAAGTATGCTGTCGCTAGAGGCTGGGATGTCACATCCATTAGGTACCGGCCCTCAAGAAGCTCCATTCAGCTCGTTATCTCTTCCATCACAAGGCCTAACACACTTCAACAGCCGTTCGGGTGAGCCCAAGTGGAACGCGGTGACCTCATCGCCAGCCCCTCCCCAATGGGCACACAAGGTCTCATGGGAGCGCGCCGATATGCTCAGCCCTGCAACCTATGCCCCTCTCATCAAGGGGGCTGACTTTGTCGTTCACAGCATGGGCATCCTGCTGGAAGCCGATTACAAAGGCGTCGTTTCGGGCCAGGAGTCGCCTATCACCGGTCTCCAAAAGGCATTCGCACCTGTGAAGGACCGCGGTGTCGACCCTTTAAAGACCCCTGAGGGCAGCGACATTAAGCCGGCCAATCCCAAGGACCAGTTTTCTTACGAGGTGATGAACCGCGACAGCGCCATCGCCCTGGCTAAGCAGGCCAACGCTGAGAATGTCAAGGCCTTCGTCTACATCTCTGCCGCTGGAGGGGCTCCTGTCCTCCCTGCAAGATACATCACCACCAAGCGTGAGGCCGAGAGCACTATTGCCAGTGAGTTTCCGCGTATGCGCGGCATCTTCCCGCGCCCACCCTTCATGTATGACAGCTCGAGGAAGTTCACCCTTCCATTGGCTGCTTTGACTGGCGCTGGAGCCCTGTTCAACAGAATTACTGGAGGTGTGCTGGGAGGATTCATGGGCGCGAGTGGCGTCAAGCCTCTGCCGGTAGAGTCGGTTGCAGAAGCTGTGGTGGAAGCAATTGATGACCCATCGGTTCAGGGGCCGATTGAAGTCCCTGAGCTCGAAGAGCTGGCGAACAAGGGTTGGAGGAAAACCATGTTGTAATCATGAAATGTAATTATAAAATTGTCATAGACTGTATCATTGCCCAAACAAGCCTTACGGCGTTGATTCCCGTGCCTTCTAACTGCTTTAATTCCAAGGTCCCGCTGTTTAAATCATAGTTCCTCTTTCAAAACTGTCCCTAATCTCCGCAGTGTACTTGTTATAGAAGCGAGCAAGCTTCTGGTTGAACTGCTTGTTCTTTTCGTTGATGTATGTGACATCGCCATCGTCACCGTTCTGTGCCATGCGGTCCTTCCTCTTCTTCAACCTGTTCTCCTCTGCTCTCCTAAGGTCATCTACGAGTCGATCAATAGCGGCCTTGTCCGGCTTGTTTTGAGCAAACGTTGTCGAATCAGCCGTCGAGTAGAAAGAGCCGTCCTTATCCACTGCAATGAGTTCTCCATCCTCCGTCTCGACGATGTCGAGGCCGCCCGAGGCCGCCGCACGCTCGATAGCAGCCATCTTGTCCTTCTCGTACTTCTCCATATCTGGCGCGATGTTCCTGAGCTGCCGCTTGTAAATCTTGTTGCTTTCGGCGCGGTAATCCTGGAACGCGTTGTTGTCACGGTGCGCCGCCTTCTTCTTAATGTGTTTATCCCACTTCTCACTCTCATCGACGGTCCAGTCCCATGCGCGCTTGCGCTCGAAATCGCCACCAGCGTCTTCGATATCTGCCTTCAGCAGCTTATGAGAGGCAATCGCTTGTTTGCGATGAATGGCTACTAGTTGACTCGGGTCGGTGGCGAGGCGCTGCGATTCAAGTGTCGCTTCTTTGAAGTTCTGGTCAGATGAGGTCTTAGCGCGGGCTTTGAGGGCCTTGAAGCGGGCCATGCGATCTTGTGCTTTGGATGCAGCATCGTTGGCCGTTGCTGAAGCGGGCGTTGCTGTCTCTGTCGGTACTGAACTGGCGTCGGTTGCTGCAGGTGTCTCTGTCGCCTCGGTGTTTTCAGCGGGAACAGATTTTGTTGCCGTATTGCGGTTGACTTCCTCATCGGCAGCCGCCTTAGATTCGGTCTTTCTTTTCTTTGCTGGTGGCATTTTTGATGTGTTGATTGCTTTAAGAGCTGTCGATGGGAATAATGCGTAGAGGTCGGTAGTAGAATCGCGATAGTGGGTAAAAGCGACAGAGGCCTTGTGATATGAATTCGAAGTGGGACGTCACTCTAGACAGTGCAGCCGCAAGAGAAAGATACACATAGCCGGCATTTCTCCGAATAGCAAGTTAGTATCAGGTGATACGTGGGTACAGTTGTGGCTGGAGCTGTGGCTGACGTTGGAAGAACAGATCGCCCCACCACCGCTTCCCCGCGGGATCCATACGGGTAACGGGTCCTGCGTGAAAGCACCCGTGGCTGTGCGGCCAGGCCATCCCTGTCCATCCCCAATTCCCCTGCGCCTAGAAGCCCCTTGCATCTCAGGCACATCAACGCGCCCCCTCACCTGTATGCAGCTTCAGGATCAGATGGTATTCTTGAGCAACACTGCGTGACTCTGGAGCTTCACCTGAGCTTGATGAGCCCTTAGAGCGCTCAATGAGCTTCATATAGCGGCCATGAGATCATTGGAAAGTACAAGCGGTATCCGGAGCCTTCGTAAGACCACAATCATCCCGGCTACTGCCGTTCATTTCTCCTCATCTACCAAAACCCAAAACAGGACGCGACCATGGGTTCACGTCAAAAAAAGGCCAGCAGAGCCCCAAGTTCCCAGTAGATGGAGACCTTTCGAGGTGCCAGAAGTGCTTCTGGACCTCGACAGCTGGGGCAGTAATTACACGCGACCGTACGACGAGGCGGAACACAAAGCTCAGCGTGAAAAATGGGCATCCAACCCCCGAAGAGAAGCCACCTTTAAGCGCGTCACCAAGTTTGACAACGATCTCAAGGAGGCAAAGTATAGCATAGCCAAGATCAACCGAGACAAGTCTTGGCAGCCATGGCGCGTCACGGATCTAGATGTCATGTCTGCTGCTCTCAAGGGAACCCCAAAACACACAGAATACGGTACATCAAATATCAAAAGTGCTCAGCACAGTGTAATTCAGAAAAACGGCATTCCAGCATCAGTCTTTCAAGAAGATAAGCGGCTTTTAGAATGGCTACTTCACCGAAGATTCAGCACCCCTCAACGACAACCTAATGGAACACAGCTCTCACAACGTCTAGAGCAACCAACCACCGTCGCAGACTTCCGCCGTTTAGTCTCAAGTCTATTGCTGTCCACTGAAAGCACCAGGCTTCTTTTCAGTAACAAGGACAAGATCGCAACACTCCTCTCGGATATGCTCGAGCGCCGCGTCGCGCAGTCTACCCTCTTGTTGCCCACTCTCAACAGCTTGCTTATACAATGTCAAAGCAATGGCTATACGCTTGGAGCACCACTTTGGAGTGTCTGTATGAGAGTCTCAGCCCAAGCATTCCGGCTCAGGGCATTAAAGATGTATATCGATTATGGTTTCGTTCAAGGTTACGGGCATGATGATCTAGCGGCCACCAAGGAGGTGTTACGCCTTCTGAGCCGGCTCGTCCAAAGGTTAAGGGGACATCTGCAGAATAAACTGAATGATGATCCTCGAAAGGCGCATGATATTGATGCTCATCAGGACACATTTGCTCAATCAATTAGCCGCTACTATCCAGCGCCTAAACAGCTTCTCCTCCTCCTTCTCGGAGAGGGGAGTTCTAAGCCTTCCTTGAAAAAGGTCGTCGAGCAAAACTTTGCCGACAACGAGTTAACTCATCTGTACCAACAACTGGTTGGCGAAATCAATCTCCTTCCAGATGACGCAACAAGACACTCGGACGAAGGGACCAAGGAAACTTTCCATGCAATCTAATGATGGAGGCTTACAAATAAACGGCCGAGTCCATTTCAAAGCGCCAAGCGTGACTATAAGTCCCAGGTCAATGATTCGGGGGAGCCGACGAAGAAAACGGCTCGAAGTCGCCGGATGACGGGAACTTACGAATAACGGCCGACTCGTGTCAAGACACGAGGCGCCAGAAGCACCATATAAATTTGAACGGGTTAGTTGTTAGTAGTGAGGCTAGGATAACCGTCAATACACGTTTTCCATCATCGTTCCAACTCGGACCATTTACAACTGCATAGCCTTACAAAGCTCCCCGGACAAAACCGAAGTGGTACGTTCCTTAGCTAGATACGAACACCAAAGGGCAGGACGTACTTCCTCGTCAACATCCATGACTTCCTACCAACTACGTCATAAGGATACTCTACCTGACACTTTGGCTTCCTATTTTCAGCGCCAATGTTAATTCTGCTTTTTGTTTGGTAGTCTCTCTTCACACGCTACTTCTAAACGTCTATCGAATCGTACATCGTGACCTGTTCATCTTTTCAATCAAATACTGAAAGCCACTTACCTCCCTTGGCCCCGCCACCATGGCCCTGTCACGCCACTACCGGATGCAGGACCCAGTACCATGTGGCTGCTCAAACTTTAGCCCATCCAGCCGGAGCTGAACTACGCCGCCTCCATATTACGCATCCAATTGGGTCCCAACGTGCCAATCCAAACTTTAACAAAAGCTCCGGTATCTCTAAGACACGACATCAAAACCAGGGTTGTGCCAAGCCCTGCAGTCTTCCTGTTCCGTTATCGCTTCAACTATTGTCTGCGCCATCTAGGAAACCAGTGTATGCTAATGGGATTGAGAAATGCCGCCTGTATCGCTTGCATATCATGATTTATTTGATGGCAAGGTTGTAAGTAGAAACTGGGGTCTTTGAGACTGATGATGGCGTAGCTTGGACATATCCATCTTAGTATGCGAGTTATCAAAGCCGATGATCTTTGACATCTTGATGTCGTTCCATTTGTTTCTCATTCATTCATACGGACCCAATAGTCCGGATCAGAAAGTACCAGAGAAACGAATGTAGCATAACAAACCCTTTCGACTACGGCGTGGCGTCAGGCTAGAAGCCCAGCTGCTTCGCCCGTTCACGTCAGTTCTAGCCTCTGGCAGCAGTAAAGTCGCCAGTCTGAATCCGGCTTGTTCAGCATGGCCTCACGCCTGCGGCTTGCGGGGTTTTAGTGAAAGCTTTGCTCTCTTGACTTTTTGTCTCATAACTTTTACTGCACCACTTATCACAGGGCCTCTGGCTGGCTTGTACATTTCTGGGACTCCTAGACCAGCATGGCTGCTTTACCTTCCTCTTATTGTCATATATTTCTTTGTTGCCAAGCTGGATTATATACTCGGGTTGACTGACCTACATCGAAACGTTGCTGCAGCCCGCTTTTGTGGTTCTTGACCAAATGCCGGCGTCCCAATTTCATATATCGCCCTTCCCTCCTCTTCGTTCTGGTCTGTTTTTGAGCCCCGTTCCTATCACACAAACTTTGCTTCGCACCACCGACCGAAGGACTGTCAATAGCTCCACGGAGACAACATGAGTCTGTCCCGAGACCGAAAGAGATCGGCAGTCCAGCGAAGAGAAGTTGGGAGCCAGCTCAAAACGATGCCGCTGCTGGGTGCCTTCATTCTAACACTCTTTGTTACCTCGGCGGCTGGACAGGAACAACCATGCCGTCGCTGGGGTCAACAGGCGACTGTGGTAGACAACAAGCTCTACATTGATGGTGGCTTCTCCACGATTGGAGGCGATATCAATAGTAACACATCATGTACGTCAATTCTTCCTTGTTTCTCCACTAGATCAACCTCCAACAACTTTAAGCAGAAAAGTTGATACAGTATAAGCTTACCAACACTTTGGCTCTTAGATAAAGAATTTCTGTGGCAAAACCTAACTTCAGAAACTCCAAATGACCAACCACCCCCGGTTAACCGCGATATCGTGAAGAACAATACTGTCCCCAATCTGAATGGCGGCGCCCTCTGGGGTGACAGCATCAACAAGCGGATTTACCTCTTTGGTGGCGAGTACAACTATTCGCCCCCATCGCCTGTAGTGCTCTGGTCGTATGACATTCTCAACAACCGGTGGGATACACACGGTGCGCCACCGGTGAACAGGGTGAGCTATGGCTCCAGCGTTGCAATCGACAAAGTTGGAGAAGCGTACTATTACGGTGGCTGGCTCAGCAAGCAGACTGTTCCCAACTGGACAGGTCCTCCAGTCGCCACGACCGGGCTTGTCAAATACGTTATGGACTCGGACACCTGGTACAATACTAGCGACTCCGGTCCGGACACTACTCGCCGCGCCGAAGGGAGCTTGCAATACATCCCTGCCGGAACCGAGGGGCTGTTAGTTTACTTTGGCGGTGTTCAAGACTTGTACTCGAATGGCACGGTGACCGGACAGCCTATGGACCAGATCTTCGTGTACGACCTGGGGAACGAGAAATGGTACCAGCAAAATGCCACAGGTAGTATCCCCTCCCAGAGACGTCGTTTCTGTGCGGGTACGTCTTGGACAGCTGACCAGTCATCATATAACATGTGAGATCACTCCCTTCACCCTGCTTTCCCTCGGCTAATATCCATCAAAGCTACATGTACGGCGGCGCAACCATGGACCTTGCCGGTGGCTATAGTGATCTCTACGTTCTCAGTCTCCCGACCTTCACTTGGGTGAAATTGTCCGATGGCGCGGGAACCGATTTGCGTCATTCCGCCTCCTGCAACGTTGTCGCCGGGGGCACACAGATGTTCGTCGTCGGCGGCGTCTTGCCGAACTCGAGTTTGTGTGACGCACCCAAATACTCCAACACTCACGTTATAGACCTGGGATTTCCAGGCACGGGTAGTTTCTGGAGCAATTACTACCCAAAAAAGGTCAACTACACTGTCCCGGACGGGCTCCTTGCCGTCGTTGGCGGTACCAGCAGTGGCGGCGCGACACAGACCGCTCCCAAGGGCGACTGGATGAATGCCGAGTTGAAAGCATTGATGGCCAGGAACGCTAGCAACACCGCTCGGATGCCGACAAGGACAGCATCACCCGTCCCGGTATATATAGACGACGACGGCATCTCGGTAGGTGCCATCGCGGGCGTCTCCGTCGCCTCCGCAGCAGTGATCGCTCTGCTCGCAGTGGGTTGCTGCTTCATGGTTCGACGACGACGTCGCAGGCAGAGATACTATACCGCCGGAGGATTCCGAAACAGCCAGCAACTTTTCAACACAACGAGCATGTCAAAGGCATGGTCCGCGCCAACACCACACCTCAGCGTGTCGACGCCGTACTCCCCGGCGTTCGGCCACTCCCCGTTCGGCCCGCCGCCGTCTCACACTCCGCAACCCGAGCAGGTGGCGTCGCCTCCCATGAGTCCGCCTGTAGAACTCCCTTCCGTATCGCCAGTTCCTAGCCTACCAATCACCCCGATACCGGTAAGCGCAGCAGCAGTAGCTGCGGCGGCTGCCGCGGCGTCGCAGACGATGCCCACTCCGCCGCCGCCAGTGGCCACCTCGTCATTGGCGAGGTCGTCGTCGATAACATATACGCCGCACAGCGCATACTTCCCAGAAACGGGAACCTTCCCGAATCAAGCCCAGATCGACGAACAGGGCAACGTCTGGGTGCCGCAGGTTAGCATGGTGCAAGTGGCGTCGCTGAGCCGCCCGGAAAGCCACACCGGTACGCCGCCGATGTATACCCCTCCGATCGGGGACCGAAAGTCGCCGCTGCCCGCGCACCCGACGCCGCCAATCGACTACCACCCAACTCCGCCGCCGCAGCAGGCGTACCAGGTGCCGGTGCCGCAGGCGGAGCCGGTAGAGCTACCTGCCTCACCGCAGGAGACTAGTGAGGAGTATTTGGAGTTGCGGAACTCGCGGGGATCGCGGCACCAGACGTATTACAACAAGTAGAGATCGTCAAGATGTTGGTTTCAAGGAACAGTGTATCACAAGGGAAGTTGTGTGGATTGGTGAGCGGTTCATTCATTCCAGCGTTCCAATGTCACGAAATGAGTTTGCAGGTGTTCTTTTTTTCTTCTTCTTTTTCTTTCTTTGTTACAAGATTCCCAATCGGAGTTTGGATGCGACGATTGGACACGACGGACTTGAGTCCGGCTCAAGGGGGGGGTTTATCCAGTGACCATCCAGGTTCGAGGTCATCAAGGTCCAAAATGACGCAAGACGCCTCGGGAGACATACATGAATAAAAATAAATAGATTAAAAAAAAAGGGCCAAGCTTTCACCCCCCTTGCGTTTTCATCCACTCGAGATGGCGTCAACCATCCGTGAAATTGGGGCAGAACGTAGAGACAGGAGGAGTGGGTACAAACCGAAGGCTTTCTTTACCACATATTTTTCCCGAGTCCCGCCATAGCAGCCAGTGTAACACATGTACCTAGCGGTAGCAATGAAGTGTAGGAATGATGCGCTGCAGCAGCTGGGTTTTAACACAATATCTAACAAAATCACATCAACATCACGCGAGGTCGCGTGACAAGAGACAAACGCAGTGTCGTGCTTGAATGAGGGGGGGCATTGCAAGCCAAAAGGCTCACGAGAGCGTCGTTTCCTCTGCCTGCCTCATTGGGCGGACAAGCAGGGAATGGAATTCGAAAGCATATGGTAACTGATGTCGTGCTCGTCTCGCATCAGCCGCATCGCCCGTCGTTGGGAATATTATGTACATACACATCGACCCGCTGATACGAACGCGGCGGCGCGTGCTCACCCTAGCACACACCCCGCGATTCGCCATTGCAGGGCTCCGTAGAGCAATATGAAAAAAAAAAAAAAAATCAAGGGACCATTTGTCAAAACCTTAACCGTCGACGTTTAAATGACATAACGAGAGGGGTCTGTAGGTCAACCAACGGTAAAGGCAACTTGTCGTGTGCATAGCGGGCTCGAAAGATGAATCATCCAAGCTCCGGATCAGTCTGCTCGGCGCCGACGATCTCCGTTACACGACATCTGTCTCTCAGATAAAGACCAAGACATACTACACCCGATATCGCTCTGAGAGAGAAGCGCCGATCATCGCAACCTGACGAGAGCGATAACGGAAGTCTTGATCGGATCAAGGGATTTAGCTCGAGCCATCATCGCCTTAACCCCAAGGGAGATCATTTCCGCGTGGTCTAGGCCTTGCCTAGACGAGAGTGATGCTGCCACCCGCGAAGCGTATACTATGTAAGCAACATCTTCCGAGAGAAGGGTGCATAAGCTAGTTGGAGCCAACAACAACGTCCAACCGGGGAGTAACGGCGGAATAACCAAGTAGGACATTTCGCCGCCGACTTCAACCAAGATACCTCCCAGAACACACACACAAAACCGGCGAAAACGACCACAAGCCGAGCATGGGATTTTTGTTTCCCCATGCAGCGACGCTTTCTTTGGGGAAAGTCTCTGCCCGAGGTCTTTTTACAATCAGGGTCTCCACGATCCTACGATACGGATGGACCCCAGATGGATTCAAAAGGGCATAGCGGCTGATGATCTTTGCTTTAGAAGAAAAAAAAATCCCTGTTCCACAGGGGCACAATGCGAGGATGGGCGAGCTCATTTTGCAGTTAGGTTCGTCTGCACTCCATAGATAAGAGGTTCCTTTTCATGCGAACCACGAACCAGAGATCGTGTTCGCCCACGCGGCCATTGCCCACGCCGAAGACATTCCGAACCATCTTCGGCCCCAGTACCTGCAGACGGAAAGGGCACCAGGCTGAAAGGGCCTCGGCCGGGACCAGGGAGTAGCTCCGCGCGCTATGCTGTTACAGCGCAGGTGGGATGTCCGACACCCGTGATGGTGTGGTGCGGTGATTGGTGATGGTTTGGTCTGCCTCTCCGGATGAGCTTGTATCTCTGCACCCTTTTCACCCTTCATGATTTATGGTTATGGGTGTCCTGGTCCATAGGTGGGTGATGGCGGGGTGAGCTACTGAGACAGGCAGACATGATTTCTGTTTCCCCCCACGACGCCGTGAGAAAGGCTCTAAGTGTCGTTATCTTGCATGAAAAGCCTGTATCCAAGAACACGTTTAAAGGGGTCTGGATGCCTGTCATGGAGGGGGTGCCCACCATCGTGTGGGCTGGCAGTCCCGAAAGTATCCGAGGCAGCTAGCCCTCAGCTGCTTGGGCGGTTCCAACACACAGGCGTGTGATGGGATCTGGAGACGATTGGATCGACGGGAGATGAGATCCAGCGTTTTGTGGTAAACTGGATTTTTTCAGTTTGAGTTCGTGGAAAGAAAAATTCTTCGTCTCAGGTTCGTAAGCGAGCAGGCAATGGAAATAGTAAGCTCCCTCGGCGTACAGTAGCCAATAGCGAGCTTCAGTCGATGGTCCGTGAACTGGGCCGTAGCCTGAATTGGTTTGGTTTTTCGGTGTCGACCAGGCGCTGCATTCAGCCCTCAGGGTGACGGGTAAGGTGAGCAAGGCTGTTGGGAGTCGCGGCCTTCTTGGCTCACCTTGAGGGTGGGCGGGCGCTTATGACTTGAAGTCGCATGGCTTGGGACGCGGGAGCCCTCGGCGAGCCATCGTCAGCCGTCTGTCCTGGGTGGGAAAGATGGGCGACAAGTTGTGTTCGAAGAAGGGGGGATAGAACAGTATGGCGTGCATATCGCAAGACTGCCATCACATACCAAAATGGCATACCGAACGGTACGTCGTTTGCGATGTGGTGGGCTGTTGTCAATCTCGCTCCTCAGACGGCAAATTGTGGAATCCGTCTCGGGTGCATTGACGTAACCCTCCTTGCCGGGTTGGTGGGAAGGGCTTCTTTGGACGCCGTCCACTCCGTTGTTAAGAAACAGGCAAAGAGACCCCCACGGATGAGATAGTAAAAGGTTGCACATATGCACTCAATCAACCAACCAAGCAACCTAATCTTTGTAAAAGATAGGTTGAGCCATCCCGTTCGATGCAACTTGTCAATCGACGACTTGCCTGGCTGATACGAGGGACTCAATTGTGTGTGTATTAGGCAGAGACAGAACTCTACTATATCGGACACCGTCGGTTCTCAATAGAGTATATCGAGCCAGTAGCGGGAATACGACGGTTTCAGTGGGCGGCGAGTTGGTGGTGACTATGCAGCTTGGCCTTTTGTCGAAGTCGCAGTTAACATGCGCCGATAGCTGAGAGGGGAAAGTAGCAGCGAGCGATTTGATTAAGAGACAGCAGATGGTTGCATAAAGTTTGCCAACTCAATTGGGTAGTTGAGCACGTCGATGGCAAGACTGACATGGCAACACCCAATTCGAGAAGTGTCTAGCGAAAAAAAAAAAAAAAAAAAAGTTGCAAGTCGGCAATGATTCAGAGAGGCGGTAGAAAGGCGGGAGCCCGACGACATGTCGTTTCTCAATTCGGCAGAGCCAAGCGAGCGAGCAAACGGCAGCCGTCCACGCAAGACGCTGAAGCCATCAAATCCTCTCAGTCAGTCAGGCGGATGCGCAAAGCGTCGCATGTGTCTCTGTCATCCAGTTGAGAGCAGGACAAGAAGCATGAGGATTGCCAACCTCCCACGAGATGTGACCATATGTCAGCTACGGCGAGCTTCAATTGGACACAATGACCGAAGGATAGAACGGCAGTTGTGCTCGAGAGCACAACCCCGCACCCGAGATGCAAGACTGGGTTAGTCGCGACTGCGGTGAGCAATTGATCAACACGGAGTGCAGTCCGTTTCGACTTTTGATCTGACGGTCTATTACTCACACCGTCTGGCGGGACACGGAGCAAAAGCTTTAGTCTTGGTCTGGTGCGTTAGGGCCTTGGGCTGGGGGATCGCCATCTAGCGGAATTGGCAAGTGGGAAAGAGGCATCGCTGCTTAGTCAAATAGTGTTTGGCCTTGCATGAGCACATTTCTTGTTTCTCGTCACATCTGCTGCTGTGTGCCTGGTACCGAGCATGTCTTTTGGTGGGTAGAGCAGCGGAGACAGTTGCGGTTGATGTGGGTTGGCGGTGATTGTTACTGTGGCAGAGCCACATTCAAGACACAGGAGACAGTCAGATTAATCCTTCAACGACAGCCGATGTTGCGTTGTAGCCGGAGCAGCAGTATTAGTAACTTGCTGTCGCAACGCAAGCGTGGACTTGTCCCCAACAGTAATGGATATGTTGCAGAGCACGTTGGATATTCGGACCCTCTCATATGGGACGAGAAAACATACGACGGTCAGAGCAGAGCAGCCCCAATTGCGAGGGCTAGGGAGATGATGCTACCCCATGTGCTGCCGCTTCTTGTGTGATTGCCCTTGGCTAGAGCTAGAGCTAGAGCTAGAGTTAGAACTGGAGCTGGAGCTGGAGCTGGAGCATCGGGGAATCATGCAGCTGGATGTTGCAGCAACGAAGAGAAAATTTTCCGTCGGCTTCCCACTCCGATGGCTAAGAGTCTAGATCGCTGCCCCGCTAGGACGGTGGAGATAAAATGGAATAAGATGCTAAGGAGAAACGAAACGTGCATCGGATCCGGGTAAACTGTAACTTACAAAAAGGGAAAGAATAAAAAAGAATGGGAATGGGCCCTTCCTTTGGCCATACACAATGTAGACACGTGTGTTGTGACGGAAGGTGTCGTCTCTGTCGTTCCGTCTCAACGTGGATGAAGCGGCAGCCGTGGTAGGCCGTTTGCCGTACGGAGAGCAAGGTATACCTGAGGTACATTGAGTCGGTAAAGGGTACAATCCAAGGGAACCCACATACCTACGTACTCTGCAGTCCACAGTTCAGAGTCCAGACATGGTATTTGTGATGCCCTGGCAGAAACGGGGGACCGGGAGGAAGGGAAAGAGGCGGGGCGCATTTTGGGGCTCTCTGGGCTGTGCTGTGTCATCCAACTCTTACATCGTTGTCCACTTGTATGGATTAGGCTTTCCGCATTTGAGTCTTTCTTGGTTTCTGGGCTTTTCCATAATATTTTTTTTTCGTCTTCAGAAATTTCTCCAAACCCAGACCGTGCTTTTTATTTTTTTTAAGTTACTTTTATGTGTTGTGGGTTTTGGTAGTGTTCCAGTCCGTGTGTTTTGTTCCCGGCCGGAGGAATGGCTCGGGAGATGTACGGCAAAATAAATACAAACACAAATTTAGTTTTAAATGTATGTATATATATAAACTAGAATGAGAGGGAAGGTTCTCCCACAGATCCGTGTCGTAGACGCCGGATTGTCCAAGCTCGCAACGCCGCTCGGGAAGCATGACGCCTCCAGGGGACTACCACTACGTAGGACGTAGTAGAGGCTCCTCGCCCTTGGTTCAAGTCCCCTTTTTTGTGGAACCAAAAGCCTCTCGACGCCCGGCCTTCCGGTAGCTCTTTGGGACTGAGACTTGCTTATGAAAGCTGCCGGGTAAAGGTCTAAGTACACTAATGAGTTTTCCTCTAGTTTGACTGACTTCTTGGTGGAGTTGTTTTGGACTCTGTGCGTTTACCTAATATGTATGTAGTGCACTCGCCCGCTGTCGCAAAATTCCAAGGGGGGCGGTCCATTCGTGGGGAAACGTGCTCAGGGCAGTGGATGAGGTGATGCGATAATGCCCTGTGAATCACGAAAGACTGGGGCTCACCGCGAGTTTTGCAACAGCTACGGCGCCAGGAGACCCAGCGAAGGGGGGGAAAAAACCAAACACCGCTGGGTTCGGGGACACGGAGCGCTGTAAGCTGCGGCATGACGGCCTTCAAGTCCCTCTTGTGTGTGTGTACCTAAGGTACCTACCTACCTGCCTGCCCATTCCACTTCCCACGCCAACGCCCGCTGAGGGAAAGATACCCACGGTGTGCTGACGAGACTTGGGTGACAGAGTGACGGGAACGTTTGGTCCCTTTGACAAGAATTGCAACATCCAGGGACGTGCCGAAAGTGAAAAAAACGGGGCTGCGTCACGGTTGGTTTTTTTCTTTCTTTCTTTTTTTTCTTTTCTCTCTCTCCCCAATTGCGATTGCATCATGGCCGAAACCAAGTTCTCGCTACGTACCTTGCCTTACATAAGACGCTTTGCTGTAAGTGCCGTAGCGCGCGGTCTTTAATTTAGACTGTTGAGTCATCTGGGGGAAAAGTTCAAAAAACTAAAATGAAAAAAATCAAGGCATATGAGAAACACCCAGGGCAGTGCAAGTGCCAGTTCAGCGGTAAATGCAAGCAAGACCAGGCCAGAGGGCAAATGCACCAATTACCGCAACGGCCAGTCCCAATGAAGAAGCTGGCAGGGCGGCCGTACAAGCTAACCTAACTGCCTTGGTTTTGAGTTGAGACATTACTATCTGTACTGCTAAGTATACCCTGTGCACACAAGACCCTGGGAAAGGCAAAGAAGATTGGTTGGCACCGATACAAGGTACTTTGATGACTTGTTGTTTTTCTGGTTCCTTTATGCAAACGGGAACGCGCTTGATTTTTTATTTTTCCTGCTCTCTAACTCTCCATAATACGGGGTTACTAAGTACGAGCTGCGCGCATTGCATTCAGCAACCCGCGAAGCCGACTGGCTGTCCTCGGAATTGTCAAGTCGCAGTGTTCATGCGGATGGAGCATGACGGACGGGATCGTGATCTGGGCACAGGTCACAATCCATTCCCGTTCTCCACCACGCATCAAGTGCTTGTTTCCCTCTCGTCACTTTCGTCCAAGGAATTTAGACGGGAAGGGCGTGCGTGCTTCTCTTTATCGGTGTTTGACCTAGGGTACTTCTGAGCTCGTCGTCAGCTACGTCGGTACACGTCGTGTCTGAGGGAGCCGACAGCGAGGCCGTAGAGGTTTCGGCTTACATAAGTCATCTCGGCTCCAGACGTCAACCCAAAGTTTTCTGAGCTGCGGCTAGCATGCACATCTTAGCTAATAACGTCTCTTTGGGCGATGCACCGGCAGCAGCGACTGCATCAGGAGCTAATTCGCGATCTGCAAAAGAAAGGGACGCCCGTTTGGAAACAGAGTAGCTGTAACTGGATCCTTTTTCGGCATATCGGCGTATGGGACTGCAATTTCATTGTCTTGTGCCCGAAAAGAATGATGTACTTTTTTGTTTGTGTCTTTACCGTAACTTGGTCCTACCCAGTCTGGTACGGAGTACCCAGGGCAAAAGAACCCACCGCGGGGAGCCGTGATGGAGTGAGCTGATGACAGAATTGCGAAAATGATGCATCGCAAAAAAAAAAAAAAAAAAAAGCCTGAAGCCTCTCGGCTGGCGTCAGGCCTACCTGGCTTGGCCTTGGGATCCCTTAGCTGCCTATTCCCGCACAATTAGTTCTCCCATGGCCAGTCACCTGGCCACACCTTACCTCACACGTCGCTCATTTTCTTGCATTTTGCTGTCCAACAGAATGTGTCCTCCAGCTAAACTTGGGTGACCATTGATCTCAGGGCTCCCTCCCACAACCCCCCGTCAGCCTGTCAGTAGACAGAACGAGCAGGGTACCGTACTCTGTCCTGCATCCTACTGCATTCTGTACCTGACATTCTAGTTTCGATCGTGTAATGATGGAGGGGTCGTAACTAGATTCGTAATTGCAGGCTTGAATTCACCATTCACCGTTGACCGCCAGGGAGTACGTACTTCCCTGAGACTGTAATACGTACATAGTAGTGTTGGGCATGGTAAAGAGACCCCCCGGAAAGACATGTACTTTTCGACCTTTATCCCCAGACTCGCTCGGCAGCATCGTGCATCACCCTTTGGCTTCCCTTCTCGCTTCCCCATATTTTGGCACTATTAAAAGCCCTGCTTGGCCATTGTGCTCTAGCTACCTAGTCTCGACCGTGATCCGCCAGCCCACTCCCATCCCCACTACGAGAAAACCAGACCACTTCTCACTCACACCTCACCTCACAGACAGGGGGTCCGGATTACCCAACAGAGCCTTTAGAGAGACAGGCAACCCCCGTCCACGCTCGAGCTCGCAATCGCAACCTCTGAGGCACAAAGTACTGTAGTACCTGACCTGACTGTGTGCTTGCTCCACTACGAAGGGAAGCTCAGTGCTTTCCAGCGACCATAATCCCCGTGACGACCTGGCATCTGGGGGCGAATAGCGATATAAACCTCGGACCCCGATCTCGAATCTCGATCTGAGGAAAGACACAATATTAAGGGCATTTCGCTAGCGAGCCGCATTCTTCGACACGTCAAATAGTCGGTGAAGATAAAAAAAAAAAAAAGTTTCAGAATTAGAGTCAAGAGGATTCAAAGAATTCTCAACGAAATTAGCTTGTATACGCAGAGAGGGGAGAAAGAAGAGAGAGGCATTCCCTCATCCTGCGTACACACAGACAGCGAAGAAAAATATCTCTGACTAGATCACATTCTGCTCTAGTCTTACTAGACGAGAGACACAAACCCGCCAGCCAGTCATTCTTCTTCTGGCCCTTGCTTCAGGCAAACCTAGGGCGACGCTCAGAATCAGAAAGAAACAATAGAGCAGATATCCACAAGCGATACACAGGTTTTCCTGGACGACACTTCAAGAGAGAGTGAGAAAGTTCATCAGGGTGTCTAAATCGTCCGGGTGCCGAGAATTGCGACGCTGCTACACCTGTAGAGCTTCGCGCTGCTGCTACTGCTGCTGCTGTCATCAGCAAAGTTGAGACGACGGACGAATCGGCGGCGCTTTACGATCTCCATTGGCTGGAGGTCCGTCCGCGCCCCCAGCATCTCCGCTTTCGGCGAACCCACGGCCCTGCTCGTCCTGGCGTCAATCCAAGGTACCTTTGCCCACTGGGAAAGTACCTTTTTGTTCAACCGGGGGCTATTGCCTGGGTCAAGGAACACCCAGAGCAGAAAAAATAAAAAACCCCATACTCAAGGGAGCAGCGCAAAGTAGCACGTCAACGGGAAGAGTCACACTCGAGAGGCCCCATACAATCCCAAAGAGAGAAACGGTAGAACGTCGATACAAATACATCCATTCTTCTGCAGCATTACAAATAATTCCCGAGCCCTCGTCCGGTCCCAGGAGCCTCAGAATCTCTTTTTTGCGCTTTCCCTCGTGTCAGTTCCAACTAGGACGATCGTCAGTCATCATCCTCATTCTTGTCCCCTTCAACCCTCAACTCTCGATTACTCAACCTACATATCAACCTCGACGGTTCCTATTTTCGCTTCCTCCGGCCTTCGCTCAATCCACCCCCGAACGAGCCATTCCGTCCGTACCTTACCTGTCTCAGCCCAGGTCCCCGCACCCGCACTTGATCTTTGCAGTGTCGTCATCGTGCTTCTAACCAGCGCATATCCATCTCTGCACCCGCTGTTTAATTAAAACTCGAAAAAAAGACGAGCGAGAGCACTACTGCACTCACCACCCGGCTATCCTCATCCCTAGACTGAGAAACAACCCACGGTGCAACTTAGCGCTACTGACGCCCGCCCCCCCTGGCTTGTTTGCGACTTACTCCAAGTTTGCAACCTCTCACACCACCTGGCACCCCCCGGCCTAGTTACACGACCTTGTCAGTTGGGTCTCACCCCGAGTTGCTGCCTCTGCCTACACTACTTAGCACGGTGACCACAACAACTACCATCGCCGTCAGCAACAAGCCGAGTTAGCCCTGGTAGAAAATAAGAGCGGCCATCCTTCCTGCGGACTAGCACCACCTCCACCACCACAAGCACCTCATCCGCCTGGACCTCAAAAGAGAAAGAGAATTGTGTGCGTGTCTGCGTCAGCTCCTCACTACGGTATCTCTCCGAATTGATAGATAACCGACCTTTTCCCCTGGAGACCTTAGCAAAGGGTGGGAGAAAAAAAAAAGTCTATCAGTCACAGCTCGCCCGCCTGCCCATCACACCGTTCTCGCACTTCTCACACCCATCACTTATCAGCTCGGTCAAATAACACTTATCCACACCCCCAGGCCAAACCCGCCGCTATCTCTCAATCCATCACCAAGCCGCCTTAGTTATTGGAAACAAGGCACACCACATCAGGCGTCCCCTGCACCTGCGGCTGCCTCCTCTCGACCCCTTCTTAATCCTCCCAGCACCCGCTTCGACTTGGTTTGTTTGTGGGGGGATCTTACTCCAACGACCAAAAAAATCTCTTCAGCGGTCTCGCTCAAAAAAAGGGCCAGACTTTCGCCACCCGGAACGCGTGAGGAACAGGGACCGACTTCCTGCATTCCCATTCAAGGCTACCAACAGCGTTATCGTATCACAGCCGTCGTCTGCGAAAAAATTTTCACCAGAGTCACCTACTTATTCCTTCAACTCCACGGGGTTTTACTGGGTCTTTTGTCTCTGGTCACTGCCAAACCCGACGGCCGAGACAGAACTGGCAACCATTACACAGCCGTGTTGTGTTAGTGTCAATCATCTCTCCTTGGGGGAAGTGAACGGCGCTACCCCTCCACCAAACCGCCGTCCCCGCTTATCTCCTCCAGCCCTTTTACCACCGATACAGGCACTACTAAGAAAGGAGTGAGAACGGTCGACTACAAGAAGACCCTTGCCAACATCGCATTGGGGTTTCCTCAACACTGCTTCTCCAGTCAACTTCATATATCAACGCGCCAACACAATGCACCACACTCGCAGGAAGTCGGGCAACACGTCCATGACGGACGTGAAGAAGACCGTCACTGCTACTGATCCCACCCGCTACAGCAAACGCCCTACAACCCTCTCCAGACGTCAAACACCTGTCACGGCGCAAAAGCTGGGCAAGAATCCCAGAGAGCGGGAGCGTGAATGGCAAGACTCGTGGGACGATGATCGGGAGAGCTTCCCTCAATTCTGGTATGTTCACAGCCTTCATTGTCGTGTGTGCCTCAAGATTTTCCTCCTTCTCCTCGGCCTGGCGCAAGTGGCTGCTCACGCCATGTTCTGGGCTTGCGACCCCGCAACAGCTTTGTCCAGCTACGCAAATGATCTTCCACGGCTCGCTGCAGACGGTTTCCCTTTTCGGGAGCATTGCAGTGTCACGATGGACGCTCGGCTCTGGGCGTCAACTATTTGCCAATATCCTTTTGTTTTGAACTATTGTTCTCATATTGTCTACGACAAGCCCGCTAACTAGTGTGTGTTGTAGCATGACCTGCGAAAAGCAATTCGTACCCCAAGACCTCAAGACACTCTACTGCTCAGAAGCGTATGCTCACCCTCCTTTTTCTGATCTGGACAGATCCAGAGTTTGTGTGCGACGTCCAACTGACATATTGCTCAGGTGTCGTCTACATGACCAGCAAAGCGCATCAATCGGCAGAAGTCACAGCCAGGTGCACGCGGGCAACTACCCATTCTACGCTGCAGGCAACCCCGAACCGAGAGACATTGTCCCTCGCGCATCTCCGTCAAGGCCAAACTCGATGCACTTCTCCCCACCCTCGACCCCTGGGGCCACCAGCGGTGCTCAGTACTCATCCGCCATCTCCGCGTTGAGGTCCCTCAGCATCCGGCCCCCAAGCCCGCCGTCCCCCACATCGTCTCACCCCAGCTTGTGGCCCTTCAACAAGAGCAGCGCCGCCAGCCCCAGCTCCTCCTACAACCGCAGTGGCAGTGGGTTCTTCCCCGCAACCTACGACGGCGGTTACACGTCCACCGGCTACACCTACAACTACAGCTCCAGTGGCATGGATCGGCCGTTGCCGACGCGGAGACCCACTGGCCCGGGTTACTCAAGGCCAAAAAGCATCGAATTGGTCACCCCGATGGTCGGTCGCTAACGTCCCAGCCTTGGGGGCTAGTTGCACTACAAAGAAGCATGGTACAGCCACCCTTTGGGGCGACGGCAACGAGGGTAGATTGGCACTCTGTCAAAAGAGCTTCGCATCGGGACCAAGCATGTATTGCAGGGAGGGGGCGACGGGTTCCCGAGGGCTTCGCTGCTGCAAGCCCCGCTGGAAACTCCTCGTACTCGCCTGTAATTACCCCAGCAGCCCCCCAAAGCGCGGGGTTAGCGTCGATTTCGAGCACCGAAAACGCGGGGGTAATTACGGAGACGACGTCGATAAGGGGAAGTCAACCCCAGCTATAGGCTGGGTTCCTCTACGTTTTGTTCGGATTGCCAATCTTCCGAATCATCCGCAGGCACTCTGTTTTCTTTCTCATCAACCAGCCATCTCTCTCTCTCTCCCCCTCACACGCCCCCGGTCTCGCCCCACGGAGAAATGACGCCCTGACGTGGAAAGAACTAGCATTGCGGACTGTGTGGGGAAATCAATTTGCGCATTTACGGCGTGTTTTTCACTGCGAAACGCCATGGCTTCGGTCATGTGAGGGGGGGTGCAAAGGGAAGGAAGGATCAACAAAAGTCGGGGTAGCATTGGGTATAGGCATTGATTGGCATTGGCACAGCGACATATTTTTTTATTCATTTTTTGGATTATTTTTTGTCTTCCCCCGTCTTGATTCGAACCGACTGCTTGGTACGCCATACCCAACGCATCACGGAAGTCCTAACAAAATCTCCGTGCGGGGAAAGAGGGAGGATGGGATGATTCATGACGAGGGGCGAGGCGGGACAAAACAGTTTCTTTCTTCTGCAGACGGTTTTGAACTGTCTAGCATACCACTTTTTTTTCCTTTGTTCCTCAAACTTGTCCACACGCCATCTACTCTTAGCATTTTAGAAATGGGAGCATCCGGGTTCAGTTGCATGAAGGAGGCGGGTAAGCCGCGACGGGTTCAAGTTGTTGTTGGGTTTTTTTTTGGAAGGAAAGGCGCATATTTTTTTTCAACATATCACATCATATCATACCTTGGAAGAAGGAGGCACATGGCGGATACAGTACTCCCCCTCCTCTCAAATGGGCAAATTACAATTTCATTCATGGGTGTATATACTCTATTTTTTTTTTCCTTTTTTCTTTATATTCCACATCATGTCATCATCTAGCATATCTGGGAAATCACCGGAAGGCGGGAAACAAATAATGGGAAACTCAAACCATTGAACAATTAATGCATCATTATACGATTCAGTCAGTCTTGTCTCTCGCTTCATTCAACTCGGACCAAGTATTACAGTTTTCCATGTGTAGTAGTGCCCCAACCCGACCGATCGTTCGAATGTTTGATCGACAAAAAAAGCAACCCCGTGGCAGCGGAAGAAGTAAACATGCGCACGCCGGCGGTACTACTACTACTACGTAGTAGAGTAGCACTTGTTGGTTTCTTTTTGTTTGTCTTTTTTTTTTTTTTTGGCTATCCTTCCTCTTCCCCCGCTGGACCAGATTGTCGATCTTTCTTCTTGTCCATCTCGGTCCCCTTTCCCCACTGCGCCGGGGCTCGCCGTGTGATTTGCATACTGACTCGGGAGATGGACAGGAGCACGTCGAGACAGGTCTTGGGACAATGGGGACGATCACGATGGAAGTGAGCGGGACGGGCTATGTGCGTGTGTGTGTGTGTGTGTGTGTGTGTGTGTGTGTGTGTGTGTGTATGATGTGATGTGGTGTAGGGGGGAAAAAGACGACATCAAGTGCAGGGTGCGGATATTAATTGACCACCCTTACTGACGCCCTTTTGAGAATCCTTTCTTGGTGAGAGATTAGTGGGTTGTAGATATTGTTCTATCTGTGCCGCTTTATTCGTGAGCCGGCCTAGATCTTGTTCTTTTATTTTCTTCTATTTTTTGAGGGTGTGGTGGTTGTAAACGGGTTCTTGACGTGACACAACGGTCGTCAGCTGTCTACTTCACTTGCATTTGCGCAGACAAGCGAATATATTGTTCGATGTGGGGGTATCGTGGTCATTCATCCAGTGTCACTCGTACCCGACAGGTGCCAACGCATTCATTCTGCGATTTGTATATCGTCCGATTGCGTTTTCTTGCTTTGTCCGGACTGGGTTCCCTAACCGTGACTTCTTCGCGTGCAACGCATATTGGAGAGAGACGAGTGGGATTACCCGGATGTCCCCTGGCCTTCGATCTTCGGGCACGGGGTGCACTCCGGAGTGGTCTTCAAGACAGCCCTCCCCCTCCTCCTTCGGGGACGTGGGAGGCTGCTGCGACTGGACGGCCAGTGGGGGGGACGGGCGTCTTGGGGCGGTGATCGCCGGGGTTGGGAAGATCTGGGGGTTTGGGTTTATTGCGTGACGCGGAGTGGTGGGGATGGGACATGGTATGTGGATTTCATTATTGAAGATGTGGTGGTTGGGTATTGGGGTCAATAGATGGATGTCAGTCGAGTCATGTGTTCTGTCTTGTAACTAGGCCCCAGTTCAGTCATATGAGTACTGGTGGTAATGGTGGTAGTGAAGAATATAGAGGTAAGAAACGAGGCTGAGCGAGAAGCCAGAGACGCGTGCTCTGTGGCGGAATGGTTTGGCCGCGCGTGGTGTCCCCGTGAGAAAATTCGTGTTTTTTTTTTTTTTGTGTGAACGGGAATACTTCTGTGGTGGCCTGTGGCGGTATAGATCCGGTGAGCCTGGATGGGGCTCAAGGTGAAGGTTTCTCGAAGAGGTTGCGATGGGCTAAGACACACATCCCGCGGCTGAGGCGCACTCAATTTTGGTGGATGGGAGTGCTAGTAAAGTGCGTGTGACGACGAGTGGGTGGGATGACGTGAGGTCCAGGCCGGTTTTCTCGAGTCGTGTGCTCTGCGTGTCCTGTCCACCTGTTCAGGGGATTGGTGCCTTTTTCGGGGGGCGAAAGGCCATTGGAGGGCTTGCTGGTGCATGTTCATTTGGAGTAGCGCCCGGATGAAGTTGGCTGGCTGACTAGCTGGCTATTCCTGCCTTCTCTGGGCTGGGGGACGTGGGGAGCAGGAGGTGAGATGCGAGATAGGGTAGTCTCGGTTGTTGATGGTCTTTGCTCCTATTTCGGCAGTGGAAGTGTGATGGGGAGGTAAGACGGGGAAGGATTTAGGATGCGCAACACCTACAGAAACAGGTTCTCGGGACGTGATGGGATGTGATTGAATCAGGGGCCTGGCGTGACTGAGGCGCTGTTGCCTTTTCTTGCAGATGTGATACCAAGCGCTACCTCGCGCATTTTCTCGGCCTGATTTGCGGTTTTCAGATGCAACGGGCAACCCGCCGAGGCCGGGGGTCGGCATGTGCCGGTGTTGTTCGGCGTGGAGCTTGGGCCCCACTACCCGCTCACTGACCCGGGGTGCTGGTGAAGGTACTGCGGCGACCGGGGGTCGGAAGAGCGGATGCGACGTTAGCTGTATAAGAATGACTCTCACCCCTGCTTTTTTGGCGATCAGAGATTGAAACGGCTGCCGGTGTTACTTCGGAGGACCCAGGTTTTGAGATTGTGGTGAATTCTTCGCTGGAACCGCTTCTAGTGGCTGAGTTTGCTGTGAGTTTGCATGTGCGACTCAGATACGGTCGGTTTCCATTATGGAGGGTTGTTTGATATCTCTTGGTGGTCATAAAACCGGGCATATAGTAAGTAGCTGTGGGGATAGATACTGGACGGCAGTTGAACCCTTCAACAGTTTGGCGCAACCAGTGTAAAAATGTAGCGCGGCGATTTTCACTTCATGCAGCAACTTGTGTCTCGTATTTTTCTCGTTTCGGGATTTCAAAGTCATGTAGGCCTGTTGACTTGGGGCTTACATTACTGAGAAATCCAACGTGGCATACGGTTTTTAGATTCTGCTCCTATTTAGTCTCCTATGATTCCCTGATCCAGGTAACAGGTTTGACATGTACTTAAATGCCATGTCCAAAAATCTCACGCGCTGAGATAAAGACCGTAGCGGAAGCTGTGGCAAAATGCGCTATATTGCACAGATATGTTGATTCGTCAAGGGAATCATCGCCGTTACCCGCATCCACTCCATGTGGCTGTGGGAAATAATAGCCTAGTGGGCAACAGCTAGGAGTTGATACGATATATGAACAAATTAGTTCAAAAATCAAGTTATAATGGAAGGCAAATAGTTGAATATGGGACTAAAAATCGTGACAATCAGGAATAGTGGTCTTAAACAGGGCTGAAACCATTCTGATGAATGTCAGTTTTACGGTCTCCTTGGAGTAAATCTCAAGCAACGAGAGTGAAGCGTCGGCTATCAGCGGTTTTCGATGTTTAGTTTTCAAATCAGAGATATTCAAAACATTGAGCCTTCCAATAACCCTAGACTGAATTGATAAAGCTCCACAGCCATGTGAAAACCAGCAGTTGACCGCGAAGCCTAATATCGCGGCAACTTTATCTTGAGTAAACCCTGTAAATATCACAACAAGGTTACTGCCTAGAATGCTTAACTGTATTTTTCTTCTTAATAGGGCTATATATATCCTACTACCTCATTAACGCAAAACAGAACTAGACAAGGTTCACTATATCTCTTTTTGGATTGCCGAGCTCTGTTCTGATTTGAACACTGATGTGATCAATGCAAATTCCAATGAAGACGCTCTTACTGTATTGAATTCTAAGGAGAAGGTAACGCTATTTCTATCGTTGCCATATGTTCCGGCTGTTTCGCTGTTAACTCTTATGAAATTAACTTTTCTAGCGATACTAAGTTGCATCCTTAGAAGTCGGTGCTATTAAGGAAGGACCTTGACTTCTGCTATGCTAGTGGTATGAGCATGTCAACACTGTGCGATGTGCGCAAAGTCAATGATGTGATCCTCTAATGGTCTCCCGTCATACTCACTGACGATGTGACAACAGAAGAGTTGGTGATAACAACGTGATGTGATATTCTCATGGACATTGAATAATTCTGTGACAAAACTGGACCTCCAAGTTGTTATTATCAGGTAGTAGAAGAATTGAACAGGCTGCCTGTCCCGATTCTTTATCAGTCACTTGCTTGCAACTAACTCAGGATCCGGAATCAACATAGCCAATAGTCCTTCAGATTGGTAAAACACAAGTCGAGAGCATGTTGTAAAGGTCTGGCATAGATGTAACAGTCAGTTGGTCTACTTTCAAAGCTCAACCAAATTCAAGAGACGCTGTGCCCCTTGAATCTTCCGGGAGGGGCCATCTTCACATTGCATTTACCGGTTTTTTGCAACTGAAGATACGGCCAAACTTACTGTTTAGAAACCTTCTCACCGAACAATGTCTAAATTGTTAGAACAGCCAACCTTCGTACATCATTCTAAAGAATGTAACAGCGGGCTAGTTCTGCCTTGCAACATTCTCTAGACAGAAAAGAGCACGCAATAGCCAGTATAAATCTCCCTAACATGTAACAAGGCCACAAGGTCATATATTTCCATGGCATGCCAAGTCGACCCCTCCACAGGCACCTTTTCCATAGGAAGATAGTTACTGAAAGATAAATTGCATAAAAACGCCTATGGGTATATCGGGCTATTTATGCATGCCCTATCTAAACCACCCTTCGCCAAATCTCCAAAGTCTATATCCCGTATTGCTATCCAGGTCTCCAATGCTCCATAAATCAAATAAGCCATCCATACTTAAATTCGACGGTCATCGTGCCCTTCTTGGGGACCTTCTCAGATCCTCCACTTCCTCCCGCGAAAGAATGATGCTTTCCTCTCTTTCTTCTTCACCCCCCATCAACTGCTGCTCATCTATCCAGCCAGCCTCAACAGCGAACCTCACCACGTCTGCTGCACATCCAAACGCCGGCACACCTGCCTTAGCGTCCGGGTCCAGGTATTTCCAAAGCTCCTTTGTGGCCTTCTTGAATTCGGCCACATCCTTCTTGTCGCCCTTGAACCCCTTGATCATGTACTGGTACAGGTACGCTAGCCACAAAACGTTTGTATACGGCACATACACATCCCAAGATAACATCTCGCCGTCAGCCGCCTTGGGGTATGGCGAGTTGTGTGCAGTTGGGGGAAGACAGCCGCGCTCGCCACGCATCAGAAATGATCGCATTTGGCGGTAAACCTTGCACTGGGGCGCATGCGTGCTAGTAAAGATACTGAGTTCTTTCTCCAGATCGAGCGCGATAGGCTCAGATTCGTCAACGGTAAGGTCCTCGGCTCGAGAAAGACCATAGTCGAGGATCGTGATGTCGAGACCCGAGTAACCAAAGTAAGGACCTGCTTTACTGCGATCACGAGTCTGTGGCTCTTCTGTCCGTCGTATACAAAGGTTGCCCTCGTGGAGATCGCGATGCTGTAATTGTTAGCGTGGATGTGTATTCCGTAAGAAGAAAAACGTACCTCAAAGCAGTTCAAATCCTCTGCCCTCGCCAAGGCAATGGCAACCAGGAAGAAGATATCCCACAACTGACTCGAATTCGCCAACTCAAAATCCTCGAGTGCCGTCCCTGCGTCGCCCAACTCAACAACCAGAAACGTCGTATCGGCAAGATAACGACTCGGGCTTGGGTAGAACTGCAGTCTATCCGGGTCCTTGCGCTTCATCTTCCGATGAAAGGCCTGGTGCGTCTCCAACAGACATTTTGGCGCTTTACCCTGCACAAGATAGCGTTCCTTGTAGACCACGAAACCAGGGATGTCGGCAAGCCACTCGGATATGCGCAACTCACCGCGCATATCATCCTCAGAATGTGGCTCCTCGTCGACGAGACCAGATCGCTCTTGCGCCTTGGTTTGAGGCTTGATGGGTGATTCAAGGCGGATGCACTTGATGATGCTGGTACCTCTCTCATTTCGAACGCGGTAAACCTCCGCATAAGATGCCTCGGCAATCTTCTCAATGGTATCCCCTGGTGGACAAACCTCATCCCAGGCGAGAATGCGATAATCCGGCCTTGCCTGTTCTGGCTCTGAGATTTGAATCTCTGGAGCTACGGCTCTTTCAACTTCTGCAGGCTTTGGGGTCTTGGATTTTGGAGTTGCCGCCTTGACGGGTTTTGGAGACGGCTTTACTGATTTATTGGGAGATAGGACTTGCCGCCTTGGAGAGACTTGCTTTTTCGGCTTTGGTGGGGATTCCACAGCGATTGAGCTGAAGTCCCTGGACAGCTCATCTTCCGAAGAGTCGTACTCGGCCGCAAGTGCAACGGCATCGAGCCTTTCGGTGATTTTTATGACTGATTCATCTTCAGAGTCCACAGCCACTGCGACCGTCGTCTTGGGTTTCCGTATTGGGCTTTGCGGTAGTTCGCCAAATAGGCGCCGTGCCTTGGCCTTTGTCGACGTCTTGCCGTATGTGCGGTTTGCTATCGTCCGCGCCATTTTGATTGTTGGTTGCCGTGTCTCTTTTTTACCGTGATTCTACAGTATCTTGCTTCCTCTACCTTGAGACATCGCAATGACCGTCGTTGGCATCTATTGACAATTCATGCGGTTGACCAGACAACGAACTTGAAGACGGAGCTGACGTTACTCCGCAGCCGCAAATTCCCCACTAAATCCGCCAAGCTGGGCTCGACCGCATTCAGACAATGTGGAGCAGCGTCATTACCCCCAGCTTCCAGAAGAAGCCACTTGACTGGCTGAAGGCTGGCTGCAGACTGGCTAACGACTGGCTGACGACTAGTTAATTTCGCCTTCTCTTGGGCCAGACCTCCTCACAAGCTCGTAGCTTCACTGTCTGCCTGTCTTGCACTTTGACAACTCACAGCCAGCCAGCCAGCCATCCCCGACCGCAACCATGGCCAACATCCTCAACGGCCTCTTCGGAGGCTCCAAGCCTTCTGCATCCCCAATTCCCAACGGTGATTCTGGTATGTTGTTTTCAAGTCCCAATGGCTATGTCTTGCTTGCCGTCAAAGCTTCCACCCACGTCTTTCCCCTCCGCACCCACAAAATCCACTTCCTCAAACTGACGCAATTCCCAACCACACGCAGATTTCGCAGACTTCGCCGGCGTTCCTGACCCCTCGCCCACGCCCGGCGTCTTCACGGCTACTCCCGGTGGTGCAAGCCTCGATAGCAGCGCCCCTGCTGCGACAGGTCTCCCCTATACGAAATGGTACAACATCCACGAGCGACACTCGCTTAGCGAGTTTAAGCTTGAGGGTGCCATCCTCGCCGTCAGCGCCATCATCTTCCTGCTGCACATCATTGGCGCGCGCCTGAACCGCAACAAGGCCAAGGCTTGGGCTGCCGCTCACGCGCCGACCCTGAAGAACGAGTTCGCCTCCGTTGGCTTCTCCTCGCGTTCGACTGTCGACAGTGACCCCAAGGACACAGAGGGCATGCTGCGTGAGAAGTCTCTCTTCGAATTTGCCAGCTATGGAACCGGTCGCCAGAACATTGCCTTTATGGATGTTAAGTTGACGCTCAACAAGCGCTTCAACCCGGCCCTGAGCATCGTCGAGACCGTCTCGAGCTTTTTCATGGACACCGTCGAGGCCCCCCACGACTCCTTGGAGGCTGTCATCTACCCTTTCGACGGCAAGGAGTCTCTGACCGTTCCCTCCGTCCCTGGCACCCACGAACTGCGCAGCAAGGAGAACAAGAGCACTTACGACAACTTCGTCTGGGCCATTGTCTCCAAGGACCGCATGAAGCAGGTTCGCGATGACCGCTACGATGTCTCCATCACTTTTACCAAGGACCACAACAAGCTGCCCAACTGGCTTACCGTCATGAGTGAGAGCGCCGAGATCACTGAGCAGCTCCTTACCCCTGAGCTTGCCAAGGCTGTTGAGGCTGCTGGCGACGCCTTTGACTACCTCATCGTTTCCGACCAGCCCATTGAGAAGCCCACCACGTGAGTCCCCAGCGCTGTGCCGCCCTCCTGCATTTCATTACTAACACTTCTCAGCCTGGAGGAGACCACCCCCCGCAAGCGCATCTTCCTCCGCTACCGTCTGCCTTCCAACAACAACTACGACTCCCTGTTGCCGCTGTTCCAGTACTTTGTCCGCATTCCGGACGCCCTTGTCTCTGGCGCGCACTTCCGTCCCGAGGTCCTGCGCAAGGTCCGCAGCGTCCGTGATGAGTCCATTGCCCAGATCAAGAAGGCTGCCGAGGCTGAGAAGGCCGAGGAGCGTGCCCTTGAGCGCGAGAAGCAGAAGAAGGCCAAGCGTGATGCCGAGCTCGGCGCCCTGGACGCCAAGGCCCAGAAGAAGTACCTCGAGAAGGAGCGCGAGCGCGAGCAGAAGAAGAGCATGAAGAAGCAGACCATGCGTGGTTAAGCGAATTCTTTATTTTTTGCGTCCAGGCTTCGAGTTAACGAAAAGGTGCATTCTTCTTGTTTCGTTTCCAAGCGAAGGAGGTCATGTTGGATCTGGTTAACGGTGGGATTGGGACAAGGCGGTGTCTACACTATGATCTAGGGCTGGTGGCGGACGAAGTTGTATAATAACAATCAAGAAAAGCGATGGCGGGGAGGCAAATAGCATATCTTGTGTGTCAAATCATATCCTAATAAGCTTTCATTTTCTAAGTTTGTTGTGGTCATGTGCCATGGATCTAAACGGCAAGTCTACTCGTCCTGCGCCAGAATACCCTCGACACGCTTGACTTTGTCTGCGGCAGACTGCTTCTTGTCCGTCCTGTCCAGCAGTCAGTACGCATTATCTCTAGGCGTCGCAACTGAAAAGGGAAAAAAATAAAGGATGAGAGGGGGGACAAGAAAAAAAGAAAAAAAAAACATACCTCGAGCCCACGCGCATCGAGGACTGAATCCTCACGACACCGCTCTGGTGAACGAGGGAATGAGCCTGGCCGATGACGCGGAAAACATCGTCCCAGCTTCCCTCTGCAAAACGCCGGAACGTCACAAGGTTGTCAGCAAACATCTCTATAACTATTTTCATTCCATGCATATAATGAGAGTAATATGACGGGTTCGGGTTCGGGTTCGGGACAGGACGGGACGGGAAAACTCACCGACGGTGGTGCCGGCCGAGTGCATCGTGTACTTGAGCCCGCTTGCCTTGAGCAGGCGCTGGACCTGCGCGACCTCGTTGGCGACGGAGACGCTGCCTGTGCCGACGGGGATGAGGCAGAAGTCGGCGTACGCCGCGGCGGGCGTGGGGATCTGGGAGTAGTCTGTAGTCGTCGACATGATTTCTTATTTTTTTTTTTTTTTTATGGAATTCTTATCCTCTGAGATGGAGGGGTTGAAAGTGCTTATGAGAGGTATTTTGCCGAGCTAGCAGCTTGACTTTCGATTCTTTTAGTGTTGTTTTCGACTTCTATTGAGAAGATTGATGGTTGCGTAGTTCTTGATATATAGAAAAAGAGAGATCCCTTTCGAATAAACCGACAGCAGTTAACTAGCCAGACAGAGGGAAAAGGTGTCGTGACTCTCTGCGTTCCGTTCGGGGGGAGCTTTTGCTGCGGGCTTTATCCAATGATGCAATGGAGTGTGGGGTTTTGGGCCGCCCGTCCAACGGGGAGGGGTTCGACAGTGTAATTCTCATTATCACATATTACCAAACTTACAAGTCAACGTTTTTGGAACATGAAATTGAAGAATTGGTCATTAAAATTTTGTATCTTCTTTTTTTCTGATTCCTCTGGTATTATCATCCTCCGGGAACCATCGAGCGAAATCGTGGTTCCCCGCGAGGATGACTTATGCTAATCATTGATCCTATGCTAAAACAATTGGCTGGTTTTGCCATAGCCCAGACTGCGGGCTTTTGGTATGAATATCTTCCCTTATCCCCCCGATAAGGCATGTTCCTCCCAATTCGCGGGGGTGTTCCCGCAAAGCCATACCCTACGTAAAGCAGGCGGCATAGAAAATGAAAACTAATCGTAATACATTGCCCGTCTACCGATGTCTCGGTTCATGAGTAACGCCATCGCTATGCAATAAAACGAAAAAAAAAAGTCAAGACGGAAGAATGGAAATTTAGGACCTCCCAAGGTATTTTTCCGTTTCCCCTTGCAGATATCAAAAAAGTATAAAAAGACATCGTACAGCCGCGCTTTGACCTCTGGACGACGTTCCCGCGTTACTTCTAGAAAAAGAAAACGGCGGCAGCGAGGAAGGCGACGAGAGCTCCGGTCTCCATGCCAGGCGCCCGGCCGCCAAGGTTGGCGCTGCTCTGGGCCGTGGCGCTGTTGCTGCTGCTGCGGCCGGTGATGTCGGACGACGAGAGCCCATTGAGCGAGTCGGCGGTATCAATGGCCGGGCCCTTGTCGAAGAAGTCGACTAGGACAAAGGTCGGCTTCTTGCCCCACTGACTGGAACACGTCTTCGCGTGCAAGCCAAGGTTGCCGGCGGTGGAGGTGCTGGGAGAGTTGGTGACGTCGATGTCGCTGACGTCCGGGATGAAGACGTCGGTAGCCAGAGTCTGGTACTGGAAGTGGTTCATGAGGGGCAGCATGTTGGCCGAGACGGCGGCGGATGCGGAGGCATAGGTTGAAGGGCGGTCGATGGTGCAGTTGAAACCCGAGGCAGAGGTGACCTCGTAGTGCGTCTCGAAGACGTACGAGAACTCGGGGAGGAGGTACGGGTGGTTTGCGTCGGCGGTAATGGAGGCGACGAAAGTGACGAGGCGGGTGTTTGCCGAGATCATCTCCTGAAGGGTTGGCCAGCTCGAGGTCGCGGACGAGGATGACGGCTTGTAGCCGTACGTTGAGATGCCGGAGGACTCAAAGACCGTGCCGAAGGAGGAGGCGCTCAGGTTGTCCGAGTTGACGAGGAGAATGGTGACGACGTCATTGGTGTGGACGTCCATCCAGGCCTTGATGGCAGAGAGCCAGTTCTCGAGGGTGCCGGCGTCGAGGAGACTGCAGGTGGTGTGGCAGAGCTGGAGGGTGGTACCGCCATTGGTGCCGTTCACAGCGTGGACCTGGGCCTGGAGCAGGCGCAGACCGGAATTGAGAGCGACGGTGGCGTTGTAGTACTGGTTTCCGGCAATGGAGTTCTTGGTGCTGGCGTCGCGGAGGAAGGCGCTATCGTGGGCACCCATGTGAGTGATGTTGTTGTACTTGCGGCTGCAAAGGGAAGGTGAGTTGTTGCATGCTGTCGTGTTGGAGGAAGACTGGGCGGCGTTCGAGACCGACGATGTAGTGTCTGAAGGAAGGGCGTAGACGGATGCTGTCGTCGCAAGGAGAGCCGCGAAGGCTTTGCGGAGGGAGAAGACCATGTTGATTGTGTTGTTTGTATATGTGTGTTGTGTGTGTGTAAGAGCTGACCAGCCTAGAACCACCGCGAGAACTTCACAAAGCAAGACCCGTTCCTATTCTTTTATGGACGTCGTCGATGGGCGTCTCCGATTCTTTCTCTGCGCCAGGCACAACAAAGAGGTGGTTGGCGAAGATCAGAAACAAGAAAGGTTGAGGGTGGAGGAGAAGGAGGAGGTTGTGAGCAGGGCAACGGGTGAGGGAATACCACCAGGTGAGGTAATGCAGGACAGGGTAGCTGCAGGGAAGGTTAAAGGGTAAAAAAAAAGAAGCAAGACAAGACTGCGATGAGCTCTTCTCGGAAAATCGAAAGCGGTGCCGGATCCCCAGTCTTAATAGGTATGGCAACGAGGGAGTATCCTCGCAAGACCGGGCCAAGGCTGGGGATAAGGAGGAAGGGGGATGGTGTGGCCCCCTACCCTCCATGGCTACTAGTTCACGGCCTATACACCTTACGTATCCCCTGATGGAGTAATGTTGCTACCTGCTGGCTGTCTAACATCAGACAAAGTGCTGCGGCTCATGTCTGTCGCTGGGGCTGAATATGGGTACAGAGAGCGAGAGAGAGGCAGAGAGGGAGTCCTTGGACCCTGTTGGTTGCGCGGCCCCCAGCCCGTCCCACGTCCGGGTGGGGCTCCGGGCTTGTGGGCGGGCTGCATGGCGGCATGGCGCAGTCGCAAGTTGGTACCGACAGTGGTAGTTACTTTGGGCAAAACAACCCTTCAACCACTCTAAATTTTTTTATACGAGTCCCTGCAACGCCCTACTAGGCCTGTCTCTAGCTAGGCTATTTTCGCTCTTTTCCCCCCTTCCCTCCTTTGGTGTTTGTTGTCTCTCCTCTTTGAAAAGAACAGAGACCAGGGAGAAAACCACAGGATACGCAAGGAATTGTTGTATACCTTCACCTCACAGACTTACACAGCCACTTCGTCGGGCATGCATTGGACTCGTACGCCGTAAGGAGTCCGTCAGCAGAACGTGCAGTGCATTGGGGGACGTTTTACCCACTCGGGCAAATCACCGAGCACATTTCGTCTATGGAACACTGTAATGTATACATCTACCTTACATAGAGTACCACTAGCCCCCATTTGATGCCCGTTGCAATGCAGATCCGTCAATGGTGAGGTACAAAGAAACCAGACGTGGGCTTCATCCAGAGTGCTTCACAAAAGGTAGAGTGTCGCGTAATAAGCCCCTCGTCTGGGCGGACGGACAGGCGACGGTTCGAACGTGGGGAGAGAGAGTAAAAGTGACACAGAAGACACACCACACAAAGGGACACACACACACACACACCTAACGTCGTACAATTACCAGCCAAAAGGACAAACCCCCCGACTCCACGGACTTGAGACAGCCCCAGCTAAGAAGGACAGTGACGGCGCTCGACGTCGCTCTATGTCTCACCCTTCAAACCTTGGACGAGGCACCCTAGTCCAACCCCGGCCGTGACGGACCTCGCCAACTGCTCCTTTACCACGTTATTCCCTCGAGATGTAGCAGTGAACTGCTAGCAATCCGAAGTTGGGAAAGATGCGAAAGAAGCACCGTTGCAGCCGCACGAGTATTTTTTTGGTCTCCTCTCTTCTTTTCTCTCCACGACCTCGGCCCAAGCACCGTGCTGAAGCTCCCTTTGACTTCTTCCCCGGGATCGTCTGCTTTCCGGCGAGCGATCATCGGCAACCCTGAAGCATAACGGCGACCATACATGGAAAACCAAGAATAAGGCTACCTGTAACTCTGACGGGTGTATGCACTATGCCAGCTAGATGACCTGCTGTATTCTCCAAGACGATGACGCATGTCCAGCGTTCCATTAGTGTCAGATTGTGGGTGATCTTTGATGGAGACCTAGCCCAACCGACCCAGCCGTGTAAATGAAGAGCCATCAAGAAATGGCCGCTTCCAACCATTTCTGTTTCAATCAATCATGCTGTATGATGTATTGGAAAAATTATCTGCAAAAGGGAAAAAAAAAAAAACAAAGAGGTTGAGTTGCATTTTCCAACCTCAAAGATCCATGTTGATCACTTGCATATGTTCTCATAGGATACCTCGGAGCTGAGCAGCGGCTGACTCGTGCGGCTGTTTTGTTTGTTCGCCTCAAAGTGTCCTGTGCAACCAGTACGAACCGTCAATCATCATGGTTGCCCAGCCGTCCAGCCCAGTTTGTTCCAAGTTGGATGGGGCTCAAGCTTCATTTTTTTACTGGGGAATAGACGGTAGAGATGGAACACGATTGGAACAAACCAGCAAAAATGAAGATGGCTGCCGAATGCCAATCTGTGGATGCCGCATCCCCAGTGTTTCTTGTCAGGAACAGCGAATAACTCGGCTGGTCGATACTGGCAGGTACGGAGTTACCTGCAGTACGTACCTTGTAGTAGTGTACATCAGCTTGACACCAGCCACGCAAGCCACGAATCCAACAGCTGTCCACCAATGAGCCGCGAACAACCCGACGATCTGGAAGGGGCACTAAAAGGGAAATCTCTCGTGCGCCTTGACGGGATTCGATGGAATTAGTGGAAACGTTGGTCGAGAACTTGGAAACCAGGCACGATAGCCAAGCAAGAAGAAAGATAACTTGGATAAAGGCGACCCACGGGCCCGACCGACCATCACCATATCTGCCCATCAACACTGGCTGCTTCACGTCAGCAGATCGCTTGACATATTGAGTGGTCCCTCTCCTCATCCCGCAGTAATACCGACGAAAAAGAAGGTGGCGGCCCACCACCAAAATCCCCCTCTCTCAAGGAAGAGCCCTGCCACGATCCCCCAGCAAGATCGCCGCCACATAATCTATTTTTGACATTTTCCTAGCGTTGTCTGTTTTTACCTCGTCGTTGTCGTCAACCCGGGCTGTCAAACACATTGTTTCCTCACCGTTGTACGTGTCTGCCTGCCTTGTTTATTCAGGACCAACAAGGGAACGAGGTCTCTCGGGACCTTGAGACGTACCCTTAATCACTCAATATATGTGGATGGATACAAGCTACTGCCAGCCTTATGCCGTCTCACGGTGCCGGCATCTTGGCGTAAAGCATATCACAGCAGCCACGTACCTCTTTCTTTGACCCCTAATAAGAAGCAGTGAAACATGGCTCTGATGCATCTAGAGCATTTAGATTACTAACAGGAGGCCTCGAAGGAAATAAATAAAAAAAATTGAGAAGATCAACCCGTAGCGGCAAAATACGCAGAGACCTCGCGGGAAGTTGGTCTACAATGCTACTCTACTCTACTACACTCTGATCACTCGTCCCGGGGCAAAAAAGCAACATAACCGTCATCAATAGACATTCGGCTGATTGATCCGAACCGCTACTCTAAAAGCCCTACGCACGACCGATTCTTGCCTCTTTCGTGCTCCTCTGCACCCCGTTCCTCATGTCACCTCAAAGGCAAAAAAAAAAAAAAAAAAGAAATCTAAACGGCGATTAAAGACATGACCATTGCCGAATCCCAACCCCACCACCATTCGTATTCAACCCGCTAGAAATAACCCATTTCGTGTCTGCTAGTACACGAATCTTTCGCCTCCCCTTGCCCCCAAAAGTCCAGACCTAATCGGCGCTTCGACCTTGTCCTATTTTTTTTTTTTTCCCTAATGATTTCCCCCCCGTCATTCTCTTCTTGCGCTGAGCCTCGCGGCGCAAACACCGCACATGGGATTGCATTCTCCCACACACATACACACACACCCCATGTCACCCGACAACCCACGGGCCCGGCACTTCACGCCCACATCCCTGTCCTCCCCGGTCCTACTGTCTGGACCGGTACGCGCAAAATGAAATGGGAAGGTAAAAAAAAAGCAACGGAAATCACGGGTTGCGGGCGGCCCTTGCACCTGGCGAACGCCGAAGGCCTTGTTTCCCCCGTCGTCTGGTTTAATTAGACGAGAGTGTTAAAAAAAAAAAAGCGTTGTTATGCGCGCGGTGATGCGCAGCTTTACGCCGGTGCCATGTCGACTTTGACAAACCTCGTCGTCGTCGGGTTTTGTCATCGTAATAGTATACGTAAACCACACACTGCTAAGCCCACCTCTAGAGATGTCATGTTATCTGTGAGTAGGCCCATGGAGGTTCCAGGCGATGGAAATCTGTCAACGGGTCCAGAATGAAACAAACAGAAGGGGAAAAGGTGAGTGAGTGAATGTGGGGGAAGAAGCCGCGCCCATTTTGTTCGTCTCTGCCAATTTGAGACGCTATGCAATGTCCATGTCGTGTTCAATGCTTTCACTCTTCTTCAATGCCTTGGTTGATTAATTCGGATGCCTCTGGATTTTCTACTTGTGTTTTTCTCTCTCTCTGACGGATACACTTGACATTCCCTACTCATCAGCTTGCCCATAATCATATTGGTTTTGGGGCCTCGGCTCCCCCCCTCTATCTCGTGTCACTTGTCCATGCTCATTTGAATAGCTTACTCTGGGTCCGGCGCGAATCCAGACTCCGAGCCGGCCGCCGCCTCCATGTCCTTGAGCGCCTTCTTGCCCTCCTCTGTCGTGGCATCGATAATCTGCTCCTCGAGACTCAAAATGCCGGCCTGCCGTTCGCAATCTCGTTAGTAAAAGTCTCATCAAACATCACGCGCGCTTTAATCGTCCAGGGCATCCACATACCTCGCCAAGCTTGCCGACGATATCCTCGGCCTCTTCGACCTTCATCTTGCCCAGGACCTCGTTGACCTTGTCCAGGCTGCCGCTCTCCAGCGCCTTCTGGAAGTCGGCACTGAACCCCTCAAAGATGGCCCGACCCTCCTTAACTGCTGGGTCCTCGCTGTCCTTGGGCGGGATGGTAATCTTGATCTCCGTACCGGGCTCCACTGCGTGCAGCTGAATCTGTTCCACGCCCTCCGGCTCGTTTGCCCGCTCCTTGATAATCTCCCGCGCCCTGTTCCAAATCTTGCCGTACGTGTCTTGCACATCCTTGAAGAACACATCCTGCGCCTGGTGACCCTTCGTCGTGATGCGCTTGAAGAACATACCCACGCCGTCCTTGCCCAGTGCCCGGCAGTACTGCAGCAGGAGCGCCTGGTGTACGCACTGCCGGCAGTAGTCATCCTTGCCCTCCAGTGCCGCGTCGAACGCAAGAACAAGCAGGCCGTCCGTCTCCCGCTCCGTCAGGATCTCTGGGTTCTTGGAAAGGTATGCCAGACTGGCCGAGTAGTCATCCGGCTTGATCTGCGCAAACTTCTTCGCGGCCGGAGATGCCTCGATCTCCTCGTCGTCGTCATAAGACGTCTTTGAGTCCTTCGGCGGGAGCGACTGTGACATGTCAAAGTTGGGGTTGAGAAGCTCCGGCTTGCGCTCAGGTTCCTTCCCCGTCGACTGAGACTTGTTGACGTGTGAGCTGTCGAAACCCGTGTGGATGCCCTCGCTCGTGATCTTGCGGCCCTCCTCCTTCTCCAGCTCCGCCAGCTTGGCCAGAAGCTCCTTCTGCAGGTTCTGCACCTTGGTCAAATGCCCCTCGACGCCCTCGAGCATGCCTTGGTAGCGGTTCTCGGGCTTCTTCTCGTCCAGCTCCTTATTAACCTGGTCCAGCAACACGGCCATCATCTTGGAGAAGGTGGGCAGAGGCTCCGACTCGGTGTGGATGCCCTCGGGGCGCGGCGGCGGTTGGTCGTCTTCGGGCCTGCCGGCAGACTCCATGACAGCCTGGAAGGCGACTTCACCGGGGTTGCGCGTCTCGGCCTCGGAGGCGTGGGATTTGAGGGCCTCAAGGAGGGCGGATATGCGCTTCATCAGGCCATCGTTGATGATGCGCTCATACTTGAGCGTCTCGATCTGGTGCTTGCGTTGCAGACGTTCCTGGTGAATCTGGTTCTGCTTCGCGCGGATGAAAGACCGCTTATCGACGTTGGGGTGCACTTCGACGTCGGAATCGTCGCTGAGCTCCAGCGCGTCCTGTTCGTTCAATCGTGGTTAGCTAGGTTCGATAGCCGGAGAAAAGGACTGCGTGGACCATGCGCGACTTACCCATTTGCTGTAGTCAACAGGCATCTTGGCTATTATTCGACGATGCGATGTAGATGCTAAATCGCCTGCGGCTGGTGCGGGCCTCGATCGTTGTAGTTCAAGTCGAGGTGCCGTGGAATGTTCTGGATTTGGTTTGACAATGGCGGCTTGCTGCAGTTGGTGGTGAACAGCCACTACGGAGCATCACAGGTGCGGGGCACTACCCCGCCGTCTGTACTTTCACAACACACCTGCTGTACGTAGCTGCAACTCAGACTATGAGGTCAGCAAGAATTTCATAGGCGAATAGGCGAAAGGTCAAGTATCACACTGCAAGAAGTGATTGCCCAGCACATTTTACTGCATTACCAAACTAGAAATTCTACAGCCATCTACATCCACTGTCTACTCCTTTGTTCATACGGCATCCAGCAACTTCTCAAACACACAAGACCCTGCCTGTGTCAAATCCATCCTTTGCAACTCCCCCAGGCAAAACGTACCCTCTCTGATTGCTCAAAATCCTGACTCCGTTCACCTCTGAATCCGTTGAAAAATGAGTGTGTCCAAACACCCAAGCCCCAACACGGCTCCAATCCCCATCGGACAGCAAATCTGTAGCAAAGGCAGAAGCCCAGGGGCTGCCCATGTGCCTAGGCTCCGAAGTTCCCTGGACAGATGGCGCATGGTGCGTAGCCACAATCACTGATCTCTCAGCCGGCACCTTTCTCAGCTCCCTTCTCAACCACGTAGCATCCTCGAGATGAGCCGCATTGTGAGCATCAACAGCCCACCCCTCAATGTACTGAAAGTCCTTGACCTTGCCCTTCACCGCCGCGCTAGCTTCGCTGGGGATCAGGGACCATAGCGTACAGCCCAAGATCGTGATATCCGAGTCAGGGATATCGAACCTGTCCCTATGCAGAACGTGAAGCCTCCCCTTTAAGCACGACTCAGCTTCAAGTTTTCGTGCCTGCTTGATGGTTCCCTCGTAGCTGAGGCCGTGAAACTCGTGATTACCCAGCACGAGCAATAAGCCACACTCGAACTGCTCCGTTAACCGGCGAATGAAGGCGAAATACTCTTCGTAGTCAGCTAGGCTACCAACGTCTCCAGCAAGTAGAAGATATGGTGTCGTGGCGGGAAAATCAAAGGTCGAGTACTGGTTGCCTTTTTCCAGGTGTAGGTCCGACATATACTGGATGACACCAGAACGTGCCGCGCCCGCTCTCCTCTTTTCCATGGTCATCCTCTTGAAATGGTGTTTCCCAAGTGCGCCCGAGAAATTTGTATCGGTGCAGATATCGCATATATCACACGCATTGGATTTTGACCAAGTGCCACAGAAACGCTGAGAGCTGTCGCTGGTGGGCGTCTCCAGTCAGTCGTCTTATCTTATCTCTGATTACACCAGCTTCAAAAGCTCTAAAATCAAGCCACAACCTCCCTCACCTGTCCACAACGGCATTCTACTTTTTCATGAATTCAAACCCGGCGACTAAATAGGTTCTTTTGAACTTCCCTGCTGATACTTTGATTGTTGTGTGGGGAAATTTTTTTGAACCTTCACATATGACAACTTGGGGCATGCTTTGCAGGTCGTAACGCTCTAAAGATGAATATTCAGGTGTGGCAGTTGTCTGCCTTCCACTCCATGTCAACTCCTATTCCAGGAGTCATGAGACTAATACTATCATATGTTACATACACTCGCACACAGTATTTCGTAATGAGTACAAAAGCCGCATAGAAATGGGCATCTCAAGCCCTCCTACCAATAGAGCAGCCAATTCGCTCTCGTCTAAAAGCCAGATGTCAAGCCAAACTCCATGCGTGTTGCTAATCCGGGTCATTGAACCGTTGGCTCAGTCCCTTATTGCATGGTTTTCAGGAAACCATCCAGGTCAAAGCTCTCCTCGTACTGGCTATTATCCCATAAGTCGCCCAAATCATCGAGCCAAGCCTTCTTGCCGGGTTGCTTGCTCGTAACAACATCGCCCGTTTCGATGTCGACCATGTCCTCTTCTCTGCCTTCCATTGTGTTATTCGGTTTGTCTGATATGAGACTGGGTCCTGTGTCTCCCAGATTAAACAGGTCGAGAATTTGATCTGTATCCATCGTAGATAAGCCAGCATTCTGCTGATTCACGACTGTTGAAGCGACATCAATCTTGAAGCGCTGGAGGCTGAGAATCTTCTCTTCAAGTGTGCCTCTGGTGATGAGGCGATAAACGTTAACGACCTTCTTCTGACCGATACGATGGGCGCGATCCATGGCTTGCATGTCCTTCTGTGGGTTCCAGTCATGCTCGACAAAAATGACGGTATCGGCACCGGTAAGGTTGAGACCCAGACCTCCGACGCTGGTAGTCAAAAGCAAGACATCATACGAGGGATCGCTATTGAACTTGTTGACGATGTCTTGTCTCTTGTTGGCTTCGACACCACCATCCAAGCGCAAGTAAGAAACACCCGGCAGCATACTCTTCAGAACAGTGTTCTGGACCATATCCAGCATCTCCTTCATTTGACAAAAGACCAGAGCGCGATGAGGCTTGATCGGCTGGTAGAGCGGATCATTGGATTCAGCCTCTTCCACACCAATACCGCAGTCAACCAGCAGATCTCTCAAGGCGGTTAGCTTGGGTGCGTGAACCGGGTCCTCGAGGCTCGTTCCTTGCTTGTTAAGGATACGCTGAGTCTCATCGTACATGTTGTGACCGGGCTTCATGACCATAGCAGGCGAGTTGCAGAGCTTGCGCATGTACTGCAGAGCCTGGAAAATGTGGGACTTGGCTTCCTTGTCTTCACGGCCAGCCTCTTCTTGGATCTTCTTGCCCTGCTTCCTGGAGAAGTCATCAAACAGCTTCTTCTGAAGGTCGCTCAGGTCACAGTAGTAGTTCTGCAAGATCTTTGGCGGTAGATCATCCAGCACCTCCTCCTTGAGACGCCGGAGGAGGAAAGGAAGGACTTGTTTGTGGAGAGCTTCAATAGCCAACGCTCCGGCTTCCTGTTCTTTAGAAGAGGCTTTGCTAAAGCGACTAGCAGCAATGGGCTTGGCAAACCGGTCAAGGAACACCTTTTCGGCACCAAGAAATCCTGGCATCAAGAAGTCGAACAGTGACCAAAGTTCAAGGACGTTGTTTTGGATAGGTGTACCTGTCAAGATCAAACGGTGATTGCTTGCCAGTTTCTTGACGGCAATTGTGATCTTTGCCTTGGGGTTCTTGATCAAGTGACCCTCATCAAGGATAACGTAATTCCAGTTGTATTTTGCAAGCACATCTGCGTCGTTACGGCATACGTCGTAACTAGTGATGACGATGTCAGTCTTGTCCAGGTTGTCCTTCATTGATTTTCGCTCGGCAGGTGGGCCGACGTAGGCCGTCACGCTGAGGAACGGAGCGTAAGTCTTGATCTCTTGCTGCCAGTGGCCAGACAAGGTAGGCGGGCAGACCACCAAAGATGGCAGGCGTCGAACATCAGGTGCACCGGTCTTTGCAAATTCCTCGGCACGTTGGTGATGGTCGCTGGCAACCATGCAAATCGTCTGCAAGGTCTTTCCAAGACCCATGTCGTCACAAAGGATTCCATGCAAGTGGTATTTGTTCAGGAAGTGCAACCAGTTCACACCTTCTTGTTGGTATGAACGAAGTTCGGCCTTGATTGCAACAGGAATCTGGAAGCTTTCTACCTTCTTGGGGTCAAGAAGTTGAGAAATGAAGGTTCTTTCCCGGTCTCTGCCCTTTAGCAGCTCTTCGGACAAACCTGGAGGATCAGGAATGCCAGCCTCCAGCGGTACCAGCTTAACCAAGGTGGCAAAGGATGTTGTTGCAATCAGGCGAATCTCATTGTCAGAGTCACTCATGCGACCAAGAACGGGAACAATGAGGAAAATGACATAGGGCAAAATAGAATCGCCCATAACAGCAATCAAGTGATAGATTGCCTCAATAGCACCCTGTCGGAAGTTGAGATCGACAGGGTTGCTGATGGATGGCAAGACCTTCTCCACCAGCGCCGTCATTCCCTCAACTGTGATGACACTGCAGATCGTGGCCATGCACTTCGCTGCCATATAACGGAAGACAGACAGCTCAGAGTGTAAGGCCTTGATAACCAACGGCACCTTCTCCATGATGAAAGGATGGATGGCTTTGTCGAGGGTTGGCATGAGTGTGCGAATAAGGGACAAGGCATCAACGATTTCTTGCCCAAAGGTGTTTTCGGGGTCCCTTGCTTCAGCTGGCAATGCACCAGTGAATGCCTTGACAAGAGGTTCCTCCATGAAGACTCTGACCGTCGGAACAGCGTTGAGAAGCTCAGCACCATAAGTTCGGGACAGAATTTCGAGCGCCTCTTTTGCACCACGTCTCGTGATGCGTGCTGCCTTGACTTCCTTTGCCCATTTAGCAGCATCTGCGTGGTCGACTCTGTCTTCCTCCTTTTGCATGGAAAGGACACAGTCCGTCTTGGTTGCGTGAACTGGAAATTCGGGGGTTTCGGCCACCTCAACACAAGAGAACTTGATAAGGTTAGAAACGACCTTGTCGGCAGGTCCACGTCTGCCCATCTCGTTGAACAACTGAACAAGCCTGGCAATGGTTGCTGAGGAACGGCTTTGCAGTTCCTGGTTTTCCTCCGTTTTGATGCTGTCCATGATACCCTTAATGAGGGGACTAGGCTTCTTGGGCAGGACCTTGATAGCAACCAGAGCGCAGGCCGCAGCCGCCTTGATACGCACATCTCGGGCATCCTTGGCGGTCTTGGCGTCGGAAATAGCGGAAGCAGCCACATCTCTGGCTTCTCCAAGCATCTGGCTGGCCACCAAGCGCTGTCCTGGTGACATTGCCTTCTTAAGTTTGTCGAAATCTTCACCAATGACCTTGTCTGCAACGGCGATGGAGAAAGCGCCAGGGCCAGCCTGTTCGTCGCCCTGGACCAGAACAGCAAGAGTAGGGAGTCTTCCACTTGACACCTTACCGTGATCGCGGAACATGTTCAGGAGTTGCTGGCATTGAGACCGCACACGATGCATGTAGCTGACCAAGTCGCCATAGTGAGGAGGTCGGTCAACCTCGATAATCTTTTGCAAGGGGGCCACGTATCTCTGGGGACCTTCTGTTGCCTCGCAGTTTTTGGCATATTCGTCAATAACCATACAGGCCGCGAGCTGTGTGGACGAGGACCTGTCGACAAGACCGGCAAGAAGGAGCTGGTCATATTCAGGCATGCTGGGAGTTGGGATAAAGGACATAATCATTCCCATCGCCTTAGCAGCCGACACTCTCGATCGGATGAGAGTGTCCATGCCCACCAGGTCGACATCTCCTTGGATCATGTGGCCGTCAACGTCGTGTGTATGTGATACGACAGGTGCGTCATCTGTTTTGGCAGATTTCCTACGACGTTTCGTAGCTCTCTCGGGTCCTTCAGGAGAAGATGCTTTGCGTGCAGGTGTCGCGGTGACTGCCGTGTAAGTGCCACCTGACGGCCTCTGGAAAAGGTGTGCAGGCATGGGTATGGGATGGCGTGAGACACCGATCGGGTGCAGGGTAAGCCTCATTAGAGGATCGACGTGAGGAGCAAACTCATCAGCCAAAGCCTCCGGTGTCTTTGAGAGTGAACGGACGAGGGCCGTCCAGACTTCCAGGGACATGGCAAGTGTTTCTCTGTCCCTTTCGACGAGGATATTCTGAAAGATGAGACGTAGGATCCTGCCATTCAACCATCCGCGAGAGTTTTCGGCGCCAAGGTTTGCAAATGTCATGAGGGCCTTCAAGACTGCCAGACGAACGGAAGTAATGGTGTGACGGAGGAACGGGTAGAGTCGCGGTACCAAAAGAGTAAAAGAACGTTCTTCATCCTGCGCAGCAGACGTTTCCATGGCCCGTAGCACCTCAGGATAGCTGCATAGTGTCGCAAGAAGGTCCATAATCTTTCCGGTACTGGCACTTAGGTCGTCGCCAAGATCGGCAAGACTTCCCCACATGATGTTGATGAGACCGTCAATAGAACCGGGCCGCATAGTCACAAACTCCTTCGCCATAGGCAAGAGCGTTGCTGCACTCACTGATCTGACATCGTCGTCATGCTCCTCCAACCCCTTCATAACCAGGCGGACGACTCCATCAATCATCTCGCCATCCTCCAGGAGAAGGTCTTTTCTGACGGCAACAACATATCGCAACCCAACCATGCCACCATGGCAGACTGACCATTGAAGCATTTCAAGATGTAGGTCATCTTGCATGACCATGCGGTAGAGAATCTTGTAAATTCCGTGAACCGAGTCTGCCGGAACGTGCCGAAGGACTGATCCTAGGGATTGGCCGATAGTTTCGCGAATCGGCGCAACAGAGGTGTCAGAGCTGTAATCAGTAAATCTGTCCAGCATCAGGACGCAGCAAAGTCGGCAAGCCAAGTCTTCAAGCCAAGCCTGGTTCAGACGGTCGTTCTCCGCCCGAGACTTGGAGCGCACTCGGCCAGCTCCAGCTCCATGAACGCGAATGACTTCTCGGATACCCATAGCGGCCCCATGCCGTGTCTCCCAAGATGGATCGAAAAGATCCACTTTCAGGAAATCGCAGAGCCGATCGTATGGCCATTCCGCACCTTCCATAGTCTCATCCACTTCAATTTCAGACTTAATCTGAATCACCGGACCCTTGAACTCACTGACAACCTTTGTCTCCTCATCGACATCGGCCGGTCTCTCCAGGTTGAAGTAGTCGTTGACTTTACCGTTCTTTTGCTTAGAATCGGCATCGGGCATTGGTGTGTCGTCAAATCCTTCGGAGCCCGCGGTTGTAGTCCTTCTGATGGACAAGTCTCCGAAACCACCTTTTCCTTGGGCAGCCTTTTGCAGCTCTCTCTTGCGTTTTCTCTTGAGCACGTTGAGTTGTCTTGAACTCAAGCCGGCTTCCTCTGCTGGCTGGCTTTGGCCTTGGGAAGTCGCGCTCTCCTTACCTCCGTGCCCGTTGGCTGAATCTTGGGGAGTAAGTGGACTGGGGTCCTTCTCAATGAGAACGGGCATCTCGGTGTCCTCGAAGACTCTGCCAAGAAGACCTAGTCGTCCATTGAGGGTCTTCTTTTGATGTGCGAGCCGTGCAGAGGGATCTAATGAAGCCAAAGCATACTCGATGTTGCCGCCTCTAAGCAATTGGCGGCCATACTTGATAATGTGCTCGACATTGAGCGATCCCAGCTTGAGGAGCTCATCATGAGCGAAAGAGGTAACATCTTTTTCCTCTTCCTTCTTCACGTGTCCGTTTTCCTCGGGCTCATCCTTCTTAACCGGGGCGGAGTCTTCATCTTCGTTAGGATCATATAAAGGTGCGTTTTCAATGATTTTGCCAATTGCTTTGGCCGCTGTTGACCGTGTCTCCCAGTCCTTATGTCTCAGATAAGGTACGACTCTGGAGAGGAGGTTGAAAAGCTCATCTGGGTGTTGTTTCTGCCAATCAGCAAGTTGGTTGACAGCAGTATCACGAATGAGACGGGTGCTTCCCGTCTCGAGAATCCTGTTTTAAATGTCAGCTGAGATTTTGCATGATGAGTACAGATAATGATCGAGCGCAACGTCTCTGGGTTGCAGTCATCATTCATCCCGAGGTGTGACACGCCAATGGGATGAGAAGACAAGGATCTGGGGCTTGAAGGGGAGTTGGGATGCCATGTGGATTCACTCACGTGACTAATCTGTCAAGTCTGTTTCAACAAGGTTAGTGCTGGTTCTAAGTTGGGCGAAATTGAGGATCCCCGTGGGAGCAACGCACCTCGACGCCATCTTGTATTATGATGGACTTGATGGGAGTCTCATCATAGGTTGAGGTTCTGCAAACGGTGTTAGTGGCTTTCTGGCGAGGCTGCGATGAGTTGTTAAGAGCAGATGAAAAGGGTGCGACAGCCAAATGCATGAATGGGGCAAAATAAGAGGAGCGACGAGAGAAGTCTAAACACGTGGTGTATGCCATCCTGACTTGCCCAAACGAAGGTGATGCACTTTAGTGTGAAGCCTGAATCATGACAGCTGGGGGGAGCCGTGTCGAAGGTAAGATGACATCGATAGCTGAGTAAATACGGTATAGAGGGTTGGAAGTAAACCGGTCCGAACAGTCCAATAGGATCCGTTGAGAAGACTGAAGTATGAAAGGAAGGGATGTGTATGCAGATATCGGTGTGAAACGCAATAAGAAGAGAAAAGATACGTACCTATTTTGTGCAAGCCGGTAACGTTGATGAGCATCAGTTGGATGGGGCCGAAAGCAATCGCGATCCCGTCCAATGCGGATCAAGCCGAGTCTTGTTTTGAAAAAGATGCAACTACCATGCATGCATCGAGCAAGTAAGAGGCAATTGGAGTCGCTGTGATAAGTGGTGTCGAATTCCGACGCAAACGCAACAGCGATTAAAAATAGCAGGATGCGGAGGTTGTCGCAAACACTCGATAGGAGTGAGGTGGTGATGGTGACGCTGTGTTTTTTTTCCAAAGTGCGCGCACGTGGTGATACGTGCAGATCAGGTTGAGGAAAGAAAGCACCAGAGGTGAGGCTCCAGAAGGCAAGAGGGATGACGCCTTAAGTGGGAAGGAAGCGACGCGTTTTTGGTGGATGATTGATTGGGATGCGGTGCCAGGCAGGTGCGAGGCGGGAATGCAGTGCTGCGGTGCCTAAGGAAGCTACCGAAGTGGCTACTCGTTGCCTGTCGTTTGGTGCTTTGGTGCTGTTGGCTGCCTGTGGTATTGGCCAGCCGTGGGTGATTGCACCAATGAAATCGCAGGGATCGAGGCTCGATGGGGTCTGGTCGAAAGAGAGCAGCACCTCTGGTCGCCGCGGGACTGCGCTCTGGAGGGAAAATTTGGGGTGGAGGGGCCCGGACAGTCTTAAAGGTATGCCTGCAGTACTTTTATAATTACCCGTGGGCCCGTGAGAGAAAAAAAATGGAAGGAAAGCCAGCCGTTCCTTCACGCAGCGACGGCGTCTCGCTTAATTTCCTTAGCGTCATCTAGTGTTCCTGGTCCACCTCCACTCCCCAGCAAACAATAAACCCTGTCAGGTGCTGTCGTCGTCGTCGTCGTCCTCGCCGGCCTTCCATTCTGTCTGTGGTTGTCCCTTTTCATCCAATTCTCCCCTTAGATGCCGTGCCCTGCCTTGCACTCTCATGAGGCAAAACTTTGGGCTTTTCTTGACCAACTCCTCAGTTCTTTCCAACTTTCCTATTTTTGCTTCCAAATGATTCTATCTCTTTATTTTGCAGCCGTCTCACCAAACGCATCCTTGTGTTCATGGTACTATACCACCCCCCTGTCCAACCTTCATCGCGGCTTGTTATTAACTTTCGAAGCATCACTATATCTCGCATTTGCAGTATCACTCATCGGATATCCACCTAACCTCAGATGCAAGGTAAGGAAGAAGCAGGAAAAATTGCAGAAGCAGGCGAAGAACTCGGGTAGTGTCGTTGCTATACAACCAACACCAAACAGAAACAAACTACAATCTTGCCCTACGAAACAGTGCAATCACCGTTTCACCCGCATGCCCTCGAGAACCCTCGGAACCTTTCAATTTTGAGTTTCGTCTGTCTCTGCTGTCCATCCCCTCGTGCAAAGGTCCCCCCTCGGCACTTCCCATGGCTGGCGGAGCCTATCACGATCGGCTCTCATCATCAATATGCTAGTACTGAATTGGGCTTCTGTATGCGCATGTGCCATCATGCCTCTCTCTCCCTTGTGTGAGGGTGACTGGTAGGCTTGCGTCGATGTCTCGTTCTTTGCTTGGGGCGGGTTTCTAGTGGTTTCTCGCCTTGGTGGCTATTCATACATACCTACCGCTGTCCGTTGCCCCCTTGCCACCAAGCTACTAAAGGTGGCTTTTTCTTCATCAGTCAAAGCTAGTTCGTTGAGGTGCCAATTCGTGTTCCATTGAATGGTCCGCGACAACAAGCCTTCCATCAGATCTGGGCAAGCAAGCAGTCAGATGGGATAGATCCGCCCATGACTGTTTGTGTGGCCCTGCTATTTACATACCAGGCTCCCCCTTGAAGACTAGCCTGTAGCTGCAGTACACACTACACACTGACAGGACGCTTCTTTTTTTTTGACCCTATTGGCAGCATTGAGTAGTTGACAGCTTCTCATTATTACTAAAGCCTCTCGAAAACCTGGAAGCTAGGCTGCAGCAGGTCACAGTCCAATGAATGAATAGGTGTACCGGATGAGATCGATTGATGAACCGACCGATTCGATGGCTGCGTTGTGTGGGAGCCGGATAGACGGTGATGGACGAGATGCGACTACTGCTGCCACTTGCGATGCAGGAGACGGCGCAAGGATCATCACAGGCATAGCTAAGGCAGGGCGTGCAGCTCCGGCCGGTCCTGGTCTGATGCCTTGAATTGGAAATAAGCTGGTTCGGGGCTGGCACAAGACGTGGGGTAAGGTTGGGAATCTTGGCGTGTCCGCCCAGGGTCCTAAGATTCTGGCGTTCCAGCGGCACGCCATCTCTGATTCGTCTTTGGTCATCAATTTCCAAACTGTTCAAGGGGCCCTGCCGCAGCCACCGGCCTAAGATGGGCTGAATGGCTCGCTGCTGGCTGGTCGACAGGTGGTATTGTCTGGTTGCTGTGCGCTGTGCCGTGGCAGTAGCACGGCACTGACAAAGGCCTCTCTGCTTTTGCCCCGATTTACGATGGCCTCATTTCACCTCTCGCTCCGCACCTCCCGACAGTCCCTGGTTCTTCCAGGGCGACCTGGAATGTCTTACCCAACTCGGCCTTTTTTTCCTGCTCTCTCGTCGCTGTGTCTGTCACTTTTCATGCCCACCTGGGGCCTTCGTCTCTCCTCTTCCCCCATGCTGTTACGTACAGACACAATCACTTTACTTAGCCTTCAATTACTCGGATCTCGTCAGCGACTCGCCTTAACTTTGACATCCAACGCCGACACCTTATCCAGCGATGTGATACGTGGTCTCAGTCCGTCAATTTTGCTGTGAGAGGACGTGTACCTGTGTCGGCCATGTGGTCAGTGCATGTAGCTCGACGGTGACTCGACCGGGGTATCCGTACATATGGGATGGATCCAGCTCCATCCATGTTGAAGCTCAAACTAATTGTTGATCGCCCGGTATCATGAATACGGCTCAGGCACACCGACACGTTCACGCGGTCGCGCATCACACTCACACAAACGGTTTGCCCTTCTTGACCTTGAGACACAGCAAGCACTGCATGCGCACTGGCGCCCTCTCCAACAGCCAGACAGAGGGCCAACGCGGATGTGTCGGAACAATTGCGTGGAGGGAAGAGAAAAAGAGAGGCAGGGGAAGGGGAAAAAAAAAAAAAAAAAAACTCCTTCACCAGCCACTGACAGGCGTGCTCTATGGCTGTTCAATCACGCCTCCGCAATCCATCCTCCTCTGGTAAAGTCTGTCTCGGCGAGGATGGGGCAGATATTTCCATGACGAGGCTATGGTATTGCCGGAGATTCGCGGACATATCTCCTGGAGTCACCCTGATGCGAGGGCGACTCCATATTCAGTGCATCCGACTCGGACCGTCGTTACAACTGCCGGCGGTTGATTTTAGAAGTCCGATTTGCACATTCAAAGTTCACAGGGTGATGTCTATTGAGCTCCAGGTCATCTTGATATTGTATACGGGCTAAGCGATCTAGCAAACGGCCGCTGCCGCGTGAAAGGCCGGGTGAACCAGAGCTGGTGATAAGCTTAGGGGATAACCAGATGGATTTGACTTTGACAATGTCGAGTCAGCAGTCTGCCTCAACTGACTGGGTTGTCCTCTTTTTATTATTATTTTATTGATTTTTAACCGAGAGAATGACTGAGAACGCCCATTTCTTCGGTCTAGGCATTGTAAAACGCGAAAAACCGTTGCATCACTTGGGTTGAAAGAATTCCATTCGCGGCTCTTGAGCCACTGCTTAATTAGCTGTCACTAGATCCCATGCGGGACGGGAATAGCGTCGTGAAACCGTCTAGCTGGGACATTGGCATAGCCGACTAATTCGTATGCTACCTACGGTACGGAGAACCTTACTGTAAATTGATGTGTAATCACAGTGAGAACTACAGTCTTTGCGTCAGGTACGCACTGTTTTCTGCCGTCTTGCCTTTACCCTTTTGAGCTCAAGTTGTCCTCAGGCACGCGCCGCCTGCCAAATGAACGCACCCCAGATTCGACGCGCCATGATCTTCCACGTCGCACGGCGAGGGCATCGCGATTCATTGACGCGTCAATCCCCACCATCGCCAACAATCCGTCGCAACACCTTATCAAACCGATGAAAATATTGCGCGACACCTCACCAATCCCACCAGCGACTTCAACCGCGCAAATTCGCTGCCCTTGAGGCCGCACCCCTCTCGCCCACCATGTACATTAAACAGATTATTATCCAGGGCTTCAAGAGGTGGGTTGCGCCCCTAGAAACAACATTTCCCCAAGTGATCCCCGCTGACTAGGCCGCAGCTACAAGGACCAGACAGTCATCGAGCCTTTCTCCCCCGGCACAAACGTCATTGTCGGTCGCAATGGATCTGGCAAGAGTAACTTCTTCGCGGCCATCCGCTTCGTCCTCAGCGATGCCTACACCCAGATGACTCGCGAAGAGCGCCAGGCGCTTCTGCACGAAGGTTCAGGATCAGCCGTCATGTCGGCATATGTCGAAATTATTTTCGACAACAGCGACGAGCGCTTTCACGGTGGAGGCAAGGAGGTCATCCTGCGCCGTACCATCGGCACCAAGAAGGACGAGTACTCAGTCGACCGGAAAGTCGTTACAAAGAGCGATGTCATCAATCTGCTCGAGGCTGCCGGCTTCTCGAGATCGAATCCTTACTACATTGTGCCCCAGGGTCGTGTCACAGCATTGACGAATATGAAGGAGTCTGACAGACTCACTCTGTTGAAAGAGGTTGCGGGTACCCAGGTTTACGAAGCGCGTCGAACCGAGTCGCTGAAGATTATGAACGAGACGAACAACAAGAGAGAAAAGATCGATGAGCTGCTGGGTTATATTAAGGAACGTCTGGCTGAGCTCGAGGAGGAAAAGGAGGAGCTTCGAGGTTTCCAGGACAAGGACCGTGAGCGCAGGTGTCTTGAGTACGCGCTCTACTATCAGGAGCAACAGCAGATTCAAGAACAACTCGAGCGCATTGAAAGCATCCGTCAGAGTGGCCTAGACAACACCGACTCGATACGCTCCGAGCTGAAGGAAGCAGAGAAGGCGCTCACGAAGTTAGAGGCGGACATTCACAAGTTGACAAAGGAGCTGGACTTGGCCAAGGTCGAGCGCCGTCAACTCGAGGAAGATCGTCGTGAGACTGCTAAGGCCAAGGCCAAGGCAGAACTTAAAGTGAAGACGCTATCAGAGGGGCAGTCCGCGGCAGTGCAAGCCCAGCAGCAGCACGAGGCTGACCTTACGGCGACCATCGAAGAGATTTCCGCAAAGAAGCAGGAGCTCAACAACATCATCCCCGAATACCTTCGACGAAAAGCCCAAGAAGCGGAGAAGAAACAGCAGTTAGATACTGCCGAAGCCGCCCGCAACCGTCTCTTCACCAAGCAAAGTCGTGGCTCCCAATTTAAGAATAAGTCTGAGCGTGATAAGTACTTGCGAGCTGAAATTGAGGACTTGCAATCAAGACTCATGAGTCACAAGGCAAACAAGATGGATGCCGATGAGGATGTGGCCAGGACCGAAAACGCCATCAAGCAACTTGAAAATGAAGTTGCAAACCTGAGAGAACAGCTGCAAAACTCTGGTGGCGCTCGCAACGAACTCTTTGAGGAGGCAAGCAGAGCACGAGAGGTTTTGGACAAGCTTGATGATGAGAGGAAGGTCCTCTGCCGTCAGGAAGAGAAGCTCGATACGGTCTTGTCAGATGCGCGACAAGAGAGAGAGCGGGCGGATCGTGAGCTTAGCACAATGATGGACAGAGACACTGCCCAGGGTCTTGCTACAATTCGCCGCCTGAAGGCTACGGAGGACATCCCCGGTGCCTATGGAACGATGGCGGAGCTGCTCAAGGTCAGCGACACTTACCGGCTTCCTGTTGAGCAAATTGCGGGTAATAGCTTGTTCCACTACATCGTCGATACCGACCAAACTGCGACATACCTGACAAACCACTTGCGCTCCACCTATGGTGGTAGACTTACCTTTATGCCTCTCAACCGTCTCCATCCCAGGCACGTCAACATGCCGCGGTCTCAAGATGGCATCGTGCCTCTCATAAGCAAAATTACCTATGATTCTACGTTCGAGAAAGCCTTCCAACAAGTGTTTGGCAAAGTTGTCGTTTGCCCTAATCTGAGCATTGGAGGTCAGTACGCAAGGAGTCACGGCGTCGACGCCATTACTCTGGATGGTGACACCACAAACAAAAGGGGCGCGATGACTGGTGGATACATCGACCCTAGGCGATCCAGGCTGGAGCAGGTTCAGGCTGTCAACAAATGGCGAGACGAATATGAGCGACTCCTATTGCAAGCCAATGAGTTCAGGGCTCAGATCGAGCAAAAAGATCAAGAAATTACTCGCGCCTTGGGTGAAGTTCAAAAGGCTGAGCAGAAATTGCGTCAATTGGAAGCCGGCTTTGAGCCGTTGAGACATGAGCTCGCCAACAAGAATGCTCAGCTTGAGCACGAGAGACGCCGTTTGAGCGACGCCATCAGACACAGAGAGGCGGTTGAGCGGGACATGAGGGTTTTCACCGAGAGTCTCGCGGCCGATGAGGCCGAATTGGCATCCGATTTCAAGAAGGCTCTCAGTAATGCTGAAGAGAAGCAGCTTGTCGAGCTCGACATGCAGGTTCAGCAGCTTCAGAGAGAGTGGAACGAGGCCAGCAAGAAGAGAAGAGATGCAGAGAGCCGTAAACAGATTCTTGAGACGGATATCAACCAGAACCTCCAGCTGCGCCTCGATCAGCTCAATAGCCAAGCTTTCGAGAACAACACTGCCTCTGGCGATTCCGGCGGCCTTAAGGAGGCACAGCGCGAACTCAAGAAGCTACAGAAGGAATCCAAGGCTATCGAGGCCAAGATGCAAGAAATCGAGGCTAAGATCGAAGAGCTTGGTAGCAAGCTGGACCGTCGGGAGGCAAAGAAGGCGGAGCAGGAGGAGATCCGGGCCACTGTTGCCGCAAGAGAGGCCAAGCAGCGCGGTGCAATCGAAAAGAGCATGTCGAAGAAGGCTGTGTACACGGCTCAGGCTGCAGATGCCGCGAAGGCAATCAGAGACCTCGGTGTTCTGCCCGAAGAGGCGTTTGACAAGTACGAGAACATGGACCCGCGCCAGATCGACTCTAGGCTGAAGAAGGTTCGAAACGCGCTGAAGAAGTTCCAGCACGTCAACAAGAAGGCTTTCGAACAGTACAACAGCTTCACCTCGCAGCAGGATCAGCTGATGAAGCGTCGCAAGGAACTCGATGCCTCGCAGGAGTCTATCGAGGAGCTTGTTGCCCATCTTGACCAGCGCAAGGACGAAGCTATTGAACGTACCTTCAAGCAAGTGTCCAAGGAATTTGCCACCATCTTTGAGAAGCTCGTTCCGGCTGGTCATGGCCGCTTGGTCATCCAGCGCCGGACCGACCGCCGCGTTGACCCCGAAGAGTCCGACGAGGAGCAGAGAGGCAGCGTTGAGAACTACACTGGTGTCGGCATCAGCGTGTCTTTCAATTCCAAGACCCTCGATGAGCAGCAGAGAATCCAGCAACTCAGTGGTGGACAAAAGAGTAAGGAAATCTTGATTATTATACCTCGTATCATCATTACTGACATGTGTCATCAGGTTTGTGTGCCCTGTGCCTCATTTTCGCCCTCCAGCAGACGGAAAGCAGTCCCATGGTCATCTTCGACGAGGTCGACGCCAACCTGGACGCGCAGTACCGTACCGCCGTCGCCAGTCTCCTCGAGTCTATCTCGCAGGAAGCCGGCACGCAGTTCATCTGCACCACTTTCCGTCCTGAGATTGTCCACATCGCCGACAAGTGCTACGGTGTTACCTTCCACAACAAGACGAGTTCCATCGACTGTGTTCCCACCGAGGAAGCCCTCAGCTTCGTCGAGGGCGTCGCGGCCGGCAAGTAGACGACAAAGTAGACAGCGTAGTTACGGTTACTGTTCATAATATCGTTATGAGGAAGGTTGACCCGTCTTGGATGGGGTGGTCGACCGGGCATGGCGTTGCGGCGATTTGTAGTGGCTTGTGGAGTCGGTTGATTGCTTGATATCACGAATTCGCTTACCTGTGGGCGAGAAATACTCTCCACCGTCATGTTTTTTTTTTCTTGATGGACATGACTTGTAGGCCTAGACTTTGCTTATTTATTAACTGTTTAACGACTGGTTGCCACTTTTGCTGTTTCACTCGTTCTTGCTGGTGTAGAATCTTGTCGCTTTCTTACAACCGGTCGCAACTGCCTTATTGAGCCCCACCTTCAGGTCTACAGTTTACCGCCTCATTCTGGTAACATTCACTTCTTTGGTTCTGCCGCGCACTTTCCCCGTTGAAACCTCGAGGCGCATCAGGGCGCTCCCTTTTCTGGTGTGCACATGTAGCATAGCAATCCTCAATTGTAACAACGTCCTCTAGAGTATTCAAGAAAGTCTTTGCCGTTCCTGCAGTTTATATCTTCGCACCAAATCCAATGTTTGGCCTCAACGTCTGCATATATTCCAATGGACACGGGATCCAAAACAGAGGCAAGAGAACCATCCAAAACGACATTTTGCTGACTCCCCTCACGTATGAGTGCCGCTCTCCCTACCGAAAAACAAGATAGATATACGTGGCAACCCTGTCTCTCTATAGCATACGTAGTTCCGCATGCTTTACAACAAACTTCATGGGCCCAGAACTCTTTGATACGTTCATCCCCTTTTAGATCTCTGGTCGCTTTGCACCAGGGAGTGCCCCATTGCTCTTTGTTGAAAGGAACCATGCGCCCTATCCGGCGATCACCCCCCAAGCAAGCGCAAAACTGAGGATCCAATGCTCGGAAGATCCGGTCATCATCAAGATTGAAATGGGGGCAGAAAATATCTCCAAAGATCTTCTGGAATTCCTTCAGCTTCTGCCTCAGAAATGGGACTGTGATTGGCTGCTGTTCGGGGACCCTAAAGAGCGGCAAGGTCCAACGAAGTATGAAATAAAAATGTGACGTATTGAACTTTCCCAGACGAACATTTGGAGGCTTCATGTAACTCTGGGCTTCGGGAGCACTCGATATAGCCAAATTTTCGCATTGTTGGCAAGTTTCCAACCTTGCTAAGTCGCTCCCGTTGCTGTTGTCATCTTCCATTTCTATTATCTTTGCGAAAATACGATGCTTTGGAACGACCACGTGAGGACACAGCCGAATAGTTTGGCATTCACAGAGGATGCAACAGCGACTTTTCGTAGGCTTGTTGCGTTCCTCGTATCTGAAGTTTATTCTAGGTCGATTGGACAAGCAAATAGAACACCATAAACATTCGAATGTGAGACTACAATTATGTTTATTGTAATCCCCGGGTGTCGCTCTTTTCTTGAAACAATCAGCACAAAATGATTGTTTCTTGGCGCGTAGGATTGTAGTTGGATCACTTTCAAACAGTCCTCTTTTCTGAGGTTCGAAGTCATCAGTATGAAACTTGCTGAAAATTCTATCCTGGTAGATGCGCCAAAACGTAAATGAGACTTGGCGTAGCATGTAGAGGTCCGAAGTCTCTACGATTTGTAGGATCTGAAGGAGCAACTCGTCTGGTAGGCGGAGAAGTCGACTGTTATTTAGGTTTTCGTAAAAATTGATCTCCCAGAACGGAGCTTCGGGACGAGGGTTATGAAATTCATCTTCAATGCCCAATTCTCGAGTTGTAATGTTGATATCGGCCTCATTTAGTTGTTCTGATTGGCAGATGCCCAGAGCTTGAGATTCGGTACTCATCGTTTGGCTTGCTTGCGTCGAATGCAGCCCCCCAATTTGATCCACGTAGGCATTCATGACTGGATATGTTACACCTCTCTTAGTGCTTGTGTTTTTTCTGCTGTAAAAGTGAAAAATAATAAATACAGTGGTGTTTGCAGCACACCAACCCTCAAGGGAGCAGGAGAAGGAATTTGTGTGATGCTCGGCACTGCTGAAGAAGGGCTGAACGCAGAGTACACGCAATTATGAAGTTAGAAATCTTTCTGGGAGTAATTTGGATGTGATATGAAGACGTCTTTATATAATTACCATTAAAGCTAAAACTTCTAAAGGTTGTATTGATCTACGGTACGGCGTTATTCTAAAATTTGGCAGAGCCGGGGAAACGACAAAGCTTTAGATAAGGCATGCCTATGATCATATGGCGTACAAGAAGCTAACATGAATATGGAATTTGTCAAAAGCTGTTCATTGAGATGCTCAACATATTTTAAGCTGGGATTTCTCTGGACTATTTTGAATAACGAAGGTGATGTATCGTTTTCCATTTTGGTTCACGTGCAGTCACTGCTTCTGCTTTGCATGTCTGCAGATAAGTCTCGACCATGGCCTCTTTTCTTTTTCTCAACGAGACTCGAATGGATTTCAGGATTATACGGTATGCCGGCTATTCACATTTCTCAAAGGCTACGACCTTGATGATAGCCATCCGTGGCTCAACATTGACTTACATCGTCTTACATAGAATCTCAGTCATTTGAACCCAACGAACACTGTAGAAATCAAGTCTCCAAAAAGGCATTTCTTCCACGGCTGGCAAACATGTCTCTAATGTCTGGTAATGCTGCAACTCGTCTTTTCATGGCCCAGTTAGTGGTGTACTACTCCAATCCAGGTTGCCGTGCCTTCTGCTTGCTGATATGGGAAGCCAAGTGCGTGCGTTGCGGCTACTAGGTACTATTCGAGCATGTTGGATTCACGAAACATCTCGTTTATTACTACACTTAACCTGGAATTATCTGTAATTAGTGAGCTTGAAACCTGGATAATCACTTGGCTTTGGACAGTATACCAGGAATGTTAGAGAGGAATGAAATAATATCAATAGATTAACTGCAAGGTCATGAAATAAGCTATGTTGTGAAGGGTTTAATTTTTACACACCCTGGCAACTATCATCTAACGTATTACAAAGTCTATCAGTATCACAGCATCAGATTAAATCAAAGCTATGAAGCTGTCAAAGTACCCGTAGATACTATTGATTTCTTTCAAAGCTAGCTCATCGCAGCTTTAACAATTCCTTCCGATTACGACAATATTGGTACAAGCGATGGACACCCGCACGGTTAGAGATATCGCAAGCTAAGCTTTTATACGCATCTGAAGACGCTTTTATGCGGAATTGAATACTCTCACGTATTGTTTTTGGAAGATGGAGGGGGCGAGAGTACTCTAGAACGTTCTGCAATGGGAACTTGGGGCATTCGAATTGCCCTTGGTCAATCCGAGTTGCTTCGACATACAAGGCTGTATTGATACATCCATCAAGCTTGGTTTACCTTCAAGAACATTCTGCCTAATGAAGCTTGGTTATTTTGTCTTGTGTATAGTTTCTGGTAGGTGACATGTTTTTCATATATGCCATTGATTAAATTAAAGGATGCCTAGGGTTACTTTTAGTCAGATTCATCGTGAGGGCTAGCTCGCCGCGATGTTCTTCAGTCATCGGCACTCGAAGGTGGCACACGATGAAGGGAACGTGTCTGATTCGAACAATATCATCGAGCTGAAGGGATGTTTTCGGGAAAAAGTCATGGAAATAGGCCCTGAATAATTCAGGAGGGGTGAAGTTCATGAGCGGGAATGTTCTGGGGGCTGGCATTGTTTGATTCAACGGCTTGGGTAGAAGAGTGTCAATTCTTGTGGTAACATGGAAAAAGTGACTCAAATTCAGCATTTCCATCATCAGACTACCTCTCCAGACTAGTTCAAACCCTGTCTTTCCTTTACAGAGTGTCATTGTTGAATGAGGAGGAACACACATCTGGCTACACATCGAGACCAACCACCTGCGAACAAATATAAGAAGTCCTGGAGACACCGATTAGCAGGGAAAAGTGATGATCCATGGTAATTGGAGCGTACGAGAGCTAAAACATACAAGTTCCTGCTTCTAACGATCTCATGTTGATATGTAAAATCAAGGAAAGCGCTGTCGGTGCTCGTGGCTCTGGGGGAATGCTGGCATTATCACCAGCCGGGGCCTTCTCCAAGCTGACAAAATTTTTTTAACATATTGGCATGCGACCGAGGAGAAACTCAATCCGGTCTTAGAAAGGCGCAGTTCCCGGTCAAGAGATTTTAGGCATCGTAAGTCACGTAAGCCTCATGGACAATTCCTCTTCTGCCTATACTTATGATGAAATCAGAGAGAAACACGTTGTTTCGTCCTAGTATGTCAATCTTGCTTTCACAGCGTGAATCAACAGCCGTGCACTACCCATACAAGACGCAACTCGAACGCCTGATATCTCTTATCTGAAGTTTTAAGCTTATATCTCCTTCATTTTCATATTATATCTGCCATATATGCCATAGTAGTGGACAAGGGAAGCATCACATCTCAGGCTCCAAACTGTAGCCATGGAAAGATACATCGTCTTTTGTACGTCAACAGGTTCATAACAAGTGAGTTAGCTCTGCGCTTCATGCTGCATAGTCGTAAACTAACGCAGTAACATCGCGCGGTGGTAAAGCTACGGATCGGGCCTACGCGTGAGTCTCTCATCGCTCATCGGTGGCCCAATTTACTACACAGTGGCAGGCGAAACGACCACGGCGAGCAGGTTTCCAATTGCTACTGCGAATAAGTAAAATGACCCGGGTGGCTGTTGTGACCTGTTGGACTCAATGGATTTACTTTTCGCAGTCTCGGTCTGCATTTTCGCAGGCATTCAAGTGGATTTTCTCTGCCTTCGATGACCGTACCATCCCGGCAATGCGTTATAGACAACCCGATCGAATATACATATACCAGATTAGATCAACTGAGCGATCGTGATTGGAGAGTGGAGTCGGCGTTTTCCGATGTTTTTAATGCGGCCAATTTATCGGGAGACCACTCGGTCAGCCTCATTTTTGCCTCTGACGGTCGTTGGGCATCATGTCGTCCGCTAC